ATAGGTACCGATGTAAATTTGAATTCTCTTGAATTTTCTATAAAATTAGTCCAAATTTCAAATGTAACGGAACCAACTCTATGCACTAGAGAATTTGTCCAATGTACAGGCCTATTATTATAATACGAGTAGGTACTACGAGAGCCATCTGTTGTAGTTCATCCAAAACTCTGCGACTAAACAGAGAATGGCTACAATCGAGTGACGATTGCGAATTCCCTTTTTGAGACTGTCGAGTATATATTACGGTAAAAGTACGAATACCGGTAAAACATAAAACCTAAGATTTACCGGTAAATCCTAGGTTTTACCAACTGTGGTCAGTACATGTCCGAATTTAATTTCGGTGAAATCTAAGAATGCACAAAATCCGAAAAAAAAAAAATGATTTTCGTCAAAATTTGATATCAAAATTCTTTTATAAAAAAAATACTACATAAAACTCAATTTTTTTTTTTCTATAATGTAAGAATTTTAAAGAACATCCGGTTAATTTCACGCGTTTCTGTCAAGTCTAACAATTTTACCACACAGTACATACCGAATATAAATTACGTATAAAACTACGAAAATTAAAATTGTCAATAAATACCTCAAAAAGGGGTTAACATTTTTGAAAATTTTACCATGTCTAGAAAAGATATATATATATATATATACACATAGGATAATAGACACGTATATCCAAAATACATATATTTAAAATACATATATATATATTAACTGGGGCGTCAACCAGTCTTAAAGATTGTCGTCCGGACGCAGGTAGCGATAAAACGGGGAGTGTGCAGGCCAAGTCATTAATAGTTATTGATAATGACGAATTCACATCCATGTGTGTGCAGATCGACGTGTGTATACATTGAGACGGACCTCCGCGTGGAATTTTCGTGGACACGGTACGTATTTGGGATAGCCCATCAGGAATGTGGAGATTCGCCAGGCCACAGGTATTATAACCGGGAAGGGTAGCTGAACGCTCTTATTCCAAGTTGATCGGACCACCGCGGTCGTGGTGGCCCTACGGGTTAACCTGCGGGGTGCGTCCGAATACGGATCGCGAGGTGGGGGGGAAATCGAACGAGATTATACGGATTCTTTTTTAGATACGCACACGCACGTGCTTACTGGGAATACATATAAAAAAAAAATTAGGAAACAAAATGCGGCGGGGGGGGTTGGCCTATTGCACGTAGGATGCGGAACGCGGGGATCGTTACAACGAGACGGACACACAAACCTAATAGACGCTGGTCGATCCCCGCAGGTATAACGGATGTGTTTAACATAACATATTATATCGTATACGAATTTGACATACGAGAGAAAAGAGAAAAAAAAACATTTTTAGATAAAAATATTTAAACGGAGGACCGCAACTAACTTNATCTAGCTCGAAGACGTCCGCCCAGCGGACCAGATCGGGACTCACTTCATTTGAGGTTCGTTTGAGGCGCCATCAGGAAACGTGCCAAGGTACGCGACCTTTCTCAATGGCAAAATATGCGAGCCCGTACAGTGCGGGAGTGTTTTAGCATAAGAACTGTGCCGGAAGACCGTCCGGCGACAAAGTCTCGCGACGACGCACAGGCACGAGAAGCGAAAGGAACGAACAAAATAAACCAAGTAGCGGAGCGCGGTGACGTTCGTGGCACACGACGCCGCGGGCCGACGTTTTCGGCGATAAGGGGAAACGTGATCTGATTGGCCGTTAACCCGTAGTCGGAGGAATATAATATTATCGTGAATTGCGAAAGATTGCGATTGCATAAACCTTTGCGCGGGGGGGTGGAGCGAATTGTTGTTCGTGATGACATAACGTATCCGTCGACGCGGGCGTAATCTGTTAACCGGTCGACCATATCGATTTTCGGTATGCTTGTCCTTTGATAACGGAAAATGGTCGTTTTTGGACGTTACAGGAGATCCAACGACAAAATCGTACAAGTTCTGATCTTAACGAAACTGACATAAAGTGTTTAAGGAAAAATATATACGAACATCGTCGAAAAACTCTCCAGTCAAATCCAACTACTATTCGAAATGTACACGAAGCTCTGGAAAGTACTGACATCATGAACTATTAACGGTGGGTCATATTCAATATTAAACGATTCGGAAAAACATATAATTTATATTTGCATGAGATTTATTTCACCATTTATATACTCTCCGCGATTTTTCACACAAATATTCATCGTCCATGCATTTAAAAATGGTCAATATATTCCTCTTAGTTTTGGCATATTGCCAAACAAATCATTGAAAACTTATACATTTACGTCTCGACATATTTTTAGTAAATTCAATTTGTTATTTTCTCAAAAATTTGTGACAGTCGAATTTGAGATATCAATGCACTAAGCTATAATAGAAGTATGGCCCAATTCAAAACTTATTGGCTGTAGATTTCATCATCTTACACTGTCTTGGTTTCGTCAAGTTCAAACTTTAGAATTAGTCAATGACTATAAAAACGATGATTTTGATATAGGAAATTGGATAAAATATACTTTTGGACTATTAATTTTGAACCCAGGAGATGTAGAAGATTGTTTTGTTGAACACATAATGTCGATTTGTTCCCGATGATGTAAGATTAAGATCATACTGTGATTATTTAACTGACACATTAGTGAAAAAAACATATTTACTCCTATTACTTGGACATCAGGAACTTCTGATATTATAAGAACGACAAATGCATGAGTCTTCCCATTTCTATTTCAACCAAAATTTGGGTGGGGAATGCCCACGATTCGTTATCATTTCTTATATTATAAGTCATAACTTACCAAACACAATTATTTATTCAGACATTTTCACCAAAAATCGGGATATTTACCATTTTTTTTTTTTTTTTATCAAGATACATTATCTGATTAAAATTTTTCTTTACAATTTAAAAATTTGATAAGATATTAAATGAACCATAAGTAACCCATTGTGTTTTCTAACAACCTTTAATAGTTTTAAGAAATTGGCTAAACATATTATTTTATACATTAAAAATAATTTAACAAAATTAAGATATTTAAATTCAATATTCACATTTTAGGATATTACTGTTTCATTATAACCTTTGAATGTAATACTTCACTTAGCTAAAAATATCAAAACTTTAATAATAACTCTATTTTCTGATATTTATTGATACTTGGTATGAAGTAGTTTTAAATCTAAATTTTAAAAATTTACTAAAATTAAATGATATAAAAATAGTAAAAAATTATGCTTAAACTTTATGTTATAATGTAGGTAACACAACTAAATGTTAAGTATAAATTTAAAAATATTTTATTTTTATCTCTTTGAAAATGTAATTTATTACAAAACTGTGTGTTTCTACGCTTATTACAAAAAAACATAATTTAATGTAAATTAATGTCCAATTAATATAATTTTTTCCCTTGGTACATAAAGCCTATTGAAGTTAGGTATTTTATAATGTTTTGATGTATTATATAATTATTAAAATGTTGTATACCGTTTTGTATACGTTACAAATCGGATGATCCCATTTTAGATTCAAAATAGAGTGAAGAAGCTTATGGTTTTAACAAAGATGTTTTTATTTTTTTTGTTCTGTGGACAACTTTTCTACCAGAGATCTTGCTCTGATTTTTATGTGTAGCATTTTTTCTGAAAGTAAATAAATGTGAAAAGATACTTTGGTGAGATCATTTTTCAATTTTCTCCAGAGTTTTTCCAGCAAATGTAAAAAACATGGGAAAATCAGTACACCTTTAAAAAAATATTATTAAAGAAAATATATAAAGCCCTTTTAATTATTCGACTATATTATGGTAAATATCAACTGAACTCTGCTCAGAATCGTTTTTTTTTTTTTTTTTTGTAAGCAATGATAAACCATTGTTTACATGTATACATTAAATTACCAATAACTGTGGCTGCACCCCTCCCCATTATCCTAGGCTATTTTATTTTTGTTTACGTTTCTGGCAATTGAATTAATTTTTATTATAGTTTTGGCTATAATTATAATGACTTTTCCATTAGTTACTGCATGCGTTAGTGGGTGAGCACTATGAAATTATGTACATTTGATGGAAACTTTCTGCTCCATTTGTGGTTCTAACGAAACAATTTTTTCAGTATTCCCAAATAAAATATATGATACAAATTAAAATATAAGTTACCTATGACTAATTGATGGTTCGCTTGCCCATAATTCAGGTGAAAATAGACAACCAGTTTCTATGTACTATTCAAGTAATCAGAAAATATACAGCCCTCACTTTCATTTGGACTCGTACTCTTGAGTTCTATAATTCCTTCTTCAACCTTTTCCAGTGGGAGAAACGGTAGTCCAAAAAATGATTTTAACCTAATGCCTAATTCGTTTCCATCTATCAAATATGAAGTTCTTAAAATATTATGTTTTTGTATTTTAATATCAAATTGATGTTATATACTGGGTGATAGGTTTTGCTTAAGACACTCATTTCATTGTCACCCATTTTATGTTTTTATTCTTAATTATAATATTATAATTATATTTTGGTATATTTTAATTAATTGTGTTTAAGATTATTATGATAAGATTATTACGGAGTGTGTTTTACCCAAATTCAATATGTAATAATATTATTTCATTACCTTACGCCACCATACCTGACCACCTAAATGGAATCTACATCACAATTATTGTTATTCCAGAAAATATAGTTTTCGCGGCTTCATGTGCAGCTTTTTCAAAATCTACATGTTATGTGTGAATATATAGTTTCATAGATAAATATTCTAAACATGTTCTTTTTAAAAATGTCCACATTTGAATGTAAGTTTCTAACACATTTATCAGAAAAAAAAAGTATACAAATGGTATACAAAAACATTTTTTATATTCGTGGACTTTATAAAAAGGTGTAAAAAATACTTAGGAGCATATTCAAATGTCTTATCTATAAATATATCATCACATTGTGTAAGTAAATTAATATTTGTTCTTATCTAAGTACAAATAAAGTTTTGATTTTCAGACTTTTCGTTTTGCATTTATCTTTTCAATGTATATGATACATAGTTTTTTGAATGGATTTAAAATAATTTATAAGGTACTTCAGAATCTGCTTTTAAAAACTCAGTTCTAAAAACGAACCTTAATCTTAAAACATAATAGCTAAAGCCAAGGTATGTGCTATCGCAAAGTGCTCTTATCTGTGCTAACTGGATAAATTCCTCTGCAGGGAGTCAATTTGACACAGAACGGCGCTAGTCCTGGGCAGTGGTATCTACTGGTGTCCTCTTGTTCCAGTAGTGTAGTTGGTATTGAAACTAACACGCACACGGGGAAGAGCAGTATAAATAATGACACAAAAAATCTCCTCTCCTGTAAAGGGTAAGGTTGGAAGGCCACAACCGAAACACTGCAATACCCGACCAGTGGCTGATACTTAAAACCAACTGTGGACCGCAATAGCGCTCGTTTACTGGACTTGCAGCACTCCCGGCTATCACATATAGATTGAAATGCTAAATAAACAATATAATAATATACTAACATGACATAATATTCATAATGAAATACGATACACAACACTTTTCAAAACTATATACAAATATAAAATGCCTTTAATGTTAACATGCGTTTACTTTATTTACGGAGCTCTTAAACTATTTTATGTAATTTGCTTGTCATAGATAAAGTAAAGCAATCTCCATCTTGAATATCTATGGTGCTTGCATTTATATTTTCCTTTAACCATAAAAACTATATAATTTTAGGTACATGATCGAAAATATTTTCTATTATTAAATTCTTCTGAAATTTAAAAAAAAAACCATTTACTACTAACATCATCTATCAAATGTTATAAAAATGAAAAAATATTCTTATTAATATAGCCCTTAATATTCTGTGTTCATCCCATAAACCTTCTACCATAGATAAAAGATAATACTACTTTTTGTATACCATGGCCATAGATGGTTATAAGTTACATCTAAACTAGTTGTATCTACCTAATCCGTGAACATCTTTAAATCATATAATATATGTATATCTTAGTCTGTAGTTTTTAGCAAGGTTTTAGGTCTATGGGTATCTATTGCGATTAAAGAAATTTTAAATTGTGGAATCTTTTCCAAAAAAAAAAAAAAAGGCATTAAACACATAAAATTACTTATACTATAATAAAATATGATTCAATGACCAAATTAATAATTCTAATTAAATAAATTAAATTATAATTATAGAAATTCATTAAAAGTAAATTATTGAATTTTTACAATGAAACTTAATGATAGGTACCTTATAATGCATAAACCGTATATTTTCCAATAGTCCCAATATTTATAGTTATATTTATTTGTACATGAGTATAACTAATTGTTTTAACCTAACAAGCCTTCTTAAATATTATAAAATAAATATTTTATAGAATTTGAAATAATGTGTAACAAACATGTACATACAAAACTATAATATTATTGTAATCATAAAATAATTTTTAATAAATTAAAATTTTTAACTGGAAAATTAAATATTTACTTGAATTAAAAATAATGTAAAATATTATTCTTATGGTATATAAAGATGTCAAAAATAAATTAAAATGAGTGGGTACTGTTTATCTTAGTATTGTTGCATAAATATATTAATTAAAATGATAATACACTTTTAGTTTTTATAAATCAATTNACTGTCCATATTATTAGCACTATCTATTATTTACAAATTATGTTAATAATATTAACTATAAATATCATTTCCTTTAAGAAACACAAGTTTTTCAAAATTAGCGTTCGATAAATTACCTCTATTTGGGGCATGAATAAATCCAACAAACAAAAACAATCTTCCGACTGAAGCTGATGATGGTAAACTTGTTTTGTATCTGGTGAATAATTTGTTTATAATAGGATAACTGTTTAAACATGTTAATGCCTTATTTTTAGTTAAAAAACTGAACTACTTCTAAATTAGCTCTAGATTAGAAATTAGAATCAAAACACTGTTCTTGAGAAGAAATTATTGAAAAGTCCTTATCGTCTATATTATCTACTGATGACTCAGTGTGAGAAGAATTCTTTATATATTTTTCAGCAGTGATGATTCAAAGATTTTTAATAATTTTATCGTGTTCAGGATCCATCTTAATTTAAATGTAGGATGAAAACAAAATGCCTAGCTTCATCAACTTCAGGGGAGAGATCAAAATATAGTTTGAATCGTTTTTCTAATGAGGTTATTAATGTATCGATAATGTTGAAAGTATAATGCAAATGTTGTTCCTTAAATAATTGCAATCGACTTTTTAACGAAAATAAAGTAGGAATTAAACGGCTATAGTAAAAATTTGATTCATTTTGTAGATGATCCAGAGCACAAGCAATTGGTTTAATTATTAAAACAAATTCAGTCAAATAACTTATGTCAGTTTCATTAAATTAATACTTTAAACCCAATTCTTTAGTCAAAGTGTTTAATTTTGCTTTATGTTTAATTAATTGTGATATGAAATCATATAATGAATTCCATCTTGTAATAACAGGGTATTTTAAAGGACAATTAATTATATTACTAATAATTTCTGATGATTTTGGTCTTTGTGACAAATTCCATAGGTCGAACATTTTGATAATGCTGGTTGATTTTTTGACATTTGAATTCTTTAATATATTCTGTAAATATGTTGTCGCTAATAGAGTAAGTGTATGTGATGCACAACGTAAATGTTGGGGTAGGTAACACTGGTAGTAGGACGTCTCCATCTTCATTTCTATCAATCATCAAAAATAATAATTCATCGCCTTCGTTAAGATCTTTGTCCATATCTAAATATATTGACCCATTATAAAATCAATCATTATAAAATAATTTTTTTTTAATATATACCTTTGTCAAAGTCTGTGTCTGAAGTCTTTATTTTACAACCAAACTCATTGAATGATTTTACAAAGTTGCACCCATTATCCGTTACTGTAGAAACTATGTTATCATTACTTAAATGAAATTTTCTAAATATATCACCATAATTTCTCCAATTTTATCAAATGTATGTGCACCAAAAAAAAAATCATTGGAAAGCTAGAACACAACTATGACGGCCTAATGTTTTGTCATCAATCTGAAAATATGAAAGCCTATAATAGCTGCTATAGGCTATAAGATAATCAAATTAACCCAATGAGCTGTAATGCCTATAAAACTGTGACGTTTTGTCGGCCAAATGTCAACAGTTGTACAAACGTGGACTTCAAGAATGTGTTTGGAAAAATAATTTAAAACTATTTGAAACATTGTTATATTTGTCATTTACCAACTATTCTCCTAGATATAATTTTTATATTTGGATCTAAATCTAAATAAATATATTGTTTGAAATTGGATTAAACACAATTTGTGTATTTTATAAATTATCTTAAATAGGTACCTACCCGAAATAAGTTATCGAAAATCTTTATTTTCAGTTATGTATAGGGGTTTCATATTGTTAACAATAAAATTAACCTAATTATTTTTATATTGGGTTTGCTTCAATCCTCCCCTGTTAGATGAGAATAACTTGTTTAGTTTTAATTGTTTAGAATTTGTCATACTTCTATTGTTTTTCTTTTGAGTATTCATCTTCACATAATTTTCAAATTCTTCAAATTTAGTAAAACGAACCCTCTGAAAAATAGAAAATTAAATCATAATTCCACGCCCTTTTAATTAATAATGCATATTGTATTAACTACAACAATTAAAACTTGCCTTTATATGAGTAAGAAAATTAGAAGTGTGTTTAAAAGAACCAGATATTGTTTTTTTTTTTTTTTTTTTCATTCTTCTGTTCCTTACATATCATACATATTGCTTTCACAATTTCGTTCTTAACAATTACAATTTCAAAAAGTTTTCCATTTAATATAGCTGGTGTTTTATGCATATTTAACACAAAAAAAAAAAAAAAAAAACGCGTCAAAACTCGAAAAAATACCGACACTATAGCACAAAAGCATAACCTTGACTGATACGCAATTAAGTTCGGTTAAACTAAAACCAGTAATGCCATCCACGATTGTTCAGAGTGCCTACAAATTTCCAATTTTATTATTATAACGTTTATTGAAATTGTGATTATCTTTACACGATTAGATTGGGAAATGTCGAAATGCATACGTCGCATTGCATACTAAATCATATCTACGGTTTTCCCAGGCTTCTATGTGCTTGACGGAATTCTAAATATTGTTTACACCGATACAATTTGATTTCCACGATGATCGTATTATCATTGTTATTTTATTATATTGTTTGCTGCGGCGCCGCTGCGGCGCGATAAGAACCCGCGGCAAAACTTGCGCGCACATGAACGCGCGCGCGTCACCGCTAGTACGTGTGCTAGTACGCCTATAGATTGCGGTGCCGCGCGTGAAAAAAACGCATGTGCGCGCCGGGCCTTATACTTACGGTAATATAATTATCAAGTTTCCAGAGCGAGTAATTGAATGTTTAAACAATTTATTTTCTAAGACTTATGATGATATTGGCATTTTAAAGATAGTAGGTATCTATCTAAATAAACAAAAATTATAAAATACATCGTATTTGATTAGCTTTCACGGTCATTGATGAAAATATTCAAGTCTCGCGTGTAACTTTGATATATGTAACTGATTACTGCCCATCCCTGCGTATAAATTTCCCCTTAAAAATAATATCGGTATTAAATAAAGAAATTAGTTATTGATACTGGTTCAACATTTTTATTATGCCGGTTTAATCCCCTTCTTTCTTAATGTCCCCATTGTGATCATTACCCTGTTTTATATTCTTATCAAATTATTATAACATAACCTATCATAACATTTATGATTGAATTATTTTCTACGCTATTTTTTCTTTATATTGAAGTTTTTGAATAGTGAACAATAAAGATGGAAAATTCAAGTGACTAAACCGAAGTCGTGTGTACGGTATGATAACAAAGAAGTATGAACCCTATTTAACTCATGTCTTTTAACACGCCAATAAATGTACCGTTAATGTCCAGGACCCTATCAGGTGGCGCGCTCTATTGGTCGGATTTTGTAGTTGATAATAAAAGAGTAAAAGCTATAATTTGGAATAAAAATATAATTATGTAGATTAAGGCCCACTTTATAAGGCTACAAAACAAGTAGTAATATAATCACATTAATCACAGAATAATACTATAATAATTATCAATACGTGAAGAGAAAACAATAAGAACTTTCCAACAAATTACTAATAATATATATAACAGCAATTAATAGATTTAATAAATAATTAATTTGAGAAAATTAACTTTTAACCAATAGATTTGCTCCGATTTATAATGATAGCGCTTTTTCTGAAATTAAATCTGAATGGGAATGTACTTTAGAGAGGTCATTTTACGATTTTCCCAAAAGTTTTCCCAACAAATGTTAAAAACCTGGGTAAAAATAGGTAAATCGGTACAGTATTAAACAAATATTATTAAAGAAAATATATAATGCCTATTTAATTATTTCACCATAATATGACATATATATTGTTGACAAAGTATCACTATTAACTGAACTCCGTTCAGAATCGATTTTTCGTTATCGGTGGTTTATCGTTGCTTACAGATATACACCTTTATTTGTTTTTTTCAATTCAAGCACTATATAATAAACAGCATTATACAGATTACTGAGTTATTTATAACATTTCATGGTGATTAAATATCACTAATATTCATAAATAAGGTATAAATACAGTTTAGTACCAATACCAATCATTAACGCAAAGAGCATAAGATATGAAATGATATATTTAAAAACACCTAAAAAATACTATTTGGCCCACGCTTTGTGCGAGAACTCTTTTCTCATTCCGTTAACTGTTTTTTCAAAATCCACCAACTGTTCGCGGTTGAGTTTGAATATCGCCATCAATTTTTCTTTTAAATCTTCATTTTCTTGTTTTAACATGTCTTGTCTAAACATTAAAATTACTTTTAATTATTAAAGGGATATGTAAACATTATATTATATTCAAATTTTATTTTACTGTGGAATATCTCGTCTTCTTTTTATTTCATTTGAAAGTTTTGTTTCAAGGTGCCTCTTTAAAATACATTAAAAACATATTATTTTCCTAACCATATTATTTTTAACTATTATATATTATGTATATTTTGCTAAAATTACTCGCAATTTTACATTTTCCACAACGTATGGTATGAACTGTGCATGCATTTTGTCTAATAATATGTAGAGCATACCAACTTCCTTTTCTTTCATTTCCTTTTTGATTAACAGAATTCAAAAATATCGTATGTATATATATACATTAATAATTTTCAGTTATAAATATGTAGTAACAGGTTCTTTTTCAATTATCCCCCTCCCCTGAATGTAATAATTTATTTCGTGTTTCGTTTGAAAAAAAAAGCTAAAATATGTAAAATAACTGTATTGTTAATCATTCTCGACGTTCGATCACTGATCACAAAAAATCTGAAATGTTCTTAAATTTTTTTGTAAAATCAGCGTTGGATAGATTACAATTTAACAGAAAAAATTACAACAGTTAAACACGTACTACAGACGTGTCATACATAGTTGATTGACATGGTACTATGCTAATTTTTACTAAGGGGGACAAAAATAAAAAGAAACCATTATTACTTATTATGATTTATTACCTTTAGAAATTTTGAGTGGTCCAACATAATCGCATGGTCTCTAAAAAAAAAAAAATGATTGAATTTAAAAATGGGTTTATAAATTTATTATCTGCGCCATTTTGATTTAAATTTCTAAATCATATTAATATCTTTTATATACTACCTACTTACCACGTCTAGAAAAGGTAACTATGAGTTTTCTGTCCAAATTATAAATCCATATAGTTGATACGAATGATTTTAACTGAATCTCAACAAAAATATTACAATTTGTACAAAAAGCCTAAAATTGGCTCAAATATTTTGCAAATTTTACCTCGTTTAGAAAATGTATAAATAAGTTTTCTGTCTAAATTTCAAGTCTCTACGAATATGTTTAAATAAATAATAATAAATAACGAAATTGAAAAACCCTGGTTTTTTTCAGATATTATAAAAACTGCTTGGAAAATCAAAAAATGACCTCCCAAAAGTACCATGATGATGTATGATCATGTATGATATTCTATCATTCTCTTTCAGAAATGGCACCACGCGTATATCTGAGCAAGATTTCTAGTAGAATTTTTGTACACAGGATAAAAATATCTTACTAAAACCAATATATTCTTCGCTACACTCAGGATCTAAAATATTTTATTTTAAATTAAATATCCTTTAAATATTCATAAGTAGTATCATATTTTTATTACTACTAAAATAATTCAATATAAATTCATACGAAAGTGGCAAAACTGTTTTAAACCGACATTCTAAAATGTTTTTAATACAAATTACAATCATATCGATACCAGTAAATGGTGTGTCAATGATATATCATGAACAATAATTAGTAGGTAAGTATGTATAGAAAGTACATATTGTACTATCTAATAGATAACAAAAGATAAAATACAATTTGTGTAACGTAAAACTGTATAAGTAATGAATTACTTATACTCAGTAAAGAAATGTAATAATATACTCACTCTACTCACCGCGCCCTCGCTCATTATTTCTACCCTCCATTATAACCATAATAATATGTTACGTGATTTGACGACTTTTTACAATCGCGTTGCCGTTACATACCATATTCACAAATGTACAAAAAAAAGTATTGGCGTAAGTACAAATCAATCTCGATAAGACCAAGAATAAAAGAAAATAATTACATTTTCTATTTTTTACTTTCCTCCAGCACGCTCATAGCAAAATCGATTTTTCTCGTATTTTGGGGGGGGGCGGGGGGTTTACAAAATTATATTTTACTTTTACACAATTTTACAATAAAAGTACATATTACTGTGTAGGTTTGATATTAAAATTCGATAGTGGCAGTGCTGGAGAAACGGAGCTGCGTAAAACCTTATTTATTATGACTTTTTGTTATTATTTTAAGCACTATATTATAATGTTTTACTAACTTGTGTATATGGCGAGACTGGTATGTACTAGTTGTACTATGTAGATATGTGAAAGATAGGAAAGACGGTGTCGTACCTATATCTCATCCAGTGGTCAGTTGAGAAATAGCATTACATTATCAAGGTAAAAAAGACCTCACCCTCGAAACATCCAGTACTCGTTAACGTGGTCAGTTATTTCGAGAGTAAAACAGCCTCAGAGTAATTAGGAGTAATTCCTGAGGGTTCTAAAGTCAACCATCATTTGCGCAGTACTTGTTGTAAGGGAAAATAATGTAGGGGAATAATTTAGAATTCAGGTAGATGTGAGTTGTGTCATAGTGAGATATAAGCTGTATGTACGCACACACCCACTAAAATTCATTTACATACGCACTCGTTGACTACCCGGACGTATCTGCCACATAAGTTGCCTAATTCTCACTCCTTAGAAAATGACCGACTAGAATCACCATTTTAATGGGGCTCGAGCGTGATCGATTCTAAGGAGTAAGGAATGAAGAAACTTTTATGACAGTTACAAACGGGTCGTGTCAGAGTGGTGTGAGAAGTAAATGAACATTGGTGTGAGTGCGGTCGACGGTACCGTCGAGTTTCGTATCGTTATCAAAGTTATTTTTGTGTTTATTAATACGATAAATATCATAATGATTATAATTTATTTTTAAAGTTATATGAATATAATAATAATAGTAATCAGTTTATTACTATTTATTTTTAATTTGTCATTATTTCTTCTTTTATCAAGTTGTAAGACTATAGTTTAAATATTGTAATTTAATCAACGGTAAGACTTTAGATTTTGAGTGGAGCGAAGAAGCTTATGGTTTTACAAAGATGTTTATTTTTTTTTTCTGTGTTCAACTTTTCTACTAGAAGACTTGCTCGGATTTCTACGAGTAGCACTTTTTCTGAAAAGAAATCGGTGTAGGGGGGGTCATTTTTCAATTTTCTCAAGAGTTTTCTCAAAAAATGTGAAAACCGAGAAAAACGTAGGAAAATTGGAAAAATCAGTACAACATGAAACAAATATTATTAAAGAAAATATATAAAACCTATTTAATTATTTTACTATAAAATATCATATATATTGTTGTCAAAGCATCACTATCAACTGAACTCCGCTCAGAATCGTTTTTTCGTTAACAATGGTTTATTGTTCCTTACAGGTATACATCAAATTACCTATAACAGTGGCTGCATCCGTCCTCATTATCCTAGGATATCATTTTTATTTTCTTAACTCCAATGTTTAAGTGTAGCACCTTTTCTGAAAGGAAATCGGAGTGGGGTTGTACTTTAGAAAGGTCATTTTTTTTATATTTTCTCAGTAGTTTTAGTTAAAAATAATTATTTATAATTATTAACTAATATTTTATATTAATTCATCTTTTTTAACAGAAAGTCGCCATTTTTTCATTTCATAAAATATCATCTCTTCATATTTTCGAATAAAAATCCTATAAAATAATAAATTCAAAATGACTAAAATAAATATACAAATGTGATTCGGTATTTGAACGGAAATTTAAAAAAAAAATATCATAATTTTGCGGTCTCCAAAACTGAGAATCGAAAATCGACTTCCTAGGAAACTTAGAATATTTGTTAACCAATGCATAGATACTTTAAATATTTAAATCGGACATCGGAAAGTATGTCTAATTTCCCATCGCTTATTGATCTAAAACGTACAAAAACTAAGTGAGCTCCAGCCCTTTTAACTTCCTCCTTGGAATATTATGTATATTATATTTTAGATTATGTTTATTATTACTATATATATTTGTTTTTAAATTATGCCTTTTATTTAAAAATAATTAATAAAAAGTCAATAAGTAGGTACCTAATACTATATTTAGTACTATATTATAAAATAAATTATAAATAATATTATTTTCATTCCGAAGTGAGTCCCTCAATGGAAAAATTTCGGATCAATCATTTCAGGCAGTAGGAAATAATGGTAGAAGTTAATTAATTGTTGTAACATTTCTGTTTTCAAAAACTGTCGTCTCTTAATTTTTTCATGTATATCCTCATGGTGTCCAAATACAAAAATAACAAAATAATCTATTTAAAATGTGTAGTTGACTTTGCTCTTGGTAATAATACTAATTCTAATTAAAGTTTGGTGAACAAATTAAACATGTTTGTTTTGAAATGCCGTATTTTTTATGATTTCCATTAAAAATTTAATTGCTTGTAAAAAACTTCATTTCGCTCAAATTTTTTTTTTTTTTGAATACTAAGTACAACTATCGATAAACCTCGTCTTTGTATAAAATTGTATAAATGTATAAACATTTCATCCACATAAAATCAATAAAAAAATTAATATAAAAAAAATAATCTCCCCGTGTACAAAGTAAATCCACAATGCTTTCAAAAATATACTACATTTTAAAATTGAATCAATATTTCTCGTAAAAAAATTAACTCTAAAAATGGACATATCTACACAGTAATAGTATTATATTTAGAATCTAGAACCAGTTTCACAAAATACACAAGTTGGTGAAATATAAAAATAAATTATGTCGAAAATAATAACAAAAATTCGTGATAAATGAGGTTTTACGCCATATCATTGCCACGATATTTTGATGTTTATTTACCTTTGATATTTTCCAGGTTTTCCCATGTTTTCCCATGTTTCCCCTATTTATTGAGAAAACTGAGAAAATCAAAAACTGACTTTCTTAATGTTCCTTCTCGGTCTGATTTTCTTTCAGAAAAAGTGCTATTATTGTAATTCGGATCAAAATTGCTGGTAAAAAAGTTATCAACAGATAAAAAGTAAACATCATTGTAAAACCAATACATTCCTCGCTCCACTCAGAATCTAAAAATGAATTGACTAAAATTGTTTTTTGTTAAAAGTTGTTTTTGTTGACTTTTTTCTGTTCCATAATTAATAAATCAGCAAATGAAACCGAAACGTTTGATAAATAAATCGTCAAGAACTACAAAATATTCATACCTATACAATGTATTATTGCATGCACGTCATATTGTGTTGTAAATGAGTAAAGTATAATATTTTATTACTATTGCAGGTACTTCCGGGGAATCGAGATAATCAAAACAATAGTTTAAATATAGTCAAATAGGTGGTTATTTTACATTTTGTTATCATATTACACAGATATCTTTTATTATATCTATGATAATTTATTACAATGATAATTATTTGTTCGGATATAATGCAACACAATGTAAATGTCTAATAGACCAATAATCCAGGCAAATTTGCGAGGCTTGGGATGAACGGATTTTAATTTTGAAAACAGATTTGATTTTGTATTTTAATTTTCTAGGTTTCGATCGAGGCGATTTTTGTTATTCAACTTTATCGTTGAAATATTGATAGTTTAAAAAAATATGAATTTCCATTATTTGTATACCGAACACTTTCAATTTTTCTTATATCACAAATCGTCTCGATCGAAACATAGAAAATTATAATACAAAATCAAATCTGTTTTCAAAATTAAAATCCGTTCATACCAAGCCTCACAATTGTGTCCGTCTTATAGATCGTATTACGTGTTTTTTTCGACCTGCTCCAGCCACCATCTATTTATGAGATTTCGAATATGGGTTCTCATTTGAATTTCAAATGTTAACCCTCCCCCCTCCCCTTGAACACAAAATTCTCTGTATAATACATTATACTGAATTAGGGATGGACTTGGTTCTAGTTCTTGGTTCCATTGGAGGAGCCGAAGGAACTAATAATTATCGGTTCTAGTATGATTATTATTTATTGGTTTCGGTTTCGGTTTTTTTTTTTTTTTGTTTGCTTTATTTGCTTTTAGATTCCGAGCGTAGCGAGGAACCTATTGGTTTTATTAAGATGTTAATTTTTTTTTTCTTTGTTCTAGTCTGTTAATACGTATTTTCCTAGTAAACTTGCTCCGATTTTTACGTGTAACAACTTTTCTGAAAGATTTTCGATGTCATTTTTTAAATAAAAACACTTAAATGAGTAAAAAAAAACAGGAAAACGTACAATTTCACGATTTCATTATTTTATAAAAACACGGACCAGAAAAAATGATTTAATCGAAAAATCACAAGACACCTTTTTTGTTGTTTTTTGGTTTACTTTCTTACGGTATCATAGCCAAAACTTTTGAGCTTTTAAGGATTTTAATTTTTGGTTGTATTTTTTATATAATTCAGTTATAAATACACGTATAGACTTGAAAATCATCAGATGACATTTTTTCTTTTTTTAATAAGCGTTTTGAAATCAAATTTAAACGAAAACCGCAAAAAAAAATTACGGCACTTATGTATAACTGAACTGCGCTCGAAATCGTCTTTCGTCAATCAATGGTTTATCATTGCTTACAGATATAAATGAAATAACCTTATGTATCGTACCTTTCCAACTTGTCACTTACAACAATGACCGCTCCCCAGTATCAACTCTTTTTTTTTATTATTTATTTCAGTAAATATCTGTTTTTATTACTTTGATGATACTGATAACTGAGAATCGTTAAAATGATTTGTATGATTTTTTTTTAATGAATAAGCGCACGTTTATATTTTTGGTTCGTTGTGTACGTCTTTAAAATTTGTATTTTTGTTCCTTTTAAATTTTATACTTAAGGTGGGTAAAAAAATGGTTGCATCCGAAAACCGCACACATATGGCTTCCATCCCAAAAAGGTCGGTAGACAAAAACCGCACACTTCAACGGTTGACAGGTAAGTACATTGTATAGCCAAATACCGCACACTTATAGTAGGGTAAAAATGTATGCTAATTATAAAATATAAAATTATATAATATGTTGTTAGATGAACATATTGTCCGTCCAATTGAAAAACAAAAACGAGTTAGTTAATTGGCACATTTTAATATTAGTAATACATCATTTTTTATTATATTGTGTATAATTTTAGGAACACTTGTTTAAATGTTGAAAAGAATTTTCGAAGGACGGAGATCGTTTAAAATTTCTAAAAAAAACAACGGCTATCGATTTCTATCAATAATTATATAAAAATTTCTTAATCTTAATTAATATTTTACAATAATAATTAAGATACATTTATAATATTTGATTTATTTTTATATTTTTAGATTAACTATTAATAAATAATAGATGCATACATGTAAATACATTATTATACAATGTGCGATTTTTGAATATAAAAATGTAAAAGAGTTTAACCTACACATTTAGTACAACTGTACCCGCCAAAAGTGTGCGGTTTTGTCATGTATTTTATCGCAAGTTTAACCGCACGGTTTTCAGACTTATCGAAAATAAAATAATCCATCGGTATACTCGGTATCGGTTACCTAAAGAAGAATTTTTAGAACCGGGCCAGAACCGGTACCGATGTTTTTCAGGGACCAGCTCATCCCTATACTGAATGCTTATCTAACGGATATAGTTTAATAATTTATAGATAAGTACTTACGGCCATTCTAACTCAGATTTTAGAATTGATATTTGAGAACTTAAATCACCCAAAGCAAGTTCTTTTTGTATTATTACGGAATCTTTTTCTTCTAGTTTTGATTGAAGTTCTTTAGAAAATTTTTGTTGATTATTCTCTGTAATTTTAAGCTTCGCTTTTTCCGTTTTCAATTCGTGCCTTAACTTCGCAATCGTTTGATTCTGTGCTTTTTCAAGCTCATCACTCTCACTCTGTAACATTTAAACAATAAATCAAATTAAAATTATATTTAAGTCGTCTTGGTGTTACTCTGAGTTTGTCGTATTTTTGCTGCAAATCGTCTTTTTGACCTATCACCGTCATAATTTCGTTTTCGAAAACCTTAATGCGTGTTTTCGCTTTTTTCAATTCATTCTTTAACGTTTCCATTTCGTCCTTTAACATTTGATTTTCGTCCTTTAACTTAATATTCGCCATCACCACAGGCTAGGTTCAAGTAAAAATGCCCGTAAAAAAATTATAAAAAAAATAATGTAACGTTGAAATAACTGAAAGAATTAATATTTATTTACTTCCATGATGTATGCAAAATTGTTTGCTCTTCTTCCTAATTCGAATTACAAAAACGAGTTATACTTCACAACGGAACGTCAAATATAATATATCGTCATAATACAACTAATATTCATTTGTTTGTTTCGATTTTAATTAATGTAATATGACCATATGATATGACAACGAAACTATAACTATTAACTATAACTATAACTGTTTATGATATGCGACCAGTATAATATAATTGTAATACGAATCGATTATTAATTGATTTTAGACTTTTTCCATAACAACTAAACGCAGACTCTGCGATTTTCCCTGACCGTGGACTCGATGAAAATAGACATTTTAATAGTTATTCGATAAAATAATAAAGTGAAAACAAAAATCATTAAAACGGTTAACGTTCGTAAAGAAATAAAGTAAATAAATATATAAACAATAGAAAGAAAAAAGAAAAAAAACGTATACACAAAAATGAAATAAATAAACGAATCGATGCGTCGCCAGGAGTAACGTGTGATGACGAGTGTACGGTGCGGCCATACGGTTTCGAATTGAAAATCCGTCAACGGGCTTCACGCGCGCGGTCGCTGATACGTCTGCCCGTAACCGTAACCGTAACCGTGACGCCGACCGCACCATTCCTCCAGATTTTTTATGAGGGTCTTTGTCCATGCTCCTTCTTCTGCCTCTTCCACGTGGCGTCTCCATTCCTCCATGGTCCTCCTTCGGATGGCCGCCGTTTCTTCTTTAGTAAGCTTGCGCCCGACCTGACGCCTGATCTCGTACGCTAATTCTCGTTCCTCTGCCAGCAGGTGGGCGGGAGGCATGCCGGCCAGGACGCTCGAGGCCGCGTGACTTATTGTCCGATACCCGCAGATGCTCCTGATCGCCACCCTCCTCTGCACGCTCGTTAGCGCCACTCTGTTAGGGGGGACGTACTGAAGCGTGTTGCCCCATACAGGCGCACCGTAGAGCAGCACCGAGTGGGCAACGCTGCACAGGAGCCGTCTGCGGGCCTGCTTGGGGCCGCCCAGGTTGGGCATGAGTCTAGACAAGGCCGCCATGATCTTCTGGGCCTTCGCTGCCGCGTGCTTGATGTGATCCCGGTATGAGAGAGAGCGGTCGATTGTTAGACCAAGGTATCTCATGTTCTCCCTCACCGGAGTCCTCACGTCGTTGACCTTAAGGACGGGCTCCGCGTATTTATAACGATTCGTGAAGAGCACCGCCTCCGTTTTGTCCGCTGCCAGACTCAGCCCGGCCCGTGCGACCCACCTTGCCACTGTCTCGAGCGCCCCGTTGGCCCTGCTTTCCAGCTCACCAATACTATCCGCTTCCGCCACTATGAGAGTGTCGTCGGCGAAGCAGATGGTGGTCGTGCCCGGCGGGGTCCGTACCCGCAGCAGCCCGTCAAACATGATGTTCCACAAAAGAGGGCCCAGGACTGACCCCTGCGGGACTCCACTCGTCACCTCCCTCCGGATGACGCCCGCCGCCGGTGTCCCGATGATAATACACCTCTCGCTCAGGTACGACCGGACCATCCTTCGTAGATAGGGCGGTGTTTCTAGGGCGTCCAGAGCATCGAGGATCTTCACCCAGCTGGCGCTGTTGAAGGCGTTCCTGATGTCCAGGCCGACCGCCAAGCCGTAGCCTTGCCGGTTGCACGCTGGCAGCACCGCGCTCTCTAACCTCTTCACGGCGTCTTCCGTTGACCTTCCCTTCCGGAACCCGAACTGCCCATCCGAGATGCCGCCCACTTCGGTCAGGTGGTCCTGGAGTCTGGTTACCAGAAGCGCCTCCAGCATCTTGCCGATGTCGTTCAGAAGGCAGAGCGGTCTATAGGACGACGGGACTCCCTCCGGCTTGTCTCCTTTCCGTACCAGAGCGAGGCGGCCTCGTTTCCACAGCGCCGGAAATGTGCCCGCTCTGAGGAGTTTGTTGAAAACCCCGGGCAGAAGGGTCGGGCGGACGGCGTGAACCACTCCCCATATCCGGCTCGGGATGTTGTCCGGGCCTGGCGCCTTGTTTCTCGCCTTGAATTTGTTGACGACGGCGGTCACTTCCTCCGCGCTGAAGTTCTGGACCTCCACGTCTCCGAAAGGGTTGCCCCTGATCAGCGGCGGGTGCTCCGGGAAGAGACCGTCTACCACTTCGGACAGCGTGTCCGGCTCCATCCTATTGGGCGCTGGGGGGCCCTGCAATCTCCTCATTACTATTTTGTAGGGCTTGCCCCAGGGGTCACCGTCCACGGACTTCACCAGATCCGCCCAGCACTTTTCCTTGTGCCTCCTGATGGCGCTGTTCAGGGTCTTCCTGGCCTCCTTGTATAGCACGGCTTCAGCTTCCCCTTGTCCCCGCCGACGGGCGCGGGTGAACGCTCGCCTGGACCTCACGCATGCGGCTCTGACCTCCGCTATCTCCTGGTTCCACCACGGGACGGGTCTCCTTGACGATGATGTTTTTGGCTTCGGTTTGAGGGCCAGGTCACAGGCCAGCGTCACCCCCCTCTCTAGTTCTTCCGCGATTTCTTCTGGCCCGAGGTGCTCCGCGTCGAGCGGTGCGGTCCATTCGGCTAGCATCAGCCCCACCGCGATCCATTCGGGGTCGACGTTTCCGACTGCCCACCCACCGCTGTTTGCTGGGTAGCGCGTGCTGCGACCCCTCCGGTCCTGCAGCCGGAACTCGATATAGCGGTGGTCACTCAGGTTTTCTTCCTGGAGGACGCGCCATCCATCCAACCTCCCAAGGAGCGCGTGCGACGAGAAGGTGACGTCGACTATCGACCCGGCGCCCCTCCCCGTGAAGGTGCGGCCGTCCCCGACGTTCGCTACCTCCAAGCCGAGTCCGTCCGCGAAAGCCGCCAGCTCCTCTCCTCTGGGGTCCGTAGTTGAGTCGCGCCAGGCTGCTGATCTGGCATTAAAGTCCCCAGCGACGATGACGTCCCCTGCCTTCCGTCGTACGCTCGACTCAAGCCTGTCGAGTAGGGCCCGGAATTCGGCTAGGGGCATATTGGGTGAGGCGTAGCAGCTGTATACCGTCACTCCGTTGACCCTGGCCGCGACGTATCCGACGCTCCGCTCGACGTCGCACACCGTGAGGTCACCGTTGAACACGCCCAGGGCAGCTCTCCCCGTCCGGTCCAGCGTCCAGCGGGCGTTCTCTGCAATGGACCTCTCGTACGGCTCGCTGATGATCGCGACGTCCGTCGCCTTCTCAACCACCGCCTGGCACGGTAGGTCTTGGGCGCCGCGGCAGTGGTTGAGATTAGACTGAAGGAAGCGAATCATTGCGAGGCTTCCTCCTCAATGACCGCAACCGGTCCTGCTCCGCTGGCGTTGCCGTTGGTTCTTGGTCNTGAACACGCCCAGGGCAGCTCTCCCCGTCCGGTCCAGCGTCCAGCGGGCGTTCTCTGCAATGGACCTCTCGTACGGCTCGCTGATGATCGCGACGTCCGTCGCCTTCTCAACCACCGCCTGGCACAGTAGGTCTTGGGCGCCGCGGCAGTGGTTGAGATTAGACTGAAGGAAGCGAATCATTGCGAGGCTTCCTCCTCAATGACCGCGACCGGTCCTGCTCCACTGGCGTTGCCGTTGGTTCTTGGTCGGTCGACAGGGGGTCGGCCGGGACAATCCTTGATTAGATGGCCACTTCTCCTGCACCGGTAGCACTGCTTCGCGGCTTCAGGCTCTGCACACTCCGCCTTGAAGTGCCCCGGCTTCTGGCATCTGTGGCATAGTGGCTTCCTTCGTTCAAGCAACCTGACTCGGCACAAGCTCCAGCCGATCTTGACCTTGCCCACTTCCGCCAGTCTGCTCGCCACGTCCATGGGTACGTCAAGTAGGGCCACCTTGCCTCCCCCAACGTTCTCCTGAATTCTAACTGACACGCCGGCCACGCCCGGATCCGTAGCCCTGATGTGGTCCTCCACCTCGCCGTCCTCCATCCAGTCCGGGACGTTGGCGATCAGCACCGGAGTCGTTCTGACGGGACGGCCGATCTTCGCCATCTCGCCCACCGCGCTTTGGAGCCGCCCTGACAGCTTTTCGGCCTCCTCCGCTGTCTTCACCTGTAGGAGGAAGCCGCCCGCTCTGGTTCTGCGGACCGTGCCGACCTCGACACCGATTTCGTTGAGCTTCACGCTCGCCATGACGGTCTTCATTATGGCCGCGTACGTGACACCGGCCCCGGGCTCCGAGATGGTAACAGCCTGCGTCTTAGGGGTCCTCCTCTTCACCAAAGCTTCGGCCACCTCCTCGCGACCGCGTGGCAGCTGCGCTTTAGGCCGCCCAGCCTGGACAGGTTGGTCTCGAGTCGTCCTTCTCGGCCTTCTTCTACGCCCCGCTGATGTCCAGCCGGTGTCCTCTGGCCCGGGCGGCCCACCGCCCATCGGTTGTGATTGGCTTTTGCCGTCCGGTTGCGAGCCGGGGCTCTTCGGATCGTACGCACTACCCTTGCGGAGCCCGGGATCCCGCCTGACGTTCTCCCGCGATCCTTTCGCTCCATCGCCGTTTGCTGAGGCGACGGCTGTGTCGATAGCGCAGGGAAGCGGTTGGCGCTTCCTGGTGTTCAGCGACGCGCGCAGCTCGCCGACCTCCCTTCTTAAGGCCCCAATTTCTTCGGCCAGGGCAACTGGCGGCGCGTTAGCCTCATTTCCCTGGTGCGTCCACAGCTTGCTTTGCTCAACCCTTATGTCTCTAAGGGCCGCCAACATGTCCTGCTGCTGTTGGTAGAGCAGTTGTTGGTCACTGCGTATTCGGCTTTCAGCTTCTTCCACCGTCCTGATGAGTCCGAGCGCTTTGGCAGACTTGTGCAGCTCGCGCAGGGTGGCACCGAGCGTTCTTGTGCCGGCCTTTACATCCACTTTGGTGTGAGGTGCCCCTTGTACAGCTAACTCTAGCGCCTCCATGCGGCGCATGGAATCTTCCATCAGCCTTGTGTATGTGGCTTCCGCCTGGGTCCTCGTTGTGTCCGGATCCGTATCTTCAGATGTCCTTAGCGTAGCCGTTGCAGTCGCGTCAGTGGCTTTCCGGCCACTGGGGAGGGCCTGCTTTCCCCCCCCCCCCCGGCAGTTGCTCTTCCAGCACCGATGCTGGCGGCAGGAGCCTGCCTAGGCACTCCTGCACCTTTGACGAATGACGGTGATGTCGACACCTGAGGCGTTCGTCGTCCCTCAGCCGCCGGCTCTGGGGTTTCCGTGGCCCCTGTAGCAGTAACGTTTGCTTTTGACTGGTGTGCTTCCATGTTGATTTTTGGAATGGGTTTCTCCACTGCATTTTTACCCTACTGCCAGGGGGTTTTTTGAGATTTTCCTTTCTCTGTTTGTGTGCTGTCCGCGACTGCTTATTCGTCGAGTTCCGTACTGGCTTATTTCGCAGCTAACCATCATATCTGATGGCCGTTCCCCTATCCGCAACCTGGGGACGCGCCCGGTAGCCGGACGTGCCGTTCTGTGACCAGTTTGGCCGCGGCTGCCGCTCCGCCGGTGCGAGACCGACGATGCAGTGTCCGAGAACCTAACCTAACCTAACCTAACCTAACCTACCCGCCCCCGGTATCGGTATCCGCATCCGTTTTGTTCGGCGTAGTAACGCCCATTTCATGTCGCCGCCGCCGCGACATGACACCGCATTTCCTCCGCCGTTTACGCGTATTCAATCAGATATTCGACTTTACGACCATACAACTTCTTGTGTAATACTCGTGAAACGACCGAGCTTCCGGCAAAATCGTAGTGGCCGGGTCCGTACGGTAGTAATAACATCTTTCTCATCTACATCAGATGAGTTTGAAGATACGTTATTTGAAATTCTTATTAATCTGCCAAGGCTGAGACTATTTAAAGATCGGTCAAATTCCCTCGAAGATTATGATGATTTGTCATTTTTAAACAGAAACAAAAAATAAATAAATAAGAATAACACACCTAAGAATGTACAATATAAGAATAAAAGAATACAAGAATGTATAAGTACCTATAATATAATAACTTGATATTGAATTATCACGTTGTAATTTGATATGGATAAAATATTTATACTGATAACTGAGCAAGTGGTTATAACCATAGATAACAAATACGAATAATAAAATAATTTTATGTAACGTAAACTGTTCAATTTAATTTTTAATTGTAAGCAACGATAAACCATTGCTAATGAAAAAACAATTTCAAGCGGAATTCAGTTGATAGTGATGCTTTGTCAATAATATGTATGTCATATTATGGTAAAATAATTAAATAGGCATTATATTTGTTTAATATTGTTTGATTTTATCGTTTTTTTCGAGTTTGTGAAAAACTGGGAAAACTTTTGGGAAAATTGAAAAACGACATCCCTACACCAATTTACTTTTAGAAAAAGTGCCACACTTAAAAATTGGAGCAAGAATTCAGAACCATGACGAGGTTTGGTAGCACCCCTGGCTATTCACTGCATATGTGCCCCCTCTCCCTAAATTGGAAATTTGCATTAGTTTAAAAAAACTATTCGAGTTATATAAAAGATGTATAAATGCATAGTATATGCTAAGTAATAACTAATAACTTTTAATAACTATTTGTATTTATATTACTTAAATATATAAAAAATTACGATGCTATAAAAACACGTAATTTTTTTCAAAATGTTTTTTTTTACAATTGCGTTTAATAATTTTAAATTTGTATACAATATCACAAAGGTACTTTCCTTGATTTAATCTAAGCTAATTTATTTATCAATGACATTATCAAATGAAATCGTCTTCACTATATCTTTGAAACGTCCCAGTTCGGTCGGCCCTGTTTTAAGAACCGTCCCGAGCGCCCTGCTGACTACCCGCCTAGGAGCAAGGTCGCCAACCTAGAACCGAGGTCCGAAGACTGGAGTCCTAGGATTTTTGTTAGGGGAAAATGACATTCGTCTGAATAAATAAACATTTTTATGTAGAGAATAAAGAATTATTTTATTGAATCATTAATCATCGAATAAAAGTTAAGTTACGTTGATGTGAAAGAAAAGCCCATGGGCATAAAAACTGTCAACTAAGAGAAGGCGAATAATAGGTAAGATTTTACATAGGTATATATATACATAGAATGATAGGCACGTATATTAACAACATATATTTTAAATAGGTGTATATATATAGTAACTGGGGGAACAACCAGTCCCGAAACTTGTCGTCCGGACCGAATATTGATACAATGAGAGCGTGCAGGCCGGGATTTATTACTACTTGTTAATAGTGACGAATTCACATACACGTGTGTGCAGATCGACGTGTGTATACATTGAGACGGACCTCCGCGTGGAATTTTCGTGGACACGGTATAAGTTTGGGAGACCCCAGCAGGAATGTAGACATTCGCCAGGCCACACGTATTATAACCGGGAAGAGTAGCTGAACGCTCTTATTCCAAGTTGATCGGATCACCGCGGTCGTGGTGGCCCTACGGGTTAACCTGCGGGGTGGGGGGAAATCGAACGAGACTATACGGATTCTTTTTTAGATACGCACACGCACGTGCTTAATGAGAATACATATAAGAAAAAAATTAAGAAACAAAAAGCGGCGGGGGNGGCCTATTGCACGTAGGATGTGGAACGCGGGGATTGTTACAATGAGACGGACACACAAACCTAAAAGATACTGGTCGATCCCCGCGGTATAACGGATGTGGTTAACATAACATATTATATCGTATACGAATTTGACATACGAGAGAAAAGAGAAAAAAAAACATTTTTAGATAAAAATAAACTTAAACACTACCTAACCAACGGGGTATCGGCCAATTATTAAATCACGTGCATCTTACCATTCATCTAGCTCGAAGACGTCCGCCCAGCGGACCAGATCGGGACTCACTTCATTTGAGGCTCCATCAGGAAACGTGCCAAGGTACGCGACCTTTTTCAATGGCAGAATATGCGAGCCCGTACGGTGCGAGAAGCGAAAGGAACGAACAAAATAAACCAAGTAGCGGAACGCGGAGACGTTCGTGGCACACGACGCCGCGGGCCGACGTTTTCGGCGATAAGGGGAAACGTGATCTGAATGGCCGTTAATCCGTAGTCGGAGGAATATAATATTATCGTGAATTGCGAAAGATTGCGATTGCATAAACCTTTGCGCGGGGGAGGGGGGAATTATTGTTCGTGATGACATATAGACGTATCCGTCGACGCGGGCGTAATCCATGTGGATTAACCGAAATTATTAAGTTCATTAATTTGTTCACTTTCCTTTTAAACATACTTTTTATTATTACACATCGAACATTTGAAATGGAACATAGACTTGAATCTAAATTTTCTTTCCCCAATTAAACTCATATTTTTGAATCCGATGGTTCGTGCTTGTGGTTTGTCTGTTTTTAATTTCGTCAAATAAATGAGATATACCAACGATTTTTCAACCGATTATATTAATTTCCATAGAATCGTTTTTTTTTCTCTATCTCGCTATGCTCTTTACCGGCCATTTTGATCGGCGATAAACTAGTAACTGACTTTGTAAAAGACGAAGAGGAAGATGATGGCATTATGGCAATACTGTTATTATTAGAAGATGACTTAACCAACACTTTTTAATAGAAATATCAGATTAAATAGTCATTGATAAAGCCAAGTTGATATCACTTGAAGTTAGAGGGAAAGTATTTTTCACGTGTTAACTGTTTTCTTCGATATTTTCAGTAATCGATGACTGAAAGAAAATTCTATTTACAAAAAATATATTAATAACCGAAATATTTATTTTGATACTACTGAATAATGATAATAATAGGTACAGTATTATACAGTGGTCTCCAGATCTTTATAGACCTGTCAAATTTTATGGAATATATATAATAATTTAATCGAGGTAATACGGTATTCGTGTGTTCCTCATTATCTTCATTAGACTCGATGATCGATTACTAAAGGCCATATTTCAACACGACGATCAATCAGGTAAAAAAACTTATGTATTGCGATATTTCTCGTAAATTGTATACATTAGATGAAAATTCGATGTAAAAACATCGAATCAAGGGTTAGTAGGTACCTACTTAACCTATTTTTCAGAATCGGAGCATAGGGACGGGTCAAACGGTTTTAATATAATGTAACTTATTAAGATTATTATTATAATTTGTTAAATTAAATAATTAATTACTTAAAATAGTAAGACATACTGTTAAAGAATAAAAACACTAGTGTCAGTAACCATATTACCATGATTACCGTTTATAATCAGCGTTAAGTAGGTATTATGGAACAAAAGTCCATTGGAAAAAATATTATATTGTATAACAAATATTTGTGGTTAGTGAACATTTCTTCCAAAATCTTTTGTTCCCATGACCATTTCTTCTAAAATCATATTTCGTTCCAATGACCATTTATTTCAAAAAACTTTCCACATTTTATTCATAGAAGAAATTTTCGCGGGACATATATCCGACGGAATAAATGTAGAACAAAGTTCGTTGGAACAAAAGTACTGTGGAACAAGTATTTTGTGGGACAAACGGATTAAGCCCGTTGGCCTTCACCATCATTATAGGAGATACACAGTGTAGGCAACATAAAGTCAGGACAGCATTGAGTACAATAGCTTATAACCTCTTTGTCGACTATTTTCTGCCAAGATAACCTCCTACCGCTCACTCATCACTCCTCGTTATCACCATTAACCATCTCGAGAAATAATATTGAATTGGAATTTTATATTTTAATAAGCGTTCGTATCCGCCAACAGGTAGACGTCGTTATCGCACGATCGTTTTCCTTCGTGCCCGCCGCCACTATAGTTGCGAATTTTTAGTTTTTTTTTTTTGTTATTGTTTTGTTTTTACTATTGATGGTAGGTACTTAATACAATATTATTCAATAATAATAATTATTCGCTACGTTCTGTCAGGCCGTAATATAGTCAATCGTAATATAGTTTGACATGTTAGTGTGGCTACTGTCATCGCGAGTGCGTGCCAATGGTTCAATCTTTCGTCCGAGTTGTTAGTTTCTTAATAATGTTTTATAAAGCATGCACAGATATTTTTTACGTATACTAATTGATTTTTGTGTTGTGTTTTTTTTTTCTACTAGTTATTTCTGCCGATAATGTCCATATTCGTACGCTACGAGTAATGGGCGAATTTATCAATTGCGCAGCGCTCCGTACGAATTGAGTGCTTGCGTTTATTTTACAAAAAACGAGTATGCCTCGATGATCATACTATATACGTTCGGTTCGCTCGCGAATGCATAAATCGTCATTATTACCGGCTTGAAAGCTCGTCGGATAGTGGCTAATCTTCAACAATTAAGTCACACGAAGTTGTTTTAACTTTTCAAATACACAATGGCAAATCCAAGAAAGTTCAGCGAAAAAATCGCCCTGCACAATCAGAAACAAGCCGAGGAAACTGCCGCATTTGAAAAAATTATGCAAGAAGTGTCAGCCGCTACTAATGTCAAGGTAGGATGTCATGTCAATATGATGATTATCAATTTTTTTTCTTATCCCCTCGGTGTTAGGTACGTGTTGTTTATTCCACGGGTATTTGTTTATGTTGTGTATCACATGATTTTCATTTGATATTGTCAAAGCATTCATATTTGGTCGAGTGTGTAGCCTAGAAAATATAACAATAGTCGATAACCCTATCTCTCGGACCACTTAAACAATTCATAATTTAGTACATGTCTATTTCACATGAGAAATAAAAACAAAATGTCTACACCATTGTTGTTCACCTTCAATTTATTGATTAAGGTATCTTTTTAATAATGGTCTATTAATAATATTTTTGGGAAGCCCAATATTTTTTAAAACCTATTAGGAAGAATTAAAATATTCAAAACACATTAGTTATCTATTTAAATTTATTACCTATAATAAATTATGATTAGTTCATTCTTTTTTGTTAATTTAAATTCCAATTAAAAGTCTGCAATTTATTTTATTCAGGTACTTTAATTATTTACACTTTTTTAAATTAAGTACCTAAATTATGGTTATTAAAATCGTGTGGTTGCACATAGCTAAATGAAAACAGTTTCCCCAAGGTTCTAAGTAATTTATAACAAAAGGCTATAGGAAATTTAAAACTTTTATTTCTCAAATCAAACCATAGGAATTTAATTTAGCCATTTTCATAGTAATAATTTATGTTAGGTTTTCTAGTACTATAAGGTTATTATTTGTCAATTATTTCAATAAAAATATTTGGTAAGGTTTTACCATGATAAAGGTATCTAATTATATAATCTAAAATAGGTATGTACTTTTTATGTACTAACATTGTTAGAATAAATCTACCAATTTACTTTCAAAATAATAATATACTTAATGATCATTATTTTACTGTTCAAATGTACACTTTTTTAACTTAATGTTGGTGAGGAAATATAACAGAAAGTGTTGTTTATGGTGGCTGGCTCCTTTGTTAAAATCCTTAACTACTAGGTATGTAAGAGAATGCGTGTATGGCATACTATGGTGAATTATAAATCAATCTCACTCCTCAAATACAATTTTATATTTTTAAGTGTAAAATCTACATTATAATAATCTCTGAAATTTAGTCATTTTATAATTTTAAACATTAAGTAATACAACTATTTCCTATATCTACATATCATATATTAAGTAATACCTATTTTCCTTATTAATTACTGTATAGTTCCAAATAAAATTGATAAATTGACAGTTTTATTCCATACCTAGTTGGAATACCTAATTGTTATTTTACTACCTATCAATTACTAACAATTCGAATGCGTATTGAATATTTAATGTTTAATATTATCTGCAAAAATTTAATAAATTTTGTGTCCACTGATTAAGATTTTTGATTTGTTACTTGATTTTATTGACACCATTGATAGTCATTAAACATTTAAATATGATAAACTTAAACAAATTAGTTTGACTACTGGCAAAGCAGAGTTGTCAGTGTAAAAAGTCTCAACTCATATTCATTTGAAAACTTTTCAAACTAAAATTAAATTTATAATTTTGAAAGTCATTATATCCTTATAAATATATAATATTGAGTATAATAATGTGTTGTTATGCATATTCTTGGATACAGATCTTAAGTATATTTAATAATTAACAAAACTGTTAATTTTATTAAAAGTGTTAATTGTAATGGGTAATAGTTACCTTGATAGTAACATTTGTGATCTATTGAATTATAGTCATTAATCCCTACAGACCTGCATACATATATTTATACAATACTCTGTTTTATACTAAAAATTATATTTTACTTGCTTTTTTACCAGTTAAAATGTTTATAAATGAAAAAACCTTCAAACAGATACATTTATTCAGGTTATTGTGTACAATTATTTATAAAAGCACCCTTTAATTAGGAACACACAATTCATCATTAATTCATTTTTCAACCTCTATACTTATTTGAAAACTTTCATCACTGTTACCAAGCATTTTTAAGTAAATTAAAAGGACCCTGCTATCCTACTGATATCCAACTGAAAATATATGTTGTACAAATTTTAGATGTGTTTTTTAACTTTATTAAACCTAATCTAATAAAGAAAAAAGAGCCTTGGACCAAAAAATCATACTAAGGAAAAAATGATTGTAAATTAAACCTGTTTAAAAAAAAAAATAATAATAATAAATTAAGTAGGTAGGCTAATTTTCCAAGTATTAATTTTAAAATTCTTAAATATTAGTGTATCATTGGTGATTATAAATCATCTGAATATCCAGTATAATATATGGATAAATAGATTCCCAATAAAAGTATAGCTACATCATATTATTATTAAGGATTTTTTGATTAAGCATTATACAATGATAAGAAATGCAAAGCGATAAATCAGTGAAATAAGATGAATAAATTTCCAATAAAAATATAATACGTATACCTGTAATAAATATATTTTTTTTTTTTTTACTACTTATTATTTTTTAAATATATGTATTAATTTACAACAGTGCTTTTTTTCCTCAATGTTATACACAGAGTTGTATCTCTTATTATAGATACCTACTTACCAAAATGAAAATGTTTATATTTAATACATTTTGTTTCTTGTTTTATATAAATAGTACTTATTAAAAAATTGTCCATGTGATTTCAAAAAAAAAAAAAAGTATTTTATAATTAATACTAACCAACCTATCAATAAAAGTTGGCAGCAATATCACATAATATGTGTGGTAGCTTTAAGTGTTTAGGCTAGGTGTTTGTAAATCACAAGGTTATGAATCAGTTGATATTTGGCTAGCTTTATTAATTTTTAAATGTAATGACTATGATACTTAGTTTCATACCTAGGCATAGGTTTTGGCGACTAATTTATGTTTATAAAATTACCTAATAGCCATAAAAGTATCTTAAATAGATACTTTTATAGAGAAGTTTTATTATATTTATAATAATAATTGTTAAAGTAACATCATAGAGATGTGGCTTTTTCTTAGTAATAATATTTTTAGCAATGATTACTTCAGTTATGCTCAGAGTTAGACTTTGGAAAAGAATTGTGAAAATATTCCCACTGCTGTCTGCTTAAAATGTAGGGAAAAGAGATTATATTTTAACTTAAAACATAAAAAAATAAACATAGTACTTACCTTATGAGTATAATAGGCATGAATATATTTGTATTACCTAACCTAGGATATATTAACAATTTTATCAAAGAATATAAAGTTAACAATCATAATATTTCATCACCAATGTGTAACTAAACTATTATAGTTCAACTATAATTACAATAATAAATAATCCTGAAACTGCAAACCTAACCTAGCCTAACTTTGAATAGCTTTGTTATAATTATATCTTGTCTAGGTTTAATTCAAAATTTAGTTTGAGAAAAATTGTTTGAACTAGATACATATTATGGTCTATTAAAATGTGATATTTGATAAATTTTTAGACATGAGTAATTACAATTATAGTTAATAAATCACCAAATCAACATTAAAGGTTGTGATAAACTCTCAAAAATTGAAATTTTCTTATCATCAATATAAGTTGTTACGACTTTAAGAAATCTTAAATGGTCAAAGAATTTGTAATTTTAAAATTCACTCTATTTTTATAAATATTGATTATTCAAAATTCTAAAAACAACATAGATGATATTATCTAATATGATGTATTAATATACATTCGAGGCGTAGTGAGAGATCTATTGGTTTGATTCTGAGTTTGACTATGTATATTTTTTTCTATCTGTTAAAAACTTTTCGAACAGAAAACTTGTTCTACTTGGAAAATATCAAGAGAGCATCTTTTTGGTTGCATATTGATCTGGTTAGTGCATTGGACAAATCATTTTTTTTGATTTCCCAAGGGGTTTTCAAAATAATTTGGAAAAACCGGAAACAAAATAATAGGAAAACAACAAATATTTATAGCACGGCTCAGCATTACTTACCAATTTCATTATTTTAAATGTGTACGCTTTATGTTTTCTACCAGAAATATTGCTCCTATTGAAAAACTACAAAAATATATTTTGTTGCAATTTAGATCTTGTTGGTTAGTTAAAAAGTCGTTGAAAGAATAGGAAAGTTTGTCGGAAATAATGGTTTCATAATTTTCATTTTTATCTATTATATATTTAAACCATACCTACATAGTTCCTTACCTATTAATTATTATGTATCAAAAAACTGGGCATGGCGAATGAATGTCACAGTAAAGCTGTGAGTGTATTGACTGCAATGTAAATATTGTAACAGTTTACCATATAAAAATAAAAATGCATAACTGTCAATCATGTAAAATAATTATACCTCAAATTGTACATTAGACTTTCAAAAACTAACATCAATTTAAAAATGTTTTTAACGGATTATAGATTTAAGTACTTAAAACCTTTTAGAAAAAACTATTGATAGTTATCAAAGAATACTTGGTAGACATATATATTACTACAAACCAATAATTTAAATAGAATTATTGTATCAAAAAAAAAAAAAAAAACTATTTTCAGAAAACCCTAAATTATAGATTAACCTAATGTGTTCATTGATCATTTTTAAAAGTATATGCCCACAAAAACTAATTAATAATGTTTGGAACTTAATTCAATAACTATTTATTCTTAAAAATCATCAGTAAAAATATAAATTCTAACTTATAACACTTTAGTAAGTAATATATTAAGTGTAGTTATATTAGTTGTATTCAACCTTAAATAATCCAATTTATAAATTATATTTTGAAAAAGTTGGACATATCATATTTTATGTTTTGCAATGGATAGGCTACCGCAATTATAGGTGAGAAGTTAGTAATATATAAAGTACTTATAGAATAATTTATTTTAAATATTGAATGTAACTATAAATTATTGTAAATAATTCAAAACCCTTTCTGTGTGAAACTTGTTTAACTGTTTTAACTAATTAAACTATTAAAGTAGATTTTTGGGTACTTGTCTAATATGCCTACCCAAAAATATGTATGTACACCAATATTTGACCAGTCTAATATGATGTATGTATACTAACCTACCTAAACATTATATTATATTACATATAATAGTACTTACATTTTTTCTGCAAGAAAATATAATATATCCTAAATTTATCCATTGTCAGTTTGTTAACAAATTAATTGTTCAGCAGTAAACAGCTTTTATATTGTGTAAAACTGATTTGAATGTACCTATTAGTAGGCTTGATAGATTCTTTTTTCAAAATAACTTATAATGGTATTAGGTTTCATATTAGACCAAGAATAATTTAGTTTATGTTGGTGATACATCCTTCCGAATAGGTATTAGACAAGTACCCTTCTTCTTTGTATAGTTGTTATGTATACAAATTTACATTTAATTGTATTTCATATAATAATTTAAAAAAATATGATTTCAACTCTTAATTAACTAGAAAATTATAAATACATAGGTGCATTTAATAAACCTTTCATACATTTATCATTGCATAATATTTATTATCCAAAATAAAAACTATTTCAATATGTAAATGTATATTATGCTAACTAAAAACTTTTATAAATTATTGATCCAATGAGTTATTATATTTTTCACAAAAAATAAAACTTCATATCTATAAAAATAAATGTATGTTGTATTTGTACATTGATGACGGTAATAGTGTATCCATCATAATATTAATAAATAACAAACATATTGGAAATGCGCATATAATTTAGATTAGGTATCCACATATTAATCTATTTACCTACCTACCTAATTTGTTATTTTGAAAATCATTACACAGTTATACCAAGGAAGTTTCATTGAACATGAAACTTTATAATATTCAAATTTATTTATTATGTTTAGTACTCAATTTTATTTATTTTTGGAATTTTAAATTTAAAATAATCCACAATATTTGCTTTTAAAAATTCAATTGAGTTTTGGTCTGTTATATAATTAACTATATGAGGTGTTAATTTTGTATAAATACATCCTTTTTATTAGGTATAATATTATTCATTGAATCAAAATTCTCTATAAAAATAAATATCTTTATAGTTCTATCAATAGTTGCTGTGTGTATTTATAGTACTTAATAGTAATAATTTCAATCCATTTAAGTGATGCTGATCAATTCATACATTTTTCTGTATATCACATATAAATACTATTGACTATAATATAATGCGTTCTTATAATACTATAGTTTATGATAGTTGTAATGAGTTCAGTTAGTTGTAAACAGTTTTCGTGTATTCTCAAGGCCAGAGGGAAGCAAATTACTAAATTGCACGTGCTATGGAGAAATTATATTACATGATTTCTATAGTTCGTTATATTCAATAATAATAAATAAAAACATTGTGTTTATTATCTTTTGGCAAAAGTATAACTAATGAGCTCATAAAAAAATTAATTTTTTTTTTATTATTATTATTTACTGCTATTGTAAGTTAAGGCAAGTTATTATTTTTTTATATATGTAATGTGCGTATGTTATTCAACAAGATTATTGAATGACGTTTTGGATCAAGCTGATAATATTCTAATGCATATTATAAACGTGTTGAGTGTACATACAGAGAGATTAAAATACTAGTATGATAATTGATAAGTAATCAATAAATAAATTTTATGAAATTTAATTGTATATCATTAATTAAAATTTATAAAAAAAATTTAGTTCTAAAGTATGAATTTTACTATCGTAAGTAAAATGTCTGGAATTTTTTATTTTATTTTTTGTAGTATTCATTAATCATTATTTTGTTTGTAATTTAAAGTTATGTGTCAAATATAAATATAAAAATTGCATTCTAGTACTAGTATTACAAATAAAATAACTCTTAAACTCCCTATTATGTTTAGCTCCCGTTGTATATATTTGACTAACTCCTTATGAATACGACCAAAGATCACAAAATTTCATCACGGTTAATTATTATACAGTCCATTTTGTTTTTGCTAACGTAATAATATGTTTAGTATACACTTTTGATCAAATTTATTTAGGTACTGATCAGTTGTTTGAAACCATTTTTAGTGCTAATCAACTAAGCTTGATTCTTGAATGTAATAAATCATTTATTATTTAAATACAAGCATTAAAACTCATAAGTAATAGGAAGTATACAAATATTAAATAATACGATTTTACTGGTTTCAGAAAGAAAAAAAATGTTACTTTTATCTCTACTGGCAAAACAAAAACCTATTACTAATGCATTTATACATTATTACACTTGAATAAATAATATTACAATCGATCTTTTTTAACTCGTACATAAATACATTCAACCTCAACGCCACGGGTACACTGACGTCATACAAATTACCTGATAGGTATATGAAAATACCATATTTTTTTTATTTTTTTTAGAGTTAACTCTTCTATTTAAAATTAATATAATCAGAATTATTTATTATTATAATTTTTTATAATTAATTTTGTAATACCAAATATCATAAAACCTTTTGCCCTCAAAAAAAAAAAAAAACGAAGGATACGGGTACTTAAGTTATTTGCATAATCTCAATATAAATCTAAGAGGTAAACCACTCTAATTTCCATCTCATATTTACATCCATAGTGAGATCTTTAAATACTTGGTAATTTTGAGTTATATATTATCATTTGGAAATGTAGCATAACTATGGTAAATTTATAAAAATTATATTAATAATAATATTAACTACTAATTACACTTAAGTTTGGTACCCATATAAATTTTCTTTTGCGTTAAATAATTTATAAATATTATTTTTAAAAACAATTTCAAGGGATTGTATTTATTTAATGTCGTTTTAATTGTTTCTTCTTGAGAAAAAAAATTGTTTCTTTTAAAAATTATATATTTTCTTCTGCAACAAACTGCTGTATATAAGTTTATAATTTTTATTTGCAGATGTACATTATGTTGTAAAATGTAAATTGTTCTTAATACATTTATTTCAAACAATTTTATACATTATGTTTAATCCAATAATTTTTAAAGTAATTTAATTTTTGTGAAATATATTTTGAATATAATATACAGGTGATCCTTTTATCATTAAACCGGTGATTTTCTCTAAGGATTTTAAGTGCATTCAATTTTTTTTTTTTTGTTTAATCATTGTGGAATCATATAAGCTCTATTTTAATACTATTTTCAAATATTGACCTCTACTCTTTAATTAGTATACTCTTTGGATAATAGCAACCCACCCTTTTTTTAATCATATATTTGAATAGAGAATATTTATATTATAAAGTTGACATGTGTAACATTTATATCGGATATAGCATTTCTAAGTTATAACAGTTTAAAATTTAGATTGGTTTATCTTCCCTAAACATCTAAATTTTAAACTGTTATACAAAATACATTAAAGGTATATCCAATATTGGTAGGTATTATTTTTATCAGACATTTTTAAAGCCAATGCATTCAATTTTGTGTTTAAAGGGTGGGTTATTTAAAATTCCAAACTGTATACTCATTTAAGAGTAGAAATAGAAATTAGAAAATACTATAAAAAAAAGTTTAAAAAATATCATAAGTAATAATTCGAAAAAAAAAAAACAGAAATCGAATTTTCCATGTGTAGGTAATCCCCCGGATATTCCTATAATAATAAAATAATAAAATTCTTTTAGAAAATCAATGGGCCATGATAAAAAAAAAAGTTGCTTGTATAGGTAATAAATATAAATTATAAATTAAATTAAATGAAGTATTAATTTTAAACCTAATTATTTTTTTTTTGTCTTATTTGAATCACAAAATAATGAATGGGTATATTTTAAAAATGTTCAAAATACTAATGTCGAATACTAATAAAAACTTATTTCATGTTAATAACTAATATTATAATATTTATCAAAATAAATTGCAGTAAAATAAGATAATAAGATATTCTATGTTTATAGGTATAGTGAAAATAGTATAATATTATATAACATGTACTTTATTTATATTAATATTTTCTTTTGATGTTGAAACAAGCAACATAAATTTTACCTAGTGTGTGTATCTAATAAATATATTAAATTAAAATATTATTATTGTCAATTAGATAATTAATCTAAACTGAAAATTGAAGTATAACTACTACGTTTATTCATTTGTTTGTAAAATTCTAAATATCATTTTTATTTATTTTCATAAAATTTTGCCATAAGAATTGGATAATAAGGTCTGGGCAACTTGAAAATTGTATTGTACAACTGTATAATATGATCTTATACTGAGTTCTGAATAATAGAATATCATTAAATTTCAAGGTCCTAATTCAAGGTTAAAAACAAAATTCATAGGTTCCAGAGCTAATACACGACTGTATATTATATATAATATTCATCGTCATAGTTTGAAGATTTTTTCACTGAACCGGTTACATGCCATAAATTATAACAGTGAGGTTTTTAAATCATTACTTAACTATTCCTGCCACCGCTCAAATGTTAATAGGTACTATTTAAATCAGTGTTTCCCAACCTTCTTTTACATAACGCCCCTTTTAGATTGTCAAAAAACTCTTACCGTCCCCTGCCTGATAAATTAAAAAAAAAAAATTTCAGTTTAATTTTTATAATTAGCCATTTAAGTAAAGTGAAAAATAAATATTTTCTTTAAATGTTGAACTCGGACATTTTATTATAATTATAAATATAACTAATGTACATGCACGCTATATTGTATAGCTTCATGTAATTAATGCAAGTATACAATATTGTCAGAAATATTTATATAAAAAATGGAATATTTTGCTGTTATTTCGCTGAATTTCGCTGTTATTGTAGTGTGTATAAAATATTTAATTATTTAATATTTTTTTCTATTATACACAGATATACATTTCATTACAATAAGTTATGAATTTAGTTAATATTGTTTTAATAATAGCGAACTTTCATATTAATGAAAGTCACAGTAGAATCGCCCCCCTTAGTGCCGCCTTAAGTAAAAAGTTTCAACATTAAAAAAAGCTCACAAGGGGGCGGTAGCACCCACGTTAGGAATCACTGATTTAAATCAATTATTTTTCCAAATTTTACATTTACAATATTATTTAGGTGAGCAACTTAAACATATTAAAAGTAAATTACTTTATATTCAGTTGGTAACAATAAACCATTAGTCTAAGTTAGATTATTAATACAATGTAATGTACACCTCACTAAAATGTTCTCTTTTAATTTGTTTGAATATTTATAATCTATACAATCAATAATAAATACATTTGGTAACATGAGGCGTGGAAAAGGAGGACTCTTTTCTTAAAAATAATTTCTTGTAATAAATTATGGTAGGTATAGTTTGATTTCAGATTTTGAATAAGTATATGTTTAATTTTATTTACGTGGTGTTCAGTTTTTCCTCTGTGTGAAGGTTATTTTTCTGAGTTGTATTTAATGATACTAGATAAATACTATTTAACATACACATAGTGGTTATCAATGAATTTGACAATATTTTATTCATGAATATAATAATATGTAAGATTTTATTGTTAAAACTAATTCAAAGTATTACTTTTTATTCTTTTACTCAAAGGCAATCTTAAATTAGTTCTACCGCACTAAATATTATCGTATCACATATAATCTGTCATATACCTAGTATTATAAAGGTCGTTAATGTTGACAATGTTGTAAAATGTTTGAGTAAATTTAAATTTTCTTTTTTGTTTAGTTTAAATTGTTTAGCATTTATTAAAGCTGCATGCCCTAATTATTTTAGACAAATAAAAAGATATTCAGTTGTTATGGATCTTATATAATACTATTTATATTATAAAATATGTTTCGTATTAGTATAACTATACATGTTATGCTGATGTGTACTTACCTAAATAATAACGTCAAAATATCCTATCTAATGATTCTTTAATAAATTATTTAAAATATTGTTAAATAAGAATTTAGGTAGGTAGTATTTTAAATAAAAATATTTTTATACATCTAAAAGTTTCTAACATTGCATTTAATAATGTTGAAAACAAATTATTTATTGATTTAAATAAGTGTTCGTTACAATATTATTTATTACTTATTATTATAGTTAATATAAATCTCCATCTGTTTTATTAACAATTGTAACCGCTGTATTATTATTTTAAAACACTATCAATAAATCGTTATATTTTACTAGTTTCTACTTCCTAGTTGGTAAATATTGAATTTTTTTTTTTTTAAAGGATTTTAGATGCTATAGAATATTTACTATAAATTTAAATATAATTTTTATCATAGATTATATTGTACTATCTACTATTTACAACCTTGTAAATTACTACTTTTGTAAAAAAAATATTTAATTTTAATTAGGAAAAAAAAATAACACTGATATTACTTATTATAAATTTACAACATTATTTATATAACATCTTTAGTATATTATTTAAAATTATAATTTCAACAATATACTGGAAATTGAGTAGAGAAGGGTGGAAAATCTTATTATTAGCAACATTAAGTTGCTGCGAAAGAATTTCAAAAATGACTTGATCAGTTATTGTATTTACATATTATAATTAAGAAATTATAATATTTAAAAGAACAATTCATATTTTGCACCATATAATTAATTTTATAATTTTATAAGTCATTAAATTAAAAATATTCCTTGTAGCAACCCCCCTCCTAAAAAATAAAAATAATAATAATAATAACTGACGAGAGTTTAATACATTTTGCTGGTTTCATTCATTTATTTTTCCTGTAAAATAAAAAACTAAGAATAGATATCAAACAATGCCCTTCTCAATGCCCCTGACCAAAAAAAAAAAAAAAAATTACTACCAGAAACTAATTATTTTGGTGAGAATTAGTTTAAGTAGAAATTGTGTTCATAGGTAGTTCACTCTTCATAATAAAATCAGAACGTTCTACACTATGCTCAGAATCAAAATGAGTACTTATATACTGTACAAAATAAATAAATAGTAAATTAATTACTATTTGTTTCAGTAAATCGCACACGCACGTCATAATTAATTCTTAATTCGTCGTGCATATTACTTTGTATCAAATTACATTGAAAAAAAAAAAAACTTTTTTCATCATTTAATCTGTTTTAATGAAGAACACTGAACAGAGCAATTTCTCCTTTCGCAAATGAATTCTTATCCCAAACCCTGGTACTTAATTAATTTGATTTTGATACAGTTAGTATTATTACATATTATTATAAACGTATTATTAAAGTTAAATCTACTAATTATCGTTTCTAATTTAATTTTGTACACATTATTAAATTTCATCATAATTTTTTGTCAGACTAAATAATACTGTTAAGTATATAGCGGTTTAAAATCCGTACACAATATTATTATTTGTCTGATATTTTGTTAATAATGAATATGAGATTCAAACAAGGCTATTTTGGTAAACATCGCGTTTTTTTCAATCTAACGAGATGTTTTTTATTACGAGTGAAAATACTCGTATATGTTTAAAATTTATAATTAATATAATATAATTTAAGCCAGTTGCCAGTTGAAGTACTTCAAATTTCTCGAACCTACTAATTTCTAAAATATACCTACAACACATTATTGTTTTGTATACTTGCAACACATTTTATCTCGTTATAAATGTATACATATTCCATATTTTATCAATTGCCAAGTTAAAAATACATATATTCATATTTTTGTTTTACGTAATAATATATCAGTTACAGACAGATTATAAAACGTAACAACGCTTTTCTGAAATATTTATCTAGGTTTTTTTTTTTGTATTCATTAATATTTGACATTTTTTAATACGGTTTTATCGTTTTATGTACAATCATATTGTATTAGTTATATATAATGTATTTTTAATATTATAATTATTAGATATACTTACCAATATAATATATTATCTGTATACCTATTCAATAACATTTAAAATCCGTAAAATACATAAGTGTTCATGTAGAAAATACTATTTGCACACACAAACTGTGGTTTTGATTAATTGGAAATAGGCGCCCAATAATGTTACTCGTTATTAATTGTATTATATTTAACTTAAAGGCATTATAATAGTCAAAGAAGATTTAACAAAATATATTGTATTTTATTTCAAAAGTAAGAATATTAATTAATTATCTCCGTGTTTTAAACTTCCGACTTTTTGTGTGCTCGATTTTGTCCATTGACTTATATTCTCGCTAAAATAATTTCGTTGATAAAATGTTCCACTCCCATTCATACAATGGGTTCGCGGAGAGGCCTATTCAATAATTCGAGCTTCTGGAACGGCCGGGATCACGTCATTGCTGAGTCTGCGTCGTGGCCTACATTCACGTTTTTACTTAGTTTTCCCCGCCGTATTATCCTCCATTGACAAACTTTGCCTTGCAACGACCTGGGCTCTTTACTTTTCAACCGCACCTGTTATACCTTATACCTACCTTCTTTTTTTATCCGTACGAACGGGATATTAGATATTACCCTATATTATTATTATTGCTATGTAGGTACCCACCTAAATAAATCATCCTATTCATTAGGCATTAGACGTTTTCAATAACAATGAAAATAATTATTATTGTATGTATCTTTGTTCTCGGGCGAAAAAAGGCTTAAGTCGATTTTAAAAATATTAAAATTGAGATAAATTATTATAAACGCGAATAAAATGGTATTATTAATGAGATTTGTGTGGAACTGCTTATGTTAGCAATGTTTGGCGATGTCCGGTTTTATTTTTTACAACTAGAGTCTTATCAGGTTCTGCGTTGAAGTGCAGATTCAATTCAATTCAACACTTCAATTCTTCTTTTGTAGTGCACTCTGGCCAAAAATCGATTTTCTTTTTGAATGCTCGTATTTTGTGGCTACCATTCTAAATTGTCAGATTTCTTCCTTGTATGGAAATACTGTGCTCGTTCATAGCTAAACATATCGACCAGGTACGACAATTGACAAAGGCTGGTCACGTCGTTCACGAATTCAGTCAATTGAACGTTATGATCCATTAAGAAAGATAGAACTTCACTTCGTAATTATTGTACTAACCGTGTAAGAACTTTACCGTGTGAGATAAGCCAGCTAACTTCTGTGTTGGAAAAGTGAAGACTTCCCACATCGTCACACAAAACTGTTAAAAATCTAGATTTTTGAGGCCTTAACTTGATGAAGTTTAATCCTTGTTTAGCTTCGTCCATAACGTTTTACGGATATAGGCCATATTATCAATAAGTATTTACCGTCATCGTAAGCGTGCGCAGGTCCTCTTGGCAGGGGAGCGACGATGTTTGAAATCAAATCTTACAAAAAAAATCACAAGCACAAATAGTCCAAATATTTTTGGATTGGGCTTATTTGCTCTAGCCCCGTTATATTGATTATGTGTACTTAGTATTTATTTTAAGGGGCTTGGTTATGTTTTAGGGAAAGGGGGTCGAGATCCTCAAAAGGTTCCTCCCCTGTTTGCAACAAAATTAAGGGTATCTATTGCATTAGGGTTTGGATATATTAAAAAAAATATTTAAATTTTGCGTGGTTTTTTAAAAATATTTTGGCGAAATATTATCGCAGGGGTAGCCAGCCGCTATTATTCTGTCTTCCGCACGTGCCCACGCTTATGACCGTTATAATATAATCTTAATTAGCCCTGTATTATTATATTATGGGACTCGTCGTGGTTGTTTTTTCCTCGGCTAACATAATTGCACAATATCGTATTGTCTATTGTTATGTAAATATGAACACGACTGTAAACAACGATATTATGACGTTTGATGAAAAATGTGCAATCGTCCAGTTTTCAATCCGACGGGACACCGAACCAATAATATTATTATCGATGAACAATACCTTAATCCATCGATTCCACCGACCCGGCCGTAATATAACGTCGGGTTTTAGATTGTAATAATTATGGTAGGTAGTCCAATGGCATTCGTCGGACGTGCGTGCGATTTTCGATAAATGTCGGATTTCTGCGGATGTCGTTGGATGGGCCGCCGGGGATTAACAATAGCGGCGTCCGGTAATTTTTTTACTATCGCAATAATCCGACAGCAGTGAATCCGCGCGTCGGAGTTTAAACGCGCAATCGATCGTTTTCAAACTTGATAATACCGTATTATTAACTTTACGTCATCCGTTTAACTGGATCCACATTTGTTTTTACTTTTTCCCCGTAATATTTTCGTCTTCTAGAATCCGCGTGTATTCATCTATTTTGTAATGTCCGTTCTATTCTATATAATGGATTAATTATATACAATACGGTTTGCGCGGATTGAGTTGGATGGAAATCGCGCGGTGGGCCACCACACACGAGCATGTTCAGCCGGGGCCCCGTTATCTTTGTGAAAGAACAAAAATAAAATAAAGAAATAATATTGTATTCGTCAATTAACTGACGTGTTAGTAGTAGTAGAGGTACTTGTTGCGAACATGTGTGCGTCCGCCGCGTTTGGCCTGTGCAACCGTTTTTTATTGCGCGTTTTCGCCGGTGCACAGCCGCGCCGCCGTACCTACGTACCGTTCATCCGGCGGACATCGGCCGTACGCTCCACAGCATACTAATCGATAATTCGCTAAAACGCTACATTCACGTACGTGTTTGTGTGTGTGTGTATATATATATTTTTTTTTTTATTTCTATTTGTCCGACGATATTTATAGGCGATTCCCGTATCCCCGGTGTTGCCGTTTCCTACGTTGATAATATCAATATGTACTCGAATGGTTAAATGATTAAGATAAAAATATACCGCGTGATTCATGCCCGTAGTGTTGTACATTATACTGCGCGATGGGAGACGGCGGTCTATCAGCTCTCGTATCTCGTATCGCATTGCCGCCACGTGTACGCAATAACGATAAAAGCGAATTTTCGAATGACAAACCATAAGCGACTTCTTTATGCCGCTCGGCAATCACTTTTTATAATATTATTATATGTGTATATATATTATGACACTCGAATAAAAATATCAAACATATTGTGTAGTTTTTGTTTGTACACACAGTCGTATAATACAGCGGTCGTAATCAAATTCCTTAAGCGTTCTCAAAACGTACACGTACAGAGAGAAAAAAAAAATGCGTGTCTACGAATTCCGCGGTATTTTGCATTATTATAAATTACGTTACATATTTTTTTTTTTTTTTCTAACTGCGCCTACAATCGCCGAAAAATAAAAAAAAATATTACTGTATTATAAAGAGTGCGATAAAAAAATATTTGACGGTTATTTTTTTTTTTCTTTGAAACAAAAATTTAATCCGCTTGAACGTTCCAAATTTTATATTACTTATTTTATCGGGAAAATGGAAATCGTTTTACAAACATATGGTGCTTCGCAGTTTGAACACATTTCAGCGTCTTCATCTAATATTGTGTCGACACACTCTTGATATTATCGTTTATTGGTACATAAATCGAGTTTCCATGGTTAATTTCGAATAATAATAAAAATGCATTCCGTTCGCAATCTCCATACCATTATTATGTAATAGTAATACTAATATGTAATTGTTGAACCAAGAAACAGTGGTTCTAAACTATATTACACCCGGAATGCAGTATGCTTTATAACTTGTATTTCAGAGAATACGTTCAAACGTAAATTATATAATTGTAATAATACTATATCGTTATATAATTATTATCTGTGCGTAAAAGAAAAGAAAGCGAAAATATACTTAGTTTCCGTACATCATCATCCTAACGAAACTCGTTAATGTAATTTTTTTTGTCGTTTTTATGTAGCTCGAAAATAATTTTTAGCGTCCAGGCATAATTATCGGCGCCGCTATAAATTCGAGTCCTGATGACTGATGTTGTAAACCCGCGTGTGTCCAAACGCACCATATCTCAACTACTTGGACCCGAGAATATCGGACACGGGTATTAATGTTGAAAGCTATGTTAAAACCTCGATCTAAAACCCACGATGAAATTTTCTTTCCGTACCGAAAACGGGTGCGTGTATAAAAAACCAAACAAAAAAAAAAAAAAAAAAAACGACCGGGTTAAAAACAAACCGGCCGTAGTATTATTATATGAATCGTTATCGATCGTGTTAAGCGTGTGTGAGACACACAAACGCCGCACGCCACACGCATGGCGTACCGCGAGATGTAAAGTATCGGACTAGAGGGAAAAATAATAAAAATGTACGGGCCGTCATTAAATAAATAAATATTATTATCGTATTTTACGGCGGGGAAAACATAAAAACTAATTCTAAAGTGGGTTTTCGCGCGCGGCTATTTCCGTTTATTCCCGTGCGAAAAAAAAACATTGTTACAACAATGGGTCTAGGCCGGCCGACGCGTGTGAGCGTGTTTTATTACGCGTTACGTTCGACGGTAGTACACCGTAGGCACCTACGTCTCCACGTTGTTTATTATTTATAATATGCGTAGTTTGTAACGCAGGTATAATACACGATCCAAACGTGTTTTTTTATTATTATTATTATTTTTTTTTTTCTCTCGTTTTTCGACCGGCGACGCGCGCGAGATTTAAATGAGATAGAGCGCGCGTGCGCGCGCGAAAGAGAGAGAGAGAGTGAGAGAGAGAAGAGAGATCGCGCGAATATAAACGGCCGCGCCGCGCGAAATCAACTTTTCTGTATCTGCACCGGCCCCGCGTCTGTCACTGTCGTTTTGCGGTTTGGCACGTGGCCTGCGTTGCCCTACTTCCGGAGTGCCGCCGGTGCATTTTCCGAACGCGGAGCGCACGGCCTCCGCCTGTGTGTGCGTGTGCGTGTGTAGTCGTGTCGTCGGCGGCGGTGCTCGGCGCGGCGTGTGCCGTTGGCTGCTGCTGCTGCTGCTGCTGGCCGTGTGCGACTGGCGACACGCGCGCGCACGCACGCACGCACGCACGCACGCATCACACAGGTCTGTTCGGTAATCGCGGCGGCGGTGGATGACCTACTTGTAATCACGCGTCCGCATAGAACGCAACTTTATTCGCCTACACAATCAATATCGCACAAGGGACGAAGCCCGTCGCCGCCGACGACGACCGGCCTCCCGCGCCACGGGTTTTACGCGCCGGCGACGCGACGACCCGAGTATCGCGGCGTTCCCCCGAAATCACCAATCGTTATTATTATTGTTATTGTTATTATTTATTGCTGATGTTGTTGTTGTCGAATAATAATCGCCCGAATTTTTTTTTTTTTTTTCCTATTAATTGGCCGCGGTGCCAATTCAACATGCGGTCTACCTCGTCCGTGATGCGATATAAACACAATAGCTATTATACGCACTGCGAAATTCCTTATATTACATATTCAAATACTGACAATATTGCGATTTATTTCACGCCCATGTGTATATCCGTGGTTGCCCATAAAACAACTTTCGGAGGAGCGACAAACTGGGACCCGGTTTCCAAATACACATTTTAAAGTCAACGATACGGATATAAGAACCCAAGTTTTGTAAAAAAAATAAAAATTATACGATAAGCGTGTAGATAAATCAATAATCAGCCTGTCTGTGTGTCACGCACTGTTTGTCCGGGGTCAAGAAAAACCAATTGTTTATAATATTCAATATTTTCTATGGGGGCTCTTTCCACCCTCTTACCTCCGCCTCTCAAATGGGCACTTACGTTCAATAGGTTCCACCGCGGCTAGCGAGGTTTATTAACTAAACGTGTACTGACTTCTTTACATCTGCAGTTTCCAGAACCGGTATAGGCGTAGCGATGAGAGATCATCACGCCCGTACCTCTGCGAACTTTAATTTTCTATAACTTAACAATACAAAGACGCCGGTGTCCAAACACGGGTATTTTTGAATACCTAATTTTAAAAATGTACTTAGACCGCATACTAAATTCAGAATATTAAAAACGCACCGGTTTATCGCTATTTTTTTCCTAAGCTTATGCGTGTATTTTTCGTTAGACACTTTCGGTTAGAAATAACGCTCTGAAAGTTTTTCGAAATTCCCAAGAGTTCGCTCCTTTCGCGCTTAAAAACAACCGTTATTGGACATTGTCTAGTCTAATTAGCCGTCTACCGACATTTTTAGTCCGTATGATATATAATTTGAATATATCTCTAAATAATCGTAATTAAATGTCGTTATTATAATATCTTCTAAACAGTTTTCAAAAAATATTTTTGCCATGAATTAAACCGCGCCATAATTCTTATTTTAGTGGCCCGTTGCAATGCATTTGATGGGTATTTTCGACCAGACGCTATAATACAATTTCACATCATGCCATTAATTTTCGATTTGTTGAGTATGAGATCCAGTAGTAGGAGGATTAACATAGTTATTTTTGTGGCTAATGATGAACGTATCTATTTCAATTTAAACATTTATGCGCTCTCAACAATATTGTTCCAATTTTGACTTTGTTTTAGTTGCATACACTTCTGTAGGTTTAAGTGTTTGAGCGTATCGTTTTGGGACAGCTTTCGTTCTGCTCAACTGAAATTTGATTCCAAACACGTGACCCTTGTACTCAATTTCAGTATTTTTTGTTTCTATTTGTGCCTATATTATACTTCTATATACTACATCATCGTCGTTTTCAGAATCGAACATACTATTAGAACTATCGGTAAATTGTCTACATTAGACAATAATTAAAAAGTACTACAGGTATTTGTAAAAAAAGAAAATTTAAGTTATGAAATTTTTTAATGTAGATTCTTAATTCGACTCTGAACTCGATTCGTTTCCTGTTCGCAATGATTTATCGTTGCTTACAATATATAGTAAATCATCATCCATATCCTCTTTTACTATCTTCTCGTATCCCTATCTAAATAAGTAACCCACCGATGGTATGACGTATATCCACTTATTTTTATCATATTTTTTACAATATGTATACCAATTGTATTTACCGATCCCTCCACCACACACATCCCCATAGCCGGCACGCGTTTATTCTTCGTTTTGGAAAATAGCCTATAAGAAAAACAAATAATGTATACCATCACAGTGTAATATAAAAACGATTTGATCCGCTTCAAAAAATAAATACAATTTTTATCACCGCCTTGGTAATTTTACGGTCTTCGTTGTTTTTCTTGTTGAATATCGCCGAACACGTATATATGTATATACGTATATAATAATATGTATCTATGCATACTCTAAAAATTGTATCGAAGAATATTAATATATATTAATATATTTATTATTATAAATGATTTACTTGCGCCAAATTTGTTTAACGTTTTGTACAAAATGACGTTTGAACCAGCTGTGGCCATAGGTAATAAATTTGAATAATTAATTTTTTAAGGATTGTTCTTATTGGTATCCTTACATATCTTTGTGGTATTATTATTAAGTTTAATATGAGTAAAACGAAGAAGATAAATGAAGTGACGTTCGCACGCTATAGTAAACAATTGTCCATTAGTAAATAAGTAATAATATATAAGTTATTACATTAACAATTAATTTGATGAGTGCAGTAACACATAATCATTACATCGGCAAATTGTTTATAGTCATCATATGATTACGGTTTTAATAAGCTTTTAAATGTTTGAAATACTGTTTTAAAACGTTAAATGAATTAATTTAAGTAGGTACCTAGTATGAATGTACCAATTTAATTAATAATTAAAAAATAAAGGTAAGATAATAAGGACGGGTGCAGCCACTGGTGTAGGTGGGAAGTTGAGAAAGTAGGATATAGACGGGAATTGAATGCATATCTGTAAGCAACGATAAACCATTACTTACGAAAAAACGATTCTGAGCGGAGTTAAGTTGATAATGATACTTTGTTAACAATATAAATGTAATTTTATAGTAAAATAATTAAAAAGGCTTTATATATTTTATTTAATAAAATTTGTTTAATGTTGTACCGATTTTTCCCGTTTTTTCTTCGTTTTTTTCGGTTTTCCAAATTTGATGAGAATATCGAAAAACGACCTCTCTAAAGTACTTCCCTAGTGAAGTTTCCGTTTAGAAACATCGCTATAATTAAAAGTTGGAGCAAAATTGTTGGTAGAAAAGTTTGCGCATAGATAAAAAAAAAAAAAACTATCTTTGTAAAGTCATACGCTTCTTCGCTCCACTTAGGATCTAAAATGTAGGTTATTGTTCTGTTTTAAGTATAATAATATATTGACCCTTAGTTTTTTTAATGTATATTATAGGTTCTGACTTATGCAATGAAACTACGCACTCTTAACTAGTGTGCATACCGCCACAGTTTACAATAGGGAGAGTTTATTATTTTAATTGCCTCTTTCCCAAGAGGCCTATTGAAAAAATAACCACCAGCTCTCTCTAATCAATTAGTAAATTAGTAATATTCATTTGACAAAACGGATTCATTTAGATTATCAAAATACTTCTACTTTATGATATTATACCTAATATCTTTAATTTTCATAGTGCTTTTCCATTTTGATAATATTTATTATTTACATTTAATGGAGGAATATTATATATTATAGTTAATTTATTTTATCCTAGGGCGATAAGAATTGCAAATAGTTAGACACTAATTCCCAATTTCCATTTGTTCAAAAACGAGTTGATTAATAAATTGTAATTTGTAAGTCTTGCATTGACAATAAAGTAAGAACTAAATAGCCAATATACTATTAAATATCTAATTTAAAAAATATATATGATGATGTAGATACAAGTAAATTTCGATGAATTGACAAGTCAAAAAATGTCTTTATGTCTGATATCAAATCTTTATAATGTTTTTGTAATCATATTATTTTCCCGGTTAAAACATTACAATGCCAACTAACACACTAGTTTGATTATTAATTGATGACGTGTCACTGAAATAAATGTTAATACAGTATGGTGAACTGTCGTTACTGTTTAATACATTATGTATTATAAATTATGAGATGTAAATAGCTATGAAAAACAATATCCACTAAAAACATTACAAAAAAGATGGACATACTTCGCATGATGGATGGGCTACTCTTGTACGTGAGAAGTTGGGAAGGTGTTATATGGAGAGAATTTAGTGTATATCTGAACGTAACGATTAACCATTGCTAAAACGATTCTGAGCGGAGTTCGGTTACACAAATTTTGAAAAGCCGTAATATTTAGGATTTTCGTCAAAATTTGATATTCAAATTTGTATAAAAGAAAAAATGTCTACTTTACAATCAATTTTTTTTTCGACCACAAAGTACGTCCTCTAATGAACTTCCTATTAAATTATCAACCAAACCTAACAAATAAAAATTGCGTAAAAAACTTTGCAAAATTAAAATGTCTATAGTCTATAAATAGTTAAAAATTGCTAAAATATTTTGAAAATAATACCATGTCTAAATAAGGTAAATATAAGTTGTTCTCCAAATTTCAAGTCTTTATGAAATTTTTTAACTAAATCACAACAAAAAACAAAATTGAATATAATACATTTTGTACATTTTCCCTTTTTTCCCAGTTTCCCCAAAAATTTCAAATACCACTTAAAAATCAAAAAAATAACCTTCATAAAGTACCACCCAGATGACATTTCCTTTCAGAAAAAGTACTACATTTGATAATCGGAGCAAGATTTCTGGTAGAAAAGTTATTTACGGATAAACAAATAATAATAAAAATATATAATTTTAAGATACATGTATAATACAGTTCAACACTTATTTATTTTAATTTATAACATGAATATTTATTTTCTTTCAAAAATGTAAATACTCATAACTTAATTTTATTGAATACAATTCTGATTGATGATAGTTTTTTAGGCTGTTTTAAACCTAGTATATGTTAGACCAACATTTTTGTAGCAGATTCCATTGGGTTTTTAAAATATATAGGTAATGAACTCAATATTTCTATGTTTAAAATGCTGTTTTATTTGAATTTAACATTATTTTTTATACATATGTATATATCTACAACATACCTACTTATTATGTTACCATCTTATATTAAGAGTAGAAAATAAATCAATAACTTATACATGCAATTGTATTTTACTAAATAAATGCAAATTTGTAATTATTGGTCGCCTGTTTCAATGTCAATTTATAGATTAGGTACCTTGTCAAGTACCTATGAAGCGTATTTATTTTATCGTAGTTACACTATTGATGGCAGACCAAATTATTATGTATTGGTATTTCCACCATTATACATATTTATTTGATAACTCATTGTCAGTAGGATTCTGGTCGAATTCGAAATTATCCTTTGGTTAGTTGCCCTTGTTGTCAACACCTGGCTGCTGAAGTCATAAATAAATGAAAATCAACATTAATTGATAAAAATATTAATGGTGGTGTGATACAATATTAAAAGATTTTAGTTGTTTCTGGTGAATTCTGAATACTAACTCTATACTTACAAGTAGTAACTTATCTAATCCTTAGTTCCCAATTTATTTTCAAAAAATTAATTTGCTGGGCATTTAAATTATTTTTGAAAATCATATTTCCATACAAACTATACAGAAAAAAAAGATAGGTATGATAGATTATTATCAAGAACCAAAATATACGAAGGCTAAAATGTATCAGATTAATACGGGTTTGATTATGAAAATTATAAATAATAGTAGCTGACCACATCTACGTCATATATGTATTAAATAAAATGCATGGCTAAATGATAAACATCTCTAATTATTTTAATTAGACAATGATTCATAACATTTATGCTAAAATAATCATACATTAAAATTTAACATAATAATATATTCCAAAATTTAATTAATTTACCCAATGGTTCCTACGTTTAGGTTTAGGTTAACTATAGTTAAATAAATTTTGATTTGCAGATACGATAAATTCCTTATAATAATAGGTTAGGTACCAATGATAAAATACGAATACCTATTGGACTGTTTTATCTATCGAAACATAACCAACGAATAAGATATTCTACAGTTTATTTAAGTACCTGTTACATAATTGAGAACAAATATATTTGGTTCCATAATGGTATACTGTAAAATATAATAAACTATGTTTTATTTATGCAATTTGTGTAATATAATATTATTATATACAGTTCTTTTGAAACAAAGTTATCTTTTTATTACATTTCTTTTTTCTGGTATTTTATTAAAAATAATAGCATTGTCTTATTATTCAGCTTTTTTTATAATATTTTATAAATTTTTTTTCCTTATATTCTATGCACATGCATAAAATGACATTTTAAATTACATTAATACTTACTAAATATATGATCTAACCTTAGATAGATATATTTTTGTTGAATAAATGCAATTAATAATATTGTTCCTATCTACTTAATACAAATCATAAAGTGCCTAATGTCATTAAACTTAATGTAATATTCAACAATTGATAATAATAGGGATATGCGTTATTAGAATATTTGATATAAAATTATTTTAAATATTCTGACCTAAGGAATGTACCTGGTAGTTTTACTACAGTAATGTATATAATTACACCTGTTTAATTAAAAAAAGTGTTCTTAAAATTGCATGCATGCAGCTATATTCAAACAATATCAAAATATACAGTGTAGAACCTCATTGTTGGCCTAATTCTAGTGACTGCGAACTGATCACTATCTGATGTTTTTAGATTACTTGACTCTTGTTTTTTTTTTTTTTTTTTTCAAACGTTCAGTATTACTCTTTTAGTAATTTAATAATTTCTGAGAGATTTAGTAACTATCACAATCTCCCTCTAGGTCTCAACTTTACTCAATACTGAACTATTTTTCTGTAAGTGAGTAAAAATTCTTAAAATTTAGTAAATATTCATTAAATAAATGTATACTATTATGTAGGTAGTTACATTTTTTAGAATCTTTAAAGTGTGTCTAAGTAGATGTCTTAAATAGTAATAGAATACAAATAAGTTAAAGTTGTGATTTGTATAGTTTTATTTTATCATATTCTAATTTACAAAAAATATTCAAAACTGTAAATAAATTTAGTGGAAATTGTGATAATAGCTACATTTTAAAACCATATTATATCTTACAAACACTCGTGCATTGTTATAACAAAAAAAAACTATTTTAAGTTCAAGTTTTTTAAGACAAATTTAGTGTGTAGGTATGAACGAATTAAAAGGATAAACTTATCATTTAAATTTAATAAATATATAACTTTAAATATTTAGGTTTGCATTAATCACATTGTGACTAAACAATTACTATAATATAAATTTATATTATTCTTACAGGGAATGACTAATGGTTCTGAAGAAGTAGTTATCAATCCAAACCAACAACAAAGTCGTGGACGATCAACTGCTTACAGAGCACGTTGTAGTAGTATTAATAGTTCAGTAGGTCCAATGCGACCTGAAAAACGATCCGCTGATAAGTCACCATACTCAAGTGGTCCATACTTATCACCCCCGCCTCCGTCGGAAACTATCTGGAGACGTACTAACTCAGATTCTGCTTTACACCATAGTGTGTCACAAAGCAGTTCTACCGAATCATTGGCTCATTTACACAGCCCTGGATCTCAACGCAGAAGTATATATTTAGATTTTTTTTTTTTTCTAGATTTATTAATATTTTAAAATATATTTTATTTAGCCTTAGTTGATAACCAACAATATGATAAAAAACGATACTTGTCAACATCGCCTGATAAAAGACCTCGATCTTGCTGCGACGTTCCTAGAGTTCCTGGAATTAAGTAAGTTAGTCTTATTCAGTGTTAATTTAATAATTTCTAATGTTTTTTTATTTTAGCGTTTTTACCACTCAACAAGAACCCGGTGTTGTGCAAATACCTATTGGTAACAATACTGGTTCATTGCCAGACCTCACTAACTTCCAGTTTTCTCCACCAATTCATGCCCCTCTTGATCAGGATGATCAATATAATTTATCATCTCCTTACAATAGCAGTGTAAGATAAATATTTTATAATTACAATTTTTTTAACTCATTTGTTCTTTCTTTTAATAATTTTGCTACTAACAATATGCAATAAAATAAGTAATAGTATATTTTAAGATGTACATTTAGGAAAACTGGGTTTCTTAAATGTGTGTGATTAGATTAGACTCTCATTTCAGCAGAGCCCATTAACAACAGATGGTTGTAGTCCTCAAGGTTCTCAAGGCTCACAAGGTACTCCGAGCCAGAGCCCAAGTGTCCTCTCCCCAGTATCAATTAATAGCCGTACACCACCTACACGGTTTTCATTTACAAGTTCACCACCACCTGATTCTCCTAACCAAACTACTGTGGTCACATGTGACATTGTGTTGCCAGTGAGTTTTCCTGTTAATTTCTTCTGAAGTTTCACCCACCCCAGTTAGATTTGATTTTATGTTTATAATTTTGTTGTTTTTATGTTTTATTTTATATGCTTTTTGTTTTGTAAATTGCTTGACATATTTCTTGTAACATAACAATACATATCATATAAATACAAATATTATCTTATTTTATCTGTCGTTGTTTTGATAGTATTGTTCATAGTCAAATGCAGACTGGTAAAAAAAGGAATGTGATATTACATAATATTAAGACAAATATAGCAAATTAGTATTAACATGAAAAAAATACACCCCATGGGTAATCCACTATTATAGGTACAAGTTAAGAAGTTAAGATATGTATAACAATGTAATTTATATTCATACAAAATGATAAAATTATTACAAACAACAAAAAACGGTTCTGAGCGACATTGGGTTAAACAAAGTTAGATATATTAAATTGAAAATTAAATTAATTCACATTTTAATAATTAATTACATTTATTTGTGATTTGAACAGATATTTACATAGATTTGAATTTAAAATGTTAATAAAAATAAACAAAATTAGTATCCATATTACAAATGATACATTCCTCTTATTTTGAATATCAAATATTAAAAGTTTTATTTAGATCAGGAGAAAATTATAGATTCTTATAACAACCTAGCATAAATTTGATTTTATATATATTATATAGATTATGTACCTAGATTGTATTAGAAAAATAAATACCAATTATTGGTACAAATAAATTTTGGAGCATTCCGAGTCTGTTTATAATTTATATATTATTATTGTGCAATGTAATTTTAACTTGTACATGTGTCTGTTTATTAATTGTTATTATTGCTTGCTTGCTCTATTGTATGTCTTATTGTATTTTATTTTTATACATATATAAATTACATTATATGTAATATTTAGATATTTTAAATTTATTTTAAGTATATTGATATGATTGCAGAATCACCTAAGTGTTCCTTACTTTGTAAACCATAGGTTGCAACGCACATGCAAGGTTAGTTGCACGCAATTAATTACATTTTATTTTTAAAAATATATATGTATACAGAGTGTCCCACAAAAATATAACCATTGTAATATCTTCCGAGATAATAAAAATAATCAAATTATGTTTTGTTTTTTTTTTATATACTATTCACTGGGATAAGAACTTCAAATATTTATATTTGAATTGATTATTTATGTTTTTGTAAAATCCCTATAAAAAAAAAAAAAAACTTACTATTTTCAAAAACTTTGAACTGTTCTACATATATTCTTTTGAAAATTTTGATATTTCATCTTTTAATTTCATTAAATTTGTGATTTTTAATAATTTTTTAAATTTCAAAGAAAAGTATCTTTAATACCTAAGCAACAGACTGTAATTGCATTCACTTATTGATTATTATTATTATGGCTATTTGTCTTTACACTTTTTTCCCAGAACTTAAAAAAATGATTTAAAAATTGATACACTAAAACTTCTATTAATGGTCACCTCTATGTAACGGTCATTTTTTGGGGGTCTCATCAAGTGTTATGCTTCTATAAGATACCTCTAAATAGTGGTCATTATTTCCATACCATTGGTTCCTTCGGTAACCATTATATGGAAGTTTTACTGCACATCAAAATTTTCAGAAGAATAAACTTTATACCATGATTTCAAATAACTATGTTTAAATTTTTCAAAATTGATTAAATCAAATTTAAGTGTTTTAGGAAAACAAAAAATTAATTCAAACATAATTATTTATAGCCTTGTAAATAGAATTTGAATATCTTTATTATCTCCAGAGAAATTTTGATGGGTATATTTTAGTGAGATATGCTGTAAATAGCAAACTTTTGTTGTGCTTGAAAAATTTGAATTTTATGTCTGTGTCTGCATGATAGTAGACAGAGTATTTTGTTTGTTTTCTTAGCTTTCATTAATTAATATTATTAATAAATATATTTATATAAAAAGGGGAACGATGTGTTGCTAAATACAAGAATAGTCTATCTATGATATCTATTCAAGTCTAGATAATAATAGACGTGTTGTTATTCACCGGGCCACATCGTACTCTTCCTTCAAATAATTAATTTAAATTCATTAAAAAACATGTGTGTGCATAATATTTGTATAAACTTATTTTTTACAGGGGTTTACTGTAGATAATAGTCCAGGAAATGGAAATATAGGAGAAAACTGTAACAATAACATTAAAATACAAATGTTAAATCAAAATTCAAATATAAATTGTGTAACAGGCCAAATAAATGGCATAAAAATGAGCCCTGTACAAAACTTAATGTACCAGCATATTCCATTATCACCGGTACAACAACAAACTCAACAATTATGTAGTTCAATTAATGGTCAACATGAAATAAATTCCTCACATGTATGTTTGCCTACCATAACATAAATATTTTATAATTTTACATGTTTGTTGCTATTTCAGTTAAACATAGGAAATTCCCAACTTACAAATATAAACTCATTAGGATCATATAGAAACCAACAATCCAATAGTCCAAGTCCACAGTCATCTCCTGGACTTACAATTCAAGTATGTAATTTATCATATTGATCTCGTCATTTAGTATCAAACCACAACATTTGAATAAACAATATTTAACTTATAATAACTTGGTCCAGCTTAAATGCCCAGGATTTTTTCTAAAGTTATTTTTATTATTTATAAAACTAAAAATAAACTACAAAATCTTAATCATGGGTACTTCCCGAATAATTCCAATTTCGTAGAGGTACCTTCAATTATGCTATAAATATATATGTAATTAAATTAATTTGTATTATATTTTTTAGTATGGTAGTTCCAGTCCATTATGTTGCAGCCCCCAAAGTCCATCCTCCCCAAGTAGTTCTTCTGTTGGTAGCAATAATCAACATCAAAATTATCAAACACAACAAGATTTTTATTCAAATCAAACGCAAACTAACAAGCTTCAACATTGTTTTGAACAATTCACAATGGTAAGTTACCTAATCAGTATATTTATACAATATACTAAATATAATAATTTGTTTGCCACAGTTCCAATTTGAGTTCTTTCCAACTTTACAGTTATTTAAAAATTATCTAATAATTGAACTTTTTTTTTTGTAAATTGTATCATATATTGCATCTCTGTAATTGTTTTATCCTTTATTGTAATACTTCCATTTTGAACAATCATGATGCATCAAGTTAGTTTTGTGGCAAACAAACCATTATTCCAGAAATGATTAAAATCTATTTTCTAAAAATGTGTAGAGTTAATCTTTTAAACACATTAATATATAAGTAAATCAACGTTTATAATAGTGTTGTATTTTAATTTATGCTTGCGTTAATAACGGAGGTGGTAAGTAAAAATAATTATTGCTCTTTTTTAAGACAAATTGACATATTTTAAAACCTTGTTTTCTGTATTGTTTTGAATATTTAATACAAATAAATTAAGTTTGTATTTAATCATTCTTTCAAGATTAATTTTAGTTAAAATATAAATAAAAACAAAAGAAAAAAATAGTTTTTAATTAAAACATGTTAGTAATTAACATAACATAAGTTAGTTATTTTCTCGGAAAGCATAAACTTTTTCAGAATTTGTTTTATAAAATATTTAAGAAACTAGCAGCCCTACAATTTTACATCAATATTTTTCTTTTCATCTGTTTTTGGGTGTGACATCACTGCTTACTTTTGGTTTTCAAATGGTAACTTAAATTAACCCATAAGTACTATCTTTGGATAAATAATTTCCCAGGCTATTTTTGTGTGAACATTTTATCAACATCATCAGTTGTACATTATCAATGTTCACGATTTGTACCTGTATGCAATAAAGTTCTATGTGTTACTATACTAATAAAATACTATGAAGATTTATAATTTTATTTTAGATTAGTTTGTCTTTTATCAACTAACACCATACGTTACTGGAGAGATCTAGTGATGGCAATGAAAACTCTTAGAGAGCATTAAGGGCCAGTTGAAAAAGAAGAAGAAGTTTGTCTCTAATAGTCGGTTAAAGTGTATCTCTATCATGTTTGGAAATAAATTATCCCACGGAAGTAATAACGTGCGTAGTATAAAACAGGTTTCCAACATACAAATATTCATATAATTTGTTCAGAATGTTTTTCAGTTCATAGTATTTTCAAAAACATTATTGTTTTTTTTTTTTTTTTTTCCATACAATAATTTTTATTTGATTTGTTTTTATTACTGCTTGCATTTTTTTTTATAATTTGTATTTATTATTAGAATGTCAATGATATGATATGAATGTATAAGGTAAAATACTTAACTATGTGTATATACCACTTGAACCATTTAAGTGGGTACACTCATTATCTCTGAAAGTATTAACTTTTTTCGGAATTTGTTTTTTAGAACATTTAAGAAACAAGCTCTGCTCTACAATTTTATATTTTAGTTATTTTTTTTTTCATCATTATTTTTAAAGGTAAAATCACTACCTACTTTTGATTTTAAAATGGCAACCTATAGTAAAAAGTCAATAAATAGATGGAGTATTAGTTAAAATAAATTTTTCGTGTCAACATATTTGATTTTCACTTACCTGTTAACGAGATATTCCAATTTTAAGTTTAGGTTGGATGAGAGTAATGGTGCATTATTAACATGTCGCGCGCCGTACTGTCACACAAATGATACTCCACTACTCTCCTCAAACTTAAATGTAGTGGAGTATCATTTGTGTGGCGATACAGTGCACAGCTTGTTAATAATGCAATACCACTCTCTTCCAACTTAAATTTTTAAGAATATTTCTTCAATGCCTTGACAGAAATCAAAAGTTTCAACACTAAAATTTATTTTAACTAATACTACATCTATTTATGGGCTTTTTTTTTTTATTTATAGGTTGCCATTTGAAAATCAAAAGTAGGTAGTGATTTTACCTTCAAAAATAATGATGAAAAAAAAAAAAACTAAAATATAAAATTGTAGAGCAGAGCTTGTTTCTTAAATGTTCTAGAAAACAAATTCCGAAAAAAGTTAATACTTTCCGAAATATTGTTATATTAAGTGTACCCACTTAAATGGATCACCTGGTATATTATATTTTGTATTAAAAACAAAATAAACAGTTGTATTATTTAAAAAAAGAAATATTGATGAAAATGAATAATTAGGATATGTTTACTCCATGTGAGTAAATAAGACAAAAATATCATGCAAGTGCTCCTAAGTTAAAATTTCAACACCAAATGCATTTAAACTAATAAACTTATAACCAATACTCCATCTATTTTTAATAAAGGTTACCTTTTGAAAATCAAAAGAGGTACTGGTCTCTTTCCCAAAAACAAGATTAACTAAAAATAACATTATTGTAAAATTGTAGAGCTAGGTGTTTTTTTAAATAATCTATAAAACAAATTCTGAAAAAAACCTTTTACTTTTTGAGATAATAATATGTTATATTGATCACCCTGTCAAATTCAAAATTGATATACTTTAAATGTTCTATTAATATTCATCTGTAACTTATCTAATACTAATAATAAGGAAACGGATTTGTATGCACAAAATTGAAAATATTAACTTAAAATTTAATATTATTAAAAAAAAATTATTTTATTAAATATTAATATTATGCGATTTAATTTAACTTAAGTATATTAATACAAAATTTTTGACCCAGCAAAAATGTACAAAAATTTGTCACAAAGTACATATATTGTACTTCATTTACTCTTCAGTATCCTGGTTGGACTACATTGATAAATTGTTATCTCAAGCTAAGGACAATATCTATTATATGGTGAAATTTGTTACTTCTGATTTATAAAATTATCTGGAAATAAGTTAAAAACTGAACTCTGATGCTTCATTTACAATCAAGCTAAAACAAAAATTACTAATTAATTTTACATTAACTAGAATAATTTAAATTTTGTATTCAATTTTAATTATCTTATTTAATAATTACATGTATTTGTATGTAAATCCATTTCCTATTAACAATTCTATAAATAAGTACCTTTAAATTATACAACTGTAAATTGATGTTTTATTTTTTAATTTTCACAAACATTTTCAATATTTTAAATTAAAAATATGTTCTTCTGTACATTGCAAGTTAAATTAAATGCACAATACAATAATATTTGTTTTTGACCACCACTATACATGTTCCTCACTTGAAATATCAAGTAGTTATGTGTACTTATTGTATATTGGTTGAGTATGGAACAATTTTCTCTCTGGACATTTTCCTCCGGCTATTTTTGGAAGAGTAAGACATTTTCCTCCAATATATTTTTTAATGCTCTTATAAATTCCCTGTATTTTTTTAAAATTATTTATTTTTTATTTTGTCTTAATATGTAATAAATAGGCCCTGAACTTAATGATATAAAAATATGTTTATTTTTTTGAAATAAGTATTTGAATTAAAAATATCCCGTAAATTTAGTACTTAGAGTTTTTTATCATACTTAAAATAAATCTTCAATTTTTCTTTTTCTAGTTTCTTAGTTTTTTACTAATTACACTGTAAAAATTATAGGAAGTTATATTAAAATAAGGAATTTAGATAAATAAATAATAAATTGGTAGTGTACATTTCATGCCCATATACGAGTGCATTTTGTACTTTCCTGTGCTTGGAAACATATGGTAGGGAGGATGTACAACCCCCACCAGTAAAAAATGAATTTATAGTCAGCAATTTAAACAAATTGCTAAGTAGTTAGAAATTTCATTTATTTTATATTTACCGGGAAATAAATAATTATTTAAATTTTATTAGCCTTGTAATGCCTCTGGAAAAATAACGTAGATTGTGGGATCTTACCGTATGGAAAGTGCTACGGCAGCGGCCAAGACCACCACTTAAAAAAAATTGTTTGCTAAAAAAACCAATAGCAAAAAAAAATGAGTGTATATGCACACCACCATCTTCCTACCAATCCCCGTGAATAATTGATAGTACCAATTCTGTAAATAATTGCAAATATACCTATAAAAAGTAAAAAATCCTTAAAATGCACCAAAATTAATAAAAAATAAAATAAAATTTGTATCACTGAATTCTGTGTGACGTGAATCAAATGTCTATAAAGACAAGCTTCGAATGTAAGCATTAGAAAAAAAGATACAAATGCATCAAGTTACAGGTGCTAGTAACAATATAATACAGAATATATTTCAATAAATGTAGGTTTAAATAATCACAATATTTTACAATAACCCATTGCATATATAGTATTGTATTAAGTACCATTAAAATCTAAAATTGTATCCAAAACCCCTATCAATTGCTTAGACTTTTAAAAAATGTATTCTATTTTATTTTATCACACATTAAGGCAAAATTAGATATTAGATAAATAATAAATAAAATTATATTTAAAAATATGAGGGGAAATGTACGGAAAAAATTGCCATACTACGCCAAAAAATAGCTATGGGAGGGGGATAAATGTCCAGAGGAAAATTGTTCATTAACCATATTGGTTGTGCTATCATATAGCAGGACTGGAATCAGATCATCCAAACGTTAAACGGGTCAAGCTCAACAGCTTGGATAGCTAACCCTTTGAAGGTAAAATGGTCACAAATAGATGTAACATTTTATACCTTATAAAGCACACATTTTCTTGCTTGTAGCATTAATTACATAATATATAGAGCTACTCAAGCAATAGTAATATTTGGCGACCAGCCATAGACATCAGCTATGGAGCGCAAGAATAGTTAAATGCAACTATGGTGGTACCTTTACCATAGATGGGCAACAGCAAGGTATCTCTCACCCATCTATGATAAAGAAACCACTACTGCTGCATTTGACTATTCTGGTGTTCCATAGCAATAGCGGCTTTGGGTGATCGCCAAATATTAACATTGTATGGACTATCTATGTATTATATAATATCAATACTTGTAGTTTATAATAACAAATTGAATAAATATTAAATAAATAAATAAAAAGGTTATTTTTAGTCTTACAAATTATAATTAAATTATAAAATGTTTAAAAAGCATGTTTAATTAATTTTTTATTACATATTCTGCAATAATATTTAAAAACAGACTAACAAAAATAATATTGATATATTTGTGTTTTTGATTAGCTTGACAGTCCTGGGTCAACGGGTATTGAATACATAGGCTCCCCTACTAACAACACATATTTACAACAGGTAATTATACACATATTCATACACATGTATAATCTAGTATTTGTTGGCTTAAATAAATATATTTTTATTTTTTAGACTGAGGACTATGGAAATTCAGAATTGACTGCTGATCTTGGGTATTACAGCACATCACCATCACAGTCTCTCCAATACCCCAATCAAACTATTACAACACCTAATACTCCTTCCAGTATTCCAGACATAATACTCACTGGTAAATTTATTTTAAAATCATTTTTTATTTAAACTTAAACTTTTATAAATATTTTACAGATTTTTCAAATGGGGATCAATTAGATAATCAAAATAATTTTGTAAAAGATATAAATCCCTCAGGCACATTTGATACAGACTTCTTCTCTGCTGAAGAAAGTATAAGGCAGGATATTGTTGATCAGATTGATTTGGACCACTTAGATCATTTGGAAATGTTAGGTGAACCAAATATTGATAACGAGGAGACTAATAATGATCACTTTCGAATATAATCAATTATTTCTAGATTTTTATTTTATTTGTTGTCTGTGATTAATTGATAATATTCAACTTTAGAGATATATAGGGAAAATTATTTTTTTTATATCACAAAAGTGCCAGAACATTTTACTGACAACTAAGCTGTTATTATTTTCTTCTTGCTATATTATTTTTCAGTGCCAAAGGACTCATAAGTTTTTATCTAATTTCTTCTAATTTTGTTTTGTTTTGTTTTTTTTTTTTTTTTTTTTTTTTTTAGTTACCATCCGATATTCTGACCATTGTTGCATTTCATATTTATTATACTTTTTTTTTTCTCTTTATATAACAGGGTGATTTTTTTTTATCATGAACCAGCAATTATCTCAGAGAATTTTAAGTGAATTTGATTTCTGTTTTTTCTAATCATTATGGAATTGTTTAAGCTTTATTTTAAAGCCATTTTTAATTTTTTGTTTACTCTTGCTCCATATACATTAAATAAGTACATACATTTTATTTTCAAATAGGAACCCCCTACTTTCTTTTAAACATAGATTTAAATAGAGAATATTTATCTAGAAATTGATATGCATAGCACTATTATTAGATTTATCGTCTATGCGTTATAACAGTTTAAATTTTAAACTGTTCTTTAAAATAAAACTTAAACAATTCCATAATGATTAGAAAAACAGAAATCAAATTCACTTAAAATCCTTTGAGATAATTGCTGGTTCATGATAAAAAAAATCACAATGTATGTATATACATATATATAATATATAATATGATTAATTTATTGCACAAATTTAAATATCAGTAGCTGCCGAATCACAATTTATAGAAACTATGGTGCATATATTATAAGGTTATTATAGGAAAAAAATTGTATTTTTTATACAGTATATATTAATACTTAAAAATAGATATTATAAGATCCCTCTCCCACCCCTCATCATTTGTAATATATTTTTTTTTATTATTATTAAAAAAAATATTATACAATTAAAAGACAATGTTCAATTAAATTAAAAGATCTCGTGTTAGATATATTTTTGTTAATATTCTATACACATACACAGTACACATGTGTATGTGTGTGTATTTATGTATAATTATTTGTTTAAGCCTTTCCATGGCAAATTTGGTATGTATGTTTATAATTGTGTTCGTTTTAATGTGCCTTTCATTTTTATTTGAAAATTTAACATCTTCATTTAATTCAAAATAAATGATATTAAAGTTTATGGGGAAAAAAATATACATGTTAAAATTTATACATATATACGAGATAAAAATTAAATTGTTCATTTTTCAATTATAATTATTGAATCATGTTTAAGAATAACTTTAGGAAAATGTGTTCTTTATTTAAATTCATATTTGCTTTCAGGTTGCAAATAATGTATATGTTTCCCTGCAAAATCAAAATATAATATTTTTCTTAACTAAAGACTTAGTAATATTAGTCTTACATCTTTTGACTTTAATACCATTTTAATAGATTTATTTTTAAATACAAATATTACTTAGTTATTACATTGTAAATATTTTTTCAACATTATTGTACATATTAACTATGTTAATTGGTTTAGGTAAAGTGTTTGGAACTCTTTTTCATATTTTTTTAATGAATCTTGTTGCATATTATTATAAGTATAAAAAAAATATAACAAATATCATTTCTTCATAGCTGTAGACAGTGTTCAGTTATGATTAATTTTATAATAATTTATAAATATTGGATTTACATTTTAAAATTATTTGATCAATTGTATTAAAATATTTTGTTTTGAACGAGATAAAAAAATCATAAGTTTACATAATTGTATCTTGAATAATAAAATAAAGTTTAAAACTGAGTACATGGAGAGTTCTAAACTTTTTATTTAAATATGTAACTTGTTACATTAAAAACTTTTAGTAATTAAGAATTCCTACTTACTTGTTTTACAATTTTTTTTATAATCATTTAAAAAATAATATATGGTTTAATTTAAGGTTAAAATAGTTTTTTGACATTTTTATTGTTCATTAAAATTTAAAAAAACAAATCTTTATATGTTGACTTTGTTGTTTTATATAGCACTTATGTGCTAAACTATATTTGTTAAACATTTCGTTAATGGAGTTTTTATTTCTGTACTTACTGAATACTAGTCAATAAATTCAATAAATTTAAAATGCCCTTTTTTTATTGTAAAATGTTTATTATGCAAAGTGCGTCTTTTTGTTATAATTATCTTTTAAAAAAAAAAAAAAACTATATTTATAATATTAAAATCCAATAAAAAAAAAAGTTTAAGAATTTAACTAAATCATAATTATCAGTGTTTCTCAAATGATAATGTTATTTTCGCCCTGATAAAAACCATAAGGTATATTAATTTATGAATTTATTTTAAATTTGAGTTATCTTGTACAAGAACCCCTTGTCGAATAACATTTTTTTTTTTTTTTTTTTTTTTGAGAATGATAAGACTGTTGATTTTATGGGGTAATTTTAAGATCTTTTCTTTTTTTAAATTTAATTTCTTTACTTTTAATGAAGTCTCCATAATATGTGCATAATTTAAAAAGTAATTGGTTGAAAATTACTTGAAATTAAAATAATTTTCACAGGGCTTTTGTATGAACTCTACAAACACATTACATGACATAGATCAATTGAGAAACACTTAGTAAAATATTGACAACACTAGTCAACTTTAACTTGTATTTTTTTTTTTATTTTTTTCTAAGCAATTGATTAATATATATAATGAAAACATTAATTTGTACATTGTCCCTTTTTTTACTATTAAATTAAATTTGAATTCTTTAAACTTATACAGTCAATAATAATAATACATATTTTATGATATTTTTTAATATTTTATTTTTTTTTCTTCCCGTAACTTCCATAGCTCCCGTAACCATGTCCACCATGTACGTTGTAATTGGAGTAGTCAGCCGGTGGTGGGCTTGGGCTGGTGCTGTGGTGCGTGCATCTGTCAGGCAGTTGTGGTTTGACAACAAGCGCTGGCTCATAACCGCTGTAACTTGGTGGGCTCGGTGGACCATATGCTGGGTATGTGGGTTGTGTACTGGGGGGGCCTGGAAGACCATACACTGGGTAGCTGTATGGAGAGCTAGGCGGGGTCGCAGATTGAGCTAGAAAGTGGACATTATGACTTGGCAGACACTGTATACCTTGTGCTGGGTAGCTGGGCGGGCATTGTGGCGGTGTTTAAGAAGGATCTGAAGGACGTGATCTTGTACGGCTGTACGATATTCAATCAGTAGTGAACTGTATGCATAACCCCAATATGTTGAGAATAACATTGGTAGAACTTCTACATGCTTGTAAATAATTTTAACACAAAATTTAGTCGAATTACTTAAGGGGCCTTGGCAGTATCTTTTACTATGTCAAAAAACTACTATTTCCAATTCCAACAATACGAAACGATAATTATCTCGATTTTCATTTTGAAAAAAACTCGAATTGTTCCTAACAGGTACGAGAAAATGGCCTAGCTACAATTTTTGTTTTCATTTTTTGAAATGCATTAAATGTAGTCTCTATTTTCCTTTGACAGGTGCATGCGAGTGCGTGCAAGAGCCCCGTCCCGTAACTCCGTGCACGACAAACACCGTATTTATAATTATTGTTGGCGCGTTCCTAAAACAAAATCCAAATCACGATCCTATATATTATAGTTTAGGACGTTTATATTAAATTTGTAAAGATTTTATACAGTTTATAGCACAAAAATAATACATAATTGTGTAACCGCGTATTGGTTTACTTATTATTCCATACACAAAGAGTAAAATATTTTGTTATTTTGTTTTGCTTTTATTTCGCATTAAAAAACGAGTTCCAAATATAAAGTAAAAACTATAAGTTAACTTATCCGTGAGGAAAAAAACAAAAGTTTCATAAATAATATAAGAGGTCTCCATACCATGAAATTTGACACAAAAAAAAATACAATTTTTGATTCGAGTAAGATTTCTATTAGCAAATATGAGTTGTACAAATTTAAAATGAATTAAATATGTATAAATAAATTTGAAAATTTTGCGGTAAATATGTCCTTTTCATCTTTTTGGGTTTTTCCTTATTATTATGAAAACCACTCGAAAAATTGAAAAATTACTTTCTTTCTTACCAACTAGATCCAAAATGTTACAAAAAAGATCTTTTGTCATTATTTATTGGAGTAAGTTTTCCAGGATAATTGTTGTTCACAGACACAACAAAAATAATAGTAAAACCAATACATTCATAAAATCGGTGCAGCACGCTTGGACACACTTATACCTGTTCCGTGTTCAAAATCCACACAACATCTGGGCACCCAATATCTATAAAAACGTAGCGTGTTTCATAAGACGTTAATACCCACCTTTAAAATTTAAACTGAGTGCCGTTTAGCTTATTTCGACCGTCCATACTTCAAATTTAAAGATACCTAACACTTCGGGTTCAGTTAGATACGAACCAGAATGCAGCACAGATATTTTATCAACTCCTTATCCCGTTGTAACGAGCCCAACGTAAGGATGAAGACTTGGAGGGAAAACGTTGAAATAAATCAAAACTTCAACTTGAGTTATAATAATAGATTGATATTTACAATAAAAATACAAGTCCAATAATAATAATCTTCGCAAAATATACGTCCAATAATACAATTCAACATCAAATTAATTTGCAAATAATATTACAAGTCAAAAAATAATTATAAAACAGATTAATGTACAGTTTATCGCATTTTATCGATATGAACTCGTCTGATTAAATTATGTATTTGGCGGCGTTTTTATGCTCAAAGGAACACCGCCACCCGTCGTTTATAATCACGGCTATCTACATTATTTCATTATTACATTTTTTTATACTTACTAGGTATAAATTATTTAAGGATTGGGTCATCGGTTTTATGCGTTGTGTTATAAAAAACTATATGTTTGCTTTATTGTTTTAGGCCTAACCGCGATCTTGGTGTGTTTATTGTGTTTCGGTAATTTCCCGAATATTAGGGTGCAATTTAGTTTATTGCATTTTAATATAACCTCGGTTCTTCCTTATTTTGTTTCGGTCGGCACGCGAAAACGTTGTCGTTTTTATAATTCTAGTTAAATTCTTAGCCCCCGGTTTCGGTTTTGTGCTCTCATGGAATGGTCTCGCTTTTCGAATAATTCAAATACGTAACATTGTCAATAACGGCACGGTCACCTGTCTAACAGAGCTGCCAAACCTATAATATCTAAGGTCACGGTTAATAATTATAATAAAAATAATATCTTTATTCATTACTCCCTATAATAATATAATCTTTTTTCCTTCGTGTGTTTTTGTTTCAAATTCAAATTTAAACTTTAAATTGAATTCAACAATACAATATTCTGTGTGCTCGTTACAATTTACTTTTATCACATATCAATCAACTACTGTCTGTAGTAAAACCATCATAACTTTACATTATGAATAGATATTAACATTAGTAGTTGTTCCCCTCCCCTTCCGCAAACGATTTGACATAATATTACTATATAAGAATTATTTGACATGCCGAGCGATGTAATCAAATAATTTAATCAATATGCATAGCGAATCTATTGTTATTTTATTTACTCTGTGATCGCCACAGTGACGCAAATGGAATACGTGTTTATTAGAATATTATTGTCCATTGGTGTTTTACTAGTGATGGGCACTCCCGAGTGAAAACTATCGAATTACTCAATAGTTTCAAACTATCTATTCACTCGGTTGTTTTTAAACTATCGATAGTCAACAACACTCGGTTGTTTTGGAAACTAATCAGTACCAATACTACCGATAAAAACCTATCGGACTACAGCAGGGGCGCACCGAGAATTTTTTTTTGGAGGGAAGGCTAATTTAAATTATTTTAAAACATTAATAGTATTTATTTCAAAATATTTATATAAATCCGAAAGTTATGATATTACATTATATTACAAAATATTACAATTATATTTTAACAATGTAATCTAAGACGTTTCCTGTTTTGTTTGTAATATTTTATGTTAATACATTTTCGACGAATGAGGATTACGGCGATAAAATTTGTACTCGTTTGTTTTTTGCAATAATAGAGAGCAGAGGTCTTTTCCGGTACCCGTAATTGGAAGTATACGTATATAATATTGTAACTTATGTTTTACTTGTTTCAATATCGCTAGCTGATAATTTTTTATCGTAATTTAAAGTCGATACGTAATTAAATTATCAAATTGTTAGGGGCCAATCTCTTTTTTGGGGGAAGGGGCTTAAGCCCGTTAGCCTCTCCCCTTAGGTGCGCCCTTAGACTATCGAGTATTTCATTCTTATGATAATATCTATTCAATTGAAAAAGTGCTTGGTTGTTTTTATCGAATCAAAAACACTAGGTTGTTTTTTAAATTATCAATACGTTCCGCCCATCACTAGTTTGTACGTTGTATAAAAGTGATGAAATACAATATTTTAGTTTTAGTTGCCGTTTCGACCGTACACAGTATATACTAGGGTATAACGAGATTACAATATTTTTTGTTACCCGCATTATCAAAGAACGGCCATGTTTGCATACATGAACATTGTAAGTTTTATGCGAAACGCGCGCTATTCAGATTAACGTACATTCACAAAATTCGAATTTCCGTATAGTATTACGGTCGATATCATATTATACTGCCGAGTTCATAAAATAACACTAATATTCGGCCGGAACTCGATACCATGTGGACCATTTCAGCTATGATGTTTTAAAGGACGAGTTTCTTTTTTTTAACATCGTCTATCATACGATTATTAAATAGATTATTTTTTTTCTCAGTTAAACAATGTAGCGTACGCCTTACCGACGACGAAAACCGAACTGTATATTTACGCCTTTGTCGTACTATCCGTCATACTGTGGTGCCGTATGAGATGGGTGCACAGACAATTTTATCGTCTCGAGCACAAGATTAAAGGCCCGCCGTCGTATCCGCTTAAAGGGTCAATTTTCGATCTGAGCACGACTCCCGAGAGTAAGCTAATTAGAAAAATAAACGTTATGATACGAGACATTTTGGTTTTCCGGCCTCGCATCCCCGTATCCCTTTTTGTACTCAATATTATTCGTGAAAAATTACGTGCCGTTTCAGAAATGTTGGACAAACTCAAAGAATCGGCAGTGAAAAACGAATACGAACCAGTAAAGTTGTGGGTAGGACCATTCCTTTTCATCGGCGTCTACAAACCGGAAGACGTACAAGTAAATCGATATAGCCGTCCCTCATATCATTTTCATAACGCTTTTTCAACAATCACTATGAAGAATATATAAACATCGTACGTTTTACGTTGTGGTTGCAGATCGTATTAAACAGTTCCAGCGCACTCGAAAAAGGCATTATATACCACATCTTCCGGTACGCATTCGGCGAAGGTTTGTTCACTGCTTCAAGTAAGTTTTCTCGCATTTTTACAATTTTAGAAAAAAAATTAATAATATAATAATATTAGTAGTGGTACATAAATTCGGGGACTGGGCTGGATTTTTAAAATCTAATTTATGTACCTAACATCTGAAAATATTTAACAGAAATTATAAAATTATATTATAAGAAAATTTTCCATTTTTGAGAAGTTTAAAACCACAATAGAGTAGAATAGTTTTGATTTGTTGATTATTGAGTGTTTCATATTTTCCATTTGAGAAACTTTTTACATATCCATCTGGTAAAATCAAACTATAATCATCATCTAAACTAATACTTAACTTAGGACTGTATTTTGTTTTTATAATCCTAAAATTATCACATGTGTATTTTTACCCTAGTCTAGATCAGCAACTTTAATGAATTCCTTAAGGTGTTACCATTTAATTTTTTCTTAATAGCTTCCATTCATTTATTATAGAAAATATTTTTTTAAATTAAAGTTCAAAATTAAAAAAAAAAAAAAAAATAGAAAATAAAATATAAAACAAACTTGTAATAGTTTTCCCGATTCCAATCGCATACACGGTAGCCACCGATTTTTTCCCTTCCTCTTTTTTCATATATTTTTTATACACGATTGGATTGGAATAACTATTGTCCTAATGTTCTGAACTATATATCTATCACATATGGTCACACGAATATAGATTCCAGTTGCACATAAAGTTATTACCACGGGAAAGCTATTAACTTACCAAATCGTCCAACAACACAACACGAATAAGAGTTACAATCATAAAATAGATGTGGTATTATAAAACGATAAGTTGAAAAACTTACGGATATTATATCACGCCAGAGGCTGAATATTTTTTGCAAATATTATATGGTTTAATAAGAGGTTCGAACCTATTATCTATTGAATTGAAATATTTACCACAAGACCAGAACAATAGGATATTAAAGCAGTGGTGGCCAAACTACGGTCCGCGGGCCAATTCCGGGCCGCCATAATTTATTATTTGGCCAGCGAAAGTATTCTACATTACAGCACTAATTTGCGTAGCCATAATATTTTACATTCATATTAAAAAAAAAAAAAATCAAAAAATACAGTATATATTCTTCATATTTAAAATAATGTATTAAAATATAAATAAATATTTCCTAGTTTCTTATTGCTCATCGGCATTTACATTGTTAATCGGATATATGAAAATTGCTCATATTCTAGAACAGATTCGAAATCCCGTATCGTTATGCTGTAGCGTTTTTGTTGTTACGTCATTTAATAATATAAAAAATATTATCGTATCATCAATTAGTCATAAAATTGTTTTGTACGAGCACGACGGCTATAATATTAGATAATATTGATACAAGCACACAGCCATTATTCGTTTGCCGTCAGGACGTGACTCGGAAAATCGACTCGGAACATCGTATTTTTAAAAACCAGTGGGAATTACTTTTTTTTATAAAATGGTAAAATAAAGGCATGTGTATAATAAATAGAGAAACTATTTCAATTTTAAAAATATAATACAAAAATACACTATGAAACTAAACAAAGAGACAAATTTAAAAATCTAGTAAGAACAGAAAGAGTAGACAAATTTAATTTGTTAAAAAAAATATCACAATTTTCAATAAAACAAAACGTGTCTTTTTTCCGTGCAAGTTATCGGGTCACTCAGTTAATAGCCAAAGAAGTGATATGTGAAAAAGTGTATGCTACATGTTATTGATGAAATGTATCCTGAGAAAAACATGTTTGTTTGAACAAGTTAGTCTGTTATGCCAAGCAATAACTAGAAGAATAGAAGATCTTGAACTTAATTTTTTTGAATATAATGAATAATATAAGTATTATTACCAAATTTCAAGTCTCTATGTGTATTTATAACCGAATTACAGCAAAAAAACTAGCAAAAATTAAAATTCCTTAAAAGCTCAAGAGTGGCAATTGTTGGCGGTAATACCGTAAGAAATTTAATCAAAAAAAGCAACAAAAAAGGTATCTTGTGATTTTTCGATTAAATAATTTTTTCTGTTAGAAAACGTCGTCTATGATTTTATAAAATAATGAAATCGTGAAATTTTACGTTACCCTGCGTTTTTTCCCTACTTAGGTGGTTTTATTTAAAAAATGGCGTTGAAAACCAAAACATGACTTAAAAAGTACCATCTAAACAACTTTAAATTTTAGAAAAGTTACCACACGTAAAAATCGGAGCAAGTTTACTAAGAAAAAACGTGTCTACAGACTAGAACAATGAAGAAGAAAAAAAATAAAAAAATAAACAGCATTGTAAAACCAATAGCCCCTCGCTACGCTCGGAATCTTAAATGTGAAATAAAGACTAATGCTATTTCTGAATTTATTTACACTAAATACTAAAAATCGATTATTGGGTAGTCTAATTTTGAGATTTTTTGAGTTTGAATCGCGAAGCGAGAAATCATTATAGCTCAATTCTGTTTTCACCCACCCTTACTAAAGCTTAAACGATCTTTTAGAACATGTGATCAAATTTTGTCTTAAGGAATTATTAAGGGGTTTTGGATTCTACTGGATCGATTGCGTTCAAATATAACATATACCTTCAAAATACAATCTTTCTTAACATATAGAAATTTGGTTAAATTACAAAAAAAATAAATAAATTTATTAACAATACAAATTGTAATGTTATATTATAAGTAGGTATGTTATAATTTTAATAACACAAAAAATATTATTAGTTATATGTGTATTTGGTTTGAACAGACTATAAGCTACTTAACTACTATCGATTTTCATGCAATGCTTATCTGTTGTACACACAATACGTAATATATTATAGAATCGAATCCTTTAATTTAGATAACAACAATAATAATATGTATTTTTTAAAGATAGTTATCTATTCCTAGGTCAATGTTTATGTGAAAATAGTTTTTAAAATATTATTAAATTAAAGTATGTGAACGGACATCAGGGAATAATAATCTAACTCTAATTTCTGTTAAATATTTTCAGATGTTAGGTACTTAAATTATATTTTAAAAATCTATCCAGCACCCGCAGCCGCTATATATGTTTAAAAAAAAAACACATACAATCATATATATTTTGATAATATCCATATAATACTATATTTTATTTCAATAAAGATTTTAGACTAATAAATAATAGGGCGAATTTAAAATGATTTAATTATTTAAATATTTTATTAATTCATAAATATTTAATAACTTTATCGCAATACGTATTTTATCTATGCGAAGTTTTGGTAACGATTTGGCATGCTACGTGGCTACAAACAAGTTTTATAAGATTACAATTTTTTTTTTTTTTTTTTTACTTTTCCACCAGTGCTCAAAATGGAAAATAATATTTTGAACCGTAACACATTTTTTTTTTTTTTTAAATACTTATACATTAATAAATTATTAAACAGTAAGTGTGTATGATATATGGACAGCAATGATAAAATGAACAAGAATTGCGTTGCCGTTCGTTTCGAGCCCTGAATTAAGCACATCCTCGGACACAAACAAAACATAAAATTGAATTACATTTCTATAGATATACTGCAATGTTGCTATAGATTATTACGTATCAAATTACACATAATTTGGGTAACGATTTGGACTGGTTTTTTGAAACCATAATAACAGTTATGCTATAAATTGATGGAATAGTATTTATTTTAAATATTGTAATATTAAATATTTGTATTCACGAAGGATTAATAAATAAAATGAGTGGGGACATTGAGTTTAAATATTCGTTTTTGTAATTCATAAAGTTTTATCTATATTTTATTGAAGGATAGGGGTGAACGATATGTTTTGTCCTCCTATGATTTGAATGGTGAGAGGGAGGGGAGGGAGTTATCTGGTCCGGTGCCACAAAAATATATAAAACTATTAATTTACAGTGAACAAATGGAAAAAACACCGTCGCATCATAGCCACGATATTCAACACGAAATTTCTGGATCAGTTGTATCCGATTTTCAACGAGAATAATAAAAAACTGATCGAAGTCCTTTCGAAACACACCAACGACACGCAGCCGTTCGATGTTTGGGATTACATTATATCGTGTGATCTGAACAATATAAGCCGTAAGTCCGAAAACGTATTTATAACGTACTGAATAATGATTATAGAATTTTAACGAATGTTAATTTAATACCACTTGTTGATTCTATAGAGTTCGCTTTGGATTACGATCGTATCGATAAACAAACGTTGGCCGAATACACGCTTGCCATGAAAAAGTAAAACATTCGATTATTTGGGATTAAAATGATGGGATACCCATGGGATATGGTAAACTGCGGCAAAAATTTTCTTTTTCTAAGTCGATATGTAAACCGCAGCAAAAACAAATTTAACATTATACAAAATGCGCCAATTTACTTTATATACTTCAGGGTGGTCCTTATTTTCAACTCTTAAATTTTGTTTACAGTACCATTTAATATTGTTTTATATAACAAATGAAAAATATTGGTAAAATTTGGTATTGGTTACTGAACCTTTTCCATGCCTCTAGGGTGTTAAAAAATGGCCAAAGAGGGCAAATTTATGGTTTTTTATATTTAAGTCAAAAAGTATAGCACTTGGCAAACAAATAGATATGAGCTTTTATGTATAGCATATAATTTTCTAAAAATTAAAGATTTCCCGAGAAAAAAAGTAAAAAAAAAAATATTTTAATTTATTTGGAGAAATTTATATATTACGGTTTTTTAAAATTATTTTTGGTTTTAATCTGTTGCTAATACATTTTCCTTGTAGCTCGGGTACTTTTTACGATATTCTTGAATAACCTATATAACATACAAAATTTGAATTAATGTAGTATATATTATATATGTAATACGTATAATGTATATACCGATACGATAAACAGAAATCTATTAAAGTAGTAGAGTAAATCCAAATTTATTTTTACATAGGTACTAAATATTGGTTGCTTTACTTGTGATGATACTACTTAGACATCAGTAGACGAAGGTATATCATAGGAATAAGTGTCATATCGTAACATGGAATTTGCGACAATTTTTAGCCAGAATGGTAAACGAATAATAGTTTTAAATAGTTTTAAATTTAAATTTAGATACGAATCGAAAAAAAAAAAGTGGTTTTAAAACATGGGTTTATATGATAGTAGTTTTTATTACTATTTATATAGTAATGTTTTTTTCTATTTCATAGTTTTAAAATCTGTTTTTTTTTTTTTTTTTAATTTACCCATGTACTCTAAAAAACTCCAATTGACTATGTGAGCACCAAAAAAATAAAATGAAAATGTGTTTCGTTAGTCATTACTTGGTTATGTGTGTAATGACGAGGAACGCCATAGAGTCTAAAATATAGGTCTATGGCATAGACCTATATTCTATAATAATACGTACATGTTACAAGATAGTGTACAAACGTTATCGATCATTGATCATCTTATCGGTATATATATTATAATATATATGTTATGGGTAAAGTAAGTCGGGCACTGTGCACAATGCACAATTTTCGAGGATAAAGTTGGAATAAGTTTACATTGTTTAGGTTATTGTATACAGTGCCCAATTATATTTGGTCATTGTACATTAAAAATTGATTTTTTTATATTATTATTTTCGGAAAATGTTATGATAGTAGAATTCTGTAGAATTTATTTTTGTGAAAATTTTAATGTGTAATAATAATAATCCGATGATATCACATTTATATCCGATGAATAATTTCCATGATTTTAGACATAATTGTTGTATATCTACAACCGTGATAGTTTCTAAGTAACAGCCGTTTTAAATTCTACTAATCCGTGTGAAAACCGATGTTATATAGAAAACTTAACCGCGTAAAGGTATTTACACACTGCAGCGGTAATGGTTGGCCGTAGCGGCGGCGACATGTTAAACTGCCGCTGTGTTCACACTGCTGCGGTGGCGGTAGCTGTTTACTATGTATTTATAATTTTAATATTTATTTATATTATATTATTTATTTACCTATACCCATAAAATTATGAAAAAATATTAAAAAAACCGCCAGCGGCAACGGTAAAATTCGGTCATGTAGCAATTTTTATCGCGATATTTACCGCGGCCGTTTTACTCCAAAAAGAATACACGAGATCTATTAAACCGCTACTGCTACCGCGATAAAATCGGTTGACAGATTTCACACGGATTAGTAGAATTTAAAATAGCTGTTACTTAGAAACTATTCATCGGATATAAATTTGTGATACATTAAAATTTTCAGAAAAATAGATTTTATAGAATAGCTATCTTAACATTTTCCGAAAATAATAAAGTAAAAAGTTATTTTTTTAATTTTTTTAATAAAAAAAAAATTTAATTCAAATATAAATGTTGGTAGTCCTCATTCCTGTGAGTAATAAAAAAAAACATAATCTGATTATTATCTCCGAAGATATTCAAGGCATAAATCTTCGTGGGACAGCCTGTATACCTAATAAATATATGAAATAAATTGCCGTAGTTTATATGATGTATCTTATTGGTTTTGTAAAATTTTAAATTGGTTTTTGCCGTAGTTTACATATCGACTATTATAAATGGGAAATTTTGCCGGAGTTTACATACAACCGATTATTTTTGTTATTATATTTTATTTATTAACGTTTAAATTATGCTTTATAAACTATTTACAAATATTCAATAATTTAGTGTATCTATTAAAAAAAAAAAGTGACGGGTAAACGTGTTTTAGGGTTTTAGAAATAAGTAAGTGCATTGTAAAACCGTGGATGTATCTCTATTGGATTTTCACCGTTTACGCGTATATCACCGGTCTAAAAGTATACATGGATCAATTAAAAAGGATTTCATTACAGGTGAGTCTGGGTTTAGTTACAAAAAAAAAAAAAAATACGAATCGCAAAGTTCGGTCACTTGTGTCCGAATTTCTCCGTAATTGACTTATTGCTGTTAAAATACTTTGTGAATTTTTTTTTCAATATAATGTTAATGAAATAAACAAAAAGTTTTATAAAAACATAAAAAATATACTTCTTGAGATTTTTAGCTAACGTACAAACAATATACACATTTTAACCAAGTTAAAGACTTTTTTGAGTCTTTAAGAGTGTTTAAAACCTTCTGTTTCCTATGAAAACTTAAAATCTGAACATAAATACATAGGGGTGTCTCACCGTGTTCAACAGTTCCCATTATATTTTCTTTTTAGAGAAAAATTAAATTTTTATTTTTATCCCGTAATCCCTAAAAAGAAATATATTATTATTATTCATTTACAATAATGTTTAAAATAGTCATATTGTAAAAGGTATTATTCTAAAAATTTGAATACACCATACATTAATAGTTTTTTAGTAACAACTGTTTTGATTTCCAATGTTTTCAATTTATAATGCAATAAATTAAGCTATTCCTTATCGCGTTACGCGGTAGTCTCGTTTTTTACACATTTTCTCTAGAACTTAAAACGACTGTTACCTACTACAAACCTATTGATTAAATATGAATGTATGAAACGGTACAATATTTAGAATAATATATACATTTTACAAAATGACTATTGTGAAAATTATAGATGTCCTCCACGATAGGAATCGGAACGACAAGAAAATTATTAACAATACTAACAACAGACACAATATATAGTGCAAAAGTGTCCATTTAGTGGGAAAATTCGAAAAAAAAATTAATTGAATACCAGTAATAATCTCAAATTTTATGAATGTATACATAATAGATAATAAGAGACAAAAAACTCGAATTTAAAACCACGATGGCGGCACAACAGACGAATAGATCCACAAACGGCGACATTACCGAAAAAACAAGTACGAAACCAATAAATTAATTGTTTAAAAATATGTTTGCTGGTTAAATGCACAATATCGAAATGATTAAAACGGAATTTCAGTTAAGAATTCTCCAAAAGTGTTTTTGGACAAGTTGCTCAAGTTGAACAATGAAGGAGTGGATTTCACGGACGACGAACTCATAGACGAGGTCATAACGATTACAATCGCGGTAATACCAATTTTAATAAAACACGGATTTAGCGGCTTGACGGATAACAATATCAAAATAATAATATTATTCGATTTGCATACGATAATATTACGATGGTCTCGTTTAGGACAGTGGTGCCCAATCAGGGGTGAATTCCTCTTAGGTGGGAATTTAAATACTGCACAGGAGGAATATAATGACGATCAAATAACAAGAATTTTGTGGTTAAAATAATTATGCCGTTTTATAATTAGTAAAATTTAAAACGATAAATTAATTTTATAGTTGTATGATGTATAGTAAAACGCCATCTAAACTCTTATAGTCTTATAAGAGATTTTTGAAAATTTACAAGAGGAGCGTATAACAAAAGAAGTTGGGAACCACTGATTTAGAAAAACGTTATACTTGAATGTGCTGTGCTTATTTTACAACCAAGTGACATGGCACAGTTTTGTTTAACACGGACAACTTTACACCGATAGTTTTAATATTATTATAAATTACCGCGAGACAATGTCGTAACCAAGATTTTGTGTTAGGGAGGAGGGCTAAATACGCTTCTGTTTGAATCATAGGCATAGGTAAAGGAGGTGTGAGAGTTCGAAAGGATTCCAAAAAAAAAAAAAAAATTGCTTATAAAGTATTTTCATCAATATGCATTTATAATATACCTATAATAATTTTTACGAAAATTGATAAAATATCTCAGTTTAGCTTGTAACTGTGTACTATAATATTGTATTAATATAGGAATATATAGAACCCTATGAGAGCTTTATCCACTTTGGAGAATTTTAAGCATAGACAATAATTATATCGTTTTTATTTTTTCTTCTCTTTTATTTAAATTATCCGTGGCTAATCCATTGTATCTTTTTTCTAGTATATAATATGTAGTTGCTCCTCGTTTTCATATGGTCCAGTGTAGAAAACGTTATTTCGAGAGTGCAAGAAATAACCGGGGAAACGTATTTAGCACTCAAATTATAAAACGGTATACGTAAATAAATACGGCCCATGTGGGGGAGGGTTATAGCCGACCCCCGACTACGCCACTGTCCCAATATACCCAAAAGTGAACATATTAATTGTATAAAACGTAAAGAAAAAGAAAACGAATACTTTAACGATATCATTTAAATTTAATCTATAGAAAAAAAAAAAAAAAACAATTATTTCGGAACGATTACTGTACTTGTTGTAAATTTCAGGGTAGTGACACCAGTGCTATTACCCAATGTTTTTGTTTACTGTTGCTAGCCATACATCAGGATATACAGGTAAATCTTAAGAACAGTTAGCATCTAATTACTGTTATAGCGTTCTATTCGGCTTGCGTTTTCCACGTAAAATATTAATAATAACAATATGTTGTATATACAGGACAAAGTTTACGAGGAAATTTACAACGTATTGGGCGACAGCGAACGAGACGTTACGCCCGAGGAATTGTTTCAATTTAAATACTTGGAAATGGTCTTGAAAGAAACCCTCCGGATGTTTCCGCCGGGTGTGATATTTTCAAGAAAAACCAACGCAAACATAAAACTCAGTAAGTGACTGTGACATTACGTAAACCGTATACTGAGTAGACACTTACTCAATATATTATATGAAACGAAACTTTTTTTTTTGTTGTATAACGCGAAAAAGGATAATCTTTTTTTTATCCAATGAATTCGTTTTATTTTTACGCAGCGAATTGTGAACTGCCAAAGGGCTGTAACGTTTTCGTGTCTCCGTACGTCACGCACCGTTGCCCGGAGCTGTATCCTGATCCGGATTCGTTCAATCCTGAAAACTTTAGTCCCGAGAACGAGTCCGGGCGACATATGTTTAGCTTTTTGGCCTTCAGCGGCGGTCCCAGAGGTTGTATAGGTACAGTATATTTTAATAGAAAAAACGACAATCAGTAGGTGGGATTTGTAAACCTATCGTCGCTAATGATTACGCTACAATTAAGCTCTTGAAAAAAAAATTTAGAATTATTTTTTTCGGAAAGCAAAAGGCCATAAAAGTATTTTAACGGAGAGTGTTTGTTGAAGTTCCGAATAAAAATGACCCATGTGAGAGTAGTAGTATGATGAAATCGTTGAACAAAGGAAAAAAATATATCATTCGGACCGTTATTTTGTAGTCGAGCTGTCACGCTTTTCATAATGTACAATTTTTAACAAAATCCCAAAAGACGTCGAATTGATAAAAAAAAAAAAGTTTGGCTGAATTTTTTTTCAACAACAATCTATATACAGGCTCGTAGAGTTGTACAATTTTGTAACGTAGACTCTGGAGTCTGGATTGACCGAACGTCCGATTTTCCATGGTATCGGTCATTTCCTCGACATTTACGTATAATTATAATATGATGTAATAAGAAATTTTTTTTTCCCGTAGGTGCCAAATTTGCGATGATCTCTATGAAACTGATGGTGATCACGATATTGCGCCGGTACAGCTTGCACACAAACTGTACGATGTCGGAAATCAAAATGAAAATTGATTTGTTAGCGAAAAAGGCCAACGGTTACCCGATCACGGTCCGACCGAGGGTGAACGTTGTATAACTTATTATTGATATAATATTATTCACAGTACTGTGATTTTTGAAATAAAATATATGTTGATTATGTTTAAACTATAACAATTATAATATTGTTATTATTATTGTTTATTATTATTAAGTTTTTTTTTATTTTGTTTGACTTGATGAACTTAGTCATGAGTTAATGAACATGCTTTGCACCACGGGTGGGTCACTGAAGGTGAGAAGTTGGAAAAATAGAATATAAAAGGTAATTTAATTTACATCTGTACGCAAAGATTGATCATTGCTAACGGAAAACGAACGAAGCTCGGTCAAAACTAGAATTGCTTTTTTAACAAATGTGCTTTTTCACGACGACGATTGTTTAAAAAAGATTAAAATAATAAAGCAATAAAGTTATAATAACAAAAAATAAAAAAGAACGGTTGCCAATGACAACCTTATTTTTAATCTTTTAACCTTTTTTAATCTAAAGAACCGGGTTTTCCTCATTATCTCGAATATTTTCTCGAATTTCAAAAAATAACATTTCTGAAGAACCAACAAGAGCCTTTTGTCATATTTTGATTGGAACAAGATTTCTAAAAGAAACTTTTTAAACAGTATATGTATAAAAAAAAAAAAAACATAATTTTAAAACCAATGTAACTCTCTCTTCATTCAGAATCTAAAAATAACTGATACGGGGGACCGATTTGCCACCGTTGAAGGCATGAATTCGGAAAGGTAAGGAGTTATTTAATTTACATCTGCAAGCAACGATTAACCATTACTAATGAAAAATAATTTTATATGAAGTTCGGTTGTACATGTTTTGAAATGCATTATTTTTTCCCCTTATTTTGGTCACGATTTGAACTGTTTGAAAAAAAATATTTCGGAGGGAGGGTGTGGTTAAATTTGAAATTCACATTATTTATATGACTCAGATGCTCTCAGAATCGTTTTTTCGTTAGCAATGGTTTATCGTTGCTTACAGATATAATTTACCTATTACAGTGGCTGCACTCATTTTTATTATCCTAAAACGTATTTTTTATTTTTATAATAATATAATTTATAATATTTTTCATTTAATAATAATTGTATATAAAATACGCGGTATAGTGTTATTAAACACGGAAATTGGATACTCGGAAACTACATTTTAAAAATTATTTGATAAATTTTTCTTGATATTGAGCAGTTTAAAATCAGTAAAATAAATGTATATTTTAAGTACGAACTAATAATAATATTATAATGTACCTGCCTAATGATTTTACTTTTTATTTTTTTAGCCGAATCTATTATTTAATCTAATTTACAATTTTTGTTTAAATATTGTGTCCCAACACATGGATCACTCAATTATCATACACCCAGTTACATCATAATGCCACTATTTCGAAAATATTTGATATAAATTAAAATTCTAGGTATTCTAAGATAACTATTTTTAAATTTGATACCTTAAATAGAAATTCGCATAATTTAATGGTCTTGACTACAATTTTAATTAAGCATATATAAAAATATTTTATTTAATTATAATTTTTTATATAAGTAATTTAATTTTTATTCCCTTATTATTTTTCTTTATTTAGCTAGTAAATAAACTATTCAAAATAAATATCACATTAATTTTAAAAGACATTTTCATATGTTTGAGTGGAAAATGTTACAATTTTTTAATCAACATTTTATGGACGGGTGAAATAAAAGTTCATATCAATAGACAAGTCAAGAATCAAGATAATGTACTACATGAACGTTTGTCAAATAGTTGAATGATTACTAATTTTACATATTTTAATATCGTATAGACTATTGAACTACTTTTTAGATAACTATTTCCTTAAAGCTTCTGAAAGTAAATTATTTACTTTTTATTGTAAACTTATTATGATTGTTCTTTCTCCGGTACAGTTTCCATATTTTGGAGGTTTCAATGTGGAATATGCTGCTAATAATTTATATACTTGTAAGTACCTTGTATACTTTTATGTATTAACCGTGATGATCTATGTGTTAAACATATAATCATAAATTGCAACTAGATCGTGCCACTAAAGTGGGACCCACGGCTGGGGTATACACCACGGTCTAATTTGCACTATAGATATATAGTTAAAGTATTCAGTTTTGAATGTTCTATGGCATAATGTTGATCAAGACGTAAATACATATTTTTTTGTATATTAGTGGTCGCGCTGCTGTGTATCATTTTGCGCCTCAGTGAAACTATTAAACGGCATCTCTATATTACTCTATGTGTTATACGCTCTCATATCACGTCAATTTATTATTATCACTATATTTGTTACTCACGATAGGTACGAATTATAGGTATGTCTGGCGCATTGTATGATTAACTGATGTGTGATACTATTGAATATAAATTATTTGTCGGCAAAGGGAGAGTTGTAGGTGTTCCAAGAAGTTGTTCGGTTGCTACGATACGGTGTGCGACAGCGTTCGAATAGTGTTCCACTACTAGCCCCTTATCAATTCTAAAAAGTGAAATATCTCATCATCGGGTTAACGGATATCCAAAATTTCTACACCAAAGTTTGTTTTAATTAATACTCCATCTATTTATGGATTTGTTTATTATAGGTTCCCGTTTGAGTTTCAAAAGTTGATCACCCAACATTTTAAAAAAATAAAAAAAAATTTTTAATTATTATAGATGGTTATAAATAAAGACATTTTTGTATTAAATATTTTTCTCAATTTTGAATATTTACATGATAAATGGCTATAACATAAATTTGAAACACTCTGTATAAATAAATTTGTTTTAATTACTATTTGTCTAACGATATTTATGGGCGATTTTCGTATCCCGGTGTAAACGTTTCCTTATTGATAATATAGCCTATATCCGTAAAACGTTATGGACGAAGCTAAACAAGGATTAAACTTCATCAAGTTAAGGCCTCAAAAATCTAGATTTTTAACAGTTTTGTGTGACGATGTGGGAAGTCTTCACTTTTCCAACACAGAAGTTAGCTGGCTTATCTCGCACGGTAAAGTTCTTACACGGTTAGTACAATAATTACGAAGTGAAGTTCTATCTTTCTTAATGGATCATAACGTTCAATTGACTGAATTCGTGAACGACGTGACCAGCCTTTGTCAATTGTCGTACCTGGTCGATATGTTTAGCTATGAACGAGCACAGTATTTCCATACAAGGAAGAAATCTGACAATTTAGAATGGTAGCCACAAAATACGAGCATTCAAAAAGAAAATCGATTTTTGGCCAGAGTGTACTACAAAAGAAGAATTGAAGTGTTGAATTGAATTGAATCTGCACTTCAACGCAGAACCTGATAAGACTCTAGTTGTAAAAAATAAAACCGGACATCGCCAAACATTGCTAACATAAGCAGTTCCACACAAATCTCATTAATAATACCATTTTATTCGCGTTTATAATAATTTATCTCATTTTTAATATTTTTAAAATCGACTTAAGCCTTTTTTCGCCCGAGAACAAAGATACATACAATAATAATTATTTTCATTGTTATTGAAAACGTCTAATGCCTAATGAATAGGATGATTTATTTAGGTGGGTACCTACATAGCAATAATAATAATATAGGGTAATATCTAATATCCCGTTCGTACGGATAAAAAAAGAAGGTAGGTATAAGGCATAACAGGTGCGGTTGAAAAGTAAAGAGCCCAGGTCGTTGCAAGGCAAAGTTTGTCAATGGAGGATAATACGGCGGGGAAAACTAAGTAAAAACGTGAATGTAGGCCACGACGCAGACTCAGCAATGACGTGATCCCGGCCGTTCCAGAAGCTCGAATTATTGAATAGGCCTCTCCGCGAACCCATTGTATGAATGGGAGTGGAACATTTTATCAACGAAATTATTTTAGCGAGAATATAAGTCAATGGACAAAATCGAGCACACAAAAAGTCGGAAGTTTAAAACACGGAGATAATTAATTAATATTCTTACTTTTGAAATAAAATACAATATATTTTGTTAAATCTTCTTTGACTATTATAATGCCTTTAAGTTAAATATAATACAATTAATAACGAGTAACATTATTGGGCGCCTATTTCCAATTAATCAAAACCACAGTTTGTGTGTGCAAATAGTATTTTCTACATGAACACTTATGTATTTTACGGATTTTAAATGTTATTGAATAGGTATACAGATAATATATTATATTGGTAAGTATATCTAATAATTATAATATTAAAAATACATTATATATAACTAATACAATATGATTGTACATAAAACGATAAAACCGTATTAAAAAATGTCAAATATTAATGAATACAAAAAAAAAAACCTAGATAAATATTTCAGAAAAGCGTTGTTACGTTTTATAATCTGTCTGTAACTGATATATTATTACGTAAAACAAAAATATGAATATATGTATTTTTAACTTGGCAATTGATAAAATATGGAATACGTATACATTTATAACGAGATAAAATGTGTTGCAAGTATACAAAACAATAATGTAGTGTTGTAGGTATATTTTAGAAATTAGTAGGTTCGAGAAATTTGAAGTTTGAAGCGGGGTTGCGCTACTACAAGGAATATTTTTAATCTAATGACTTATAAAATTATAAAATTAATTATATGGTGCCAATAATAGGATTTTCCGCCCTTCTCTACTTAATTAATCTCTTACTTAATTTCTTAAAAAATCTTTATATGTTGACTTTGTTGTTTTATATAGCACTTATGTGCTAAACTATATTTGTTAAACATTTCGTTAATGGAGTTTTTATTTCTGTACTTACTGAATACTAGTCAATAAATTCAATAAATTAAAAATGCCCTTTTTTTATTGTAAAATGTTTATTATGCAAAGTGCGTCTTTTTGTTATAATTATCTTTTAAAAAAAAAAAAAAACTATATTTATAATATTAAAATCCAATAAAAAAAAAAGTTTAAGAATTTAACTAAANTTTTTTTTTTTTTTTTTTTTTGAGAATGATAAGACTGTTGATTTTATGGGGTAATTTTAAGATCTTTTCTTTTTTTAAATTTAATTTCTTTACTTTTAATGAAGTCTCCATAATGTGTGCATAATTTAAAAAGTAATTGGTTTAAAATTACTTGAAATGAAATAATTTTCACAGGGCTTTTGTATGAACTCTACAAACACATTACATGATACAGATCAATTGAGAAAAACTTAGTAAAATATTGACAACACTAGCCAACTTTAACTTGTATTTTTTTTTTATTTTTTTCTAAGCAATTGATTAATATAAATAATGAAAACATTAATTTGTACATTGTCCCTTTTTTTACTATTAAATTAAATTTTAATTCTTTAAACTTATACAGTCAATAATAATAATACATATTTTATGATATTTTTTAATATTTTATTTTTTTTTCTTCCCGTAACTTCCATAGCTCCCGTAACCATGTCCACCATGTACGTTGTAATTGGAGTAGTCAGCCGGTGGTGGGCTTGGGCTGGTGCTGTGGTGCGTGCATCCGTCGGGCAGTTGTGGTTTGACAACGAGCGCTGGCTCATAACCGCTGTAACTTGGTGGGCTCGGTGGACCATATGCTGGGTATGTGGGTTGTGGACTGGGTGGGCTTGGTGGACCATACACTGGATAGCTGTGTGGAGAGCTAGGCGGGGCCGGAGATGGAGCCGGGAAGTGGACATAATGACTCGGCGGACACGGCGTACCTTGTGCAGGGTAGCTGGGCGGGCACGGTGACGACGTCGAAGAAGGAGGTGACGGACGTGGTACATATTGCACGTAATACAAGACGGCTGGTTGTGGGGCTGGTCCAGCAGGGATCGGGGCACTGTGCACAGGAACCAGCGCTTGTTTGAACAACGTTTTTTTGGCAAGAAGTTGACTAGCGAACGGCTCCAAGAAAGCGCTCGCCGCTGGTATCTGGCCAACAGCGATCATCATTGTAGCCACGACCTGCTTGCGCGCAGAGGGACAATTAGTTAGTTTTATGTATAATGCCATAGTAAGTAGGTACGTAGAGTTATACTTACGGTGCATAAGACGAACGGCACTCCGGTTACCTTACACATCTTGCTTCTTGTAAAGTCGATCGGTGAATAAAAACTACGGGCGCAGTTCCGTCGCACTTATATACTCGGTCAGGGGCCGCGATGGAATTGTGAGTTCTGCACGTGTCTTCCACAAATCCTAACCTTGACCCTAGCATCTGAGTACGACTTTTTGGGCGGTTCAACAAACTCGCTGTAAAACCAGATTCCTCATCATATTCGTTATTACGAAATCGCCGACGCGTGCGGCGTAGTCTTTGAATTTCCGTCGGCCATCTGCAGGTTTTCCCTGTTTTCTGTGTGGCATCACGAATGCATTTTTCGTGCATTTTATTAAAGACCCGGAGAATTATTGGACAACAGGTTTCTGTAAGTCGGCTCACGCTTGTGCAACGCCGAAAAATATCTACGACGTCCTCACACAGCATTCTCCTCTATCCTGCCCTCCTGCCCATACAGACACCGCCATATTTTCTCGTAAAAATCCCAGTTGGCATTTTGGAGGTCACCACTCCAAACTGCGTGTGCACATCCAAGTCTATAATCTACATAATTACAATATAAAATCATCACCATCACCCATCGATTTATAGCGTTAGAGACAAAACAATTTATATACTTACCTACTCGTTTTTTAAATACCTACCTACGTTTTTTTAACCGGTCAACTCAGGTACTAACCACGAAAATATGTTCAAAATTAATATACCCGACTAGCCATAAATGTTCTAGGTAATATAGTATATACCTAGTACCTATAATCTTTATAATATTGCATTGATATATCAGTACAGGCGTATTGCAGTCAAACGACGGGCAGTAATGATTAGCATGATACACCATCCCTAAACTTATGTTTTCTAAAAAATCTAAATATATTGTAAAACATTACCATAAATTTTATTAGTACGTAGTAACAAGACTAGTATGATAGACGATATTAGTGAACTCAATTCTTGACGTTTAATTTAATTTAATTTGTTTCCTACGTCATCATCATTTTATAAAATTCGCGTCAGATAATATTTACATCTTCGTATAACTAAAATAGCTTTATTTACGTACATTTTATACCTATAACTTGTTTATATATTTTTAACTTTGTGATTTATGTACCTACTTATTGTTGGTTGAGAATTTTCTTTTTTTTCTTTTTGTTTCACCTAATTAAGATAGCCATACCTACTGAGCAGAATGTAACATGATGAAGGAACATTTGAAATTTGAGAGGTCTGCATGACCTCTAAATTGTTTTCTTTTGGTATAGATACTTATAATCTACAAGCAGAAAGTTAGTACCTATTTTGATCTCAAATGGATATAGACATGGATATATTATATATAACTGGTATTAAACAAGTACCTAAAAAGTCCTCCAAATCAGAGTATAGTCGTGTTTAATATTTTTAAATACAATATAATTAAGGAAACGTCCTAATTCCTAAGTACTTAACAGTTGAACAATTTAACCGTTTGTAACGGATCCAAAGAGCCCAAGCCAAAAAATTGTTGCCCCCCTTCCCCAAGATCATTACTCAAAATCCGTGCCTGAACCAAATAAAATATACGAGTATTATGATACATTTATTAAAAAGTATTTAATCCATTTTATTTCTTGTTTACAGCCGAACTTAAATTTTTACAATATAGACCATTTTTGAAAAGACATTTTCTTGGGGTGGTACAGAGGAGGTAATTTTTTGATTTTTCCCAAGAAATGGGAAAAAACAGGAAAATAGGTACAATATTAAACAAATATTATATTAAAGAAAATATATAATGCTTATGTAATTATTTCACCATAATATGATGTATATATTGTTGATAAAACAACTACACTAGCCACTGAAATCCGCTTAGAATTGTTTTTTGGTTAGCAATGGTTTATCGTTGTTTACAGATATATCTATATTAAATTTCCCCTCTCCCATCTTCCCAACTTCTCACCTACAACAGTAGGTGCACCCAACTGCGAAGTATGTCCGTCTTCTTTCTTTTAAATTTGTTATTTATGTGTAAAGTAAATTAGATAGAATTGAATATTTTCAAAATTATAATAACATATTATTTATTAAACTAAACTAAATCTTATGAAACTCGTTTTATTAATTTAAGTAAGTCATTTTTTGGTCACTTTTTTTATAAATTTTAGTTACTTTATCTAGATACTATTATAAGTATAACACATTTGTAACAATTCTGTTATTGACAAATTAAAAATTTAATTGCAGGAAGTTGTAGAATAATAATGTAAAATATAAAGTATAGTTATTTAACACCTAATATATATGGTATTGATTGGATAAAAATATATGAACTATTTATCAATATAAATTAATTTTAACCTTAATTTTTAATATTTTATTAAGTCGTATGACTACAATGTACGTTTAGTATATCAATATGTTTTGAACGTTTTTTAACTTCAATTTTAACAGCCCTTCCCCCAAGTCAAAAAATTAAAAATTTTTTTTACATTGCGTTTATAAGTCGTTTGTAAAGGTTTATAAAAATAAAATTTTCGTTTGTGAAGAAAATCAAAAAAAATTATTCGCATAAAAACTATGATATGATGATTTATAATAATGATTTTTATTAGAAATACTTTACTGTACCAAAGGTACAAACAAAAATATGTAAATTTCCATGATAACTAGAAATATAATATCATATTTAATCAACCAAGTTAGGGATTTTATAAAAATATATATACGATTAGATTAGAATTATTGTTAGTAAACGATTGTAGTGAAATTCCATTATCAAAATAATGCACTTTTATTATATACTGAATACGTAATCATAATATAATTTATTGTGAACTCCGCGTTTCATAAGAATGATATTTTATATTAATTATTTTTGAATATTAAACAATAATTTATTAATTGTGTGTAAAGTGAAGGGGAAATGGACGTCGTATTTAAGTGTTTAACTCGGTAATATTTTTTTAAATCATTATTGATGAAGATTAATCGTATGCATGATTGTAATGAAAAATGGATGTTTACATTTGCTAGTCACCAACAAGAAGTCATTCTCGAAGTTTATAACATGGGAAATGTCTATAATTTCCTTGAGGTATGGCCACGGTAGGGTGGGTGTTTAGATAAAATTAAATCATACATGACTCAGAAGTTTGAGCACACTTATAGGTACCAACCTACACTGTGAGAATAAACCATATATATTATGTTTATAAGCGTTTTTCATTTTAAAATAATAATTTAATATTTTTTTAACTTTAAAAAAACTTTTACTTTTATTTGTTTTTTCCAATATGAATTTTTACTAAACGTCATATATTTAAAAAAAAAATATATATATATATTCTGATATATCCTGATTACTCCACAACTATGAGTAATAGTATTAATAAATATTATTAATTAAGTTTAATAATCAAAGTGTATTATAATATAATTGTACTTTGTTTTATTAATTTAAATCATTACCTATACCTATAACCTATTTGTTTATCTACCTATCTGAAATATATCGATAAAATGTAATAGGCCACAACGAAATGGTTACATGTATGTATACGAACGTACGACGTAATTTATGGAAACTTAAGATAGCATTAGCAAGATAGCAATCTAGATTATTTTTTTTTTCAACATCACACGAGCAGCATGCGGACTATTATATAATATGCTAATACCTATTCCTACATGGCTGAAGAAAAAAAAGGATTTTACCTAATGTGATTTTTATTTTAATTTTAAATAGACAAGTTCGACGGGAAACTAAAGCCTAAAACAAGGGTGAAGGTAAGTATTTCGAATGTTTTAGACGGGGATTGTAAATTTAAAATAAAAAACATACCATTTGTTTTTACTATTGACTATATTATAAATTATAATACATTTCTGCATTTTAGATTCTGAATGGAGTGAGGAACGTATTGGTTTTACAATGATATTTATTTTTTTTTTTTTTATGTGAACACTTTCTACCAGAAAGCATACTCCAATTATCAAGTATATTACCTTTTCTGAAAGGAAATGTTTCCTGAGTTGTACTTTAAAGAGGTCATGTTTTAAAATTCTCATTAATATTCAAGATAATGAGGAAAACCTCGTTCTTTAGGTTAAAAAAGATTAAAAGATTAAAAATGAGGTTATCATTGACAACCGTTTTTATTTATTTTTTGTTATTATTTTAATCTTTTTCTAAACAATCATTGTTGTCGTAAAAACGCACATTGTTGAAATCATTTTACCATAAATTGTATTGATGAAAAATCAACATTATCAACTAAACTCCGCTCAGATTCGTTTTTGTCGTTAGCAATGATTTATCGTTGCTTACAGGTATACATTAAATTTCCCTCTGCAATTTCCCTACCTTCCCAACTTTCGACCTTCAACAGTGGCTGCACCCATGTGTGAAGTATGTCCGTCCTTTTTTAAATTTGGAAATTAAAGCAGCTATATAATCTGCTGTATATCTGCTATACATAAGGCAATATTATGCCTTTATATTCTTGAATATTATTAAATAATAGCCAAATTTAATGACCAAATTCAAATTTGTCCTATAACAAATGTTTGAAAATTCGAAATTAGTCGGCCGCTGCAATAGCGTTTGTCAGCATAATATCTACTTAATTTATAATATTTTAGGTAGATAAATACACCAAATACTTAGTAAATCTGATACGTCATGATAAAAATGTATTCTTTGAAATCCTGCAATTACCATTAATTCCAATTCAAAAATAGCGTCTAAACCGTAAAAAGATCGTAGTCTTAAATATTATAATTCGATTAATTTGAATATTTCATTAATGTGCGGTGAAAATTTCATCGGTTATTATGGACGAGATTTACATGTTCAATACATATTATGACACCTATAATCTGTATACCTATCTACATGCAGTTAAGCTACATCGATTTTGTAGGATGCATACATAGACCAGTGACCAAAAACGTACACAAGGTTAAGTGCCATCATTATTTTGATCGTCACACTCGCGATTGCTGGTTGTAAATTTAGTGATGTAAATAGTGAATATTTTAAAACGGACAATGGGAATACGCGTTGTAAAAAATATTTCCTACATTCCTTGGGAAAAAATATCTACAGGGTATTATAGCTATGGGTTTATAATGGCATATAATGGAATATCGCAGTGGATATATACAAAGATATTATACCTATAGTGATATCTCGGAAATTATTAACTTTTAGATTCTGAGTATATCGAAGAATGTATTGGTTTTACAAAAATATTTATTTTATTTTTATGTGAACACTTTTTCTACCAGAAAGCTTACTCCGATGTATACAACGTAGACCGTTTTCCGAAAGGAAATTTTCTTGGGGTGGTACTTTAAGAAGGTCATTTTTCGATTTTCTCAGGAGTTTTCTCATTAAATGTGAAAAACCGAAAAAAAAACAGATGAAAAACAGTAAAATGTACGAAATATATTAGTAAAATATAACTATTTTTTGGGGGGGGTTTTATGCGTTTGCGATAAATGACTTTTTTGAGATTTTTAGTGCTGTCTTATTTTCATGAGTTTATTTGTGCTTTAAGTACACACTAAGTTATAAATGATACGTTCATAAATTGAATACAAAGTTTTCGCCGATTAATCTGAGAAATTTAGATAACGTGCGGTCGTGATCAAAGTAAAAATATTACATGATGTAATTTTGTTTGCGTTGCACTAATACGGTTGTAGTTAATACATTATTATCTATATACACTTACATTATATATAATATTAACCTGTTACCTGTGTAGTCTATAGTCAACAAATAATATATTATAGGTTTATACGCTTCGAGCGTGTCCGGCCCGTATAATCGGACGACATATTTTCGGGCACCGCTAAATTTTCATAATATAATATACAAACTGCAGTAGATGACGAGCTATTAAAATAAAACGTGCCTACATCGTAAAAATTGTATAGGTACTTATAATAATATGCGGTTCCTATTGATTAGAAAAAAAAAACCCGATTTGATTTATTTTCAGTCAGATGATGAGGGTACCACCGGGTACACCTTACAAGGTGCCCCCCCTGGTATCTTAACCTTGACTAAATATTATAGGCCTGTGGCATGCACGTCATTATATTATGTTAGAATATTATAATTATGTATACCTATATATTATTATGGAGTAAAAACGTAGGCTCTTCTCATCGAACGCTCGTATAATAATTAATCGCGGTCGTTGTTTAAATTTTATTTTATAAAAATACATTTAACCAAAATATATACAAGTGGTCATTTGGCTCTCGTCCAGAAGTCGTCGAGTGCAGGCTTTGTCCCATAATATTACATAATGAAATTTTGTAAAAAAAAAAAAAAAAAAAACAAATAAAACAAAATACCGAGTATATAGCCAAAAATCTCAAATAAGTAATTATTTGTATATTTTAGTAGGTATAGGTACCTACGAGTAGCATTGATATCATAATAGTCTATTATAAAATATATGATTTAGTATATGTACTTACTATACTTACTCTAAATAGGAATAATAAATAATATTTAATAATGATTGTTCATTTCATATTTATTTATTTGTATACCTACACCTACTCCACTACTCCAGTAGGGCAACCAAGAGATAATAAGAGTTTTTCACATTATTATGATCAAGCAGTTGCACACTTTAAAGCGTTCCTTAGATACATAATTTGTATACCTAGGTACATTATTTTATGGTGCATAAAATAGACAATGAAATAGGTACATGGACGTGAATAAGGTCCTCAAATAAATAGGGCTTGAGCCCAAAACGACCACCGGGCTAAATAATAATAAAGTAAAATCTATGTTTAAGTTTAAAAATACCAATATCAAAACTTTGGTTTATTATTAAGGTACATATACTTATTGTACAAATTTTATTTCATACGCAATAAATATTATTATTGATAATAAATTTATATATTTGGGCGACGCGGCGTAATTGTACCCGGCACCCACGTAACTGCATGACGTTACTTATGGGCGGCAACTGATCATAGTTTGTGGAACATTGGAACTAGTGATGGTCACTACCGAGTAAAAACTATCGAACTACTCGAAACTTTTAATTTATCAATTTACTCGGTTGTTTCTAGAAACTATAGACTATCGAACTATCGAGTAGTTCATTCTATTGATAATATCTATTCAGTCGAAAAAATACTAGGTTGTTTTTTAAACTATCGGTAGCAAAAACTAGTCAGTGCTACTAATGAATGAAAACTATCGACGAATAAAAATATCTGTTCAATCGATAAATCTCTTGGTTGTTTCTTTAAATTATCGATTAACAATCGAAATCAAAACTTCGATTCTGTCCATCACTAATTGGAACGTTAAAACGTAAATTCATTGAAAACCTGCCAGAATTTTATTACGTACATTTATTTATAAATTAATATTTAACTAATTTAGTTATAATATGCACGTGACATTCCCTAGATAATGTGTTTAGTTTTCTTTGATTTTCGTCATAAATGATATAATTACATAAACTATACCACGTTAAATCATAGGTATTCATTTTACGATTTTTCAATATAAGGCCTTTATGTTCAATAACGCTCACCTATAGTGAATTTATTATTCCATCATTGTATAATAATTTTAAATTTGAACTTTTAATACGGTCTCTGAGCAACAGAATGTACTTTATACGTCAATAAATTAACTCGACAGACAGTCGTTTTTAATGCTGTGATTTATTCGGCCTACACAACTCGTGTACTCGACGAGCATAATAATCACCGATGCTCACCTTGTATTTTCACATTACGATTATGTCGTTCCTAAACGACTCGTATATTTACTGATTGTTCGGTAATCGAGCATACTTTTATTGTTAACACGATTATTTTTAAGTTTAATTCCGTTGACTCGTGCCGATTTTACCGACAATCGATGGAAAACTACGAGTAACTCGGCAAGTGAAAATAATCGCTATGTTTTACGATTAAATAACCTCCAAACGACTCGTAAGCACAACGGTTGTTAAATATTCGTACGCAAGTAGTGTGGGACCGGCTAAAAGATCTAAAATGAACACACCTCCAAAAAACTCGTTCAATTGGCGGCCTACTCAAAACCGATTAGTCGTTAAGTCGTGGACTTTAACTATTTTTGTATAATATATATATATATCAATTATTTACTTACCTAAATATTATATTTATATAAAATTATAAAATATACGTAGATCGTTTCTTCTTTTCCGTGTTGTTTTCTTATTAAATGAATGAACCTACGAAAAACGTAAGTTAAATGGGAAATTTCTTCTCAATTTTCCACCTAGAACAGTGGCACAACTATCAGCAGTATCAACTTTTTTCAAAATAATTATTTCTTCTTTGACAAAAGTATAGATAATTATACTAAGTATAACTTAAACGTAATAAAGAAGGTAAATTAATCAGTTATGTATTAATTTTTAGACATTTACCTATATTGTTACTATTTGTTAGTATTAATAAATAATAAGCTAATATTATGGACTGAAGTTGGACACAATTCATTGAAATAGGCCAATAATTCAGTGGCGTGCTAAAACAGAGCTGCTGATACTGGGACGATTGTGCCACTATTATAAATGGGAATGTAGAAGTTTTTAAATTAAAGTTACTCGATAATGCGAACTATTTTTAATGGTTAGTTATTTATTTAATCATACAATAATAGGAATATACGTCAAGGAAAAAAAGTATGGTTTGATCTTTATTTGAATGACATTTTTACCGCTCCTTGACCCCCCCCCCCACGTACCACAAGGAGATCAATTAATGTGTATTGTGGTACCCAAATCTTCCTAAAAAAAAAAACCCTAAGACTTACGTACCTACAGTACAATATTACGTGTTACAACACTGGAGTAAAACACTATATACAGATAATATTATTAGCGGTAGGTATACACGAAAACCGGAGCGGGTAGTCTTATTGAATAATTGATTAGGTAACATTTGTATTCCTATACGTATGTATGTATATAATATGAACGGAATATATTGACCGTTCGATTAAAATTGCTATTCTCGAATTGATAATAAACACAATCTATTTAACGTGAACCAAACACGAGGAATACGCATTCTGTATATGAACAGCTTGTCCATTACCTAAATTAAGTGCCTACGCCAATAATCTATTTATAGTGCGACAGTACAAACAGATGTCGCGAGCGCACACAATTTCTATGACGTATGCGTAATTACCTTTTTCGAGTATAGGCCATTTATTTATTTTTTTTTTTTTCAATACATAAAATAAATACCACTGAAAGGAAAGAAGTAATTGCTATCAAGCGGTAATATAACATAAAATATAGTGCCGATATGAAGTCTGCAACGGTCGCCACGGCGTCTACGATCGCGGTGGTACTGTTGTGCTCGGTATCTGTGCCGTCCGGACACCAGAATGTCTGTCGGGCCGCCAGCGCCGAATCGAGGCTCGACAGTCGAAAACTACAAAGGGACCTGATGCTGGACGGAGACCATCAGGCGCGGCTGCTACACCTGACCAGGTCGGTGAACAGCATCATCGACGAGTACCTGGGCAACAGGCCGGTGGTGATGTTCGCAGACGAGGTGCAGCAAAGTGAATTGGGCCAGCGGCTGTTGACCGACATGACCCATCCTAGGTTACTAGTGTCGCAGGCTGACCTCCGGCAGGCTAACGGACTTTTGGTGTACCTCAGGCACTGGGACAGCCCGTCGACCGACTACGAAACGGTGCTGGGGCGGCTACCGTCTAGCGACCATTCCCGGCACATGGTGCTGTGGGGTGGAGTGCGCGACGGCTACGCCACTAACGATGATCGCGTCGACTTGCACCGGATCCAGGTGATGTTCGAGGCGTTCTGGCAATATCAGCTCATCGACGTAGCCGTCCTGGTACCCACGTCTACCGGTAGCATACGGGTGTACTCGTTCAACCCTTACACAGGATCTCGGTGCAACAGGGCCGGCCCACCCATCATGATCAATATCTGGAGCGGCTGGACAAACACTTTCGTTAAACCCAACAGAGTGTTCGGTCTGGACGATAAGCTGAAAAACTTGCACAGGTACCTAAGTTGCGACTCACAGATCAATATGATATTTTCAAATTTGTCGTAAAAACATCGAAACTATATTTTTAATGACATCTACGCGATAATTTGCATCCTAAATCTTAAATGGATAGGTAGCAGTGGCGTATACAGAGTGTCACTTGCAGGTGCAATCTCCTCATTTTATTTCAAAATAAATGTATAAGTTAATAATTATTTCAAAAAAAATTAAGCTTATACAATTGATGGACGTACAAAAAATGGATTATACCTTACAGATCCTCAATGTTTATGCCTATAATATGTATGTTATTATATAACCTCGGCCGTTAAGATTTTGATTACTTTGTCATTAAAAACAACAGATAATAATTATTTCGGTAACAAAACACTTCTTTTGATTAACGACTATTGCGATGAAATTTTATTACACAGTTGACGATATTGAAATTAGAGGCACGTCCAGAAAGTAAGTGTACCTGAGGCTCTCATGGGCATAGAACATATTTTGTTTTGCTATGTTGATCACACTACCGTGTAGCATGACTTTAGCTATAATACAAGACAAGAAAGAGTTCAGTAAATTGAAAACTGTCCTGATAATAATTTTTCTCGTGGAACATGTCGAACACTTCTGCCGCCGAGTGCGATATCCGCGCCATCGTCCGTTACCTCGTTGCGAAGGATAAATCTCCACTTGAGATTTTTAATGAGATAACGGTTAGGTTTATGGTGATAACAGAAGTGAACCTAGCGGGGGGTTAGGGTTGTCATAATAACCCCCCCAATAATTGTTTTTTTTTTAACTTTTCAGTTGGCTATTTTACATGTATGAAAAACTAAATAACTGTACACAATGGCCAACTGATAATTTGTATAAGATTGTGATAGTGATGTTGACTAGAATTACCTAGTATTGGAAAAATAAGTATTAAACTGTAATCAAGGCGTTTCCACCAAAAATTTGATTAGCTACCTCTAAGTCTTCTTCCTGTTGGCTTGTATTTAATTGCCACCCTAGCTCCATAAGCTTCTTCTCTTCTCATCGTGTTCGCCATCTATTTATTTCATTGTCAAATACTAGTCCACATGTTTTCTTTAGCGCTTTATTTTCAAAACTTTTAATTTTTTGTTCAGTATGCACTGTCGTCGGCTAAACTTCCCATCCTTAGGTTAATATTGGTTTTACAATAGTCATGTACGGGTACACTTTTGTATCCCTAGGAAAAAGTTTTGATTTGAAATATTTATTCAATACAAAGAAGGCTCTTTCTACTTTGAGTAGACGATTGGCTATTTTAGTACTCCAGTCGTTGTTGCTAGTGATAGAAACTTCTAAATACTTAAAAATTTGGATTTTCTCAAACACGTAGTTAACAACTGTAAAGTTTACTTCGCTACTCTCCGCTAGTGTTTCCATCACTGTTTCCATCGTTTTTCCTTCATTTACTTATAGCCCGATCTCCTTTGCTTCACGGATGAGTGTTTTTGTATTTTCAACTACCGTGTTTTTATTTTCTCCCATCAGGTTCGGATCATCTACAAAACCAAGCACATCCAATGGGGTTCTGTATATATTGATTCCGAGCTTATTACTTAGTACTTTACGAATCACTTTTTTTATTGCTAAGTTCAACAGTAATGGGAATAGCGCATCACCTTGTTTGAGTCCGTCATCACTTCAAAATCTTCCAGCAGTGTACCGTCTACTCTTACTTGATATCTGGTCCTATTCATGTATATTTTTGTCAGCGATATGAGTTTTTCGGGAAAGCTATATTTGTACATTATATTATACAGGCTATCACGATGGATACTATCGTACGCTTTCTTGAAATCCACAAACACCTGCCATACGTTTTGTCTGTACTCATACTTCTTTTTTTTAGCTTTGTTCCATTCATCTAGTAGTTTTTCTTCCTTTTATATATTTTTGCACAACTCATACATCGTTTCGTGTAGTTCTTTACCATCATATTTTATAAGTTCAGTAGGTATACCATCTGACCCAAGGGCTTTCCATTTTTTAAGTCGGTAAATAGCTCTTTTAGTTTTATCAAATGTCAAATCATCTATTTTTTATTCCGATCTTTGGTCTTCCTAGGATGGTATTAGTGTTTTTGGAACCTTCTCATAACTTAATTTAAATTCAAACTTTAAGTCAAAAATTTTTTGGGGGTCAATAAGAACCGTCTCCTCGTGGTGACCCCTTATAAGCAACTCTAAATGGTTCTGAAACAATATTTGAGATAGGTAGGGGGGAAAATAAATTTTAAAAAATAAAATTAAACGAAAATCGAACCTTTTTCGTTTTGGTGTGAACGATAATTGACGAAAATTTGTTTTATTATATTAAATTTTGTTTTTTGTTGCGATTCAGATAAAAATGTTCATAAAGAATTGTAATTTGGACAGAAAACTTACATACTTGTCTTTTCTAGACGTGGCCATTTATAAACATTTTGATTTTGTGCGTTTTTATGTAATTTGTATTCGGTAGGTACTCTGAATAAAATTGTAGACCAAACAGAAACAAATATTATTTACAAAAAATATATAAAGCCTATTTCATTATTTTACTATAATATGGCATATATAATGTTGACAAAGCATCACTATCAACTGAATTCCGCTCAGAATCGTTTTTTCGTAAGCAATGGTTTATCGTTACCCATAACAGTGGCTGCACCCGGTCCCCATCATCCTAGGACGTCTTTTTTATATTTATTTTGTTATAATATTACCAAGTGGTTATATAGGTAGGTTATATTATAAACGCCCAATGAAGTAATTTATAATAAAATTATGCATCCTGGCACCCACCCCGTCTAATAATTAGATAATTATCGAATACCTGCCGAGAACTTAACAGGCTTAAAAATTGTTACAGGCTACACGCGTCATCTCGATCTGTATGGCCAAGTTGTTGATCTATAAATACATTTACCTCCATTGTTATATGTTAATTTATTGTGCATAATGTAAGTAGGTACCTACTTATACAATAACAGCTGAAACTAAATCGCGTTCAAAACATTGAATTAATAATATTATCATAAATTTAAAACTGCTATATAGGTACAGGTGTATGATGATGCAGTCGGTACCTAATCATTACTCACATTATACTATTACGCAACAGTGCAATACGAGCTAAAGCAATAACAAAAAGTCCATCTATGTGTACAATTTTAATACAATTTATAATATTTACGGAATAGGTACATTCCCTGCACCCAAGATATTAATGCTAACCTGATACATTTTAATTTATGTACCTATGTCCGGTTTCACGTCATTTTGTCCGGTAAATGATATTCGACGACAATTGATAATACAGTTCAAAAAAAAAAAACTTGTACCAAAAATACCAGGGTAAAAAACGTCCAGTAAAAAAATAAAAAAAAAATGTATAAAATACATTCGATAATTTTTCATCCAAAGTGTTAGTTATGCTTATGATATAAGTGTATCACTCAGATGACTTTACAATGGGCTATTAACAAACATGTACCTAGGGATATTATTGGGCTTAATCTGGCCCTGATGGCTGATTGTAACTTACGTATTTACATTAGTTATACACGTTGGAGTACGGTTAGGTCCTAGGTGTTGTAATCCAATCCTGCACTAAAATCAAAAAAACGGATATTATGTTATCTTCGTCACAATAATAATTTTCGTATGATAAATCGTCGATAGTTGATTAAATCCGTTTGTTGGTGGTATTTCCATAGAATTTTACTCTATGAGTATTTCTGTCCGTTTTCGTAATCTTTTACGGACCATCAGAAAACTATAAATGGTAATCCGAAAAAAAAGTATTTTCCTTATATTCACGACTAAAGTCAGTACTTATCGGTTATATAATATTTATAATCGCCGACAGTCGTTAGTTTATGGTATATTTGTACAAATCATATTGAAATAAACAAGATTCATTTGTGTTAAAATATCTAATTTTTTATAATTTTTTTTTTCTTAAAGTCGTTTATTTAGTGGTACATTAAGTAAATGTGAAAATGAATGAATATAAAATGAGGCGGTGAAAATAAAACAATGAATAGGAGTTTCACATTAGAAACTCTTGAAATTTCTACATTTAAAACTAAAAACACGTTATAAAACTTCGGACACACATTTATAATTCAAGGGACGTAGTATTTTAGATCCTACTTTGGGGATTTATATGCATGGATTTTTTTTCCGGGATCCCTATAAATACCCAATTTAAAAAGTACCAGAATATTTTTGAATATTTAAAATGTACGATATCTAAAGATTACTAATTTATATATTTAGCAGTGGCGGCTCATGGTGTTAAAAGTAGATGGTGCACAAAATAATAATTAACAAATATTAACACATGTAACATGTGTTTACTGTTTTAAATTAATATACCGTATTAATATGTAAACCATTTATAATAACTTAATTATAATTTAAATTTAAATTTTTAGTTAATTTGTTATGTATGTAAAGTCGAGTCTTCTCTCTTTAGATTCAACAAAAACGTCTATAACTTTATTATTAAAATCAGAAACATTCAAAATGAAGTTTTTTCGAATGATAATATCGCTAAACTCGTTAATTTGTCTTGTTCCATGGTATTGAGTAAAAATGTTTTTATTCTTTTTAACGTTTAAAAATACTTTTTAGATTTCGCCGTAGACGAAAGTATTGTTATTATTATTTTTAATAGTTTCACACACTCATCGAATGTATGAGTAAGGTTTTCAAATTTTAAGTACGCTAGTAAGGGAACAGTTTCAAATATATTTCTAAACTCAGAGCTGCTATAAATTATTTGTAGTTCAGTTTTCAGTTTTTTTTCGTCAAAATATGGATAAACAATTGTTGGTTGTTTAAAATATTTTTCGAAATGCTCAATCAAAAATAAATTTGATGCTGAGATGACCAGTAAAATCAATCGTTCTTTTGCTTGAGATATAATGACGTCAAATACTTTTTTTGATTCTCGTTCAAGTTCATCCTCTTTCTTGGTTTGGTTTGCTTATTAAAACTTTGTATATAAATATCTTCACATATTTTATCTATTTCATTTTTTATATTTGAAATTATTTTAGTAAAATTATCTAACCGAAAAATGTTTTAAAAAAGTGGGCTGGTGAAAAGTTCTACACACCACCAACCTCGTTTACTATATTAACTCCAATAGAACACTCTTAATTAATATTCCATGTATAGGTACCGATTCGATAAAAATATGGCTCGGATACCCATCTTGAATTCACCAGCATCCACCCATTAAAAAAAGTTGGCGATCGCCATCCTTGGCTGCTGGTTTCGGCGTCACTGTATGTTTACTTATTAAAATGATTTGATTTATGTGAAATAACTCGATAAGATCAATTTATATTGTAAGTACTTATACAGTGAAACTTCTGAATAGCGGACACTCTCGGTCACCGAAATTTTGTCCGTTATTCAGAGGGGATACATTATTGAAATTAATTTGTATAATAATGTACTTTGTATGTAGGTATGTATGTATGTATGTTATTACTTATTATTTATTGTAAATTATTATTATATATATCTATATTATTATTTTTATATTTTTACAAATTATTATTTAAAGTACATTTGTACAATCAAAATCAAAAAATATGTACATGTATTTTTAAATTATTTTTGTTTGAAAAAATCTGTGAGCTTTGTTTATAATTACACCGTATATGTGCAATCTCAGTAGTAATATCATTCGCTAATGTTACAGCAGAAGTAAAAATAGAACTGCTCTTTACCTCTATTGATGAAATAAAATGACTTACGCTCTTTACAGCAGACAAAGCATCCTGTAAACTAATAACATGATATTTTGAAGTTTCTGCTTCTTCAGTCTTTCGTTTTAACGTAATCATCGCGTACTTAACCGTCACTAACTGACATACTTTTGTCATAACACATAACCGTTTCACCGATAACCGAATTTGTCTAATTTTGTCGTCCTGATAAAAACGAGTTTGTTATCGTAATTAAATTATTACGAGATTATTACATACGAATGTGAATACGTATTATTTTCAAATAAAGATTAAAATAATGTCCGTTAATCGGAGGTTTTCCCATTGAAAAGTAATGAAAATGTCCCCGTTCCCCAAAAAACGTCCGCTATCGAGAGATGTCCGCTATTGGGAGGTGTCCATTAGTGGAGGTTTCACTGTATTTCTGTTTTATCAAATAGGCGCATACAAATAAAAATAAGAATAGATCCTAAGAAGTTAAATTAAATTCATGGTGTATTTTATTTTATAGATGTCCTTTGAAATGCTTAGGCATACACAGGCCTCCCGTGTTGACGGTAGTACAAACGAAAACCAGTTTTGAGCTATCAGGATCTGGATTGCGCATCATCGACTTTATGCAGCAATACATGAATTTCACTGGTATTGTAAGTATAGCTTATGGTCATGTAGGGGTACATTTTATACCAGAAACAGCTATACCCGACAATGACAGTTCACCAGTAGGTGGAAAGGTTAAAAACAGAAAAGTAGATTTGGCATTTGGTCGGTTCACAAGAATTTTTGACAGCGAGTCTGATGTAGAGTTCATAAAAGAAGATCAAATGGATTGTTTTACATGGGGTTTACCCAGTGGCATTGGACACGATCCAACATTATGGATTAATTATATAGCAGAATTTTCTCTAGTCACATGGATATTTATCATGCTTAGCATCATCTTAGCGTTTATTGTTGTTGTTATTCTTTCACAGTTGTCATTTCAAAATTCAATTCAATGGAGTCCACTGTTTGTTTTATTTTATACATATGGCACATTTATCGGGGCTCCCATTCAAATTACTCCAAAATCGTACACACTACAAGTATTTCTGACCAACTGGCTTTTGTACAGTATGGTAGTGACGAATGCATACCAAGCATATTTAGGCAGTCTAATAACTATACCACAGACAACACCAGAAATTAATGATCAACATACACTGTTAAAAACAAATTTGAATTTAGTGGGTCGACAACAAATGTACTATTTGATCAACTCTTCTGCAGGTTCCAGTAGCGATTTCAGAGCATTGGTTGATCGTTATCAAATATTACCCCCTGAAGACTTTGGCTATATCATTCAGAGAATATTAATGAAAAGAGACACAGCTGTTTTAGCAGCTAAACGTGAATTGATATTTTATGCACAAGGATATACAAAAAAATTCAATAACTCAAAACACCTGCATATCTTGCCAAAGTGCATGATTGAATCATATTCATCAACTTTCATGCTTAGAAAAGGATCTCCGTTTCGCCATAGAATTAGCACCATTATGTCAAGACTTTCAGAAACAGGTATTATGCAGCAATGGGACCGAACCAATGTCAAAGAAGAAATGGTACATGGAATTGTATTTACCGAAGACACAATTCTTTCAATATCTCAATTTTATGGAGCATTTATAATTTTATTTTTTGGATTGTTTTTAGGCTTCTGCACGTTTGTTGGTGAAATTTTTGTATTCCTTATGAACACATATAATAGGAAACAAATGAAGAGACTACAATTTTTAAACTAATTATAAATCATTGAAATTAAGTTAAAAATACATTAAATTATAACATTGTTAGAACAATAATCATAATTATTGCTACACTATAGCTGTAGGTACATTTATTTTGTTAACAAATAAATTGAAAACTAAAAATAACAACCCTATAAATTAAAACAAAATATATAGTATTCAATTTAATGATGTCACATGAATTTTATGTAGATTTATTGTTGTCCCCTATATGAGACCTTAAGCTAGCAGAAGCATATGCTAAAAGAGTATGGGCAGCTTGTTGGGTCGCTAAATATTCACGGGTTTCACTCATCCAATCATCTGCTATAATTTTAGCACCACCTTTCAACAAATTCATGTACCGCAAGGCTTGATAATAATTATCTCGTTCTACATAATATCTAATAATGAAACATAAAAAAATGAGAATTACCATATGAAAATATAATACAAAATGTGTAAACTATTTAATATTTATAGGAGTAAATAATGATAAATAAAATAAATATTTGTACCGAGCACGTTGAAGAATATCTATATTATTTAATTCATTAATATTTATAGGTGCATTGTTCAGTTCTTCTTCAGGTATTAGCATAGATGATTTGAGGGTAAATATTGTAAATACAAAAGATGTTATTAATTCAAATAATTTTACATTGGTATCTGGTACTAAAGCTAGGTGAAAAGCTTTATCTTCAACACTAAAAAATCTATCTTTTAATGTTTCTTCAGTATATACACCTCGAATTAACACTCTTTCAGGTATTGTAGCCAACAATTCTTTAATTGTCTTATTATTTTCTAAATGAAAATAATATTGGTAAAACATAGTTTTATTAAATTTCTCAGTATATTTAGAATTTACTTACCACCTGCTTTTTTTATATTATTCACTAATTCTTGTAAAGGTTTTAATTCATGTTTAGATGCATTACGATCTGTTGTAATAGCTGCGAACAGTGTTTGACAAGCTGTCCACAAAGAAACTGATTCATTGAGTTTATCTCGTCTTTCTGAGTGTTCTAAAATCATATATATATGTATTTTAAATAATTAATCATTCAAAAAATAAACACCTATTTAAATTAGCTGTGGTAAAGTGGGTGGCTAGCCTACTTGTTTATTAACTATTACGAAAATTGTTCCTAATAGCAAGGGAATCCGTCACAATAATTTTTAATTAAGGTAATAATAAGACCATATATTTATTATAATATTGGTTGGTTTTAATAAATAACAAATATTAATTGTGTCAGGTATTAAAGTTTGGACATTTTTCTTAATATGCTTATAAAAAATATTATACCTTTAACAATAGTATTTATTTTAGGATTGAAAAGTACCTATAAAACATATAATAAACATTTAATTTTGCAAACATTTTGACAATACACACTTTATCAAAAACAATGTTGGTAGACTCTAACTTAACCATAGTTTTAAATTAATAAATTAGTCATTATAGATCCTAGGTATCAAAATACTCCCATGGTATCTTATGTTGTAAGTGGCAACAAAAGGATTGTGTCAGGTCGACAGCCAGTGTAAAAATATGGTCAAATTTTATAAGTCCGAAACAAGGCTTGGCCGAATTGAAAACTGAAGTTTTTGGAAATAAGTAAAAGAACAGGATGTTACATACATAGAATTAAGTGATGGATAAAGTTGAGAAAAAGTGTCAGGTATTTTATGTAACATAAAATTCCAATGAGAATGCTTAGGTGGATGAGTAGCGATGAGAGAAAATAGAAGTAGCACATGTGTGGCTTCAATAGTAGACAAATGAGAGAAAATAGACAGAGATAGTTTGGGTATGTCATGAAAAGAGAAAACTTAAAAGCAGTGAGAATGGTAATAAAAATAAACGTAGGAGGAGAGAAAATAAAAAAAGACTAAAAAGAAGTGGTTGGATGCGATATAAAATTATATGAAGACACTCGAAGAAAGCCAGTGTATGTAAGATGGAATATTAGGTCTAGCAGACGTTAGGATAAAGGTGACCACATCCAAATAAGTATTACGAAGGTTAAGGAACAGAAGAAAATATTAGTCATTATACCATCAAGTACCTTTTAATGTATCATTAATGGCATGCATTACAGCAGTTATGATTGAAACTTGTTCTTGATATTTTAATTTTGCAATTTCAGCTTTTTCAGAATATTCTAAACGTACACGGCGTTCAACTTCTTGTTCAGTTAAATTAGCGGCTTCTTTTAAGTGATCCATATGCACTTCAGTTTGTAATCTTAATTTTTGTTTAAATTTTGTTTCGCTACTTGCCTTTAAACCAAAGCTCTATAAAAATAATATAAATATAATATAAGACAGCTACAATATTATTGATAGTTATACTTCTTTAATAAAGTTATCCATACACTTTCTGCGTTGTTTTTCTACTTTAAATTCCAAGATATTATCTTTAGCATGGAGATCGCCATTTTTTAACAACTCAACAATGTTATTCACTTGTTCTTCACCAATAGTCTAATAAAATAATATTACAATTTAATTTGTTAGATGTTTTGTGTGTACAGTATTTTATGAACTTTATTTTAGTGAATCAATATTATATTTATGAATCTCTTAAGGTTCTTTAATGTTGAAAACATAACTATTAAACGCGTAATTCCACAGTAGAATTTAAAACTATGTATACAGGGTTAAGCTATACAAATGAAGTTAAAATTAGAGTTTGGGATTTATTCTTAAGATTTAAATATTTACTTCTTGTTTAAACAATTCGTTTTGATAAAATAACAACTTTTGAGTAATGTATTCAACAAATGAGTTAAATTCAGCATCTGTCAACTGCATGTCTTTATCCTCAAGTCTTACATGTGGGAAAAATGCTTGTAATTCATCCTATAAAAATAAATATTGAATAAAATCAACCTTAAGAGAATGAAATACCCACATCTCAACATCTCAGTTGAACTAACATAATAAATTAACTTAACTTAAAATTAAAATTGTAGTAAATGCTACATATTGTTGACATTATGGTTTAAAAACTATAAGTTTAATTCAAAATTAAGTCATTTTGCTAGTATGCTTGTTAGTTGCATTCAGACAGGAAATGTAGGTATTAAATCTTTAAATGATTTACTCACGGAGAATTTCTTTCTTATATTGATTACTTGATTATTATATTTATTATAAAGTAATAAATTATCCTTTTCAGTTTCAAAATTTTTTCCCAAGGTTTTAATATTAATTTTCAACTTTATGATATTATTTTTAATCGTTTCCTTTACTTCACTTGTTATTTCAATATTAGAATCATCCAATGTATATAGTAGTTGATCTAAACGCTTACTGTTAAAATAATAAATTAATAAAATGTTAATAAATAAAACATTTGAGTTATTTTACATAATTACCAAGCTTCTTGAGCATTTAATATGGCGGTTTGAAAGAGTTCATCTTTTTCCTTACTGACTTTTTTCAGGTTTTCCAAGTTAAGAGCACTTGTTTTATGAGAAACAACGTTAACAAATCCATTAACCAGTTCATAATAATCTAAAAATAATATTTCATATTACGTAACAATTTTTAAATTCTTCCGTGCCAAAGAAAAATAAAAAAGACTGACACACTTCACACGATAGGTAGACCACCACTGTTATAGATGAGAAGTTGGGAAAGTAGGATATAGAGGGGAATTTAATATATATCTGTAAGCAAAGATAAATCATTGCTAACGAAAAACAGCTCTAAGTAGAGCTCAGTTATTATTATTTTCAACAATATATATGTAATATTATAGTAAAATAAATACATATTGAAACAATTTGTATAGACTAGTAACTAGAGATTTGTTCCACATAATTTTTTACTAAAATAATTTTCTTCAAATTTGATATAAAAATTCTTAAAAAAAAAAAAAATACTACATTTCTCATTTTTTTTTGTATTGATCACAAAATATAACTTTTAATAAACCTCTTGTTAAATTTTCAATTAGTCTAACAATTTTTCCACTGAGTACCCACTAAATAAAAATTATGTACAAAATACGCAAAATTAAAATGTTTGAACATTTTACGTCTAGAAAGAACAAATATAAGTTTTGTATCTAAATTTCAAGCCTCTAAGAATATTTTTAACAGAATTCCTACAAATAACAAAATTAAAAATATTAAAAGCATTATTTTTATAAATTTCCCGTTTTTCTTACATTACACCTGGAAAATCAAACATTTATCACAGTTTATACTACATATATATATATAAGTATAAAAAATAAACATTTTTATAAAACCTTTATATTTTTTGCTATATTCTTTCTTAGTCTAAAATGTAATATATACAACAAAACACGATGATTATGTACAATAAAAATATTCTGGGAATTTTACAATTCTAAAAATATATTGAGATTGCTTCATAGCAAATTATTCCACAATAAAAACAAAATCTGAAAAAGTGCTATGTAGTACATTATTCTTGTTATATCAGAACAATTAATTTGTAAGTACAAATTGAAACTATACTTATTATCATCTTGTTTCATTTTCATAATTAAAAGGTTAGATTACACAGAAATGCATGAAAAATGAACAAGAGGTTCATAAGATGTACCTTGTGAGTTTAATGTAATATTTTTTTGTTTTTCTATGCATTTTTAGATCTAATTATATTGAAAATTATTTTTAGTAAAAAATGATGTGGAACAAATATAGTTATCGCTTCATACAAACTGTTTCAATATATACCGAAAAAGCAATATTATTAACCGAGCACCACTCAGAATCATTTTTCGTTAACAATGATTTATCCTTACTTACAGATATACATTAAATTCCTCTTTATATCCTACCTTCCCAACTTCTTATCTACAACAGTGGTCCACCTATTGTGCTAAGTATGTCTGTCATAGTTATAGTATAATTTTCAAAATATTTTGTTATTTGCTCCTAGACATTTGAAATTTGCGAGTTATTAAGATTTTTATTTGATTTTCTGTGATTAAAATTGTTTTGGGCTACCAAAAATTTAACACAAAGTTTATTATGAATTACATTGAGTGATAAAAAAAAAATTCAACGTAATTTAGTAATTTTTTCAAAAAGTGTTTGAAGGACCTCATTTGAATAATTCTCTACTATTCTTCCCTTCCTTTTCTTAACTTAAAATTAAAGTATTTGTTTAACAAGTTAACGATAATCAAAAAATCAGAATGTAGTTACACCAACACTCCATCTATTCATAGGCATAATTTCACCAAAATTTAGGGGGTATAAAATTGACATTTACATATCTAAGTAATAAAGTAATTAAGTAATTAGTAAAAAAAAAATTCAGAAGTGTATTTAATAATAAATATTAATATAGACACTTATAAGTAAAACGGCTCACAAAGACTATATATGATCATTAGAGAACGGATTTAAATACACCTAAAATTCATAAAAAGTGCAAAAAATGTAAAAGGCCTAAAAATAGCTTAAATTTTTTTTGAAAGGCAATAAAGAGGGATTTAAAATTCTCCCAAAGTAGAATTATTAAAGGTGGGACAAAAACCACTCTACCACTTTTACTTTTTTAAATATTTAGAAGTTCTTTTTTTTAATGATTTAAGTGCTTTTTTGCTGTTTTTAGTTGCAATTAAATCTGTTCCTCAATGAATATTGATAGAATAGTAACAATTTTCACTATTACGTATTCACTCAGTATCACCATTAATCTATTTTGTGGTATCACAATTCCCAATTATAAGCAGTGAATGTAAAAGGTTTTATTGGGACTCAGTTGCAGCCAATATCACTTGTATGAAAAATGATAAGAAATGTCTGTTTTCAGAAACCCGGCCCGTCGCATATTAACAAACTGCACACAAAATAAAATACTACCCGACGTAGTTTTGCTGTTTTGCATAACAAATCATGGTTTTTTTTTCGATTAGTGGTGTTGCACAATGATAGTATTGCATGCCCCAAGATTACGCCCATGCATCTATTTATCGAAATTTAATATAGGTTACCATTTAAAAATCAAAAATAAGTAGTTGTTTTATCCTCTAAAAGAAGGGTCAGGAAATAATGGTTGTAACATTTTATAGCTTTTTTTCTCCTAAATATTCTAAAAAACTCATGTTGAAAAAAGTTCATATTTTCCAAGATAATGATTATCTTATCAAGAATTGATCACCTTGTATGATACTTAATTTACTTTTTAACAGGTAGCAGGTTATAGATTAAAATTAAATACACTAATAAACTATACTAAAATATAATATAAAATTAACTATTATTAATCTTTATACTTAATGTATCAAAAGTTATAGTTAAGCTATCTTATCAAGTTATATAATTTACCTACAGTATGCACTAAAAGTCTACCAACTAATTAAAAAGAAATGTATTATGAAAATATTAAAAATCAATCTAAATCATTTTGATGTAGTTGATTTAATGTAAATGTTTCCAAAGAAATACATAAAGCCCCAATGATCTAGTCTAACCTACAAGGGATTAACGTTATTGAAAACAAAAATTGGGGGTGCATGAAATGTAAATAGGTGTCAAAGAGAATTATTATGTAAAAATGCGTGCATCATTATTTTTACAATAAATGTGTGAAAACAATTTTGGGAACCTATAATTTAATGTGATCAAAAAAGTATGATACATAATATATGTAAAAAATATATAGAAAATAATTAACTTGGAGTTTCTTATTAATTAAAATAATTTATTATAAATAATTATGGCAATCACTTTTTATTGAAACCAATGCTTCAGAATAAGAATTTGAAACATGTTCAAATAATTGAGCTGCTTCACTTTCTATTTTACTAATGTTGGATAGTTGTTTTCCAGTATTATTTTCTAAAACAATTTTTTCTTCAACTAACGTTTTATCTAAAATAAATATATATATATATATAAATATAAATACATATTATATAGAAATACAAATTATTTTGTATTATTTAAATTTCAACTTACCTAAGGAATTATTTGTTTTTTCAATCACACTATTTGGTTCTTTTGATTCAAGATTTGAAGAGGTTGTTTTAGCAACATGGATATTAGTTAAAGGAACCGACCTAAAAATATAAATAAATCATTCATACAATATATTATTAATAGTGTTTTATAATATTAATCAAACACAAGTTAATCCAAAAGCAGAAAATAAATCTTTTCTAACAAAATTATTTTTACTGCAATATTTAGCATACATAATAGAAACAGATGCAATACAAAAATAAAAATAATTCATAATTTAATGTTCTTTAATAAATTGTTATTTAAAATGGCAATGTTATATAAATTTAGGAAACAAACAGGTTGCAAAAAAAATGTAACAAAAGCAAGCATTAAAAAATTAGTAAAATGTTAAAAATACGTAAAATAAAGAAAAATATGTAATATTAAAATAATTTAAAATTTTTATAATTTAAAGTTAGAGGACGGAGGTTGAATACAAATATTGTGAAATAATAAAAATAAATATCTCGTATTTTTAGTAATTAATAACTAATATTCAATAACAAATTACGTTTTCCACATATAGTTTAACCTTAGTTATTTAAACATTAGATTAAAGAAGTATTTCATATTGCATTATTAGTATAAAGCATTAATTTAATAGTAGGTAAAGGTAATCTTTAACTAGGTACTATTAACTTTTAATCCTATGTTTTAACAAAATATAATAATTAATTCATAATTTCAATACACACTTGGATTTGTTACTGTTTTGTTTTGAAGATGTAGAATTTTCTTCAAAAAATATTAATTTTAAAATTTCATCAGAACCATAAACATTAGTTTTTAACCAATATCTAAAATTTGTATCATATCTTGCATATACTACAAGAGATGTGAATCCAAATATTAATGAACCCAATGCATATTTTCCAATATTTGATTTTCTATTAATAAGATAAGATTAACAATTAGCAAATATAATATTTAATTCTCATTTGAACATACCCAGAATTTGAGGGAACTGAGTGAGATAGTCTATAGCATATAATTTTCTTTTGTGCAATAGACTGTCCAAAATGACGTTTTGCACTGAATGAAGCCTAATAAAAATATTTTAAAAATAATTTTAATTTTACATAATTATCTTTAAATTTTAAACTAATTAAACAATTGAAAATGTTCATGAAATAGTTACTTTTGAAAAACGGTTCAAATTTAACATATTTAATGTCAAAAAACTTTTAGTGCAATATCAAATCGTAGATATATTATTGAGTTTTCTAGAATACAAAACGAAATTAAATTACAAAGGTTACAGTCAAATGTGAATTATATTTTATTAATACTTACTTCTATTAATGAAAATATACAAGATCGTGATACTATGTAGAAGATATTGTACAAGACTAAAAAACAGACAATAGATAGTAAACTTCTGCCAATTTAGAGAACTGGGGTGTACCGTACTACAGTGTACGATTTTTAATATTTAAAAGTTAAAAAATAAAAAACTTAGAACCATTATTAACACAGATAATAATATAAGCTGATAAATATTTCAAGGATAATAAACACATTCAATGACAACAGATATCAGTATTCACTTGATTATTAATGATTGGTTAATGATAATAAGGTTGGCAGACTTCGATTTTTCATTAAGGTAGCACTGCTTATCATTGAAAAATTGTAAACAAAACAAAACTTCTTAAATTTTTATAATAGAGCTTTTCTAGTTTACCGCTTTTTAAAAGACGTTTTTCATGGCCATCTAACATTTTGTTATTAGGTACGCTTTTTCGAACTATTTAAGAACTTCAATTATGTTAGACTCAGGTATGGATATGTTTGACTTAATAATACTTTATAATAATCTGGTTGTTTCAATTTTTAGACAATGAAAATAATAAGAGAATTATGACAGACACTATGAAAATTCAAAAACACAATCTTCGTACTCGATTTTGCCAAAAAGTATTCTTTTTTGTTGTTGCCTATTAAATTGCATCATGTTTATCAAACAAGTTATTATTCACGGTTTCAAAAGTTACCGTGAACAAACGGTGGTAGACCCATTTGATAAAAGACATAATGTTGTTGTTGGTCGTAACGGTTCGGGAAAGAGCAATTTTTTCTATGCTATTCAATTTGTGCTTAGTGATGAATTTTCTCATCTTCGGCCTGAACAACGTCAAGCATTGTTGCATGAAGGTACAGGACCTAAAGTTAATTCAGCATATGTGGAAATAATTTTTGACAACACAGATAACCGATTACCTATTGACAAAGAAGAAGTAGTATTAAGAAGGGTTATTGGTGTTAAGAAAGATCAATATTTTTTAAATAAGAAAATGGTACCGCGAAGTGATGTAACTAATTTATTGGAATCTGCAGGTTTTTCTCATTCCAATCCTTATTATATCGTTAAACAAGGTAAAATAAATCAAATGGCAACATCACCTGATTCTCATAGACTCAAATTATTAAGAGAAGTAGCTGGTACTCGGGTATATGATGAGCGTAAGGAAGAATCTATTGAAATATTAAAAGATACCCAGACAAAACTAGACAAAATAGTAGAATTTATAAAAACTATCGAAGATCGTTTAGGTACATTAGAAGAAGAAAAGGAAGAATTAAAAGAGTATCAAGTATGGGATAAGAAGAGAAGAACATTGGAATTTTGTATTCATGATAGAGATCAAAAAGAAACTCAAAGAAAATTGGAAGAATTAGAAGGTCGAATAAGTAATGTTGATGACGAACAAAAACGTCTTACTGCAAAAGTAAAGGAAACTGCTTATGAAGTTAAAAGAGCTACAAAACATATGCGTGATGCCAAACGTCTAGTGCACAGTATTAAAGAAGATAAGGATACTCTAAATTTAGAGCAACAAGAACTAATTAAACAAAAAACTAAATTAGATTTTACAATTAAGGATCTTACTGATGAAGTACAAGGTGATAATAATTCCAGAGAAAGAGCAGTCAGGGAATTAGACAAATTACAAGAAACTATAAAAACTAAGGAATCAGACTTACAAGAAATAAAACCTAAGTATGAGGCTCAAAAGAAAAAAGAAGAAGATTGTACAAGAGAACTTGGTCTTAAAGAACAAAAACGTAAAGAATTATATGCTAAACAAGGACGTGGAAGTCAATTTGCATCCAAGGAAGACAGAGATCAGTGGATACAAAAAGAATTAAAATCATTAAATAAACAAATCAAAGATAAAACTGATCATAAAGAGAAGCTAACAGAAGATTTAAAAAAAGATGCTGAACGTTTAGTGGAACTTGAAAATTTGGTGCATACTAACTCTAGTGAGTTAGAAAAACAAAGGACTGCTATCGATGAATACAATAAACGATATTATGAACTAAAAAAAAGTAAAGATCAGTTTCAAAGTCAAAGAAATGAATTGTGGCGTAAAGAGAGTACATTGCAGCACAATTATTCAACATTGAAAGAAGAGTTGGCTAAAGCTGACCAAATGCTTCGAAGTATGGCTGGTAAAGCAATATTAAATGGAAGAGATAGTGTACGTAAAGTTTTAGAAATTTTTAAAGAAAGAGGTGGATCTCATGCCACTCTTGCCAAACAATACTATGGTCAAGTAATTGAAAATTTTGATTGTGATGAAAGCATACAAACAGCTGTTGAAGTAACTGCTGGTGGACGTATGTTTTTCCATATTGTTGAATCTGATAAAATTGGTACACAAATCTTAAAAGAAATAAACAACCAGAATTTACCTGGTGAAGTAACATTTATGCCTCTTAATAGATTAACTGCCAGACAAATAAAATATCCACAATCCAAAGATGCTATTCCAATGGTAAATAAGCTAAATTATGAATCACATTTGGATAAAGCTATGAGATTTATTTTTGGAAAAACTTTAATATGTCGTAATTTAGAAATAGCTACAAGTATATCTAAACAATGTATGTTGGACTGTATAACAATTGATGGAGATCAAGTGTCATCAAGTGGTACTCTCACTGGAGGGTATTTTAAAAATGTCCGATCTAAATTGGTAATACAAAAGCAACGTAATGAATTAATGACTCAGATAAAGGAATCTGAAGAGAAATTGACATTGCTAAAAACACAGTTAAATGAAGTCGAAGGGAATGTTAATGTAGTTATGTCAGATATGCAAAAAACTGAAACCAAAAACAGTAAAGCAAAGGGAAATTTTGACAAATTAAAAGGAGATATACGACTTATCAAGGAAGAAATGGTTGGTATTGAAAGATATAGAGTGACAAAAGAGCGGTTACTTGTAACCGCCTCTTCAAATTTAGAGGCTATGCAAACTACCAGATCTGGTCTTGAATCAGAATTACATCAAGAACTTATGGCACAATTATCTGTTACAGATCAAAAAGAAATGGATAAACTCAACAATGACATAAAACAATTGACACAAGAAAACAAAACAGCATTTGCTATGCGTATGAAATTAGAAGCAGATAAAAATAAGCTAGAAAATCTATTAACCAACAATTTGATTCGTCGTAGAGATGAATTATTACAAGCATTACAAGAGATATCTGTAGAAGAACGTAAACGTACATTAGAAAGTTGTAGGTTAGAGTTAAATAATATTGAAAAAAAATTGGATACAATTAATGGGGATATGAAAAACGTTGATAGCAAAGTACATGAAGCTGTCAAAAAGCAAAGAAAATGTCAAGAAGAATTGGACAAATGGAAAAATCAAGAAAAAGAAGCTCAGGATAAACTTGAAAGTGAAACTAAAGATCTCTGTAAAGTATCTTCCAAGCAAGAAGTGTTACGCAAAAAACTGATAGAATCGGAATCGAAAATCAATGAACTTGGGGCTTTACCCAATACAGATCTAGTTACCAAATATATGTCATATTCGTCAAAAAATTTATTTAAAGAGTTAGAGAAAGCAAATAGTCACTTGAAACGGTTTAGTCATGTTAACAAAAAGGCGTTGGATCAGTTTATCAATTTTTCAGAGCAAAAAGAAAAACTTGTTTTAAGAAAACAAGAACTTGATCGTGGTTATGAAAAAATAGAACAACTTATGAACGTTTTGGAACAACGAAAATGTGATGCAATTCAGTCGACATTTAAACAAGTATCAAAATATTTTTCTTATGTGTTTTCCAAACTTGTACCTGCTGGACACGCTAAACTAGTCATGAAAACAGTTGGAGGTGAAGAATCAACAACAATTAATATGAGAGATGAAAGTAGTGTTGGAAATTATTCTGGTGTCATGATCAAAGTGTCATTTGTTGGGCAAGGTGGTGAAATGCGTGAAATGAATCAATTATCTGGTGGTCAAAAATCACTTGTAGCTTTGGGTCTAATTTTTGCTATTCAAAAGTGTGATCCAGCTCCATTTTACCTGTTTGATGAAATTGATCAAGCTCTAGACCCTCAACATAGGAAAGCTGTAGCTGATATGATACATGAAATGTCCTCAGAAGCACAATTCATTACTACAACATTTAGGCCAGAATTGTTGCAACATGCTCATAAATTTTATGGTGTTAAGTTCCGTAATAAAGTCAGTCATGTAGAATGTGTTACCAGAGAGGATGCACATGACTTTGTTGAAGATGATACAACTCACGGGTAATGGTGTTATTTTATAATATATTATCTCAGCCTTTTGTTCCCAAATTATTTATAATACATAATCAAGCATTTTAGACAAAGCTTATCAAAATTAATTGTAGTCATTAGCCATTATTATTTTATTATTTGAATCATATGGTATGCAGTGTACCTATTTAAACCTAAAGTCAGTATTTTTATCTGTAGGTTAGAAATATTTATAAAAAAAAAAAAAATTCAGCATTATTAATAAACTGCTTATGATATCAGTTTTAACTCAATTTTTCTAACGGGTACTATTAAATTAATAACATATATTTCATTAAAATATTTATACTGTTTTATATAATTATTGAATATGATTCACTTAGTATACTCTAGGAGTGTCTAACCCATAGCCTGCAGCAGATTTTAATGCAGTTTCCTCACCAATTTCAAAACAATTGATAAATTATATAAATTATGACAAATTATACAAGATGATCAATCTTTCATAAAACACTCATTATCTCTGAAAGTAATGTTTTTTTTAGATTTAACAAAAAAAAAAAATTAATTTAGTTTTAAAATGATAAATTACCCTTATTTTTGTTGGTAAACCAACTATCGAATTTCTATTTGCAAATACCAACCTAAATTAAAAATTTCATAAATATATGAAGTTTTAATGTTCCCATTTTGAATAGGTTTATAAAAAATGATTGGTCTTACTAATGTTATTATTGATTTGGGTGAACATCGCTATAGATAAAAATTGAAAGAGCACATTCCCCAATGTCAACAACTCCTCCTATATTTAATATACTAGTGGACATTCTCAAATTAATTATTACTAAAAAAAAAAAAAAAGCTTCTTTGCACAACTTCTCTTTGCTGCAGCCTAGACCTTCCAAAAGGTTAGACACCTCTATTTTCTATATTCTATAGGTATTTTCTTATGGTGATAATGAAATCCTAATCACTTCACAACAAAAAAGTACTTTGTTAACCTATATACCTTCTTATAAATAATATACATAAAGGAGAATCTCAATCACTCAAAAATACCCATAAAACAATTCTAATAGTACTCCATTATTTTAGTTATTACTATTAAATTATCGATTCCAAATTAAGCTTCCATAATTCAATTATTTATTATTATAAAACATCAAGCATTGAACAAAATAATTGTAATTTTTATGTGTAATATTATTAAGTTTGTATTTCTATAGTTATTAATAGTTGCAATTCTTTAAGCGTAATTAATTTGTTTTTCATATATATGTATAAAATGTTATATATACATACAAAAATGTAGTGATAATAATTGTATAATAAGTATAGTAATTTAGTCTTAAAAATGAGGTATATATTTAATATTTGTAGTAATTCTATTGTTTTCTTGCAATTCATTTCACAACTATTTATCTTTGATAAACAACTCTATCCTAATTTAACATCAAAATATTTCATAAAATTTATTGTGTAATAAAACAACCTTAAATTAAATATTTCCAAAATCTCTTATACCATTGATAGTGTTTTAATCAAATAATTCATACTTTTTGCTTATTAAGGTATTAAGGCCAGAAATTTGTAGAAGTGTTTAATATTGATTGTTATATTATACAAATATGTGTGCTTAATGTAGTTTACTATAATATTTAAAAATATGCACTTTACGTTTTAAACTTGACTGGTTCATTTGTTTTTTGAATGCAATTTTTACATTTTAAATTCTAAAAATCCATAATTATAAACTAAGAAATAACAATTTAAATTTGTTTTATTTATTAAATAATTGAAATATTTCGATAAACTACTTAATAATATACTTCTAAACATTTTTCTTTATTATTATTGATATTTGCATTAAAAAAAGATCAAAATTACAACCAACTTAAAGAGTTTAAATCATTTAAATATACATAAATTATTACTGTTTTGCTTCTTTAAGTAAATAAGTGTGTGTGAAAATTCAATATTGATTTTTTTTTGTTTATCTTTGGTGTGACTATTTTTATTAACTTCTTATGTAAAATACTTTAAATACAATTTTAATTTAAATCACTGTGTTTTTTCTTTACTTATTAAGGTGTTTAGCTATATTATTATTTTAAAACAAATTATAAATAAATTGTCCATCAAGTGTAAACTTTGATATCAATTCAATTGAATTTAAAAAAGTAAGAATTGAAATGTGTATACTAAAAATTTGTATGTTTATTGTACACAATTCAAAATTAATTATACATAGAAAAGAAAATGTTAACCCCATATTCCAAAACTATCTTTAATTGTATTTTTATTTTCTCTTCTTTGTCGATTTACTGCACTAGCTTCACCTTTAGCAAGTTTTCTATGCCTAACTGCTGCTCTTTCCCTTTTTTCTAATGATTTTTTAACTCTATCTCGTATGACTTCTGGTGGTATTGTGGTTGCTGTCGACATACTTCGAACACTATGTATATCTGAATAGCATACTTTTGAAGAAGCAACACTTTCACAATCATCGTTTTCACTTATTGATATATATTCTTCTGGATCTGAATTTATGATATTAGTAGTTACTTCTAGAACCGGTGGTATTGTTGAACTTCCAAGATCATTAGAGGATTCTTCTTCCATAAGTTTAGCAACTTTTTTTGCTAAATATTCCACTTCATCTTTTTCATTTTCATAAAAATCACTTTCTTCTGCAGACTCTTCTTCAATATTATCAACCATACCCATTTCATGTAATAGTAATTGGTCCATCATTTTTGTAAAACCACTAGCTGAAACTTCAACATCTAAAAATTCTTCTCGACTTTAAAAACAAAAGATTAGAAATTATTTTATTTAAAGCAATGTAGTCATAATTAAAATACCACTCACACGACATCTTTGAATATTGGATATAAATGACTTTCATAATTAAATCTCTTTTTAAAAAAAGCTATTATACAATTAACGTCACGGTCAAAAAACCTAAACAAAATAATATAGACAAATTATGAAATATGTATATATATTATATTAGAATTATGTATAGTAAACATACATTTCAGCATTTGGATGAGAAACTGACATCATTTGAGGGAAATCAATCACAATTGGTTTTTCTTCATTATTTATCATTATATTAAATTCATTAAAGTCACCGTGAATAACTCCATGCTGAGCAAAACGAACAATTAAGTTCATGAGCTCATCATACAAATTTTCTACATTATCAACTTCATAAATACGAGATCTAAGTAATATTAAGAAGAATAAATAAATTTAAAATGTATAATAAAATTCAAACACTAATTTTAAATGATAAAAATATACTAACAAAGGATGTCCATTCACTAATTCCATAACAACACAATGACGATTAATATCAATGGGTTTTGGTATAGGAAAATCTCTTTTTGATAATGCCTCCATATAAGCATATTCTTTTGTAGCTGAAATACGAGACAAGTATAACCAACCTGCCTTGTGACGGTGTCCATGATAATCTCGTTTTTCTTTTAAATTACGAAAACATGTTCTACCCAACCTACAGAACAATACAGAATTGTATATTGATTTGAAACAATAATAGTTATTATTCAAGAATACCTATGTAATTTTAAACAAATCGCCTTATCTTCAGAATCAGCAACAACATAAATATTTGATTCTTTACCAACACCAATCTGATTACCGAATGATGATATTACTTGACGAGAAGTCAGTGCTTTGAGTGCTAAATAGTCATAACCTGTGTTAGTTAACCGATAGCCATCATCTAAATAACAAAAATACATTATACATTATTTAATAAATATTTACTCAAAATCTTTTCAACATAATGTTGTAGATTCTATAGTCTCAATTTAATTTATTCAGTTATAGGTACGTATTTGTAAGGCTGAGGAAAATAATAAGTGATTATGTCAAAACAATATCTAACCAGTAACTAATGCAAATATTATAATTATTAAAAATATATTTGAAATATATAAGACTGTTTAAATATATCTTGTAAATACTATTGAAAAAATCTTGTTAAAAGTAAAATTTGTCTATTTAACATCTTATGGTACCTATATTTTTTTATTAAAAGCAAAAAGTAGAGCATTGGCTATAGATTTACCAGAAGTAAAATAATTCAAATTCTGCAAACAGTGATTGATGAACAAAAACAAAATCTATGGAAATTGACTACAAGGACCGTGGAGTGTGAGCATTATGCTGCCAACATTAGTATAGTTGAATGAAGGCTGTTTTGTTGGTATGGACTGGGATAATATTTCAAACTGAACATTTTTTTTTTTTGGCATGCCAAAAAAATCAATCCTACAAATTATAAAATTGTAAAGTTTAATGAAATACCTAAAACTTTCTAAATTTGATGATTTTCAAGTTATTTATAGCTATTTGAAATTATCCTTCAATCTTTCAATGGTTTCCTATGGAAAAATGTATTTTGACTTTAAAAAATTTCATACAATATGCAAGAAATGTTATGATGATATAGTTTTTATAATATATAATTGTTCTTTAGATAAGTACTGATTTTTAGTTTTCAGGTTCTGTCACACAGATGTAAATAGTGAAATCTATACAAGCATAATCTATACAACAAATAAATAATATGTACTTGATTAAATATTATAGTTTGAACAGATTATCTGTGGTTCTTATTTTATATATTTTCTAATTTTAAGTACATTGAATTAACTCAAAAATAAGAAATAAATGTATGTAGTAAAACAATGATTATTATTTTACAATCTCTTATGAGATAAATTAAATCTTTATTTCCACCTTAAAATCAAACCCACATTATACCTTACCTAACCTAACCCAGACTAAAATTAATTATAAATAATTACAGTACATTTTTTTTAAATTATACAACCAATTTTGAATGTAATAAATTATTAAATAAGTAAGTACTCACAATGTTTTCCCCGTTCATATGATAACAACCTATGTTTACAGAGTTCTTTTAAAATTTTATGTACACCACCATGATGAAGATTTGCAATTGAAGCAGCTAACAAGGCTGGAACTAGTTCATGATTTTTCATTCCCATTTCAATCTGTTTCATATATAATATTATAAAATAACTAAATGTATCAATTTCTTGAGTTAGAGAGGTGTATTTTGTGTGAGTAAATAATTTATTATATAAAAATATACATCAGCATACCAACTTTAATTTTTAATCTAAATTTTACATCAGCTTATTTCAAAAAAGCCTACAAAATATTTTGAATTTTGATACTCACAGCGGTCAAAACTCTGAAGTCCTCCCTTGTTAAATATCGAAGCATAGTCACATTTAACTTTCCCATAACTATAATCCTAAAGAATAAACAAATTTTAAACCAAAAATAATTCTATCAGAGAAATATTCACAAGTCAACATCCAAAAAAATAAAAAAATTGTATTTGTGGTTGGTACATTGTACTAAAATATTACATATTAAGTAAATTCTAAAATAAAGAAAATGTATTCATATTATTATCACATTCCAGACATTCTATTCATAGGAACCAAAAAGAAACATTAAAAACATAACCTCAAAATTAAAATGATCACGACTACAAGGACAGTAGATAATATATCTTTAGATCACGGTTTTAGAACAACTTTAAGATCACGATTTTAGAAGAACAGGTCCGACTTCTTGTTCTTATCAGATATCCGCTTATTGAGGCCATTTTAGTTCAGAATTTACTCACGAGGGCTACCGGTTATACTTATTGAGGTTAAGAAAGAAGGAGTCTTTAGGTACTGAGGTTAGTTGTATGAAATACTCACTCATGGTAAATTATTTCCAACCACCAATGCCAATCACTTTAGGCACTTCTAAAGTTTTACCAAGTAAACGAAAAACCAAGATAACACAAAACCGGTTACATTTTATCTGTAAATATATTATTCAAGGCTATGAAAATATACGAATATTTATATTCATGATAACATTCATAAAATAATTTACCTTGTGCGAATTATGGGTTAAGTTTTTAATAGTATTAATTTATTTTATGTATTTAAATATGATATTGTTAATGCACACTATTTTTCAATATATTGAACACACAGACCGCCTGCATCACTATGTTGAATCGCAGTTATCTATATATTGGTTTAGATTGGGCCGGTCTATTAGTAAACAAATCCTATGGTTGATTGTTATTTATTTCCATAGGTAATCATCAGACAGTAAAAAAAACGTTTCATATCACTAATGAAATAAACGGTTCTTATCAGTACCTTCCTACTTGAAATAAACGTCTCAGTTACTTATATCTAGATTGATAATCGATTTTTAGCAGTTGTTACTGCTATCTACAGCTACCCCGACCATTATTTAGGCATGCTTAATCAATGCTGCTACTAACTGTGACTGGCGACTACTATGAATTTAAGAAAATGTTGAAAAATAATGTATTATATTATTTTGTCCTCATTAAATCATTAAAACCTAGGTATATATTTTAAAATAGCCATCTCTAATAATAATAAGGTAACTATGTCGCTTATTCCAGGTAGGCAAGTACACTGATAAGAATCATTTATATTATTAGTGATATTTACATAGACCTGATAATAATATGTTTATAGATCTATGGATATAAACCGTTTTTATTTACTCTCTGGTACTTGGTAGGTAATCAATGCGTATTATCAATGCGTATATTGTATACTATTACTATACTATCACAAAGTTTCATACTCCATTGTGGAAAAAAATACATTCTACAATTCTGGTATTTTTATTTTCGTTTTTTTTTTTCGATTAATTCATAATGCCTTACGCAAACCAGCCATCTGTAAATATAGTTGAGCTTACTACAGACTCCATCAAATTTCAAATTGAAGACACCGACCTCAGCGTTGCTAATAGTTTACGTAGAGTGTTTATTGCTGAAACCCCGACATTAGCCATTGATTGGGTCCAGCTAGATTCGAATTCGACTGTTTTAAGTGATGAGTTTATAGCAACTCGCATCGGTCTCATACCATTGACATCAGATGAAGTAGTCGATCGTCTTCAGTACTCCAGGGATTGCACTTGTTCAGATTTCTGTCATGATTGCAGTGTCGAGTTTAACCTTAATGTTAAATGTTCAGAAGACATGACGAGACATGTAACTACTGCTGACTTGGTAAGTAATAATCCTCGCGTAGTGCCTGTTACTTCGAGGAATCAGGATAGTGATATTAACGAATATGGGGAGAAAGATGATATACTTATTGTTAAATTGCGTAAAGGACAAGAATTGAAAATTAGAGCCTTTGCTAAAAAAGGATTTGGCAAGGAACATGCCAAATGGAATCCTACTACAGGTGTGAGTTTTGAATATGATCCTGATAATACAATGCGACATACTTTATTCCCAAAACCAGATGAATGGCCAAAAAGTGAATATTCAGAACTTAATGATGATCAGCATGAAGGACAGTATAATTGGAAAGCTAAACCAAATAAGTTTTTTTTCAATGTTGAAAGCTGTGGATCATTAAAACCAGAAAATATTGTTTTAATGGGAGTTGCTGCACTTAAAAATAAGTTGTCAAACCTTCAAACACAATTCACACAAGAAATGGATGCACTTGCTATAAACTAATTTTAAATTATATTGAACTATAATATATAATTTTATAATAATAAGTGGTGATCTTTTGAACTATTTTACAAATGTCAGTAAATTTGTTTATAAATAAATTTAATTTCAATAAAACTACATTTCTTGTATATTAAGTACCTATATCAATATTTAATAAGGCTGGTGTAGAATAACAAGCATTTTAATAAAAAAAAAATTATGTAGACCATGAGTTTTTTTTATTAATTTGTCTAGATACTTACTTTTATTCCTAAAAGGTATTACTTTTCTCAATAAGAAGAATTCTTTAAACGTTGGTAAAAAAATGGAATATTTGTAATTATTTTCTATGAAGAGAAAACTAAATGCATTCAACATTCATTATTTACAGTTAATTTTTTATTTCTAATAAATAATTTTACCTAAATTATTCTTTTTGATTTTAATTAAATAGTTAAAAAATGTAAGTACTGTTTAACTTGAAATCTACAAAATTAAAGTATTTATTTATTATTGAAGTTGTAGAATTTTGGTACGAAATTGAATTTATACTCAAAGTAGAATTCAATCTTTGCTTCTATTAAATCATGTATTACTTAATTCATTGGTTAATAACTATGGTCATGATTCAATCAAAAAAATGCCAACTCAATTTTAAAGAATGATAAAGTTAATCAGGTTTTCGAAGATTGATTTACCAATGCAATATTCTTGACACGGTTCGAAATAGATAATATCGAAAATTATCTATTCTGTGATGTCGATAACCTACTTGAGCAATTTCAATAATAACTTATCCATGACAAAATATCCCATTCAGAAATGCGAATTTCTTTTGTCATAGCCATAACTAAACGCTAAACATATTTTAGTCATAACTCAAACATATTTAATTGTTTTATTTGGTGGTAAGTATATTATGTCATTATTAGATATGTTATTGATCCAAAATAAAATTAATAATAAGCCATAAAGATCACAGTCTTAAACAAAGTCATATAGAAGACCCTGGTATCAATACAAATAATATGAATTTTTGTTTATTTCATGATAGTCGACAGTGTTTACACGATAGAAGTTTGTGGTAGTTGCTGTCACAATATCACAGCAGTGATACCGACCGACCTACTACATAGAATTGGTCATGAGACGTAATAATTCTGTGACATATTATCGAGATACCTATATAATATAATCTAATATAAACAATTGTAGAGCAAAAAATAAAGATTGTAAGGTTACACGATGACAGGAAAATTCATCAATACTCGCTGGCACAAAGTGAATAGAAAAAACGTAGGATAGTATCTAATAGTGACGGTCACTGAATAACAATTTATACTATCGATATTTTCCAATAGTTTGAATGAACTATCGAATAATTGAATATTTTTTTCAATTTTTACTTTTCTAAATATTGAAAAAATGAATAGTATTCATATATTATATTATGTTATTTTAATTTTAATTTTTTTTTTTTCTGGACGTTATTTATTTTCATGTTGAATCATTTTCAAAGCTTCATAAAGAACAAAAATATTTGAATGGGTAGTTGGTACTTTATGAAGGACATTTTTTGATTTTTCAAGTAGTTTTCATAATAATTGGGAAAAAACGGAAACATTTATGAAATTACTGTTTTAATTATTTTCAATTTTGTTTTTTTGTTGCAATTCAGTAAAAAATGTTCGTAGAGACTTGAAATTAGGACAGACAAATCATATTTTCCTTTTCTAGACGTGATAAAATTTTCAAAACATTTAAGCTATTTCTATAAACATTTTATTTTATGAGTTTTTTTAGGTAATTTTTATTCGGTAGGTATTTTGTGGATAAAATTGTTAGACTAAACAGAAATGCTTGAAAATTTAACTGGAGGTTAAGTTATGCTTATTGGTCAACAAGAATAAGTTAAGTTTAATGTAATATTTGTGTTTTTATAAAAATTCAAATATGGAATGTTGACGAAATTCGTAAATATTACGACCTTTTAAAACATATATGACCGACTTCTGCTCTGAATCGTCTATCGTTTGCAATGAATAATCGTTTCCTACAGATACCTATATACATTCAATTCTCCTATATTATATCCTATACACCTTTCCAACTACTCATCTACAACAGTGGCTTACCCATCGTGCAAAGTATGTCCGTATTCTTTTACCCGCGATTTCTGGCACAATTAATATAATATCCCCTGCTAGACACACTATCCGGTTTTAATCATTTACTGCACAAAACATACAACACTACCTGTTTAAGCCTAGGTAAGCCGGTAAGGTATTTTATTGATATAATTTTTCTAATGGGGATGATAAAAGGTCGTCACGGCAAATTAATACTGGTTCAAAATCATAAGCTTGGTTAATGGTTATTGTACCTACTGTGCAGTTGTAGGTATCGAATTAATTCAGAACTATCGAAATTATCGAATATTCGTATTTTTCGGAACTATCGAATATTTTTGAGCTATTCGAATACTATTTGAAATACTATCGTGTAGTTCGAATGTGTCGGACTATCGAATAATTCGATAGTGCCCATCACTGGTATCTACTCTACTGTCTACCGTAGTTGTCGGGATATGCTATCATCGTATAAATGCACTTTCTTCAACATAAACGTAAATTCGTGATAGGTGACAATAAATAAAATTACTGTTTTTGTAGTGTCGACATTTTTATCTTGTAATTTATTTATTTGCGTTTATGGTATTTTAAAATATGACTAAAGGTAAATTTAATATTTTTGAATTCCTCAATGAGTACCAAAAATACCCTTGTCTTTGGGATAAAAGCCACAGCAGTTACAAAATTAAAGCCGAACGAAATTTAGCATTACAAATGATTTTACCATCATCTGGGCTGGCTAATATTAATGAACTTAAACGAAAAATAAGAATTGTGAGGTAAGTTTAAATGTACTAGTTCAAATAGTTTTAATGCAAAAAAATGTTAACAATTTTCTTATTGTAACTTGTTAACTTTTAGATGTACTTATAATCAAGAATTGGTAAAAATGAAGTCTATTACAAGAATAAATTCCAATTATAAGCCAAAATTAGTGTGGTTTGAGCTTGCTCACAGTTTTCTCAATAAAAATGTTGAAGAAAATGAAAAAATCGAGACTAATTTGGTAATTTAGGAAATATTTTACCTTTACAGATTTTTATTTGTTTTTAATTATTAGATATAGAATTTTGATAAGTACTAGTTACAAAAATTAGGGAAATTATCCAGTTTGGGCCGAAGTTGGTTTTTCATTTACCCTTTTCCAAATGTATAATGCTTTTTTTAACTACTACCTATCTAGTTTCCTAATTTTTAATTTTCTGGTAAATAGGTAATCATTGATTAAAAAGAAAAGAACCATTAATCACTATTATTATTATACTCTCATTTTTTTAAAAATAAAACATGCCATTACCCAATAACAGCTTTGATTAGAATATTCATTAGCTTATTTTCTTTAATTGCTTTTCTTAAATAAGATTAGTACAATTTTTAATAATCCAAAATAATCTAATAGTATATGCATTTATGTATTTAGGTGCATCTAAATGCATACCTAGAAAGTTTTTGGAGCATTTAAAATTATACACATAATTGCATATCAGCTCATAGTATCTAATTGGACATAATAGTGATTCAACAATTTAAATCTTTCCCCTCCTTTATTGATAATATTTTTGGCTATATTTAAAGAATAATTATGTACAAAACTTATTATTAAATGCAAGTTTTTTCACAAAAAGAACAAAATTTAGAATATCTTCTTTAAAAATGTCTGTGTTAAACATTATTATATATTAATTTATATTAAACTTTTGGAATTTTAGACAACTTTTTCAAATAAAGCAACATCCGGAACAAAATCTGTATCTTTTAAGATACGATACAATCAATTTGAAGCATTTTTAGTTTTAACCACTATAAATTATTATCTAAATAAATAATAATAAATATTAGATAAATTACTGCTGAATATTAACTACCGCAATTTTTACTAACCAGAACAATATTTAATCAAAAAAAGGATTTTAGGGTTAAATTGTTAAAATGGTCAAATCATACTCCAAGTAAATTATTACCATTTGGAGATTCTACATTTTTTAAGGTATGGCCATAAAAAAAATCAAACCATATTTTACTCATCTAAAAAAAAATGTAGTAGTCAAAATAGCTTAAAAATTAAAAAATATATTATAAAAGTTATAAAATATTTAATTTTAAAAAAAAAATTCCTATACAGTTCATGGAATATTTTATAGATATGTCAAACATTTCTATAAATATAGAAAAATACAATAAGTTCAAGTAGACATAAGTTAACATTATCTAATTTTGTTATGTATACACACTGGTTAGGGGATGGGACAAAACATATTTTGAAATTGAAAATTAAAGAAAACAAATACTCTACTACATGGTTATCAATGTATATTGTATTAATTATATCAGGCTTAACCTGAAATTGAAGTCTGTGTATACCTTTGCATCTATGCAAATAAAATTAATACAATTTTAAACTTTACTAGCGCTTGAGGTTAATTTATAATAAGGAAATAATTTGATCTGCTGTTAAATATACACTTACACTATTGTAATATGTTAAATAAAGTTGGGAAGTTCTAAATAGAATCAAACCCAGAAATTATTAAGTATTGTTTGAGTGAATCAATATTAAATAAATAATTTGCTTAATTATATTATTTAAATGCATGTGTTCCCTAAAAATTAATTTTACAATTATTTATCAAACTTTAGGTATTGAATGTTACTGAAAGTAATGATACAACGTCAGAAGAAAGTTATGATTTCTCACAAACATTACCATTTTTAACACAGTGCCAGTATGATGAAAATGGTATAAATATAACCACTACTACACAACATTATATTATATAGGTATAAAACAAATTATAAAATAATTAATATTCTTAAATTTACAGAAAGGACTATGTTAAATAACCAACAAGAATTAAGCAGTTCTCTTGACGACGCAGTTAAGGCATTAAAATGTGCATACTCAGAATATCAAGAATCAACATCTAATGAGTTTCATACATTTGGCAAACATGTAGCAGTGCAACTGGAAAAACTACCTTTAGTAGAATCACTTAAGTTACAAGCTGAAATTCAAAGTCTATTAACTCAGGCTCGTCTGCGTACAATGAATGGTATATAATGACTTCTCTTAATTAGTGTAGGTATATATTTCTATAAGTGTATTATTTTTATTTTTGAATAAAACTAAAACTTCTGAAAATTATTTAATAATTTTATCGATTATAAATGATTTCCTAATTAAATTTCTACTTTTATGTAAACAGTAAACTAGGAAATAGAGCAGTGAACTGGTGACTAATAATTTATTGACATTTAATAGGTACAGTTTGCACAAGACAAAGTATTAATTATTATTATTCATAAATTGTAGAACTAACAACTAAATAAAGAAAAAAAAATGACAGTAATCATGGTTATAGCCGTGTAGATATTATGTAACCTATTAATATCAATAAATTTAAATACCTGGTAAATTAAGACACAAAATGTTAATTATGAACCTACAAAATAAAATACAGATGTGAATTATTTATTTAAATGTTTTGTCTTATGTTATGTATGAACCATTAATTTACTTTCATAATAATCACACAAAACTCAATGTGGAAATAAATTAAAAATTATATTGCTTATATTTTGTTGCTCTAAAGATTTCATTTCATTTTCAAATAATTAAATCAATATACATCTATCTAAAACTAAAAAACACAAATGATCGACAAATGTTCGCTGAAAGATAATCAATATATTTATATGAGTTGATATACACCTATGCAAAACATAATGCTGATACTTTTAAATAATTTGTTGTAGTGCCACCATGCAATATTTTAATAGGATACCTGCATAATATTTTAAAATAAGAAAAATATACTAAATAGGTGTAAATATATCTATTAATATTATAATATAATATATGGTATTGACTATTAAATAATACTAATTGCATTCAAGTATAATGCTTGTCAAAAAAGAATATATATTCTCCATTATTTTATACAATGAATGATTCAATAAAACAAATGCATGTCTGTATAAATTTTTTGAAGTAATCTTTAACTATCAAAACCTAAGTTTGATAATAGAAAAAAATTAAATGAAATCAAAATCTATTCCATTTTCATTACAATATCACATATTTTAATCTGTGTTTAAAAATTGTATTTATAATAATAAATTGGATAATTAATTATGATGTATAAGGTATGGTTTATGCCAATAGATATTATGACTGAGAAATTTTATCAGTAGGACTCACGAAAAATGAGTGCTGACAACTAATTGTAGAGTTCAAATAGTGGGGTTCTCAATGTTGTGTTATCATTTTTTTTTTGCATCGTTTCATGAGTTATGTCCCATAATATTTTTAATTTCAAAGGGGTCAAGGGGACATATGTTTGCAGCTGTTGGGTATAATTGCTACTGGAAACGCAGCCACTAGCACTCACTTTTCATAAGCCTGAATATAGTTACGTTGAGAAGAAAAACACCAAAAAAATATAATGGACAAAAGAAATAGAAATTTAGGTGTTAAGTATATGATTCAGAAAACCAATCTGATCAAATTAACTTATTCTATTTATATTTATATTGTTTACAGGAGGTTTTTCAAATCCGAAGAAATTATTCAAATAACATGCAAATAATAAACAAATTGAAATGTTTTTACTTTTGTTCATCAAATTGAAATCTTCAACTTAAGAAGCATATTTCAAAAGTAACATCAAAGTTTTTAAATTGCCATAATTGTGACACTCACAATAATTTTTTGAGTTCGATAATTTTACACTAAAAATTTAATTAAATAGTTAGAATAAGGACTAATGAAAAATGTTTGCTTTTATAATATTTGAAATTATATATAATATACATTTTCATAAGGAATTTGATATTTTTTCAATAATTATATTCAATTTAAGAAACATAGTAATAAATATATAATATATTATGTATATAATAATGGTTATAAATTTTATTATAAAAAAAAGAGCTGATATGATGTGCTACTGTTATAGTTGGGATAGTAGGAAACAATATTAATTCTGAATACTGTGTATTGACAACCTACATGGTGGGTAGTTTGTTTAATGAAATTGTTATGTATATATTTAATTTATATCTTTTCGCAATGATAAACTATTGCTACCAAAAAAATATTTTGAAATGACTGAAATTTTATTTATTTTTTTTTTAAGGCTTTATAAGCCATTTAGACTCTTAGCTGCTAAAATTACTTCCTTCCATCACACTATTATATGCCTGCTCCCATTCCACTTCAGTTTCTTCTATTAATTCCTTGATACTGTCCTTCCATCTTTTTCGCAGTCTTCCCTTTACCATATAGTCAATGCTTCTTTCTCTTCGATGTACTTCCATTGGCCCTCCATACATGGTTTACCCATTCTATCCTTGTTCCTCTGATGAATTGCACCCAATTTTCTCTTTTGTAAAGATGGTATAGTTGGACGTTAATTCGTATTTCCTATTACTATTTTGGATTGTTGAATACAGGTCTGAACATTTTTTTTAGAACTTTTCTCTCAAAAAGATGTAATTTTACATCATCATCTTTCATGGTTGCCCATATGGTACACATATATGTCAATACAAGGTATATGTAACTTATGTATAGATGTTATTTTGTTTTCCTTGGATTTAAATAGGGTTTTCAATTGCTTAAAGGCATTGGTAGCAGCATCCAATCTGATATTGATCTCCAAGGTACTTGAACTCATGCACTTGTTCAAAGATGTTATTTCTCACAAAGGTTATTATGATCACCCCTCCTTGTTTTACCATTCTGTATTTAGTTTTTCCACTGTGGTTTGTTTGGTCAATATCTTTTTCTATCTTTATTAGTTCTTTCACAGTACTCTGAATACCCTCTTGTGATTTCCCAATGATCACTATATCGTTTGCATATACTAATAAGAAATTTCCTTCTTCATGGTTTAATGTTTCAGTTTGCAGTAATTTTTTTATTATACTCGTCAGTGCCATATTAAAGAGCACTGGTGACATTGCATTACTTTGTTTCAATCCGCTATTAATTATAAATGAAGATGGTATCTCATTGTTCACCTTGACTCGGTTGCTGGTCTTCATGTTGTACAGTTTTCATGTTGATTAGTTTAGTTGGTACACCAAAATGTTTAAGAATTTTTTCAATCTATCTCAGTTTATGCTATTGTAGGCTTGCTTTTAATCTACAAATATAATATGTGTATCTTTTGCGAACTCTTATAATTAATATGTGATCAGTAGCTTAGACCTTATACTACTTAGTATAAGGTTTATTTCAGTAGTTAATTTATTTTTCCTGAATCCACTTTAGTATAGTTACCTACTATCTTGTCTGTATAATATTTTAGCAGTATTTTGGGTATGATTAATGACATACATGATAATACATTAATACCTTATACCCAGTGTTCAACAATGTTATTTCTCTATAATTTTTTACTTTATTTTGGTTATATTTTTTGAAAATTAGACATCAATGATTCATTCCAGTCTTATGGTATAGTTTCCTTTAGTCATATCTGTTGAATTAGATTATATAGTTTTTGTGTTAGGTTTGTTCTCCGAACTTTAATAATTTAACTACAATTTTATTATCACCTAGTGACTTTTATTTTTAGAATCTAGATTGCATACTGTACTTCTTCTAAATTCGGAATTAATACTTCCGGTTCTATTGTATAAGGTAATATGGTGTCTTTTTGTTTGCCTACTTCTGTTGTTGAGTCTCTGTTAAGGAGTTTTTCAGAGTACATTCTGAATTCATCAGCAATATTCTTCGGTCTTGTAATTAAAGTACCATAATTATCTTCTATCATTTGTATAGTTGGTATAAATTCACTTTTGATTGCTTTGCAACATTTGAAGAATTCTCTGGGGTTGTGTTTGAAGTTTTCAATGTCCTCTAATCGCTCTTTCTTTTCTTATCAATGTAGTTATTTCTATTTGTTTGTTCTTGAAGTACCTAATATTCTCGGGGATTGGTTTATGGTTTGCTTTAATTCTGGCTTCATTAAGTTTCCTGATTATTTTCCTGCAATTATTATTAAACCATTTCTTTATTTTATTTCTTTGTGGGAATTGAAATTGAATGACCTTTTTTTGCAAAGTTATTGAGTTTTTTATTATTTTTCATGATTTCTCAACCATTTTTACGTATTTAGCAAAACTGATTTTTTTATGGTTATTTTATTATATTGTGAAATGGCTGAAGATATGAAATAATGTTAAATATAAAAAAAGGTTATAGAATTTAATTTTCTAAAAAAAAAAAGTTTATTAATAAAAACTTAATTATTTTTCCATTTGATTGGATCCATTTCCATAAATTTCGTATTTATCCCGAATCTTTTAAATATGTTTGGAGATTGTTGATTAAAATACATCGAAAAACATTAAACATTTTTATCTAGAAATGTCATCTGCCGTATTCAATATGCTTGAAAAATGGTCACTACTTGACAAAGTTCAAAAATCCGACAGCCTGGTATGTACCATCCAGTTAGATGGATGGCTAAAGGGATTCATTATTTGAAGATATTTTTATTAAAATCGGAATTCAAAATGACTAAGACAGAAGGAAATGTGCTGAGCAGAATTTAACAAGAATCCAACATTTTCTAATTTTAGTACAAATTTATTTTGTATGTTCTCTTCTTGAACGTGTTCCTCACTTGTTTTATTGAAGTTTCAAATACTTCTAATCCATTAGAAATTGCTAATTGGTGTTAAAATTTAACGTCAATTACCAATTTCATTTAAAATTTAATATTAACCTACCTCTTTCGGTTAACCCTTCCCATATTCAAAACTACTCTTCAATGACTAGTGGCTTAACGGTCACGGGAAATCGGTTGCAGTAAAATGGCCGCAAAATTTTTTTGGATCCATATATATTTAGTTCAACAAGAGAAAATGTTCTGCGCGGCGGACAACTAGTCGTTTCTCCCCACTACCGCACGAAATGACTACGGGCCACCAGTTAGTCTCGAATATACAGTGTCACATTTCAGTGTAGTGATTGCGGTCCATAATGTGTTCGACATTCCGCGTCGCATTTCAGTGGAAACTCGGTATCTCGAAGTCTCAAGGGATCAAAAAAAAACGACATATCGAAACTTCGAGTTACCGAGAAAATTTACAACATAAAAAAATTTGAAACAAAAATTTTTATTTATTGGGAGAAATTTGTATTAATAATATAAAATGTATTTATATATTCTACATATAACATTAGTATTCGTTATTTGGGTAGGTAATAGGTATATATTATTTTTTATGGGAGTAGAAAATCTGTCATTTTTGTTTAGTATTAGATGTATTTTCAATAAAACTAAATAAAATATTAAGTAGAGAAAAAATATTGTCAGAAACTCCTGATTGTTGTTGGACGTATCTTAGAAATTCATGAAGATAATTCTTAGCTTGGGCACCTCGTATAAAAGTTCAACAACAGAAATTTCTTCCTCATTAATTGCTTCATTGGCAGAATCTGTCTCTGGCTCATTAAGAATATTAGATATGTTGAAAATGTCAGCATTAATTAAACTTTCAGACAAGTGCGTCCCTGAGAGGGGAAAGGAGGCCATCGTTCCCCATTTCCATAAACTGTATGATGTTATTTTTTGTTATGCAAAATATCCATAACTCTTAAGTACAAATAAGTACAAATGCAATTGGTTCCAAATGCCAAAAAGATGATTTCCGATCTAAGAAATATTTCTCATTTATACATTTCAATAAATATTCTCTCAAGGGTGAGATAGAATTATGGAAAAACAAATGAAGACAATCAATTTGCAAAGATATAATAAAATAATATATTTTTAGAATCAAAATTGGAAACGATTAATTTAATTTAAATTTTAGATTCTGAGTGCAGCGAATAATGTACTTATTGGATTTATAGTATTTTTTTTTTTCATACATAATTTGACAAAAATTTCTGTCAGAAATCTTGCTTCAATATATAAGTGTAGCACCTTTTTTGAAAAAAAATATTAACATATTGACTAAATGGTACTTTAGAAAGGTCATTTTTAATTTTTCCAGCTGTTTTCATAATATAAGGAAAACCCTAGATAAAACACAAAAAAAATGGGGAAATTTACGAAAAATAATGTTTTTATTACTTTCAATTTTGTTTTTTGTTGTAATTTAGTTAAAAATATTCGCGAAGATTTGAAATTTGGACAGAAATCTTATATTTGTCTTTTCTAGACATAATAAAATGCTTATATAGATATACATTCAATTTTTCGATATCTTACTTTCCCAACTTATCATCTATAACAGTAGTCCACCCACCGTGCAAAGTATTTCCATCTTTTTTTCTTATCAAACATTAATATTAAATTTAATTATTTCGCCCCCCCCCCCCCATACTCAATTTCTAGAGACACTCTTGCTTTCTGATGTACTTAAAGTAAAATCAGTATTTAAAAGTTCTTAATATGAAATCTTGATATCGGAGTGTTTTCTTTGATATTTAAGCCATTCTTCAGGAATAACCTAATCGGTCAATAGCTATCTAATCTATAATTGAATATTGACGTTATTACAACGTAGTATGTATAAGCTCTGTCATTTACCTTTTTTTCATCGTATGGGCATTTTATACTTTACCTAATCTGTCATATATTCGAGTTAGTGAATCGTAATAGGCGGTGGATACCGGATAATGACTTTGACTAGAAAAAATTTGACGTTTTGTTTAAAGCATATAATAATAGCCGACGCGGACAGCAGTTTATTTAACTCATATAAATAGGTACATCAAATAGTTTTCGTCGTGGAGAATGTATTTTTAGCAGAGCACCTGTAATTTTCGTAAACCAAATGCGCGAGCGGTACTATTCTCTCGTTGAACGAACTGTAGTTATGTGTTCAACACACTGATTTGTTTATTATTAATAATTCTAAAAACTTACAATACCTTTTTTTTTCTAAAGATATTATTGACAAGACATTATTTACGTACAGTTACAGTTTTTTAGATATTTACATTGACTTACATAAATATTGTATACAGGATGATTCACCAGGCGTATTCACCCAAATATTTTGGTTAAATTTGGAATGTATTCAAATTCTGAATTTTGGAATTTTAAAGTGTAGTTTAAGCCAATATTTTCGAATACTTAGATTTTTTACAACTGGTGGCGATATCAACTTTGGTTTTTCAAATGAGAACCTATATTAAAAATTCTATTAATAGATGAAGTATTACTTTGCATACATTTTGGTGTAAACATTTTTGATTTCCGTCAACCCGTTGACGGGATATTCCTCTTTTAAGTTTAGGTATGGGGTAAGTAGTGGAACACTAATAAAATGCCACGCGCCATGCCACCCCACAAATTTCTATACTCCACTATTCACCCCCTACCTAAACTTAAATGTTGAATATCTCAGCAACAGACTGATGGAAATCAAAAATGTTGACACCAAAATTTATTTAAAGTAATATTCCGTATATTTAAGAAACTTTTAATATAGGTTATCTTTGAAAAACCAAAGTTGATATCGCCACAGAATAATCTTAAATGCTGTGAAAACTCAAAGTATTTGAAAATATTGGCTTTAACTATATTTAAAAATTCCAAAAATCCGTAATTGAATACATACAAAATTTAACAAAAAAAAAATGGTGTGAGCATGCTGAGTGAATCATTTTGCATAGTGGTGTCTATTAGATGTACATACATTGATATTCAATTTTCCAAGATCAGTTTGGATAAACAATTAGATGTTTGATAATAACAAGTTTGGTGTATTACCATTAGATACCATTGATTTTATAACATACATACATATTATAAAATCAATGCCATTACTCAAAAAACTGAGAAATAATAATTCAGAAGATTTCATTAATTAGTTGAGGATTGGTGGTACTATATTTTATCACATACTGAGTATGTTACATATTTTTGATTTCTACTTTATCATAGAAAATTTCTTTAAAAAATACTTCGTACATGGCTGGGCCACTGATGTAGGTGAGAAGTTGATAAGGTGACAGAGGGAAAATTGAATGTGTATAAGCAACGATAAGCCATTTTTAACGAGAAAACGATTCTGAGCGGAGTTCTATTGATAGTGTTGCTTTGTCAACAATATATATGTCAAATTATAGTAAAATAACTACATAGGCATTAATGCATTATATATTTTCTTTAATAATATTTCTTTAATATTGTACCTATTTTTCTTGTTTTCCCCATTTATTAGGAAAACTCCTGGGGAAATCGAAAAATGACCTACCTAAAGTACTTCTCCAGTCCGATTTTCTTTCAAAAAAAGTGATATGTTTGTAAGATTCCTGGTAAAAAAGTCGTCCACAGAAAAAAAAAAATAATAATAAAAAATAAACATCGTAAAACTATTTACTAACTAGGTTTACTTTAAGGTTAGGTTAGGCTAGGTTAGGTTAAGTTTTTTTTGGAGAACACTTTTGGGGCCGCTAATCTGTTAAAATGTTTCAGAACTAGTGGGAAAACCTCTTTAGTTAGTAGTGTAGTACCTACTTAAGCGTTAGTAAAACAGATTTAATCTTGCATTTCATTTATTATTGATAATAAAACTTTTCAATTTTATTTGTAAATGTAAAAAACCAATTATTCACTAAAAAAACTTTCAAGAGTGAAAATTACCTATTTTTAATTTCTAAACCATTTAACAATTTAACAGTTCATATTTTGAAGTTTTTAATATTACATATTACATTAAACACTAGTTTTCTGGGTCCGTCCAACTCGGCACCATGGGATTTATCCATAAAACAATGGTCTAGTCAAGGTACCTATGAATTATGCGTAACTTTTTGTTTGTTACCCTTAAAATTACAAAAGGTAGGTCATTACATTATATACACCTAAGACTAATTTTTTTTTTAACCAGATAATTTAATATTCTAACATAATTTAATCTATTCTCTGATTAGAAATGGTAGAATTAACATTGTATTAATGTGTCAAATTTTAATACCGTGAATTATTTGTTTAAATAGTTTTAAATTAGTCTAGTTTGTTCAGTTGATTTGTTTATTGTTTAAAATATTTTCTTTGATTTTAATCATAATTTAATTTTTTATCAATTATTTCATGTATATAATTAAAATGTATTATTATAACTTATTTGCAGGTAAATAAATTGATATCAACAAATTATGTTTTATTAATTGACAATAAGTACGGCAGTAAGATTTTTTATTTGAAGGGTGGGTTGGCTTTAAAATAAATAAATACCTACCTTATTCAGCATACATATAAAGTTAAAGTTGAAATAATAAAATAAATAATCTCTTATTGACTGTACTGTTATAAATTATAAAGCTTTTAATAAGACATACTGAGTAAATGATTAATTAAGTTTAATGTTAAAGATAAAAATAATGAATGTTTGGTGAGGTGTTTCAGCCCATTAGCCTCTCCCCTGATGTAATAAGGCATTGTCTATACTTAATACATAGTTTTTTTTTAAAAATAAAGTAATAAATACAATTTTGTAATTTGCAGGTATATAATTAAACACAGATTAGTATCTGAAGTGCACAGATTTGGATAAGTAAATAATTAAAAAGGTCAAATATTACAGCCTTTCGAAACATTTATAACCAAATTTTGTTCCGAATGATTTTTCGTTAGCAACAGTTTATTGTTTCTTACAGATATGAATTGAATAACTTCCTATCTCCTAAGTATCCTATCTCTTCCCTATTTCCCACTTACAATAATGACACACCCATCCCCAGTAACAGTTTTTTTTTCTGTGTTATTTAAAGTTCAAGTTTTAACATAAATGCATTTTGATAAAAATGGAAAATATAAAACGTCTCTTCAATGTCGGATTCAGAAGTTGTTCAAGGGGTGGGTCGATTTTATTAAAAAAAATATATATTACATACAAAATTATAGAAAATAAGAATTACGAAAAAAATATCCCAAGGGGATTGACAGGGTGTCCTTCCTTGTATCCGTTACTGTGTTCTATGCGTTCTATTTCAAATAAATAGTTGAGGTATCTCTTCTAAAATTAAATTTCAGAAATTTATGTTAAGCTACTCCCCTCCTCCCAATGGCGTAGCCAGGATTTATCAATGGGGGTGGGCAATAAAAAAACCTTATATAAAATTAATTTGTATTATTTTCACGTATTTGTATACTTATTACATGACCAAATAAAATACTAAATACATCCTGCTGAAATAAATAAAATATTTAACAACTTTTCATCTATAATAATTTATTCCAAACAACTTAAATAATTATAAGGTAAATATTCTTAATGAGTTACTTATTTCTTATGGTTTATAATATAATATTATTATTGTGTCCAATCTGTAACTTTCATTCTCCTATGGGATTTTTTAATAAAAGCATTCAATATTTCTTTTTCGATGTTTTCATATTTTAATTCTTCTTTATTTACTGTAAAGAAAAAAACCAAACACTAAAACTACACGTGTGCTGTTTGTATAATTATGTCACGATGATCGGCCGGTAACCGTCGCATTATTAGTAGTTGTAAAGTGTGCCCAGAATAGTTCGATGCCGTACTTTGACCCACCGACTGCTGTAGATAACCAGTTCGCGTATTTATCGGACATACTACGTAGAAGCAGCAGCTAAGATTGATTGGTCGTCATAGTGTGTGAAATTAGATGGTATGAGTCCTTCTAGTGGTATAATTGTTTCTAATCTTTTATCAAATCTTGAGTGTAACTGAGCAATTAGATTATTAAGAAATGATGTAAATATTGCTATTTTATAATATTGTTCTGCGTCTTGGGCATTTATATTGTTTCGGGCAATTTGTCTCCCACAGATTCGAGGCATGTGTATTTCAACATCTAGTTCGGAAGCTATTGTGGTAACATTTTTCATTATTTCCTTCAAACATTTTTCAGCATCTGATCAAATGGCTTCTACAGTTTTTCTAATAATCATATACCATTTAAAGCTTTAGATAAGTCTTGCTATTTGCTTTGTAGTACTTGACCTAACTGTTTAGTATATGAGAAGTAAGTAACAGCTACTTCAAGAGAGACAAGAAAATCACTCTTAATTATAGCACTAACATATAACGACGATTTGGTTGAGGTTGATTTAGTTGATTTGGTTTTCTGCAGGATTTGTATCATATTTTTCAAGATTTTTTTATTAAGGGATTAGAACGGTAGAGTTTTGATTAATAATAGGTAGATTAGAATTATTAAATAGTACAAGTGCGTTAATATTATAACCTAACAACAATATATTTAAACACATTATTATTATAATATGTTAATTATTATAATGGAACTAAGATACCTACTATAATTATGTAAATTCTGTGAAATTAAAATCAATTATACTCGTATTAGTAGATAATGGCACTAACTATCAATAAATCAAAATTTGTTTCTTTTACTACAATACTCGAAATTATCTATAGCATTCACCTATATATTTCTACTTAGAACGTGAAATTATAGTTGCTGGTAAGGTGCAAAACCGATTCAGTTTAAAATGAAACACAAATTAGAATACAAACGTTTATTTTTTATTTTTATTATCATTTTTTTTTTATTATTATTAAAATGTTAACATAAAAATACAAAAGTTTTAAGTGAATATTTTTACATAATTTAAAAATAGTCCATTTTTTTACTTTATTATTTATTGTTTAATTTACGATTTTCCTTCCAACTAATCATATTATTATAGTTACATTTTTTCCACTTAACGATGTATAGTATTTTATGAAAAGAAATAGGATATAATAATAAGCTATAAGTATTTCTAAACCTAATTAGGAATTAATATTAGGTATCTACCTAACTATAAGTAATACCTACAGTAAATTGAAAAATATCCCTAAATAGCATATAAAATATAATGTAAGTATTTAGCACTGAAGTACCACGTGTACAGTGTACCATAATAATTATGGTATATTTATACTCTTTAGTCTATAATATTACCTATACAATTAATATTTTTATTTAAATTGTATTGGCTGCAAACATAGTCATTTATTTTATTATTTATACGATATACAATCCGTATTTAAGGGGTTACGACTTAACAAAATATGTATAGGCAATTTTTAAAAAATGGAAACTAAACAATATTCGAATTCACTTTCAAATAAATGTACTAGTATTTTCTTGTGTCATTATCATCATAAGTATTTTTTATACCATCATGATTCCTAATATAATCTAAAATACGAAAAAGTGCGGGAAAATGTATTTTATCATTCCATTATAATTATTCTTGCAGTAGATCCCAAAATTTCAGAACAGAGATGTCAGATGACAAAAACATATCTTTTATTATGATTTGGTATACAACTAAACCCAATACAATTTAATTTAAGTAAATGAAAAAAAATAGCTAATACTGCTGATGGGTGCACCCAGAATCAGCTTGGAAAATACCAAGGCCCTTTGCAGCCATTTTTGCGGAGCCTACATAAGCCTTTTATTTGCTTTTTCACTTACTAATACCAAGCGTAGACAAATATTTACAATACAATTTTTATAAATTCATTAATTTTAATTTATATTTTTCTAAACAATCATATGAAATTACTATCTACCTACGATTGTGATTAGACGAGGGGCATTTAAAAACACGGGGCGCTGTACGAATGTACAACTTAGACTGTCATCAAGCCCAGTTCTAGGTAAACGCACCAATAGGATAAGATCGCACCCGGGGCAAAACGGGGAAAACATTTTATTTTAGAAATATTTTATTGTTATGATAAAATGGTATACCATTATACATGATAAAATTACATACAAAATAGATAAAAATCCCGGGGGGAAGAATGGCCCTTTTTACTCCCTCTTCTACGGGCACCCTTGACTCTGGGTGCGCCATTGTTGTAAGTAAGAATTTGAGAAGGTATAAGATAAATAAAGGAGGATATCTTATTTTTTGTCTATCAGCAATGATAAGCACACTCCTTAGAAAATCGAAAAATTACCTCTACAAAGTACTTCCCCAGTTAAATTTCTTTTTAGAAAAATTGCTATCATTATAAATCGAAGTAAAATTGCTGGTAGAAAAATATTCCAAAGGAAAAAAGAAAGCCGTAATATTGTTGACTAATACCTATATTTCTTACATTTTTTCGTTTTTCTTCCATTTTTTTTCGAGAAAATCGAAAAATAACCTCCTTTAAGTACCTCTTTACACCAATTTCCTTTCAAAAAAGATGCTACAATTAAAAATTGGAGTAAGTCTTCTGGTAGATAATTTGCGTACAGATAAAAAAAAAACTAAAAAAAAAAAAACGTCTTTGTAAAATCATAAGCTCTTTCACTCCACTCAGAATCAAAAATACAAGGACTCTGCAGTAAGACTAACATATGTTTTTAATGAGTACAAAAAAAGATCGATTTACGACTACTTTCGTGGAATATCTCACAATTTTCAATACAAATTATAATATAAATAATACAATTTTTTTTTAACTAATATAATTAGAATAAGTATATGAACTGTATAAATGAAACTAGAAAGAGTACAAAATTTACGAAATTATTATTTTTTTAAATTGTATCGAACTGTGTATAAAAAACACTAAATAGGTTAATAAAAAAGTTGGGAAGGTAAGAATATAGAGGGAAATTAAATGTATATCTGTACACAATGATTAATTATTATTGTTAAAGAAAAATGATTCTAAATATACAATTTTCTTTCAAAAACGGAACTAATAAATCGGAGCATGTTTTCTGTTTGAAAAATTTCTCACAGACACAAAAAATTAAAAGATTTAAAAAAAAAACACATCATTGTAAAACTAACAGAATATCGCTATTCTTTGGTTCTAAAATTGAAAGTTCACAAACAAGTGCTTTATTTTAATTTTATTTATGTTAAAACAAAATAAGCACGCTAAAAGCATACACAGTTAAAGTACTTCTTTGTGAGTTGTAACATTTTAGGAATTTTACTACTTCTACTAGAAATATGGAGCGAAAAAAGTTGTCTGACGCAAATCATTTGATTGTAAAACCAAATTACTACGTTCTCTTCAAGAAATAAATCGGAAAATCTGAAATAGAGAGCAGGCACGTAGCCACTGTTTCATCTTCTTCTTCTTCTTCATCGGTTTTTTTAAAGGCCATTGAGGCCCATTACCTTGCGGTTTTTAAAATAAACATCTTTGTAAAACCAATAATAATCTCAGAATCTAAAATTAAAAATTGTGGTAAATTTTCATCTTATCGTTTTTAGCAATGGCTATTTTTTCAGACTTTTCGTGGAGCACATACATGTATTTAAGTTCGGTATATATTCGACGTATATCATAGACGGAAATTTAAAATTTTAGTACCAAAATATATTTTAAATAAAACATCATCTATTAATGACATTTTTATTGTAGGGAGCTATTCAAAAATAATAGGTTTACACATGAAAATAAGAATAATTAAAAATTATGGTAATGTAAAATTTTAGAGCTATATATTTGTTAAGTTGTTCAAAAAATAAAATGTCTAAAAAGTAAATATTTTCTGAGTGTCTTATAGAGGATTAGGACGCGGAACCTCATGGCTCGTCTTTAATGAAACACTTTAATTTTTTGTAGTGCACATTAGATATTTTGTAGTGCACAAAGTGTGTCGTAGTGCATACAAAAAAACCACTGCAGGTTTTTAGTGATCAACACTTATTGACAGACGTGTATTTTCCTAACTCACTTTTGTACCGACAAGCTACAATTTTTAAAATATTGTGGTAATTTTTTTAGTTATTTACAGTTATTTAAAATTTCTAAGTTATTATTTTAATTTTATTAAACACTTGATAAATGCTCGAATATTTAAAATTTTAGGGTCGATTGTGTGGTAGTAAGGATTTTGTTAGTAAGCGTAAAAAGTTCCAATTTATACGATTTTTACATTACGAACAATAAATTTGCGTACACACTACTATATTACTACTCGTAAATATATTTACCGTTTAAAGAATGAAATTTGTTTGGCTTAATAAAAATGCTCAAAACTTAGGTGCGTTATCCTGGCACCACCATGTCAAAACTTTGACCTCAAAACCGACTGGTATTATGTAATATATTATGTAATAATTTGTAAGCAAAAATACAATTTTTAACAGCTTTAGGATGCCAGAAAATCGGTTTTTAGCTAGTGGGTACTAATAGTACAATAGTAATTATAATATCCTAATTGTCCGCGGCCGAAAATACTTTTTGATAAGACAACGTGCCTTAAATACATGTTTTCCACAAAAATATCATTGCATTTCTAAAAATATAATTTTGTAAACTTGTAGACCTGAGTATGTTTGTAAATATTTCTACCAGAAATCTTCAAAGTCAAGTTCAAGTCAATCAAAAACTTTATAGGAATATGCTTGTATTTTTAATCTAGTTGGTGCTATAGGGAATTCATTTTGTTATTTTGTTTGTAATTTTCTTAGTAAAATATATAACTGGCAATTTTTTCTATGATTTTTGTTGATTTCTGAGTTACTTTGGTAACAAATATGCCTAATAATACTCAGCTCCTGTGACGGCACGAGGATAATTCTGTCAAGTCTGATGACTTTGTAGTTTTTGTTCAGTTTTTCATAACTATTATGAAAATGTCTTCTACTCTTTTCCCTTCATTCCAACTATTTACCCTCATAAATTTTCACTTACCCGATTTTCCACTTCGTGTGCACCCGGCTGTCCTCATATCATTCTCAATTGCATCTAACTACGTCTTTTTCAGTCTTCCTCTCCACCTCTTTACACCTACATTTATTCTTACTTCTAATTTTTCTCTCCTCATGGTGCATGTCATGTCCAAGCCATCTCAGTCTATTTTCTTTCAGTTTGTCTACTATTAAAGCTACTTAAAGTGTAGCTTTAAGTAATTATTCATATCATATCTTCTTACGTGATTCCAGTCATCTACCTAAAAAATTTCATCTCTACTACAATTATTCACTATTATATTTTTCTATTTACTGACCAACACTTCGATCCAAACAATATAGCCGGTCTCACTACACTGTTGTAAAAATTACTTTTCAATATCACCGCTTATTGCTGTTTGTTTGCCCTTTCCGTCAAAAGCAACTCTCCAATCCTCAAGTCTATTTTTAAATCTGTCTATTGTGAAAATCACGAATAAGTTAATAAATTTATTCTAGATTTTCTCCTACTAAAACTATATAATTCGTAAAAATCATACACCGTAGTACCTTCTCTCATCTGTTGTCTACACACACATCCGAGATAGGACAATCTGCCAAAGTCTTGTTTAGAACTTTTCGTACTGTTTGACAGAATTTCACACCAGTTGTCGACCTGATACAACCCCATTTTCCGCCTCTTACGACAGGCAGAAGTATCATAGGAATAGTTTGATCCCCTTCCATAGGGAGTCCAATTATTATGAAAACTGCTTGAGAAAAAAAAACGATCTCCTCAATGCCTCAACTGGATCCAAAATGTAATAAAAAAGATCATTGTTTTGATTGGAACAAGATATTTGGTAAAAAAGTTGGTAGGTAATAAACAAAAAAAATATATAAATAAAAGCACTCATAGTAAAACCGCACAGAATCTAAAAAATTAAATAAAAATGTTTGCAGTTATTAATCTTCATTTTATTATTGCCCAACGTGCCATGAGTAAGATTAAATTACATAAATGTATTTAAAATATTTTTTTTTACTGTGTACCTACACTAATTATATTATGAATCACCGACAAAATGTTCTTGTGTACCTATAATATTTGTTATTGTTTATTTTTAATTTAAACTTAATAACTAAAATGTAATCCTTTTACTTGTATTTTTCAGAGTATTTTCCGTATTTAATTTTGTTCAGACATCGTTCACTGATGAAGCAAATATTCACTACAATATTATAAACTAATTAGATTGTACAGTATCTATAGATTCTAATGAAAATAATTATTGGTAGGTAATCACTCGATCAATCATTATAAGGTATAATACCCAAGACAAAACAATTTATGCAAAAACTGATAAGTTTAGTTTTAAAATTATAGTATTATGCGTTTATTAAAATACTGTACCTAATTATAATTAATAATGAATGTATATTTAACACTATTGTTTTATATTTTAATCAATTTTCGTAAGTAATTTATTAAAACAACAGTGATTGGAGTTAATTTCGTTTAATTTGTTAATTTTAAACACTTGTTATCTGTGATCTGTTGGACAACTTAATTACAAAGGGCATAGGTAGGTACTAATTTGTATACCTTAGGTACATTATTATTATTAATAAATAATAATATTGCCGAATATCTATAACAGATTATATTTTGTAATTTTCTGTCTTTGTGTATGGAAAATGACACCCCTAATATATAAAATGGTATAAGACGATAAAACATTGATTTGTGGAAAAATCCCAATAATTGTTATTTAAAAATATCTTATTCATCAATTATTGTTGTGTAACTTCAGATATATAGTGACAGTGAAATTGTAAATATAGGTACGACTTAAATTGTTACAAAGTATTTATTTAAAAATTTGGTTTCAATAATAATTACATTAATCATAGTCAATATAAAAATAAACGGATAGTGTTAATGGGTACACTAATGTTGTACATGGGTAGTTGGGAAGATAGGATAAATAACGCTACTTTATTTATATCTGTAATCTGATAAACCATTGCTAAACAAATACGATTTCTATGTTTTCTATGTTCCTATGGATTTCGTGTGTTCTTAAATTAAACAGATAGGCTAGCCACCGCTAGAATCGAGTGTTCTTAATATCAATGTTCCTTCAAGCTCGGGCTTACCAGGCCTACCTACTAACTATGCCTCAGTTTAAAAAATTAAAAAATAGCACTGTAAAAGAGCGCCACTGTAATAAGTGGGAAGTTAAGAAGGTAAGATATATAAAGTTGTTTAATTTATATCTATTAGCAATGATAAACCATTAACGAAAACGAGTCTAGGCAAGTCGTTCAAACTTTATTTGAAAGACCGTAATATTTACGATTCTCATCAAAATTTGATCTTAAAACCATTATAAACAAACAAAATTACTTTATTATACTCAACTTTTTTTGGCCATTAAGAAAAGTAATTCACCAAATATTAAACTTTCAAGCATTTCTGTTTGGTCAAACAAATTATACTTATATAATAACTTTCAATTAAAACTTAAATATAAAAACTAGCAATTATAAAATATGCTTAAAAATAACTCAACATTCGTCAAAATATTTTAAAAATTTTAATACGTCAAGAAAAGACAAATATGAGTTTTTCTTCAAAATGGCTAGTCTCATCGAATATTTTTAACTGGATTATAACAAAAAAACAAAATTAAAAATAATGACATCATTATTTTTGTACTCTTCCCGTTTTTTCTACGTTTTGTCCTCGTTTGGATCAGTTATTAAGAAAACACAGAAAATCAAAAAACTACTTTCTTACTAACTAAATTTGAAACCAGTAGTAAGGATTTTAATACAAATAAATATAAGAGAAAAGAAAAGAAGAAGACCGAAGAGAAGTAGTTGAATGTGATTAAGAATTATATGGACACTAAAGGATAACCATTAGTCAGTATATGTGTGGTGGGGTTTTGGATCGAGTTGAAGTTTAGGATGAGAGTGGCTGACTCCAAATAGGTGGGATGAAAGTAAAAAAGAATAAAAATTAATTTACTCAAGGGGATTGGAAACCTAAATTTTTTTTACTTTTTAATAACCGCCTTAATTATAAGATTTATCCACTAATCTACTGTCTGATACTCATTTATGGAGAAGGAGTAAGGACATTATTATAACGTTTTAACTGATTATCTGGAATAAAATTCACTCGCTATCAATAGCTCAATTTTAATTTTGATTACATATTTTAATTCTTTTATTTCATCAATTGTCTTATCTATGTTTTTTTAGATTTTTTTATTTTTTGATTATAATAAAACCGATGTAAATATATATTTTCCTTGAAAACATTTAAAATGAGTTACGAAATCAGATAACATTATCAAAACAGAAATTGGACTACTGTAAGTTTATTTATTTTACTCCAATTTATTAATTTAAATGTATAAAAAAACGAATCGCTTTCAACCGCCTCAATAATCAAATTTTAACTGAATTTTGAATTAAGTTTTTAGTATATTTATGAAGATAAACGAGAGTGCTAGATTTTCTGCCATGGCTATTTTGAAAATTATTATTGGTCATAAATTACGAAGTAATTACTTTAAATTGGTAAATCATTGTGGGACCAAGCCGACCACCATCATATTATATTTTTGACCCCAGTATACTGACGTACTGTTTAAAAATTCTCGTTCAATAATAAATTAGTGCTGGTCACATATTATAAGCTATACGAATATTAATAGCTATACACTTTTATAAAACACAAGTAAAAAACTTTATTTAGATTGCTAGTTTATGGTTTGATTAGGGTCCCACCAATCCTGGTTTTACGAGGGACCCGTGCAATATGTGTTGCAATACAAAATCATAGATTAATACTAGGCTATAGATATGTTTTTGTTTATTTAATTCAAACATCTGACTTGACAAAACAATTTACTATTTCTGAAGGAGTCATAGAAAATTAGATGTTTTATAAATATGTGTATCTAATCACACAACATGAATTAAAAATTGAGTAATACTAGTAATGGGCAGCATAATATTTAGACATAGGTATTATAGATGATTTGCCTATAGGTAGTTAAAATCACTATAATAGTGATTTTTGGGTGGCGGAGGGAAGGTGGCTAAATTAAATCATTATTGAAAAAAAATAATGTTTATTAGAAGTATAATTAGCATTTATTTGGAAAATAATAAACAAAATATTTGAAAAAATATTGGGGGAGGGGGTTGAACACCAAACTCCCTTCGGACATGGTCTTCATTTTCAAGATCTTGAACTGAACTAGTCGAAACAGGTCAATTCGCCATACATGAAGCTACATAAATAATACTTTTCTGAATGAAACTAATATAGTATAGGTACATTATATACTACCTAATACAATAATAACGATAATAATATCAGAATAAATACCTAGTCTTTTATTGGTAATTTTTCGCCTAATATTTAATGATATCCCATTTTTTTTTTCTATTGCGCTTAGTGCTTACCTGTAAATTGTAATACCTATAATACTCGGTAGTGACGGTAGTAGATATAATAGTTAGCATTATTTTATCGTATTCATTATAATCTATAAAGAATGGAATGTCCTGAATTATTTAAACATTGCATAAGTTTTACGAGGTTGCCTATAATATAATGCAGCAGAATGTTACGAGTACTTAAACAATTTTTACGAAACAATTAAATTGTTTAAATACTCTATTATTGTTATTTGTTTTTATTTAATTTTGAAAGTGCTAGACAAACACTTTTCACTGCGGTTGCAATGTTAATAATGAATAAGTATATTTGATTAACATTTAATATATTATAAATAAATAAATAAAATGGTACCTAAATTACATTTTAGACTCGAAACTTTCTTTTTTATGCCTGTAAACCACTTTTTCAAACAGAAAACTTTCTTCGATGTATCAAGTGTAGTAACTTTTCTGTAAGAAAATTTTATCTAGTTAGTGCAATGAGCGATCATTTTTTATTTTTCCAAGGTGTTTTCATAATAATTAGGAAAAAATTACCGGAAAAACAGTAAATATTTACGACGTGCTACGGGGTTATTGATTTTATTGTTTTTAATTTTTACAAACTATGTTTTCTACCACAAATGCTAAATGATCCATAAATATTGTTGAAAAATTTTAAATAACATTTTTGTATCATTCTGAATCTTGTTGCTCACGAAATAAGTCATTTTTTGATTTTCCATTCAATTTTCATAATAATTAGAAAGAACCAAAAAAAAAAAAAACGTAGAAAGAACGGGAAAATTTAGCAAAATATTTTTTCCTTTTAGAAAAAGTGATATTATTGTAAATCGGAGGATAATTGCTGGTAGAAAAGTTGTTCACAGGAAAAAATAAGTCCGTAATATTTTTGAATTACTTGATACCTACATTTCTTACATTTTCCCGTTATTCCTCATTTTTTTTTTTCGATTTTTCACATTTATTCAGAAAATTCCTGGGAAAATCAAAAAATGACCTTTTAAAGTACCTTTCCAGTCAGATTTCCTTTTAGAAATATTTTTGTCATAATAAATTGGAGCGAAATTACTGGTAGAAAAGTTGTATCAAAAAAAATAAAATAATAAACATCTTTGTAAAATCATAAGCTTCTTCGCTCCACTCAGAATCTAAAATATAATAAGTAGTAAATTAGTCGTAAATAGTAGTAAATAGCAAACGAATTTATAATCCACAAAAAATCCCTGAGGTATCATTTATAAAATATTTAATAAAGAAAAAATAGTAGAGGCAGATGTGTAACTAGAAATATTTTTCTGGGTAGGCCAGATAATATATAAATTAGACTATTAATACAAAGTTTTAAAAGTCATCCTTCTAATGTTTACGACTCTAACTCTTTCTACTTTATCCAATCACACTTAATCCTATGTTCCATATCCTCATCAAAGCTACCATTCTTTCAACTTGTATTATTAACATTTTCTATTATGTCACCGTTTACTGTCGTAAAACTCATTCATCCTGTCCTTCCAAACTCATACTCTGTTTGACTTCTAATTATTCTTAGTTCCTTTCCTCCAAGTGCTAAGCTCCATTTCTCAAGCCTATTGTTAACTTATTCCAGATTTTCTTCTATTATCTACAAATATCATGCACCGTGGTCCTCCTTCACCTATTGTCCCCGTCCATATCTTAAATAGAACAATTTTCCAAAGTCTTGTTTAGAACACCTCATACTGTTTAACATAATTTTACACCTAGACCTAACGCAATCATATTTTTGACCTCCTACTGTGGATGTATTCTGATGACGACCATTAAATTGGCTCTCAATATCAGGTAAAGTACCCTATCAACCATTGAATTAGGTTCCAAGAAACTTAATATTGAATTTGTTTCAAATAATATTTTCAACAACGGTTCTCAAAATATTAAAGAAGAAAAAGTATGTGAAATTGATATTTTTAGCAACACAATACTGGATTTCTGCTAGAAATTATCAGACAAAATTTGTTCGCCAGTTTTTCAGTTTAGAACAAAACGAAAATTGAGTCTTTCTATAGAATATGAATGAAGAACAGAAATAGGCGAACATTGGATGTATATATTTGGATAACCATTTCTAAATTCGCAATCAGTCGGCGATTGCTTTTCTTTCGAACTAACTGAGATACTACCAATTAATGAAAAACTTAGAAATGTATGGAGTACTTAGTTGTAAATAATATTAAAAATAACGCTCCAATTCAAGCAGAAAAAAACAGTGTTCATCGCACAACAAAATCGTGTGAATCTTTTCCTCCTTAATTCAACTCTTAATTTTATTTACCATACAAAATATTTACAAAATATTTACAATTTTTTATTTGATGATCAACTTGATAAAGATCTTATAACAAAAAGACTACACAAAAAAATATCAAATTCAAAAATATGACAATGGTGTAATATCCAGATTTTAATATAATATACAAATAATATACAGTACAATATATAATATAATATACTATGAGTGCAATACAAAATTACAGTAATGCAGTACGAAATTAAAAATTGTTCATTATTTTAGAGTATTGTTAACTTTTCGTCTATTGATAAAGAAAAAAAATCATAAACGTTTTACATATTGTCTATTCCGGTAATGTGATAAGCAACTTGCTACGAATACACGGGAACACGATATTTTCGTGACGGTGGTCACGACAAGAAACCGAGAGCTCTTACTAATACATTTTTATATTTTTCTATACATCTATGAGCTCGCATTCTATCTTCTAAACCACATTTGGTAGATGGCAAATGATTATTTTCTTACAACAACTTATTAAAATCTTCAACAAGATATTTTATATCTCCTGCAGTAATAACAGATTCTCTGTATGTGAATATGAACATATTCACATAAGATGAATTTCATTCTCAACAAGCCATCATTAATAAGTTTAACAGAAAAAAAAGAGCTGATACTGGGAATAGGAGTGAGCACTGTTTGTAGATGTGAAATTGGGAAGGTAGGATACATAAGATAATTTCATTTATACCTGTAAACAACGATAAACCATTGCTTAACGAAAGACGATTCCGAGCGCAGTTCGATAATACATAATTTGAAGTGCCGTATTTTTTTTTTTTGCGATTTTCGTTTAAATTTGATTTCAAAACGCTTATTAAAAATAAAAAAAGTCTTTCGATGATTTTGGAAATTTTACCACGTCCAGGTAGTCCAATTTAAGTGTTATTACCAAGTTTCAAATCTCTACGTGTATTTATAACCGAATTGCAACAAAAAACTCCCGAAAAATAAAATTCCTTATAAGCTCAAAAGTTTTGCCTTGATACCGTAAGAAAGTAAATCAAAAAGACAACAAAAAAAGTATCTTGTAATTTTTTGATTAAATCATTTTCTCTGGTATAAAACATCGTCCGTGTTTTTATAAAATAATTAAATTGTGAAACTGTAAGTTTTCCTATGTTTTTTCCTATTTAAATACTTTTATTTAAGAAATGGCGTTTAAAAATCAAAAAATGAATTTCGAAGTACAATCTAGATAACTTGAGCTTTCATAAAAGTTACTACACGTAAAAATCAAAGCAAGTTTACTAGGAAAAACCGTATCCACAGGCTAGAAAAAAAAAAGAAAGAAAAAAACAGCATTGCAGAACTAATAGCTCCCTTGCTACGCTCGGAATCTTAAAAAGGCATTATGAAATAAATACAGATGTAAAAAAACAAGAATGGTATCAAAAATTTTTTGTTGAAACCCAAGAAAAATATGATTTATCTAATACAAATAAAATTGAACTTGAAAAATTAATTTTTGAATATTCTTTTTTGTATGATAATTTAGGGTTAATATTTTATCCAGTTATATTCATTTTTCAAAAAAATATAAATATATTATTTTCATTTTTAAAGTTATATTTTATATCTAGGTGAGATTTCTTGGCAAAGGAGCAATTTCCCGTGACAATTTGTGGGCAGTAAATAAATTGTTTTCCGGTTACTATGAAAGCGCAGGCGAACACCCAGATATGACAAACCAGGATGATCTTTTATTTTATTGGATATAACTATACGTATTTTGAAAGGGACATGCATTCATAAAATAGTGCAGTATAAAGTTTTATTTATCTTAGGCCCTGGTAATATATAATTGTAAAATTTAATATTTATACTTTAAATTATTTTGATGTAAGATTAAATTATTATTTTGAAAAATGTTGATAACCAATATATTTATAACATACATTTCGAGGGAGTAAATTCAATATGTAAATTTTGGGAGCCGATTGAATCGTAGAAATATGAACAACCTAAGTTTGGGAGCCAATTTAATAACCCCGATTCTGACCCAGTGATCGCCTCAGGGACGATAGCATACAGAGAGAATGGCATTTCAAAAATTAAAACAAACCTGTTCTTTATTAAAATTGGTGTTATGTAAATAATAGATAGCCACTCCCGTTTTTCCAAAGTGGTTTTTCTCGATATTCCTCCATTATTAAGAAAAGTACAAAGTATATGAGAAAAATACGGTCTCACTCCTGCATAGTATTTCATCTATATAGATTTATAATTTTAAAATAAATCTCATATTAAGTTTTTAATTGGTGCAAGTCTTTTGATCAAAAACTTATCGGATAGACAAAAAAAACATACACACACATACCAGACGAAAAAATAGCGCATCAAGTTTTATTTGATTATAAGAATTCTTTGTTTAAAGTCTAGACACTCTATAGTATAATATGGTGTAATAGGTATGTGGATTGTGGATAGTACAGTGTGACGTGAACAATCAGGTATTATTGTTGATAACGCAAAACAATTTTTCGTTCACCGATATAGAGTAATAAGTTATTATATGAAATAATATATAATTTTGATGATATTAAATAACATATTATTTCTGAGCAGCCTGACAACAGTGATAATAGACTGGTACTCGACCACCCTTATTTTTAATGACACAACTGAGTAAAAGTTACTTTATCCACACCGTCAATATCACATTTTAGGTATAAAATAAATAATAAAATAATAAAGCAACTACAAAATTATTAAATGGTTAATATTCGTAAATAAATAAATAAATAATTTATGTATAAAAATAAATATATTTTAGATTCGGGGTGTAGCGAAGGATCTATTGGTTTTATTATGATGTGCGGTTTTTTTTCTCTGTAAACAAATTTTCTACCAAAAATCTTGTTCCAAAGTTTCAAGTGTAGCATCTTTTCTAAAAGGTGATTTTCTCTAGTTTATATATTGACAAAGTCGTTTTAAATTATAGGTAAAATGGCAAATATTAATATAAACACTGCACCGCTACGTTACCGTTTTCATTAGTTTTAATTTTTATTCACGTTGTTTCTACCAGAAATATTGCTCCAATTAAAAAATGATTAGAGATCTATTTTGATGTTTTTTTTAACATATAACCGATGTCATAGAAAGTCGTTTTTTGATATCTAAAGTATTTTTCATAATAATTGGACAAAACCAAAAAAGACGATTTTTCAAATTACGGTTCAACGATTTCATTTTTTAAAATTTTTACGGCATATGTTTTTTACCACAAATATTGTTCCAATAGAAAAATAACAGGAGATATTTTTTGTTAAATTTGGAATCTAGTTAGTGACCAAGAAAATCATTTTTTGATTTTTTTTTGTAGTTTTTAATAACTGAGCAAAACCGAAAAATACGTAGATAGTACAGAAAAATTTACGAAAACAATTCTTTTATTATTTAAAGTTTTGTTGTTTTTTTTTTTTATTGTAATTCAGTAAAAGTTCATAGACTTTTAATATTGATAGAACACTTATTTTTGCTTTTTCTAAACGTGGTAAATTGTTCAAAACATTTGAGCCATTTTTGAGTTATTTATAAACATTACAATTTTGTGATGTTTTTACATAATATTTATTGAGTAGGTACTTTGTGGATAAAATTGACAGAAATGCTTGAAATTTGACAGGATGTTCATTATGAGTCGTACTTAGTGATAAAAAAAAATTAGTATAATGTAGTTTTTTTTATATATGTATATATATATATAAGAGTTCAAATTTTGTTTTCAATAGTTTTGATGAACATTATAAATATTACGGCCTTTCAAAACATGTATAACCAAACTTTGCTCCGAATCGTTTTTCGTTAGTTATGGTTTATCCTTGGTTTTAGGTATAAATTAAATAACTTTATATACCCCGCCTTCCCTCCTACCCACCTACAACAGTGGTTGTTTCTGTGGCCAGTATCAGCTCTTTTTTTAAATGTGTGTGTGATAAAAAGGATAATTGCCTATATCATTTATACAATATTATGTAAGTGTATATTTAGATTATGCAATAATAATTACGAACTATTCAACTGGTAATAATAAAATGTTAAATGTTTTGTATACAAGATAAATTTGTTTCGTTGAATTTAATAAAACATTTTGAATGATATTCTACGATACCTATATATATATAAATTGTTAATTTTTTGTTAAATATCTTATCATATTATGTTTTACTAGATAATACATTATTATTTCATTAAAAACTACAAAATTATAATAATAATAATTTAGTTATTTACAATTTCATTATAATAGAAGTATTTATCCGTGTATTTTAAATATACCTAGTAGATATGTTCCTACATTATATTATTATTATCTAGTAAAAAAAAACGTGTTTGATTATTATTATTTATTTAAGATCGGTACCAATCGGTTATACATATGTATTTAATAATCTTGACTTGTTAGAGATAAATATCGACATAATTCTCAATTAATAATAGGTACCTACTTAATATTTATTAACAATAATAATTGCATGAATATTTAGTTTGTCGTTTCAATTGAGTACATTACATATTCGATAATATTGTTGTGGATCTGTATAATGGATTTGTATAGTTGTAATCATGACGTCTTGGGAACGTATAAAAACCTGAAATGTACAAATCTGAAAAGTAACATTTTTTTTCAATTTCAGCGAAATTATAGTTTTCAACTGCCTAAAACTATTAATAGGTAACTTTAATTTGGTTAAAATTTAAAAATATTACTTTCCGAGTTTGCACAAATCCGATTTCGATATTCGATATCCATAAAACCCTATATTCCAAAGCCGTCATTTGGAGGGAACACGGTGTACAATTGCACTCCTTACTTTTAAAATAATCCCAAATTGGCTTGCTTAAATAATGCACTGTTTTTATTTAATTAAAATTAAATTATACTTTTATAATAACAATATTGGTATTTTACTGTCAGTAAACAAATACTTTGCTATTGATTAATTGAATAAAAGTATACAATAAATCTTGTAATTTGTATTTTATAGTCTGCCAGACATACGCGATACCTGCAGAATACAGATAAGGAATCACACGGTCAAAAATTGGAAAACTTCCCTGTTAAACGGTCGCTTTTAAAGAAACAATTGTATCAAATGAAAGAATTTTTCGCTTAAAAATGTAAAATTATATTGACATGCTTCAATGGGCGATGATTAATAGTTAAACGATATTATGGTACTATATTGAAATATTGAAATAGAAGAAGTAAATAATATTGATTTAAGAAAAATCTGTAAATGTATTTGCAGGATTTGAATTTATAATATATATGCAATTAATTTTGTTTTGTTTGGAGCGTTTTGCTTGTGCAAAAGTTATACAATTAATATTAATATGAACATTATTTAATTCACTTCTTTTATTTCTTTACTACATTTATTATCTTCAACATTTGTTTGCGTTATTTATTCACAGATAAATTATAAATTATTTATTATATTTAGATTTTAAACAAAGATATATATATAGGCGTATGCCATGTGTATATATACTTTTTTTTTATATGGCTTGGTGAAATATTTAAAATGACCTGCTTCAGAAACCTCACATGCCTGAAAAAATATTGAAATGACGCCCTTGCTGGATTTCACATATATGTTTCCAGATTTGTACATTTCAAATTAGTATAAACATCTGTCTTCATGGTTGTAATAAACATAGGTGTATATAAGAAAAAGATATATAAAATACAGAAGACTGATTTCGAATTTTACAGTTTTTGAGTCAACAACGAATACGTAGATAAAACCATTGGTTAATGGAAATGGATAAAATATTTATATTAATTAAAACAAAATCGTAAATTATAACTATGTTATTATAATGATAACATTGAGTTATTTATAACCACCAATAATTAGTGAGAGTGAGTAGATATCAGACATAGAAAAATTAATTTTAAAAAGAAATTCACATTACTGAGCTACAAAATTAATACATTTCATTCGGCATACCTTATTTTCAGAATGAGCGCATTCCATATACAAAATCATCAATATTCATAATACGTTCTAGGTACATTCCACTAGAAAAAATACAATCAGAATCTAAAAAATAGCTGATACTGCTGGTAGGTGTGCTATTGTTGTAGGTGAGAAATTGGACGGATAGAATACACTGGTTAAGTTAGGTTAGGGTGGGTAGGATACTTCAAGTTATTTAGTAAATATCTGTATGCAACGGTAAATTATTGCAAACAAAAACGGAATCTGAGCGAAATTCAGTCATACATGTTTTTATATGCCGTAATTTTTAAAATTTTTGTTAAAACACTTATTAAAAAAACTGCTCATTAGGTACCTACGCACAAATTTCTTTTTACCGCTTTATAAAACTTAAAATGAACCTCGTGTTAAATTTCCAAGAATTTCTGTTGGGTCAAACAATTATATCCACATAGTACCTACCACAAAGCCGTAACTGAAACAAATTTCAAAAGGGGGGGGGTCCAACAAACAACTATTCCTCTCACAAACTAGACTATATTTTTTTTTAGAAAAGATGTTTTTCTTGAAAATTGGAGCAATATTTCGGAAATAAAATAAAATTAGAAAACATTTAAAATAATGAATTCGTAACGCCATAAATTTTCAGTTTTTTCCAATTATTATAAAAACTGCATGGAAAATTAAAAAATGAATTACTTATTCACCAACTATAGATCCACAATGCAACAAAAAAGGTAATTTTTTAAATTGATGAATGAAAATTCCTTAAAAATAAAAGTACCTACCTCTAGGCAATTTTGAATACATTTCTCTAAAACGAAATTATATTCAATGTGTGCATTCTTCTCAAATACTGGTAGATATATTATATCAGGAATAATTGTAATTTTGACGGGATTCCCACATCGTACGTTGTTTGTACTAATTATAACAATTACTTTTATTATATTTCATAATATTAGGTAAATACTTTTATTTTATGATTTATTAGGTACCAATTGTTACCCACAGACCATGGATAAGTAATTACCTATGTACGCGTACATCTGGACGGTTTAACGCCAAGTCGCCGGAATACTGTGATAAAAACAATTTACTTCACCACTGGTTTCATCGTAGGTACCTAATACAAATCATTTCGTAGTAAATCAAAAATTAATAAATACATTTTTGTCTTCTGCAGAGGCCGCCGTTGTCGTGACGTGTTCAACGCACGAAAGTACGCAATAGGTATCTACTTGCACCCGGACATGCGCATTTGACATATATTATCACGTCTTCGATGTGACAATTTTATTTATATTCATACATTCAGAATTCATAAGCACATAACATTATATATAATGTACCTACCAGTGAGCTCATAGTTATTACATACTATACACTATTCGCCTCCCAGTAAATTTGTCGGACAGTCGCGCATGCTCAGTACGAGGGAGAGATGGCACACGCGCCGGGTGCATCGAATCGCGCGTCAACCTGATGGTATATAAAACCTATGGGTACCGTAATCACCGGATTCTTTCGAATATCTTTGGGCTCGAAAAACGTTCCGTTGTAACCTCAATATTCGAAAAAGTCTTGTATATTTTTTATTTTTCGTCCGCATAACCGAATATCGTATCTAATATCCGTTAGTAAATTAGTTACTGAGTGCATACATGTACTTGAACCGCACATGTAGTACGGACGTACAGATAAACTTTCCTGACACTCAACAGTTCTGATAATTTTATAGTGAATGGTGGTTGGGTGTGTGTTTGTAACCAGTGTAATTTTATTGCGAACGTTTAATTTGGATTTTGTCTAGATGTAACGCACACGATTCCGTTGTGATGGTAGTGGCCGTTGGAGTTGGGCCTGTTTCCAAGTAATGCCCATGAGGAACATAACAAATAGAAAAATCCGAATTGGTTGATAACAATATATTGTTTGATCGCCATGGACCAGTACACGGCAAAGGCAATCATTTTTGTTCTGTCAATTGTTACAAGACTGTTTTTTGGATTCACTCCATTGCTAGTGTCCAGAAAATTTTTAACCAATAAAGCTACTGATTCGCTGACTTCGAAAACGGTGAGTCGTCCACAACGATTGGTTATATAAGCTCAAATATCATGGAGTATTATTTTATTTAATGTTTTAGTTGGAATATCTGGTTTCATTATGTTTGAGCTTAGGCGGAGGCGTGTTACTAGCTACCTGTTTTGTTCATTTAATGCCAGAAGTGAGAGAGAGTCTTTCCACCCAGTTAGATGAAAGTTACCATCACTACCCTTTTACTGAACTGGTTGTTTGTACGGGATTTTTTCTCGTCTACTTTGTTGAAGAATCTGTAAAGCATGTAGTTAAGAAACATAAAAAACGTAGTAAAGCAAAAACTGCACCACACTGTGATAGACTATTGCAATGGAATAGTCAGTTGACAGCAGTCAAATCTGCTGATGATGTAAATTCTGTAAGTGTAGATCAAGGAACTGGAACTCCAGATTGCCAAATTGAACAAAATAATAATGAAATGTCACATGTTCATAATCTAAGAAGTCTATTTGTTGTGCTTGCATTATCCTTCCATTCAGTTATGGAAGGAATAGCCATTGGCTTAGAAGATAATGTGGACGATATGGGATTCCTGTTTTTAGCTGTATCTATACATGAATGTACTATATTATTTTGTATTGGCATCAAATTGGTCACATCGTGTTCATCTTTAACTAATATTATATTAAATATTGTTGTCCTTACTTTGGTATCACCATTTGGTAAGTTTATTGTTTTTCTGTGTATTATATTTATCTTATTTTCAATACAACTAAGTACCATATATTTTATTTTTCTGTGAATTAAATTATAAGAGATTACTATAATGTTGTGAGGTAACTTATATTTCTTCATCTGTTTTTATATCTGTAAATAAATTTTTGACCAGATGATTTGCTTGAATTTAAAAAATGTTCTTCCCGGAGATATTCATGTGTCTAGGATAGGATGTTTTCACCTACAAATAAAGTAATAATAGGATTTTCCCCACCATTTTTTTTTTTTTTTTTTTTTATATATATACAATTTGATAACGCTAAATAATAATTATAATAATTGACTACCATAGAAAAATTATAAAGTCAATACAAAATTAAAGTTATATTTTAACAGAATTGGATTACATTATAAAAAAGTATGTTATTTAAATCGTTTTCTAAGTAATTTTTAATTATTACCATTTACTGTCATCGAAATGAATAAAAAAAAATTGGGTGGGGAAAGTGTACTTAAATATAAAAGGTAAATGTCCAATTACAGATTTGTTCCAATTAAAAACTCCAAGAGGCTTTCTTATAGCATATCTGCATAGAACTACTTAAAGATACTAGAAATTTTTACAATTTAAATAAAGCAAACTATGTTGAATATAAGCTCTGTTCAAAATCATTATGTTAGCAATGATTTACTGTTACATTAAGAATTTAAACCATATTTATCTACATATTCTACATTTTAAATTTCCCTCTTTTAATAGTGGCCCATCTTGGTTGTTATATTTCTCGATTTAACAGGACATTCAAGATTTTTAATATACTTGTTCCGCGTCAATTCTTAGTAAGTTCTATTCATGATTTTTGTTTATCCTATTTCCTATCTTACAAACTAGAAAGTTTTTAAAACTACTGGGCAAAAGATTTGTAGTGTTTAAAATTTAAAAAAATTATAATTAGTTATTCTTATGGTTTAAATTGTATTAATCTTATCATTAGGTAGGTTGCCTATATTTAAATCAAACTCTAAAAATTCCAAAATGACTGTTTATTCTCAGTATTACCTTTTGTCTTAGTCAATGGGTCCAATCAGTTTTATTCAATAAAATAATTATTTGTATTAATATAATAATTTGCAAAAACCAGCTAAACAAGTTAATTAAGATTTATAATAAAACTACTTTAATAGTTAAAATGCTACAATTTAATTTTTATTTTTTAGGTATCTTGGTTGGATCATTATTAACGTTGGATGTATCTGGTGTGGACAATAATTATCATACAATTGGAAATGCAACTTTACAAGGTTTAGCTGCTGGTACAATTCTATATGTTACATTTTTTGAGGTGCTTGACCGTGAAAGAAAAAAGGATACAGCGCCTGGTTTGCTCAAGTTACTGTTCATTATGATTGGATTTTTCTTTATGGTTACGATGGAAATTTTCGGTAAAATAAAAAAATTTACATAATAATTTTATTAAATATTTAAATAAACTTTAACTTGCAGGTGGTCATAAACATAAAGATATGCATTTGAGCCATGAACATAACTGCAGTACATCGACTGCTCATCCTTAACATAATAATTTGTTTATTTCAGATGTATTTGTTACCAGATGTTATAATAATATCCCTGTATACCTACATTTGCATTTTGCTTATGTTATTTTATAAAAATTAAGTTCAAAAAGTACTTCTGAAATGATTTATATCAACTACTCATCTAATAATGAGACTAAAATAAGTTATAACATATGAATCATTTTTAACGATCTTCCATTATATTAATTATTTGTGTAAATATGAAATAATATTCCTCCAATGTGGACTATTTTTTTTTTTTATAATAATGATGATGTGTAAAATTCATACTATTTATTATATGACTTAAATTAGTATTAAATTTGTTTTAGTGTTCCTCATTTCATTATTTACTGAAACAATCATATATATGACTTATATTTTTCAGTTTCAATATTTTTACATTATTTTGGTTATGTTACAACTGTTCACTTTTAAACTAATTTTTTATTGTAATTATACAAATTGTTTATGTTTTCATTAAATTACTATTGTCAATTGAAACTAAACAAAATAAGTCCTTAAATGGGTTATAATAGTACATTGTTAAAGTACAAGAAGTGATTATGTAATATTTTTCATTAATTTTTATTTTAAAGATAGTTGTTATTGTTAAAACTGTTCAATTATTTTATGAACATTTTAATCATGAAAATTGTATTAGGTAACAATAAATATATTTTGTTTTTTTTTTTTTTTTTTTTTTTTTAAGAAGCATAATGTCTTCATTATTGATTATTTATTATAAGTCAATTCTGGATTTGTCTAAATTACAAGAAATTAATTGTATAAATTATTTTCATATTATATATTACTAATTACTATTTCCTATTTTATATATTCTAGCAAGGCTGATATTAAAGATATGAACTTCCTAAAACATTTTAAAAATAAAAATTTCCTTTTATAAATTCTTATTTTAAATGGTTCTACTTCTATGTTGGATAATACAACATAATATATTTAATTAAAATATGAATTCAGAATCTTTGATAGTATATTCTGGCCCACGAGAGAAGTAAAACGTGTCCAATTACGCATATGTATACACATCACAGCACGTAACTGAATAGAATAAAGTTTGGAAAATAGTACTACTGAGCAGTCACTGGTCTTAGTCTACATGCCCAAAATAGTTTATTTCTTTCATGGACCAGAGTATAGCATTTTTGTTTTGAAAATACTTCTCAAAATAACTATTATTTTGCACTCTTTTAATTATTATTTAGAAATGTATTTAAAGACTAAAATGATCATTTTAGTGGTCAAAATATTTTGTTGAATAATTAACAACATTAAACTACTTTGTTTTACAGATTATTTGATAGTATAAGTAAAATACTTAAATAATGAAATGCATAGTTTTCAGGGTCAAATTTATTTGTTATAAACTAATCAACTTAGTAGAAAGTTTATTATATTTTTATTTAGATATAATTAAATACATCCCAATATTGTTGAAATTAAATTTTGTTATCAAAATGCTCTATTATTTTAGTTGGATCTTATAAATTTTATTATTTTTATTTACTTTATTTGTTTTTAGATTCTAAGCGCAGTGAATCAGCTATTGGTTTTATAATGGTGTTTATTTTTTGTTTTATTCTGGGGAAACATTTTTTCCTAGTACAATTTCATTATTTTATAAAAACAAAGACTACGTTTTCTACTATAATAAATGATTTAATCGAAAAATCACAAGACACATTTTTTAATTTACTATCTTATAGTATCATTGCCAAATTTTTAGAGCCACTTTAGAGCTTTAAAGGAATTTTAATTTGAAAGTTCTTTTGCTGCAATTTTGCTATAAATACACGTAGAGATGTGAAACTCAGTAATAATACTTATATTAGACTTATCTAGATAAAGTAAAATTTCTAAAATCATCAGATTACTTTTTTTTAGTTTTTTTTTTTATGTACATACATACACTACAGACCACTTTTATCGCGGAAAATTGGTTCTGATGTATAAGTGTAGCACCTTTTCTAAAAGTCAATTTTATCTACTTGGTAATACATAGGTCATTTTTTGATTTTCGAAACGGTATTTAAAATAAAAATGATTACCTTGGAAAAAAATACAACTCTTTCACAATTTCGTTATTTTAAATAAGTTCCTACCACATTTTTAACATAAATATAGCTGAAATTGAAAAACGACGAGACCTCTTTTGCTGAATTATTAATTAAAATTGATAAAAATTACAATACGTCAAATTATACATTACTGAACTATGCTCGGAATCGTCTTTTGTCAGCAATGGTTTATCGTTGCCTATAAATAAAATAATGTTATGTATCCTACCTTTCTAACTTTTCACCTAGAACAATGGCTGCACCTGTCCTCAGTATCAGCTCTTTTTTATATACTAACTTGCACATGTCTATAATATTTTGTTTATTATTATGCATTGTGCATCGAAATAATTCATTTTTAAAATGAATACAGTACAAATTATAATTATATATTAGAAAAATATTCATAACTATATATACTTTGTTATATTCAATCTAGCTACACAATATTTTAAATTAATGTATTTTGGGCTCAGGCTTTAATTAAACATAGTTGGTTAATTAATTATTGAAATAAACTTTTTTAACTTAAAATTTTGATTTCTCAGTCTATTATTACACATTTGTTATACCTTTATAATATTTTATTTGTATACTAGGTTAAGAACTATAAAAATTAATATAGAATAGAATATTATGAAATTAAAATCCATGTTATACAGCCTATCTATATAATAACTTTGTATTGTGAGTATTAAAATTATTCAGTAGTCAGTAAATATACAACACACCTAGGATAAATAAACTTATAAAGCCCTCTTAAAAGCAAAAATACTAAGTCAAATAAATTGAAAAGTTTATAAAATTCAAACTTTTTAGATCAATATACTATATCTTAGAAATATCTTACAAAGACTTAGCAATATTTATTTTGACAGAACAATGTAAATGGTTGAAAAAGCCATTTTTACTAGATATTTACCTTTTTGCCAAGTATACAATAAAACTAATAAATTATGGAGTTTATACTTAGTACAAATTGAGGTTTAGCTTATTGTAATTTGACATGTTTTTATAACCTATAAATCATCAAAATAGAATAGTAGTAATTTAAATATATTTATAGAATAAAATGTTGGATAAATACTTCAGAATTTGATTTTATTCCATTGCATTTATCAGGTAAAATTACCTAAATATATAATAACCCATATCATACTTTTGATTGAATTAATTACTTACTTGGCTATATAGTCAATGTTTATATTTTCAATAGTTCAATTCACAATAAGTATGATAGGATAACAAATAAACCATATTCTACACAGGAGTTTTAACTAGCATTGGCCCCTTAAATATTAGCTTAAATATAATATTAGTCAATCAAAATGTTTTAAGTTAATAAACATCTATAAAGGTTTTATTTAAGACAAAATTATTAAATAATTACATTTAGAACACTGTTTTATCATGTTCTTCGGCTTTTAAATGATTAATAGCATTTACTGTCCATGTATCTTTAACCCCTTCAGTGTATTCTCTAATAAATCTGTAGTTTAATACATATATACTGCTCTTTAATTCGTTTTGTATGTCAATTATTTCATTGGATCTTTCTTTGATTTCTTCTAAGTTATGAATAGCATGATAGCACATTGTTATTTCAACAAAACGCCTGTCTTTCACTATAAAATTAAAATATGATAAATATAATAAAAATATATATAATATAAATTTATGTTAAAAATCCAATAACTGTTGAGATTTACTTGCATTTTATATCATTTATAATATCTAATTGAACAGGTAAAAATAAATAAATATCATCATTATTGAACCCCAAATCTTTAATTTCTTCATCGTTTAATTTTGATACAATTGATTTCACTTGTTCTAGCACATCTCCGGTAACAAGGCCCTCTAAACTAGAAAAATCTCGCTTTGCAATATAATTAGACACTACTTCAACAGCCTGCAAATTATATAAATAATAACAGTATTATTATTGATGACCCTAATATTAAGAATAGTCATGACCTTTTTTGAATGTTTGGCGAAATCTTGGAGACTAAATTCATTGTCATACTGGGGTTTTATTATCAGATAGGAAAACAATAAGGCTTTGATAGATTTGAACATATTAGGCCATATTACGGGCGGAAATTCTGGTACATTTGGAAACGGACTATAGTTCTTACAATAATATCTATCTGAATTAAAGATAATTGAGGTTTTAGATTTAGTTTGAAGAAACGATGGCTTATTCAATTGAACACTGGTGTTATGACTAAACAGTTTAACACAACCTAATCTGATTGTATTTTTACTCAGCACACCGATCATGACAACATTTAGTGATCTGCTTAATTCTTGTATGATTGAAGTAGATACGAACTTTTTACATAAAACTGTTGAGTACATTGTTAGACTTAAACAAATTATGTGTAAAAACTAATAAACTTAAAAACTTTAAAAGAAGTCTTATCATTTAAAATATTGATACTTCAAAAACAATATTATGATAAATTGATAACCGTTAGCATATTTTCTCACAGACATAAATTAAAATACACAGAGATATATATCTTTAATCGTAGATATAGATATTAGATAATATTAATCTATATCTTTATTATTATTATTTATTTCTGTATATTTACTAGAGCCAATATCTAAACCATAGACATAATTAGAATTATGTATAAAACCGATAAGCGTTACGGTATTTTATTTCCATGACTATAATGTCAAGGCACTACTTGAACCCATATAAAAACAAAATAATATAGGTAATTATTTAAAAAGACAAAAACCGATAAAATCTAGAGCTTAATAACATACCTAATACGGAATATTATTTTTGCGGAATAAATAAGACCATAGAGTAATATTACTCTACGTATAAGACCGACGGAATTTAAATCGTAAGACATGAAAAACTGCAGTCTAGGCAATTTGTGTTTTAGTAATGCCATCATAACTATAAATTACAGCATAAATATTTATCCACTTGACGTATAATTATTTCACAATATTTCCTAATAATTTTAATCGCAATAATGCATGAATAGTACCACAATGAAAATACACTGGTTTTAAATGAATCCTTAGTTCATATTATATAATTGTATAAAAGCGAATTGTAGCATTAAATTATATCATTGATAAAATAATATAGTATTTGTATGTTGGATAGTAAGATTTTATAATAATCTTATAAAATAGGTTATGGTAGAAATACAATTTTATGCAATTTGTCTTAGGCTACGATTATTAATGTCTATACTCTATAGTAATACTATCATTTATTTTATAATATATTTTTCATAAAATTATTGGTAGTATAATTATTAATATACCTTTGGTAGGTAATACTATAATGAATCGTTTATGGCCTAAACGTTTTTATCTAATTTAAAATTTACTTTCTGCCTGATAGCGCTCCCAGTGACCAGTGAAAACTGGAACTGTGGTACCATGACTCATGACTTGACTAGATAACTATAACATAATATTTCAAGTTTTGTGTTAATTTAAATTAAATCACACAAAATTTATTACACTGATCATATTTAAAATCGATTATGTGGAATGTTTTGTTTAAGCTTATCAAGTTTTTAAAATTTTGTTTTTTGAGCTATTATACATTATTGTAGTAAAATTGTGATAGGTATTTAAAATTCAGACTTCGGTGTAAATATTATAAGATTCCTATAGTTATTTTCAATTTAAAATACACATTTCTTAAACATTATACACACCTTTAATTTTTTCTCAAATTATTCCACTGTGGTTTTTTATAATCAGTTGGCTACTTCTTTAAATCTGTTTTCTGCTGTAAGATCACATTACTAATTTTAATATGACTTCAGTGGAAGTAAAGGAAGTCGTTGAGCATCCCATTAAGTTAAGAGGTAAATACATTTATGTCAAGTCCTTAAAATATTTTTGAAATAAATAGTCTGTATTATTTAATTTTGTAAATATATTACACAAATTGTTATATTATATATAAATTGTGATAATAGTAAATAACTGATTTTATGTTTGTTCAACTTAGTAATGCGTCTTGGCAAGCCAGTTATCTTTAATTCTAAAGTAGTCACGTGCGATTCCAAAGATTTACCTGGAGCTGTATTAAATACACATTTGAAAAAAGATGTGACTACATTGGCCAATGCTGAAACATTAGCTGCAGGATCATTTCTTATGGTTCCTAATGTCCTTGAGTATGTAAGTTATAAAAGTTTGGTGATTCATAAATTTATACAGATTGTTTTTAGAAATTTATATCTCGGTGAAACATTTCTGTGTTATGTTTACTTGAAGAATGAAAGCTCCCAAACAATCCACGATATAATTTTAAAAGCAGAAATAGATACAGCAACATCACATATACCAATTTTAGGACCAAAATCTTTTTCTAAGTTAGACCCATATGCATCTATTGATGTTATTGTTAAACACGAAGTTAAAGAACACGGAACTGTCAAGTATGTGTGCATAAATTAAAGCTTTTTTTTTTGAGTAGGTAAATTAAGTGTTTTTTTTAGTAAATTAATTTGTCAAGTGGAATATGATAGAAAACATTCTTTTGAAACAATATTCAGCTATAGAGTTCCAAAACCTTTAGATCTGAAAACAAAATTTTATAACACCGTAGTAAGTTATTTTCATAATAAGATAATTTAGATAAATAGATAACTTACACATTTCTATTTTAATTTTAGACAGATGAAGTGTATTTAGAAGTTCAAGTCCAAAATATAATGTCTACTCCAATTACACTGGAAAAGTTTAATTTAGAATCCTCATTTGGATATGATGGTAAGTTTGACGTTACTTTTAGTTTTAGTTATCACAGTTGATTTAGGGAATTATGTTTACAGTGAATTCAATGAATCATTTACTTGAAAGCCCTGAAAATAAATCTGTGTTCGGTGATTTGGATATATTGGATGTGAAAGAAACAAGGCAGTATATGTATAGATTATGTTTAGATCAAACTATTGAAAAAAATCCTTCAAGAACAAATAATCTTGGAAAATTGGATATTTTATGGAGGTCCAATATGGGAACTAAAGGACAGATACAATCCAGTCCATTACTAAGACAGGTAGTTTATTGGTTTTATATTATTATTAGTCTTTCTAAAATTTCTTTTCTATAAGCGCGTGTAAAATTCATCCACAGTTTGTGTAATTAGAAAAATAGTGCCTCATCGTAAAAATTAACTAAAAAATCTCAGCAAGTTTATTCACAATAGATCATGTCACTCTCCTAGAACAACACTTATGGCCTTTTTTTGGGTAGCAAAGATCAGTTCTATTTGACAGAAAAATGCCATATTTAGTATCATTTTTTTTTTTATTTTACCATTATAAAGACATGTCAGTCTAGAATTATTCAATTTTTAGCTAATTTTCAAAGTAATGCAGCTATATTTTACATTGTGACTTTGATTTATCAATTTAATTACTAAAGTCATAATTCAAGACTGTTGTATCTCCAATATATTCAGTGTAATATTACATATTTTAGTATTTGGCTATCTTAAAATAAATTAGTGTATATGCAACACAGCTATATTTCAAAATAAACTTCAAATCGCTTTTTTTCAAAACCATACATTATTGTAGTAGTCATAATGAATTGGAATTTGAGTTAAATTAAAATAAAAATGAAAAACAATTTTGGTATTACAAATATCTACCAATAATTTATAAAAATTCCAACAATTTTTTAAAGTTTAAAATTATTTAAACTGTTTTCATTGTCACTATTAAATTATATCCATCAATTTGTCAATGATTTTTGAAATCTTCAAAAAATTTAAAAAATTGAATGGTTTATCTTTAGTAATTATTACAAAAAAAAAAATTTCAAAATATTGATCAGAACAAAAGTTATTAAATTTGTTGAAATGTTACAAAAAACCGGATCGATTAGCAGGCAACTGCAACTTAGTGTGTTTTATACATACAAAACACATATTGTTTATTGCTTGCTATTAACCATCTGTTTACCTGGCTTTATTGTGAGCAGCCATGTAGTTCATATGTACCTTTTATTAGTACTTTCAATGAAAATTATGAAAAACTCGATCAAAAATACTAAATTTGGATATAAAAAAAATGATTAATTTATGTCTATTAAAGACGTTTTACAAATGACAAACACTTATTGTTTTATAATTTATAGATATTGTACTTTTATTGTCAAAATAACATACTTCTTAGTTTAAATGGATTCATAAAAAGTTTATATAGTATTTTGAATATTTTTATTTAGATTCCTGAATTAGATGATATAACATTTTCTATAACATATTTACCCGATACAGTTTTTTGTGAAGAACAATTTGACTTCACGTGCTCAATAAAAAACAATAGGTAAGTTTGAAAATAGTTTATCAAAAAAAAAAATATATATAGATATAGATATATATTAATATGTTGATTTAGAAATCGTGACATGCAATTTGTTGTTGAAGTCAGTGATGAAGAAGATAGTAACCTCGCATGGACCATGGTATCAGGCATGCAATTGAGACTTTTACCTCCATATGCCACAATTAAAACTGTATTTTCAATGGTAGCACTTAACCATGGTTTACAAGTAATATTTTAGTAATATTTTGAAGAAAATAATATAATATATTATTTCATGTTTTAGGTTATATCAGGTATAAAGTTAAAAGAATTAATACTCAACCGTACGTACACATACAATAATTTTGGCCATGTATTCGTTACTCAAAACAGTTAACCATTGAGTGCCATTATTTCTAGTTCCTGTGATATTTTAAAAATAAACAACATTCAATCTATTAAAACCAAATATCTTTGTAGTAGTTAAAACTTATTTTTAATGTACAATTTATTTATGTATAATGGTAGTTTTTATTTATTGTTTACGTTTATTATACTATGTTTTTTTTTTTGTAGGTATCTACATACAATTAAATTAACATATTTAATAATTTATTTATTTATATATATATATATTTATATGTTTGAACATTATTTGTTTTGATCAGATTTGTTTTAAAATAAATAGTAAAAATAACATTTGTTTACGTTTGATCATTACAATTGATTAAACATTACATATTATCTAGTAAAAATAAAAATATAACGTGATTCTACAGACATAAAATTTATTAATAAAACATTGTAATAATCATTACCAAATATTATTAAAATAATACTAGATGGTTATTTGTTTAATAAAATTGAGCGGTTTTTGTTCTCTAATTATAGAGCATGCGATTAGTTTTTTTTTTTTTTTTTAGTATTAATATTCATAAAAAAAAATAATTTATAGGATTTAATTATAAAAATAAGTTGTAAACAATAATTATAATGAAAACGATAATACTTAATACCCTACCCATAATAAATATTGTTTTTGTCATAAAATAAACATCTTTGGAACCAAAATTTAAGGAACACTGGAATACTCCTTCATTGGAAAGAGATTCTCAAAATAGATAAATATCACAGATCACTAAAAAGGTTTTGTTTTCTTCGGTTTATGGCAAAACATGGCATGCACCGAAGATATTAGATCGAAAATTAACACGATCATTATTAATACAAGTATACCGATGTACTGGATTATGGCAGCAATACAAATGATTATCCGTCAAGCCATTGTATCTAAACGACATTTTACACGCCACAACTTCACTGTTCCATCACTGTAAATATTAAATAATAACTAATAACAAGTTAAATAAAATATTGATTAAATGTGAAACATGCAAGGCATCATGCAATATATACATTGAACATAAGGTCATTAAAATAATTAATAGAATATTATTATATTGATTTAATTTTAATATAATATTGGGTTGGTATGATTGTGAACATATTTTTTCTAACCTTGTTTTACAATTAAAAATGTATCATATTTAAAAATAATCTGTTACGTGATATTTTTCACATTAACATAATTATTATACCAAAGGTATTTGAAAACTTGGTAAAAATAAGAAAATTGTTAAAAATAATCAAAATTAAGATAGTTCCAATTTTTTTTTTTTTAATATTAAGACAATTATTTCAATAATAGAATGAAAATAAATTTTTTAAGTCTGAATAATAGTTAGAAGGACAAAACAAAACAATTTAGAGATCAATTAATATTCGAAGAAAATGCATAACAATAAACTACAAAAAAAAAAGGTGAAAAACAAGTGAACACGTGAACACATTAAATATTAGGTGGTTAGGTGTTGGTAGGCAAGTCACCACAAATTACAACAATTCTCTAATCAGTGGTGTGACGAGATTTTTAAAGTTTTTCTTTATACACCACCGAAATAAAAATATATAACAATATGATTAAAAATAAAAATTATAAACAAATTATGACCAACCCTAAATTAAATTTATAATAAAATAATAATTTAACACTTAAATATATTATAATAAACAATGATTATATAACAATAATAATAAATAATAGACATGCAGCATGCAACATAAAAAGTATTTCACTTAAAAGGAAAATTAAAAAAGAAACTAATAAACTCAAATTTTTAACCTAAAATTGAATGAAACAAAACCAATAATAATATAATAAAAATTAAATTAAATAAAAAAATAAACATAAACATAATAATTATAACATTAACATTGCAACTGAGTATTGAAAAGAACCCACACCTAATTGTTTCAACTGTAATAAATATTCACATGTCCAGATTGAACATACGTCCCGTAGACATTGTCATGGTTGATGGGAACGAGATATTTTGTGCCACTTGCCACATCTTCACTTCTCCACGGCTGAAATCATCGCATACACAAACCACATGCAAAACTGTCCCGCCACCATACCACCGCTACATATTGTATACACTAATATAATAAGAATTATGAACACATACTGAGCTGCAGTAAAGACGTGTGTTGAATTTGTGGTGATTGCATTGATCGGAGAATCGTGAGCTTTCATTTCGCCGAGGAGCGAGCATGATGATTCTGACCACATTTTCAATGATCCACTGCGACAGACACTTAACAGTAATGGTTGATCAGGAACAAGAGCTAATCCGCAAATCCAGTCTTTGTGAGCATTGTTTATGGACTAAATAAATAATACAATTTAATATTAACACTATTATAATTACCAAGAGAAAATTACATACAGTAACTAATTCTTGTTTGTCTAGATCCCATTTCTTGATGGCATAATCTCTCGAACCAGAAAACAATATTTGATTACGTATTGCAAGAGTTTGTATACCATCATAATGTGGTGGTTCTAGATTAACAGTAGGGTTATATGTTCCAACAGCCTCCTCATCAACTTCAAACATTTTAATATAATGGTCTTTAGAACCAGTAACAATAATGTCCTTATTGTCAAATCTACCAACTGCCAAACACATAACAGCAGCTGTGTGACCACTAATCAACTTTCCTCGAACCGTAAATCTTAAAACCAAAATATTATAGTATTGTATACAAAAAAGTCGTATAGATAATTTTCATTCAAAATTACTTTCTCATATCCCAAATTTTCACTTTATCACCAGAGGCCATATATAATGCACGTCCATAATTATTGAGTGCGATATCGTTCAACATTATTTCTCCAACTGGAATTTGTGATGACATCACTGATCCATTATTTACAATACCAGATGAGCTAAACAAATTAAATTAATAATTAGTTAAAAGTTACTAAATGTTCATATAAAAAAAATATAGTATAAACATGTTTTAATATCATTAAACTTTGGATATAATTATGAATTAGAATATCACAATGTAAACATAGAGCGAGAAAAATTGTTTACTTGTCTAATTAAATAAATTAAACAACCTTAAATATTAAGGTAGTTTATAGGTTAGTTAGGTTATGAAAATTAGTTAAAATAATTGTAACAATTCAATGTAAAATTAAAGTACTAATTATCAATTTTCAATGGTAATAAAAATATCTAAAAAAAAGTTTAAAGTCAATTCCATTAAACTTCCATTATTGAGAGTTGTTAAACAGTAATTTCCCACCACCAAATTAATGTTAGTTAATATTACCTGAGTGTTTTAATGCATTTTGAAAGTCGCATGTCCCAAACTCTTACATATGAAGAAGTTACACTAAACACAAGTTGTGTATATTCATCATATTTAATTGCAACAACACTATTTGGATGACCAGCAAGTGTTTGAATTTCTTTACCACTATTAAGATCCCATATTTTTACAGTTTTATCTAATAAAAAAGTAATTTAAATAAAATATTCAAGAGTTTACAAAAGATTAATTAACAAACCTTTTGAAGCACTAAATAGTATGTCGTCTGTGGCATAAACAGCTAGAACTGCTCTGGAATGACCTTCTGTGATATGAGTACATACCAAAGGTGTTTTCATTGAAGTCTAAAATTATAAAGTAATTCTAAGTAAGACAGAATTAAATTCTAATCAGTACTACTTACTTTTCCTTGGTATGGTTGTATTATTCCTTTAGACCGGTGTGGATCAATAGATTGAGTAGTACTTGATGTAAGACGAGAAAATACATTTTCATCACGGCTGATTGCTCGACGATAAGTAGGTGGAGAGTTTGGAGGGCTTTTATTTAAGCGGTCCCTGTTAGATTGAAAATAGCACCAGCACCAATGAGTTAGTACAGTTAATTTATTGATGGAGTTTTATGAAGCATAATAAATAATGTTTAGTTGATTTATTTTAACTTATAAAACAATTTTTTTTTTTTTGTATTAAAATTTCAAAAAGTTAATAGTTAGTAAGAGCACTCACATTGAACCAGGTTTGCCTAGTAAATTTGTATTAGGAGCAATGATAAAAGTGCCTCGCCTAATGGGACGAGGAGACACTGATTCCTGCCTCTCAATTTGTTTTCGACCCATTACTGGAGATGGTTTATATTTATCAGGTCTAAAATTAAGATATTATAGATATATAAATTTAATATTTTTATTTCATAACTATTATACTATAATGTAACAAAAATAACTGTCGTCACAATTTCAAATCAAATTACCAATAATAATATTCAACATTTAAATACCTTAGAAAAGAAGAAGCACTTGGTACTCGTACAAGAGGTACACGTACAAGGGGTCCTCGTGAATTTTGTTGTTCCACACTTTTGGACACGTACAGAAGTTCTTGAGCTTGAGCAGCTCTACGTCTATGTTTACTTGCTCCAATATCATTTTTGGAATGTGTGCTACTACTGATATTATAACATGTATAAATGTATTAAATTAATAATACAATTGTAGACTACTAAAAAGTTAAACTTCATAGTATTAATGAAATTAAAGTAAAACAATTCTTTACTAACACCATATCAGAAGGAGAAGTAGAACGTGATGAAGATGTAGAACTCACAATAGATCGAATATCTCTGTCACTGCTTGTAGTCATACTTGTAGGCATTTCATTCATACGTTCTCGACTGGATAACATGTGTTCAATTAATTGTCTCTGTATTTCATTTTCTTTTTCGAGCTTGAAACAACAATTATTGGTAATTAATATTACAAAAAATAAAATAAGTTATTAAAATTATTATAAAAGATAGTCAATTAAATGTAAAAGAATAGAAAAAATTAGTACTTATAACCAGTTTTATAACTATTTTTAATGTTCTTATAAACAATATATTAATAATACTGAGTAATTAATACAATAATATTCAATGTAAATATACAAAACACTATAAACCAAACAAATGAACATTATAATGGACCAAAAGAATATTTTGCTATTCTATTTTGCTTATTTATGATCATTTATTTTATTTTAAATTGCAGTTTAGTGTTTTAAATTAAATTAATATATTCCAAAAGTATTACTTGTTGCATTTTAGTTTCTAATTCTTTCACATTTATGTCTCTCTGGGCTGCCAAACAGGAATTATGTAAAGACATTTGAAAAAGTTTATCCAATACATATATAGCATCAGTTAAGGTATTTACTTGTCCACTTAACTCTAAACTCTCACTTACAACCTAAAAAAAAAAATAATATCAAAAATAAAAACACAAATAGTGGAAAAAATAAAATACCTTAGAATCTTCAACTTGTAATATATTTTCTTGAAGTTCTTTTATACTATCATCTACATAATCTAAGTTAGCTCTAATTGCTTCAATTTCATCTTCAAAATCACGATGTAAATTACTATCACGAGGTTGTTGCACTTGGGCTTCAGAAAATTTTTTTAGTTTAAAATCTAAATCTGAGTGTAGTTTTTTCCGTTCTAATAGTAGTCTAAAATCAAATAATATATTTATATAAATTAAAATAAGAAAAAAAGTTAAGTTACAACGAATAATTTACCTTTCCATGTCTTTTTCTAAAGAATATAAAGTTTGTTTGTTTAGTGTTAAAGCGGAGATATTTTTTTCTAAATTAATCCACGTTTGTTTAGAATTCTTCCGATTAGCTTGAGCACCAACAGCACCTGTCCTGTTATTATTTTTCACTCTCGCTGCCCTACGAAGTGCAGTTACTTCTTCTTGTTTTCTTTTTAGTACAGCATCACGAACTCGAGATTTAGATTCAAGGTTTTTCATTCTAATTTCTGTCCTTCTTGATTCTTTTCTTAGTTGAGCTATTTCTTTAGCTTTTTTCATTTCTGCCTCATGATGTCTAGTTGTTTCTTCTTTTATTTTATTCATTAATTTTACCTTAGTGCGTTTCATATCATTTACTTCATATTTAAGAGTTCGTACTTGATTTTCATACTGAGATTGGTCTCTTAAAAGTTTGGCATGTTCTTTTTTAGCAGATTGCAAAGATTTTAATTCTTTTTGCATAGTACCTAATCTCCGTTCATAATCATCCTTTACCTTTTTAACTTTTTCAGACTGATTATTATTATTACCTGAAATTTCAATTTTAATCACAATAAAACAATAATTATTTTAAATAAAAGTAAGTTTATTTTGTTTAACAGAATAAAATAATATATTGTTCTAGTTACCAAGAGAAGAAAGAACTGTATCACGTTCATCTTGTGTTAATTTAATTTTTGTTTGTAATTGTTGAAGTTTGTCTTCATAATGTTGTCGTAAATTAGCAAGCCTACGCTGGGATAGTTCTAATTCTTCAATAAGTTTCTGCTTTAAATTTATTTCTGACGTCAAATTTGCTAACTCTTGACTATACTGACTATCAACACTTGCTCTATCATTTTCATCATCAGACGAATTGTCATCACTTGCTAAATATAAATAATAATAATAAAAAGAATATATAATCTTTTAAAATTTAAGGTGGGCGATTGCCATGGGCATTTAAAGTAGCAGCTGTCTATTTAACACCAATGGTATGTATAAAGGGTAATTTTTTTTATCATGAACCAGCAATTATCTCAGAAAATTTTAAGTGAATATTACTTCTGTTTTTTCTAATCATTATGGAAACGTTTAGGCTTTATTTTAAAACCATTTTTAATTTTTACTTTTACTCCATATACATTAAATAAGTACATACTTTTGATTTTCAAATATGAACCCCCCCCCCCTTTTGAACACAGATTTGAATACAGAATTTTTTTAAAAATGTTGATATGCATAACACTAATATCAGATTCACTATTTATGAGTTATAACAACTTAAAGTTTAGAACAGAGAATTAGCCCTTCCTACTACTACTTCCTACATTATTTTGGGAAATACTATTAAACTTTTTATAAAAGAGGTGTTCAAAATTTACTGATCGCGTATCTCGTTTACTTTATGCTAAATAGACACAATATATAGCATGGAATAAGATATATTGTACTGGACACGAAATAGTTGGAATATAGGGAGCATGTTCATGTCATGTTATAAAATAGTACAGGGGTATTTCCATCTTATGATGATATCTGTAAAACTGATTACTGAAACTGATATTGTATATAATACATCAAATAGTCAAATAGTTGAAAATATTCAACTATTTCCCCGTGTGGTTATTGATGCTTACCAAATCGATTAGTAATCAGTAAATAGCATTTATCAGTAATTTAAAATATCAGTGACTCACCAATATACCAAAAAAAAAACTTTTAACTCTGTTGACTAAAAAGCTATACTATATCTCCTGCAAAAAAACTGCAAGCAAAATCACAAAGAGCTGGTACAAAGAAATGAGTCACAAGAAAAAGGAGAAAGACTGTAAAACCGGAAAATGGTCAATGGAAAATAAAAACATTGAAAATATATACACAACATATGTATAAGTTTGATTATGGAAAAAATGAACAATAACAATAGTTTGTGGTGTAAACAAATTTTAAATGAAAGCTATAGGCTATGTGTTGAAAAAATGGTGGTAAAGTCAAATTGATGCTGTTGAATGTGCCACCATTAGGAATAGCAACATTTTTCTTAACCTCGAAAAACTGAATATTGATATGACAATATATATATATATCGTTCCGAAAAATATTTATAATTCAAATATTTTTTGGTTTCATTATTGAACAAAAGACAGCGTAGTTGAAGTCTGAAAATTGTCTACTTTGTGAGGGTTGGGCCAAATTTAATAAAATATTAAGTATTTCAGTACTATTGATTTATGAGTGATAATAATTCATACACACTTGAGTAAGCATTTTCTACAAATGTAACTTGCTGTGGATTTTTTTGCCAACTATATCTTTTAATTAACACATGCCATAGCATATGCTATCTGTGATTGGTCTGCCTTCGTTTTTATAAAATTTAGTTAGATTCTATATTGTTTTTTATTATATTGAATTTGATCAGAATCAAGTCTTTTTTTCTGTTACCATTAAAAAATGTAACTTAGTGCATTAAAGCAAATTTTTGATATTCCCAACACTTCTATTTTTAAGTATCTTTAAGTTCAATTGTTTTACATATAAGATACAAATACTTTTCTGATTTTGGCTCTTGTCTATAATATTGGAAATTGTAAACCTGTCATAAAGTTTATGAATACTATGTACATCTAAGATGAATCAAACACACACGTCACATTATTAAAATATTAACTTAGTAATTACTTTTATCATTTTAAATTCATTGTGCATTGCATATAAATTGTGAAAACTAATTGACTGATACCAAAAAAGAAAAAAGTTATGAATGAAAACAAAATTGATATCACAAAAATATCAATACAACAATTTTTTTTCTTACTATCTCTAGCCATCACCTACAATCTTCATTTATATTACTGGTGAAACATTTAAGTCATACAATCTATTAAACAAATAGTTCAACATATTTTTGTCAGATTTCGAAAATTTAGCACAGTTATACCACTATAAATACGATAACAAAAATTAATATTAATTCTTTTGAATACATGTAATACGACCAGTCAGACCAATGCCAAAATTAATGCACCGGATTATCAGGATTAATTCAGTCCAATATGTATATTATCATAGAAAAAAAATAAATAATAATAATAAAATACCATCAGAGTATGAAGGTTCGCTTTCTGTTTCTTGAGACTTCACTGATATTAACCGTTGCAATGTTTGTTTTTCATTTTCTACCTCTTGTTTTGCCTTTTCTATTAATTCTTTTGAACTATATTCATTGTTAGAACGATTCACATAATGATTTTTTATAGGTGAAGAAGTATTCTTACGTAGTAGACCACACATATGATCAGATTCTAATAATTTGGCTCGTAACTCTTCAATTTCTTTTAAATAATCTTGAATAACTTCAGTCATGTTAGATTCTACACCAGCTTCCGTGTTTAACCATGCTCCTGTAGCTTTTTCAGCTAACAATTGAGTGTTCTTGGTGGTCAAAACATCAATAGTTTCTTGCATAGCTTTTATACGAGTTCTCATGTTACTTAATTCAGTTTGTAACATTGTATTCTCAAGATATGTATCGTTTACACATTCTTCTCCATTTTCATTTACAGTTCTTTTACCCTAACAAAAACATTTTACATTAAAACTGATAAAAACTTATTCTTAGGGATATTAATGAAACTGAAAGTTATTAAACAAACATTGTTTCTGTAATTTATATAAACTCTATTGAAATTTAAATATTTTTAAAAATTTTTAATTTAATGAAAAAAAAAAAAAAATAGTAAAAGAAAAATGTCTAGAAAATTATGCATAATAAAATGAAAACATTACCTATTGTATTTAAACATTTTAATTTATAAAGAAACTTACTTTAGTTTAATCTTTAAAACAAACTATTATGACATGTTTTAAATTCAGTACAATTGAACAAAAAAGAATTATAGTGGTGCAATACCTGCTTATATTCCATAATTTCTAGTTGAAGCTCTTGTATTTCTTGACGCAAAAGTTGAATTGTTCTTGATGACTTATCTTGGTTCACTACTACCTTGTTTTGGATATTACGTGCCCGATTAGCATATTTTAATGTGTTCAATGTCTCCATAAAATCCCTGTCGCTCGGAGAAACACATGCAATCATTACTGTACGACTGTTACCTGTAAATAATCAAAATTATATTATCTTCTATAGGAGATAATATTTTCAACAGTCACCTCCTAATGAATCTTGAAGTAATCTTGTTAGTTTTGAGTCTCTGTATGGCACATGAAGGGCTTTCCTAGACCTATCACCAAGTGCAGATATAACATTTCCTAATGCTAATAAACCACAATTGATTGATATTCCTTCTTTGGCTCTATCTCCAGTAGCACCAGTTCTTTTTAGTCTTTCAGAGCCAGCCAAATCGACAAAATGAAATTTAGCAGTAAGAATTTCGAATTCACCAGCATTTTGATTGTTAGTAGAATTTGTACTACATTCTTCTAAAGTAGATTCAGTGCCTTCATCCTAAAATTTTAATTTTTTTTTCTAAAACAATTTTTATCCAAAAAAACTTTATATAAGTACCTCTTGTTTCACAAATCGTTTTTGTTGAATATTAATTGTGAAAACTGCATGACTTCTCGACGACTGTGAATTCATTGCTGTAGCTGCAGTAGTACGAGATAGAGCTCCTTGACGTAAACCAGACAATGCTTCAGAAGCTGAATTTATAGGTTTCCATGATACCCCAGTTACATAAATATTATGTTGCATATCTTCATGAATACGAATATTGCTCTTAGTCTAGAAAAACAATAAAATAAAATAAATTATACCTAATTATTAAATAATATATAGGTATTAGGTACTTTAGCTATGGAATAATCATTGGCAGTATCAAATAAATCAATAATTTCTTCATTGTATAGTTCTAAAAACTGTGCAGTAACAACAAAATGAGGAGGAGGATCACCAACATCCAATGATTGTTGTTTTATAGTTTTTATTCCATCGAACAGTTGATGTATGGCTCGTGGAATAATGCCTATGGTGGTTGGATCTGTGTCATCAATATTTTCCAAATCAAATCCTGTACCCATTGTATAAGTTTTACCAGATCCTGTCTAGATAAAAAAAATGTATGGTCAAAATTAAATATACAACATTTATAATTTATTGTAATATACTTGGCCATAAGCAAGGACTGTTGCATTGTACCCTTGCAAAGCACCAGCGACAAGGCTAGATGCGCAGCTCTCATACACGGTTTGTTGGTTCTCATGTGTATCAAACACAAAGTCATAGGTAAAAGATTTATCAGAACCTAAAGTCACTTGTGGTTCATTTGGGGTTACATTGGTACAAATACGACAGCCATCAATCACTTCACGTGCAATTTGTGGCCGTATTCTAATAAAAAAAACTGTTATCAATGTAAAGACAAAGAGTATGTCATAAAAAGAAAGTCAGATGATAGATGATAGCATAATGGAAAATTACTTATAATAGGTAGGTACTTATATTCAATGTAATAAGGGCTATTGTCATTATTTATTCAGTATAGGTAGGTAAATAGAAAAAGGTATTTTTATATTATTAAAAACAATGACCTCAGTAGATGTAAAAACAAAACATAAACAAAAAGGAAACTACCTATGCAACCATCACCATATATGGGGAAAACCACTTGTTCCCCCACATAAAAAATTCACTTTTTCGCCACTCCTAGTCATTCATAGAGATGGGTTATGTCGGAATTTGTCATAAATTGTGAAGGCCATGTGGCTCATTAAGGATTTATTATGTACCTATAGAAAACATACCTACTAGGTACCTATAGAAGTCACAGTATTGTAGATATTGACCGAAGGCCAAACTATAATTATTGTCCAGCCATGTTACTAGAGATCGTATTACCCTTTACATCACTGTCGATACGATTGCACCTGCCTTTAATATGGGCACACGGCCAATAAATATATATATACATTTGGAAAAGCGTTTCGCTTTAAAACAAATAATAATAATAGGATCTTCTCACCTAACTGCAACCTTCACAGATGATTCGTCTTCGGCAAACGACATGATGGCAATAGAACTTAAAAATAATAATAATAATTTACAAGGGAACCGTTAGCAGTTACATAATATCAAAAGTACGAGAAGGACCGCTCGTCCGGTCGAAATTAAACTGTCCATAATAATAACACACGTGCGGTCAACGACGGTATTATAGTACGTGTATCACGGCGACACGATGAGAACAATTTAATTTTGGAATGAAAAATACATAGTACCTAATGTTAATTTAAACAAATAATAATAATCATAACAATATCACAGTTATGAACCGTGATAAAAATACGGAACACAACACGCGAATCGCGAAGACAACGGCGAGCACCAGACGGCGCACACCATAGAAAAGTCAGTGGTAGCGCACAGTGGCTGTCAAATGTGTGTGCTGCTGGCAACTGACAAGCAGCGATGCAGACGTTCGGTGGGTTGAACACTGAATCCTCTGAATCGTGCTGTGGAGTGTGGTAATGGTAATGGTAGTAGTTCGGTAGCTCGGTGATAAAGGTATAGAGGGGGAATGTTATAATCATCACAGTCTTGAAAAATTTAGTGATCCTAATGATATTAATGTTCTAATCAGTGGCGTGGAGAACATATTTAAAACCCTAAGCAAAGCATTAAAAATGACCATTCCACTTCCCCTGCCCATTTCTAAATATTACTAGGAATAAGCAATTTCATTATAGATACTTTGTTTACCACGCCACTGATTCTAAATATCTAATTATCTGATAATTTGACTGTAATGTGGCCATAATAATATTACGTAGGTAGGCGGTAAGCTGTGCGCATGTAAATAAAAAATACCACCAGACTGCATTTAAAATTTTGAAATCGTGCGACAGAATGATAATATGCAACCGGGCCACCGGTCGGTACGCGATGCACTCTGTTTTCTTTAGTCCCCACCAACTCGGTCAGTAAGTCGTTTATCGACTATCGTACTTAGGTACTTATCTATGCCACTATGCCAGGGTCGTTACTCTTTGGGCTATAATGAGGGGAAGTAATATTAACACAGTCATTCATATTACGATTCAAAAAAGAAAAAAAGATCCTCCGAGATTCCGACCGTATAAAATTCAATAGCTATCATGTTGGACATAATAAAATGACATCAAGATTTTCACATCGTGTAATTTACCCTGCTTACCTAGGTAGGTAATTAGTGCTCGAATTGGAAAAATATAAGGAGAGAGACATTAAAAAAAAATGAGTGTTCCTTGCAATTAATGAACTCAACCCAACTCTTAGGAGGCTTAACCCTTCACACCTCCCACGCCAAATTTTTAAACATAATTCAGTAATTCAAAATTTCTAAAAACAAACATTACCTACTGCAGGCTAACTTTTGCTTACATAGTACCTACTATAGTATATATTATTTATTTTAGATTCTAATATGATGGTTACTGCTATGAGTCTATTATGATGATATGTTTGTTCTTTTTCTGTATGTGAACAACTATTCTACCAGAAATCTTACTCCAGTTATCAACTTTAGATGCGATGGTTCCAGGTAAAAATTGTTGTCTGGTTGATGCAATAAGGAGGTTATTTTTTGATTTTCTTTATAGTAGATATTTTTAATTGTGAGAAAACCCCTAAAAAAACGCCGGAAAAACTTGTAACTATTACTTTTACTGCTTCTGTATTATTCTATTTCGTTTATTCAATGAAAAGTAATCGTAGAGGTTAAAAATTCCATTGAATATTTTTATAGATATAGTCTCTTATATACAGCTCTTTCCAGACATGGTATCTTGTATCCTCCACTGTGGCCCATGCGTTGCACTTCAAATAAAGTTATAATTACATTTTTTAAAAATTAGTTGGGGTACTCCATCCCCATGTGTCTCCCCTCAATTCGAGCACTGTAAGTAATATATTATGTTTATTTTAGATGTTCGTTATAAGTTATACAAGTCATACAAAAAGCTATAAGCAGGGCATGTAAGTTTATATATTTGCATATTTTATTATGTCACATAAGAAAACTTACTATTCGTAAGTAAAAATGAACCTCCCGTTCAATTTTTAAGCATTTATGTTTAGACTATCAATTTTATTTACTAGTACCTCCCCAGTAAAAATTACGTGAAAAACTCACAAAATTAAAATGTTCATAGATAACTCAAATTTAATTTGAAAATTTTACTACGTCTAGGAAACGCAAATATAAGTTTTCTGTCAAAATGTCAAGTCTCTACGAAGATTTTTAAATGAATTACAACAAAAAAACTACAAGAAAAATCAAAAATCAACTTTCTTACTTACCAACTAGATTATGCAATAAAAAGGTCTCTTGTAATTTTCTATTGGAACAATATTTCTGATGCAAAACATCGTGCGTAAAAACACACATACTTCACACTGTAAGTGGGCTACTGTTTTAGGTGAGAAGTATAAAAAAGGTAGAGGAAAATTCAACGTATATCTGTACACAATTAGATAATTATTGCTAACGACAAATGATAAACAAATAAACGAAAAACGCACCTCAGAGTGATGTTTATTTCTAATTATTAGTTATTTGACCAGATATGGCCCGGCATGAGATCTAAAACGTATTTACACCTTCGTTGGAGTCAAGAAATGAAAAACGATTCTGAGCGGAATTTGGTTAGATATCTAGGTACATATTTTAAAAGGCCGTACAATTTACGATTTGAAAGTATTTAATACTTATATTTTGTAATTTTTTCCGTTTTTCTCATTTATTATAAAAACTCCTTGGAAAATCTAAAAATCCTTTAAAGTACCACTATAGTCAGATTTCCTTTCAGAAAAAGTGTTATACTTGAAAATTAGAGCAAAATTTGTGGTAGAAAGTTATTTACAGATTAAAAAAAAAATGTAATTAATAAACATCATTGTAACACCAACATATTCCTCCCTACCCTTAGAAACTAAAATAGCTGATACTCGAAACGGGTGTAGTTTTTGTTGTAGATGTGATGTTGGGAAGGTGGATACATAAAGTTATTTAATTTATACATAAACATATTAATAAACTATAAGCAATAAACCATTGCTAACGATAATCGATCCGGATATTGGTATACGTGATTAGCACCCCTAGATTATGAACTAAATAAAATAAATATAATATTTAAATAATACTCAGATATGAGATAAGTAATACTATTACCTACTATTATATTATTGTGTGTTGATTTTTATTAATATATATTATACTTAGTATTTATATTATATTATTATGTAAGTTTATTTTAATTGTTTTTATATTTTTAAGGAGATACCTATCTCGTGTATTATTTATTTATTAAGGAATGAAAGATTAATTATTTCAATTTTGTTTTTTTAATGCATAGATAATACTACATAATCTTATAGGTTAGGGAGTGTAGGTAAATTGTATATTATCATAGTGGCCTCCAAACCAAAAAAAAAAATCGAAGCTTTTTTGGAGGTCCTGCAAAGATACGTTTTAATAGATTGCAATTCTTACGAGCATAAATAGAAAAGAACGATACTGAAAGTAACTTTAGTAGAAATAATGAAACATTAAATAATCAATAACCTAAATGAAGAAAGTATGAGCACAAATACTGAAGAAACAGATTTTAACATTGAATAATTTAAGTCTCCCAATGATATTTATCCAAAAGAGAAGAAAATCAAATTAAACCCAGCTGATGAAATGTTTCAAACATATTAGAAAAAAGTTTGGCGAAGACAAAAGTTGAACCAAAGACACAAGAAGAAGATGAAGACAAATTTTTCTGTTAATTATTCTATAAGGAAATTTAAAAAAAAAATACCCGACATTGGGAATGGGAGCGGCCAGCCACTGTTATAGGTGAGAAGTTGGGAATGTAGGATACATAAGGTAATTTCATTTATATCTGTAAGCAACGATAAACCATTGCTTGACGAAAGACGATTCCGAGCGCAGTTCGGTAATACATAATTTGTAGTGCCGTAATTTTTTTTTTGGGATTTTCGTTTAAATTTAATTTCGAAACGCTTATTAAAAAATAAAAAGGTCATCCGATAATTTTGAAAACTTCACCGTGTCTAGGTAAGTCCAATATAAGTATTATTATAAAGTTTCAAGTCTCTACATGTATTTATAACTGAATTACAGCAAAAAAACTCCCAAAAGTTAAAATTCCTTAAAAGCTCAAAAGTTTTGGAGATGATACCGGAAAAACGTAAATCAAAAAGGCAACAAATAAGATGTCGTATAATATTTTGATTAAATCATTTTTTCTGGTAGAAAAGGCCGTCCGTGTTTTTATAAAATAATGAAATTTTACGTTTTCTTACTTTTTTTTCCCCACCTAAGTGATTTTATTTAAAAAATGGCATCGGAAAAAAATCACCTTTTTAAAGTGCAGACAAAAGTCTAGATAACTTGAACTTTCAGAAAAGTTGCTACACGTAAAAATCGGAGCAAGTTTACCAGGAAAAAACGTGTCCACAGACTAGAACAAAGAAAAAAAGAAAGAAAAAATTAAACAGCATTGTAAAACCAATAGCTCTCTCGGTACACTCGAAATCTAAAAATAACAGAATCCAGACATTTAAAAATTAAGATTGAAATTTATGATTTAATTCTGACAAATCAGAATATTTATCCACAGCTTCAGTCACAAGAACTCCAAACTACCTTTATACATCGTCACAACACAATAATTATTTGCTTTAGACAAGCTTACAGTCATACAACTCCGCTTAACCTATCAGGGTTATCAAAGACAATATGGTCAACATTTCAATTAAAATATCACAAATTATGGTTTTACTACAGTTCCATCACCAGTAAGTACTAACAATAGTAAAGAATCAGAAATTAACTTGTTTTGGCGAAGTTTAAATCATTTTTCAAATCAGCATTTAAATTTTTAAATAATTATTTAATATTCTATTTATGACATTGATAATTTTGTTATTAATTAAAACTTTGTTAAATATAATATTAATTTTTACTATTAATTAAATTTATGATTTCGCATTAAATTAAAAACTAATAAATATTTGAAAAAACTTACCTCAATATAATTATTAGTTTTTCTTCCGGTGAAATACAATATCGTACAGCATTTCCATCAGCAATTATGTTATCCTTAATGAGTGTTAGCAAATCATCAAAAAATGTACAACTAATATTCGCAAATAATTAATGAACTTTGATGGTTCATACGGTCTTGGTTTTGGGTAATGAGTTATATATTGACTTTCATTGGATATAGATAAGAAGAGCGGGTGTAGACAATAATTTTGTTTTCTATTACGACGACGTGAATTTCTTTTGTGAAAAATCCACAACCGTATGCTGTTTCTACGTTAATTTTTGTTCAGTGACAGAAAAATATTAGATGGTAGATACAACATTTCAGGTTCATAACTCGATTAAAAAACGCACGTCAACGCTCACCGTATATACGCTACTCAAAAACTGAACACACGTCTAACGCTCGTCATGTATACTAGACCTTAATATATAAAATAAAAAAATCAAACATAAATACACTGCAGTGGTGTAGATGGAAAAATATGTTTGTGACCTTTTAACGTTTGTTATCAGTGTCGTCAATTCGAAATAATAATATAATATTATGATTATATCAATTGAGCTTTTGGATGTATCTATTTTTAGAACTGCAAACCTAAAATCTCATTGGTCTGGGAAATATTACAGTATAATATTACATATCAGTACACAATGATACGTATTATTAAAAATTTCATTATTTATTATCAATCCGATTTGTAAAATACGATTTTCTATACTTATTCTTGGTAGAATGATGAAGAAACTTTAACACTTTGTTCCACTGATCAAGTGTAGAAAGTGCATTCCATGTGCAATTAAATTGTTACAAGGTTTTAATTTATATGGTAGTCCATATTCAGATTTATTTATTGCATATGGAACTTTGTTCACACTTTCTTTTAACCAAGTCTCATGCGAATGTTCATTTTCTTAACTTAAAATTATCAAAACTCGACTCAGATCATTTATTAGTCAAGAATTGTTGTTATCCCTTAAATTAATAAATTCTGAGGTAAATATTATTTTCAAATGGAACTATAAAGACATTATTGATGAGTTTGCAAATACATCTAATGAAATTAAACAATTGTTATTTTAGACTTAAATTTATCTTAATAATCACATTGATTGATAACTTTATAACTGAAAAAAGAACTGATAATAGGGATGGGAGTGGCCACTGTTGTATTTGAGAAGTTGGAAAGGTAGGATATATAAGGTAATTTCATTTATATCTTTAAGCAACAATAAACCATTGTTTGACGAAAGATGATTTCGAGCGCAGTTCGGTAATATATAATTTTTGTTAAAAATTTAATTTCAAAACGCTTATTAAAAAAAAAGTTGTCAGATGATTTTGGAAACTTCACCACGTCTAGACAAATTTAATATAAGTATTATTACCAAATTTCAAGTATCTAAGTGTATTTATAATCAAATTATAGCGAAAAAACTCCCAAAAATTTTTGAGATAATACTAAAAAATAATAAATCAAAAAGGTGTTGTATAATTTTTCGATTCAATTTTTTTTGGTAGAACGCGTCATCCGTGTTTTTATGGAATAATGAAATTGTACGTTTTCCTATGTTTTTTCCCACTTTAGTGCTTTTATTTAAAAATGGCATCAAAAATCAATAAATTACTTTTTTACATTTATAAGTAATAAAATTAATAAATAAGCTAATACATATAATATATGGTATTAGACTGGCCCAAAAAACTTAATTACGAAATTCAAATTGTGTGATAAGAATAAATTAGTTTTTGAAAATGTTGACTCAATAACTTGACCATAATACAATATTAGAACAAAATATTTTTTTTTTTAAAAACTTACAAAATGTACTCTGAAGACACCTTAGAACCACAGTGACAACTATTTTTTTATATAATAACATTTTTACATTTGGTATGAGATATAAACTAATTTTGATAAACAAACTGACAATAATTTGCACTATTGTATAGCAACTGTTGTAGGTGAGAAGTTAGTTAGGTAGAAGGGAAATTTAATATATATCTATATTCAGTAATTAATTGTTGCTAATGACAAACAATTATTATTATTACTCACAGAAAAATCGAAAATGAATTCTCCAGAGTAGCACCCCAGGAAAATTTCCTATCAGAAAAGGTGATTAACATGAAAATCAGAGCAAAATGTCTGGTAGAAAAGTTATTCACAAATAAATAAACAAATAAATACTGTAAAATCAATAAATTCCTCAATTTGTTCAGAATCTAAAATTGCATATAATAATAAAAGCTAAATATATCACTTGCAAAGAACGTGTAGAAACTTGAATTTTGGCAAATCATATTTATTTTTTTCATATCACTTATTCAAAGCTTAGTATTTATGTTTAAGTACTAAGAATTAGGGGTGTTCCACGAACATTATTTATTAACAAAGGGTACTGAGTATTAGCTGAGTAATAATTTACATAATTGCCAGATGCCGAGTAGTCGTCAGATACAGAATATATCAAATAATCAGTTAGGACTCAATGGACAGGTACCTAGAACATCTCTAAAGTAAGAATTGCTTAGTTCATTATACAAAATAAGAATGTAAATAATTTTCTGAACTATCACAATTAGTTTCAATCAGAAGCCATAATCAAAAATAAAAAACATTTTCAATAAAACATTTATAGTTTTGTTTATTTAATTATGTATTTTTAAACTCTTTAGATTCTGAATGAAGCAAAGAAATATATGGTTTAACAAAGATGTTTATTTTTTTTTTTTTCTATACCAGAAATCTTGTTTCGATTTAAAGTTTTCCCAGTAAATGGGAAAAACAGGAAAATAGGGACAATATTAAACAAATATTATTAAAGAAAATACATATTTTTTTTGTTAGCAATGGTTTATCGTTGCTTACAGATATACATAAAATTTCCCCTATACTAACTTCCCAACTTCTAGTCTAACGGCTATTTTTCTTTTACTTATGTAAAAAGTTTTGATAATTTTTTTTTATACTGCATAAAAAAATCAAATAATATTGTAATTGATTAAAAATTTGAAACAATTAGAATGTTAATATTTATTAATAAAAAAGTTTATACTATATTAGATATTAGCCTTTCAATTACTTTGTCCCTTAACAACTAATTTGAGTTTTTAAGTTTAAAACAATGCAATACAATAATTAAATTGCACCCAAAGGCAAAATTACATGTTTATAAGAAGCACATAAAAAATGTTCAAGATTTAAAGTAAAATAAAAATCAAACATCATTAACAATTACTGAACCACCATGTTCAGTTTTTTTTTCTCCACTTTGACTTTCAACCATCTCCGACATTGGGCTAAATCCTCCTCTAACTTGAATGTTGTGTTTGTGCTTGAATTCATTTATTTCTATTCCTTTTTTAGTTAATTGGTCATTCAATGTTTTTACTATTTTTCCCATCTGAAATAAAATTGTTTATAACATATCATAATATTATGTTTAGGGGCGTTTAACACAACCCTTTTTCAATTAGACTAATAGACTAAAAGTATGTTCAATAACAGATGTATTTATGGAAAAAGAAATGTTTGTTCTCAATATTTAGTGTATTCTCTAAGACTAGAAGTGGTTTTTTGGGGTCCTTATTAAATAATTTAAATTATAGCAATTTTAAGTAACAATTTTTCATAAGCCTGTAAGGGGTCAACATGTAAATACGCCCCAGACTATATCAAATTTTAAAACTATTGTTAATTATTGTTATCATAAACTAGGAAAATATGGTTATTTCATTTTCTAATGACATTGTAAAACTCCTTAATTATAGATACAGAAATTAAATATTAGGTACTAGAAAATGATATTGATAAATATTATAATTATTTTTATACTGTGTACTTAAATATTGTGTTAAATGTTTATCATGTAATAAGTATTTATGTTACCTGCTAGAGCAAAATTGACAAAACCAATTTTTATAAGATTAACATCAAATGATTGTTTGAAACCCAGAAAATGTTACTGGGAATGTTAAAACTATAAACTATTTTTTTTTTTATTTATTTTTTTTCAAAGTGAAAGTAAAAAAATGGTCCAACATATATTTTTGAGTATTTACTACAAGACATATGGACTTAAATTTATTTCACCAAACCATTACAAACTTTAATTGAAAATAAACTGTAGATCTTTATGCAAAATTACACCAAAAAAATAATCTATTGTGTAAGCATAGAATTTAAAATTAAAAATAACTTCAAAAGTATGTCCATTTGAAAAATTCAGCAATGAAAAACTCACTGATAAAAGAATAAAAATAATTGAAATTCGTGAAAGGGTTAGAAATGTGGAAGATATAAACTTTAGACATTTTCTTTAACAATAGTTTCTTTATAAATTTCAATCATAAAAAGAAATCTAATGGGAAACAAATTTTCAAAAATAAAGCGTGTCCAGTAAAGTAAGCTTGTTCCATTTTTATACTATTTATACTACTCATAGTAGATGCTTAGAATACTGAGTATATAATTACTATTTTTTTCTGTTCAAAGGGCATTGATTACTTTTAACTTAGAATTATATACAAAATTATCTACCTTATAATATTATAGTAAAAAATACTAACTTCTCCTCTATTTTTAATGAGTGTTGGTAGTACATCACTAATGTTCCTTTCGACTAATACTCCACCTATTAACCTAAAACATTTTCTGTCACCATCCAACTTATTTAAAGTTTCGATAACAATACTGTAAAAATATTTATAAATGTATTTATTGGGAAAATGTATAATACAATATAATAAAAATCAACAAACTTATGTTCATTGAGATCAAGTTCGATTTCAGACAATTTTGTAGCTAGTTGTCTTTGTTCCGTTCGTAAGGCATTAAAGGCATTGTGAATTAATTCCTCGTCTGTTGATTTCTTGACTTTTACTAATTTTTCCATTTTACAATTGAACCTTTAAATTATAATTTGTTAACTATTATTTTATATGTATATTATATAAATTAGTTTATAGTACACTTTACGAAAATTGTTCAATTACTTTGTAGGTTATAATTTATGAATTAACTTAGTAACCATATTTTTACCGTGAATATAGATATAAGCATAGATAAGAATGTATAATAAACATAGATAATAAAGAACTATTACGCATGAGTAATGACGTCACACTCGTGTGACACAAGAGTATTACTCTATGGAGTGACGACATATTAAATGATAAAAATCATTATCAAGTACAATTGAATCCAAAATTTCAAATAAATAAAAATATACATACAAATGCGATGTTAAATAACTTTAAAATTGTTATATTCTACATTTTAAGTACTTTTATACTTATTTTATTCCAAAAAATATCATTTAATTATCTCTTATTTAATAATAGTCAAATCTTAGTATGTAAATACTAGTATTTTATATGAGTGTTCAAAAATATATCATGTATGTTTTGTAATTGTACAATTAAATTGTTTGGATCTAAATAATCAGATTATTACTGATAACAGTCTGATAAGAAGTGCATGACGTAAAAACTAATCGTGCATTTGTGCGTACATATCATGTAATATATGGCCGTGCGTATATTTCTCACATCGAATTGTGTCCAATATTATACTCACCACCTTTAAAATTTCATGTTACATGACACAACTGCGCATGCCTAGAAATCAATATCAAACAATTTAGTTTTATTTTCAACGTTATCAGAGTTATCACGTATCATTCTTAAAGCATATACTATGGATCTTAGATTATATAATAACGTTCTTAGATCATATTTTACTATGGACTAAATATCTGAAACAAACATAACTATAACAATTATATTTATATCCTTTTTTTGCAAATTTTGCCTATGCACTTAATAATAACACCTAATAATTGTTTTTTAAAAAGAAGATATAGTCACCGTTCTTTACACTGATAAGTACTTCTAGAAAGTTAATATCCCAAGCGTAAATCTAATCTAGGGTTGTTTTTTCTTACAATTTTTAAAAGAATGGCCTTTGGTCGTGGACGTACATGTTTTTGGTCCAAAAGTTGGTAACAATGGGGTAATAAAAATTTATTTTATAAGACATTTTAGACTTTTTTTATTCCAAATTTGTACGGTACAAATTTCGATAACCGTAAAACACAGGATTCAAGATTTGTATTTTTAAGAATTATGGATTCCGAATTTGTTCATTCCACATTTTTACGCACTCCCCAAGAAGAACGGGCCATGGTTTTATGTTCCATTCTACCGATTGATAAAATGATTACACTGATTATAATAATAACATAAGTTGATAATGACAATAAAATAAATTATTTTGTCATGAAGCTAATTGTGTGTTATATTATTTGAAATAATAACTGTTCAGAAAATACATCTGGATATTCATAGTGTTTAGACAATAGATCAATCACAGATATTTGATATATGAGTACATTTATATAGTTATATCTATAATGGTGAAGAAAAAGTAGACTAAATTGTTACCGTGGACTGAAAATTCGCCTAAATTAAATCACGTGATTACATACTTTATCTAATCTAACAAACCTTACCTTATCTAACAGACATAAAGTACAATACACAAAAAAACCGGTAGGTATACGGTATACAACACATTCTTAATAGTAAATTGTTCAGGTGTTCAGTGATCAAATATTTTTACATGTCTATTATTTCTTAATATTATGGCTGAAAAAAAGACTAATACAATTTTTGACAGAGAATCTGTAAGTAGATACTTATTTGATCTCTAAGTTTCCATTAAAACTAGCTACCTAGTGATTATATTTGTGTGATTTATATAGGTTGGTCTAGTTGACGATTCAGAACTAGTTGATAACTACAACAAACAGTATGAACAAGTAAAAAGGAAGGCCAAAGCAAAATTAAATCCTATTGATTCCATAGCTGAGCTAAATTTAAATAATGAGGTTATTGTACTTATTTTAAATAATAAATAAACATAGGTATTATAATTTGTTTTTTTAAATATAACAGTATACAGGGTAATTTTTTTTATCATTGAATACTAATTATTTAGCCAAGTATTGATTTTTCAAAAAAAAAAATTTTTGTTTAACTATTTGTGTTATATCTACAAGTGGGTTTTTTGTTTAATTACATATATATATGTTTAAAAATATACATCAGGTAGATTGCAAAATTATGGAAGATAACTTACCGAAAATTCTAATCACATTTTTGACAATTTGGTAGTTACTGCATTTACTACTTTGTAGGCAGTATAAGTAGTTTATAATGTTATATCAGTACATGTATTTTTACATAGCTTATGAATTATACACATTTTTAATGTCTTGATTTCTTAAATAATTCAAAATATTAATTAAATTTAAAAAAAAATCCATGTTGCATCCTATATGAAATTTTCATATTCTACATTTTCTGATATTAAAAAATAAAAATTTCACATAGGTTATTGTAATTGTAATTTTATAGAAAAAACAATTTTAATTAAGTATATTAGTAAGTAAATAAGGAAGTATGTTAAATGTTTTATTTCTCCTAAAAAATATATAAGACTGGTATTAAAGAATACTCAATTTGATGAAAAAATTACTTACATCATAGTTGGTATACATAAATTATTTTTAAATTATGTTCGCAATGATATCATCTATACTATTCAACCATTACATTTTAATATGTTATTATGCCAATGTTCAACATAAATTTAACCTTTAGGTGCATGGAGGCATTTACATTGTCCCTGTTTTCAACCAAATTTGGCCAATATATGTATGATTGTTTGTGTATTCAAAAAAGTAACATTAATATTATATCCATTTTAAGTAAAACGAACACAAAAATGATTAACCAGAATTTTTATTAGGTAGATAAATAGAAGTCAAAACATTGGATATTGTCAACCTTGAAACTAAACACAGACTTACCCAAATATTAAATATATGTGATTTTATGTCTAAATAAATAATTAGAGAATTAATAAGCCCCAAGGACGTATTGACCGATTGAACACTGATTTTTTTGAAAATGTGGTGTAAATGTCGCCCACCTGCCCAAAGGTTAATTAATTTAAATTATAGTTAACATAATATTTAATTATTTTATGTAAACATTTTTATTTTAGGGAACCAAAGAAACTCCTGTTAAAAATAAATCAAAAAAAAAAGTAAGTGCAACAAAATATTAAATTTACTTTACATAAAATCCATTTTTATTGAATGTTATATTATATAATCATTTTAAATGACTAAACATGTCCTTGTTAATTTGAAAAATAAAAGGTGTATCCATTAAGTGTACTATTTATACATACCATTAATAATTGTACATATATAAACATAGAGTATCATGTATCTTGTATCTAGATATACTGAATGCATGTATCATGATACTCTTTTTTGAGTATCTATTCCAATTCTGACCATTATATTCATTTTATAAATTTACACTTTTTTAGACTTATACTGATCCAATTTATCAAGAGCCATCAAATGTTTATGAGGTATCTATTATCTATTTAATTTTTATATGATCTTATTAGTTTTAATTAAATTTTAAATTAATTGTATGTAAAATAATTTATAAAATCTTCAAAACTTGTATAAATTAAAATTTGAACTTTTGTTCAGGATGCACAAGATATTTTTCCACCACCACCACCACCACCTCCAGATAGCATAAAAAACTTACCTAAAACTGAGAAGGAAGCACTTACATCAATGCTTATGTCATATTACATGAGTGGATTTCATACTGGTTTGTTTTCACAATATTCTAAAACCTCATTTATCTACACCGTTTCACCTATCACATGACAGATAACTGTGTTTAAAACCAATGGTCAGAGTAGTGTACTATTTGTATAAATACTACCATTTTTTTTTTTTTAAATTCTGACTGAAGTGAGTGATTTAATGGATTTACTATAATATGTATTTTTTTTCTGTCTTATAAACAACTTTTCTCCTAGATCTCTTACTCCAATCAAAACATGACAAGAGACCTTTTTTGTTTTAATTTATACTTTTTAAAGGTAATTTTTAGTCTTATTAATACTTGAGATAATGAGGAAAAACTGATTCTTTAGGTTTACAAATATTAAAAATAAGTTTGTTATTAACAACAATTTTTATTTATTTGTTGTTATTATTTTAATCTTTTAATCTTTTTAAACAATCATTGTTAACATGCACATTGTTAAAAAAATAATACTATTGCCCGAATTCTGCTCTCAGAATTGTTTTTCAATGATTGATCCTTACACATACATGTATAAATTAAATTTTCCTCTGTATCCTACCTTCCCAACTTCTCATTTATATCAGTGGCTGAGTTGTACCACAAACTATGTGTGGCTCTTTTTTTATTAATTAACATTAAAAAATTAAACACCAATCTACAACACAAACATAACCTAGATCAAATATAAATGAAGTAGAACTATAGTTGTTATTATAAAATGGAAAAAGAACACATTTTTTAATCTGTACTATGATTATAAGCGCTAAAACTACTCATAGAATGTAACTCAAGGGAGTCTTTATTACCATTTATCAAATCATATCGGCAACTTTTCTTCTTAATTCACATAGATATCTCCAAATGTGTAGGCTGTAGGTGATATTAGTTACGGACAATAGATAAACATAATTTATTGCAAATTAATTGTATGAATTTAGATTGTACATATTCTACCTAATTAATATAAAGAGAATAATAAGTTAACCAAACTATAGAGCCAAATTCTAAATGAGACCTGACAAGTGAGAAATATAATGTTTTCAAAGAGTTTATCTTTTTAAAATCTTTAGTGTTCCTGTAAATAGAACCAAACATTTTGAAAGCTTTATTAGTAAACAATTTTATGTGTAATGTGAAAGACATATTGCATTCAAGTAAAATTCCTAAATCCTTGATAGAATTGACTCGATATCAAAGTCTGATCAACTGAACAATTGTCTTCTTCTTCTTCTTTCTTAGTTTCGGTCATTCAAGACCATACCTCTAGATAAACATACTGCCACCTATCCCTATCCTCTGCTACTTCCTGCCAATGTCACTCCAGCTCCACTGTTTCAGTGTCTCTCCTAACGCAATCCTCCCATCTTAGACGCGGTCTTCCAAGAGGTCTCCTCCCTACTGGGTTTTCCTCTATTACTCTTCTTATTAATGAGTCATGTTTCCTCCAGGCATGTCCACTGAACAATTGTAAAGTATAAAATTATGAAGCAATTTAAAGTGATGAAACTACATTTATTTATATGGCTAAAACAAAATGGTAATATAGCAATTTATTCAATTTTGATTTTGTTAATTTGTTCTAACCATATATTTAGCCATGATTCAACTTAGTAAAAATAATGGTAAAGATTTAAAGTTCATTAAGTCATCAAATTGATCTGTCATTATTTGAATGGAGCAATATTTCTGATAGAAAACATTGTGTTAACATAATAAAATATTAAATATTTGAGGCTTTACCTATAATTTTCTTTTGGGTTTTTCCCAATTATTTTGAAAGACCCTTGAAAATCCAAAAATGACCTCCTTAATGAATTAACTAAAGAACATTATCTTTCAGAAAAGGTGTTTTAGTCTATACGTTGGAGCAAGTTTTCTGTTAGAAAAGTTGTTCCCAAATACAAAAAATAATACAAAACACATATCATGGTAAAACCTAATAGATCTCTCGTTATACTTCAAATCTAAAATGACAAAATATGTTCAACAGAACTTTACAAAGAATCGTTTTTTGTTTATAGTGATTTATAGTTGCATACATATATAAATTAAATTATTCTTTATATTCAATCTTCCCAACTTGCTTAATTTATAATGACCATAATATTTAACTAAGGAATATTTCAGGATATTATCTTGGAATGAAACAAAATAATTCAAATGAATGAAAGAATTGATGACATGTAACAAAGGAATGGCTTTATAATTTATGAAATGTAAGAAACTACTGATGTTGTGTTTTTACTTAATAATTCTTACATGTCAAAATGGTATTATATATTATTATATTATGGTGTTAATTCATACATTAAGCACCTTTTATAAATAGTTTTATGTTTAAAAATAAAAAAACTTTCAATAAAGAATTTTGTTAACATTTTATAAATAATTAGCTGATACTCGTGACTGTCTATGTTTTTTATATTTTTGTGCACTTCCCATTATGATATCCTATAATGTTTCCCAGTTTGAAAAAGATGCTCAAAAGAAAAATGTTTTTCATTTTTTTTTTTTTCATTCTTTTAACAGTCAAGTCATCAGAATAAGTGTTGATGAGGTGTATAGAATAGTGTATAGAATGTTTACAAATTTTAAATTTCAAAATAAACTTAACACAAAAGATTTGATACTTCTCAATAAAAATACATAATTAACACTCCTGTCAATTAGTTTATCACAATACTTAATAATGTAAAAGAGATAACTATTAAAGCAATTATTGGTAATTTAAAAAAAAAATTATGTAATTAACCCTGCAGGTAAGAAATATTTTACATACTGTTTATTTGTTTTTTATTTTAAACTAATTAAGTATTTTACCTTTTATTGGTAAAAAAACCAGTCTTACTGTTGGTTTTTTACTCAAATTTAATGGGGAAATAATTTAATTTACAAGTCAACGCGCAACAAAACTATTTTTAACACAGAGGATGCTTAAACATAAAGACATAAAGTTATGTCTTTGGTTGGCATAATACATACATTTTTGTACCAATAATGAAAATTAATCCATATTTTACACATGCATCATTTCTTAGTCTAATACTATTCTAAACAAATTAGAGAATTTTATAAAGTTGGTGTGTACAAAATTTAATAAAGACCACTTGATTATTTTATTTTTTCTGGTCATTGAAAAATTATGTAAAAATGTGTTGCAATCAACTTATGCTAATTACATTAAAAGAATATGAAATCTTGGAAATATATAGTCTTTAAAATTAAATTAGTCAAACTGCTTCTGTCTTATTAATATTTATTTTTTATAAAATAAAAATTATGTTAACATGTAAGTATTTCTTCCTTTTCACATTGTCCTAATATTAACATATACCTAATTATAATATTAAGGATCTCTTTCTGTTAAGCTTTTTACAAAATATAGAGAGGTCGTTTTTTGAGAAGTTTTTTGACCATAACTTCCAAATGAAGTTAGAGCAACTTTTTTTGAAAATACCATCAAATTAAGCATGTATTAAAAACACAAATTTTGGAAAAAAAAAAATAACGTGGGATTTAAAACTGCATTTGTTCCATTTTTTATACAAATTTTTGATATAGTTAACCTGCTTTTTTTATCGAGTGAAAAATTGTGTGGACAAAATATATTTGTTGTTTTATGTTTTGAGTAAATGAATATATTATGATGTATAGCTATGAATATAGCTAACGCATGTTGCTGGAAAATGATACTATAGTGATACAGCAATAAAATAAATAAAAATAGTGTTTTATTCATCGCAAACAGGTAGTAATAACGCAACATTACATTGTTGAATTATTGAAAAAAAATAGCGTTTCAAGTAAAAACTATGCCAATACTTTTGCATATTACTCAGGCTGTAATTATCCGATCGACTTGAAAATTATAAAATTATCATCTACATAATAAACTGATCAACTCGTGTAAATTTCAAAATAATCAGTCCATTAGTTTATGTTACAAAGGAATCGGACCATTCGCCGTAAAATTACACAGGTTAAATAATAAATAAAAGTTGGCCGTCTCAAGTATTATACTAATGCACCGTGGTCGACACACGAGCTCTTTATTTTAGTTAACTATGAAAATTATGATAAGAATACATTATCACTGAATACGGTGAATAGTGATTGATGCTTCTTTTGATAAAAAGTAAAAATGTTCCGGCTCCCCTATTTTCATGTAATTTAATATTTTAAATTACACTCTATTCGATTTACACTAAAATATTAAACAAACATTTAAAAAGTTTGAAAATTCATTGTAATATATTTTTAACAATATTCTACAGTTATGTCATTTGGTCCAAGAAGATTTTTCCAACGAGTAAATACGTTTTTTGTATTTTTATTACTTATCTAGATATATATCTGTTTAACTTACTTATAAAAATTATTTATTGAAAACTTATGATTATATTTATAGTTTCAAATTAATACAATTTCCAAACTCAACTTCAGTAATGTGTCTGGAGGACCAACTACACCTTCAGAATTACCTAAACGCAAAAACCTAATAACTGGGAAAGGTGGCCCAATTACATGGAAAACTGCTGGAATTACTGGTATTTTAGGAGCTGGTATGGTTACATACTTGTTATACCTTAAAGAAGAACAAGAAGAAAGTTAGTATTGGTAAATATCACATTTATAATAGGTGTACAGGTACAGGGAATTATTCTACTTTAAGGCCCTGTGATTTTTGGGAATTTTTTTTACAAAATGTGTTTTTTCATGCTTAATTTAATGCTGCTTTAAAAAAAGTCAGTCAAACTTTGTTTGGAAGTTATGGTCGAAAAACTTCAACATTTTCATTTTTATCAAGGACTATTTTAAAAGAAAATAACCATTGATTTTTTATGCGAAACCACATTAGGTAGGTAACAATGAAAAGTTAAAAATTATTTCGAGTGTAGTACCAGTTACAAATTAATGAAAGCAATATAATATTCTATTGAAGACTATACACATTTTTTACCAACATTAAATAGCTATAACTTCGAAACTATGTCCTTATTCTATATTCTGAATTCACCAAAAACTTCGTTGTGTTATTACCTATCGAATGAAAAAAAAAAAATCAATTTTGAGTTACCTTAATATGCAAATATTTGAAATAACTTTATAATTAAGTTTTACATGGTTTATTGACATTAACAGAAAATGTAAGTACGATTGGTAAATTCTGATTTCACCAAAATGTTAAGCATACAAATACCAACAATTTAAAAAAAATATTAATTTTTGAAAGTTTTAACATGATTTTTAGAAAAATCAACAATTTTTAAAGTTTTTTGACTATAACTTCCAAAGTTTGACTTTTTTTTTAAAACGGCATTAAATTGAGCATAAAAAGACACACATTTTGAAACAAAAATTTTCTGAGCCATAAAGTAGAAGTATGCGTTAATATTTTACGTACCAATTTAATAAAAAATATATAGCTCAGATAACCATCATAGATCCACCACCTCCCACACATTAAAAGAAGGGTGGCGACCGCTACCCTTGACTGCTAGTTTCGGTACCACTATACTTAAGTATTATTTCTGAACTAAAAAGGTTGTATACATTTGAATGAAAAAATATAGTATACAAATCCATTGTTTTTTATTATTTTGGTTGAAATATCAACTTAAATTACTTATAAAGAAAATTCAGTTTCCTTCTAATTATTATCCTAACATTTTAAATAAAATATTTCATAATTACAGAACAAAGAAAAGAAAGAAAACGTCAACTGGGTAAAGCAAATATTGGAGGTCCTTTTGAACTAGTTAATGGATCTAACAACATTGTTAAAAGTGAACAATTTTTGGGCCAGTGGATGCTCATTTATTTTGGATTCAGTCACTGTCCAGATATATGCCCAGATGAATTAGAAAAAATGGCATTAGTAATAGAAAAACTTGGTACAATAAAATTGAAAATTTTTTTTAGATATATCATATTAATTAATTAAAATTAATTTAGAGAAAGAAGAAGCAAATACTGGTATTCAAGGTATTTTCATCACAGTAGATCCTGATAGAGACACTCCTCAAATAGTAGATAAGTATATAAAAGAGTTTTCTTCAAAATTCATTGGTTTAAGTGGCACTTCAGATCAAATCCAACAAGTGTGCAAAAAATACAGAGTTTATTATAGTCCTGGGAAGAAAGATGTTGATAATGATTATATTGTAAGTTTTATGCATTTTTCTCGTGACTGTTCAGTTTGTATATTTTTCTTTGTTATTCAGGTGGATCATACAATTATCATGTACCTGGTTAATCCAGAGGGTGAATTTATTGATTATTTTGGTCAGAACAAAACAGCAAGTGAAATAGTTGACCACATTTTATTACATATGTTTAAATTCAAACAAGAGAAAGAATCCTTATTGAAGAATTCTTTAGGGAAACTTAATTTTTTGAGTGAAAAAAAAATCGCCACCTCATAAATCTGTAATAATTTTTTTTTGTTTAGATTAATTTCAGTTATTGTTTAAAAAAATAAACATGTATTAATATATAGTAATTTGCTTTATTTTTGCAACTTTGTTTTTTAAATTTAATGCCTATTTACACTATATACATATACTTTCCATTATATATTACAATAATACAATTAATAATATATACATAGGCATATATATATATAATATATAAGGCAATATTTGTATAGTTGTGATTTTAGACTCAAAAACTACTCTACCAATTTTGTTAAGGTGATTACCCTTCTCCCATTGAGAAAAAACACTGGTGTAATTAGTTTCTTTTCAACTGGTTGTTTTTTTATAGTATTGTTTTTTTTATTTATTGCAAAATTGTTACTCTTATATATTTTTATAGTTAACTTTCTAATTACTTAATTTGTGATTAAATAGTGCCTGTTTTTATTTTTAAGTATTAATACTATATATCATAATTTTGAAAAATCAAAATAACAGCACTAAAAAACTTAAAATGACAACAACCATGAAGACTAGAATTCTACTCCAGGGATCCATCCCCCAGACACTGATATAATTTCAATAAATGTCCAAAAAAGAAGTATCTATTAAATTGATTTTATTTCAAATACATATGATTTTTCAGGACCTTCCTAAAAAAATGTTTAAAATCCGCTACTGCCAAAGATAAATTATATTTATTTATTTATATCCGTATTAATTATTAACAGTATAATATAAATTTGTATAGTGTTTGAATCCTGATACAGCTAATGCTCGTCGTATCAAGTCTTCTTTTTGGGGTGCCCAGCAAAGAAAAACCAAAAGCTATTGCACAATAAAATTATTGTATTATTGTCATTTAGTATGTTTAAGCATTCATATGCAAATGTACACTTTGTAATCTGGTATACTACCTTGCTATATATTACCAATTTCATATAGATTTAGATACTGGAAATATGTAATAGTTAATTTAAACCGATTGTTATAAAAAAAAAAAAATTATATTAAATTGTATTATGTTTTACATTAAACTTAATGACAGCATTTTGAATTACATCAACATCCTCTAATACTATACAATCACAATTTTTCATAAAATCTAATAATTTTTGTTTAAATTCATTATGTTGCGCTTCTTTATAATTAACAATAAATTTTCGAGTTTCCATTAAAATTGTGCCTTCATTTTTAACCATAGATGTTACATTAGCATTCATTTTTTCAAGATAGATATGACCACAATACATAATATCAAAAAAATGTTTATATCTATCAAACGTTGGATAATCAATCATAGCTGTACGTGGAATAAAGTGGATTTCGACATCACCAACATAAACACTTGGGTAATGTTCAGATTTAACATCAGTTTGATTTGATGTATTTAGGACTTCTTGGATTTTTATATTTGGTAATTCTGTTATAATAATTCCGAGATTGTCCGTCGTACCATTATGTTCATAAGATGTTTGGTTTTCTATCTCATAAAACATTCTAGTTAAGTTTCTCTCTGTCAAATCAGTGGACCGTTTAAGAGGTTGCATGTTGCCCATATTTAACATATCCTTGTCTTCACAGTCCAAACCAAAAGACGGAAAAGGGCCATTCAAAATGTCACCAAAATAGTTCATAGCTGTTATTTTATCACCATCTTTTAACAGTGCTAATGCAAATGTGTAATTAGGTTCAGTGCAATCTGTCTCTAAAAATGTATAAGCTACTCCAGTACTTCGCCAATATATGTACTCTTGGTGTGTGATTCTGTTACCTCCATCGATACGATGAAGATTCATATGTAAATCCCAATCAAATAAATTTGTTCGATGATCGTATCGAACACCTAAGTTTTGCCGTATTCTCATATCCCACATTTTAGTAATGTTGAAACCTTTATTATTTTTCCAATATTTAAATATGTTTTCAACACAATCTTTTTCTTTGTACTTAAGTGCATCAAATTGTATAATCGGCAAACAAAACTGTCTTACTGTATCATCAGTAATAATATCAATTAGTTGAGCTGACTTTTTGATTAGATAACTGTTTGTGCTTGGCTTTACAAGAGTATTACCATAAAGTTCCATCCAAGTACGAACCTATAGATTATAATATTATAATTCAGTTAGTAAAATATTTAGTATACTTAGATATAATTAGTACTTAGTTGGGTTAATGTTTTGGTATACCTATATTATATACTATAAAATATACCATGTAAGATATTGTCAAATTGTAGGTACTCGAAAAATAGGTATAAGATTAGGCAATAGGTTTAATGAATTTTTATTTTATTTTATGTATTTTTTAAATTTTTTTATGAACGATTTTGTTCCAATTTTCTAGTATAGTACTTTTTTCTAAAGACAAATCTAACCGGGATTTTCTCAATAAATTTGGAAAAAAAAAGAAAATTTACGAAATGTATTATTATACATTACGGCCTTTTCTTCATTGATTTTGTGTCTTGTTTGTTTTTGGTTTTACAATCTACCCATATCTTAGTTCAAGGGATTTTAAAATAAAACTGAATGAATACTAATTCAAATATTTAATATAAATTATTTTCGTATAATTATTTACCTACCTATCTATTATATTTCTGAACAAACATTATTACACATAGTTAACTAACCTACCTAAATAATTTACATTAATATTTTCTCCTCCAAAACTTTTAGACACCAACTATTGTTTCTAATATAAAAAAAAAAACATTCGAATAAAATCTAACTTCAGTAGGTACTTAATTTGGTACAGTAAGTAGGGACACAAGAAACGCTTACCTTATACGATAAGCTGAACCGATCAATCGGCTCAAGGGCCAATGCTATTTGCTGTATGTGTCTGGCATACATCTCGACTACTGGTTCGTATATGAATATATCGATTTTCGAATAGGAATATTTATACCGTTTAGCCAATGTCTGCAGAATGTGGCGCGTGTCACCGGCGCTTATGATCAATATTTTTATATGTCCACTGCCGACACCATAAGCTCCTAGATCTAAACATGGACTTGAACCCCATAACATGATCGATTCGTGGGTAGGCTAGTACACAATTTTTTTCTGTCGTTTTCTGTACCTATGTAGAAAGTAATATCACAGAAGTCGTTAATGTTTATGTTTTTGATCCGTCAATTGATCAAGTACCCTAAACGAAACACCTCACCATGGAAACGTTTATATCACATGAATTTAGTGCCGTAGAAACCACCGGTGCAGGATGTGCATGGCACCGGGGCACTTAATCTTGAAAGAGTAATACCGATTACCTAATAATGTGACCAAAAATATTTAATAAAATAAAAAAAAAATAAAAATAAAATTCAAAAAAAAATGATGTGGATTAAAATATTGTGAGATAATGAATATTAAAATGCCTTTATAGTTATTATGTAAGTAGACTAGTGTATGATTAGTTAGGAGTAGTTATTATAGGATAAGATCGTATATAATGTTGTACGGGTAATTGCATAAATACCCTTTGACTTGAATATCAATCAAGTGGATAACTTGATTATCGAACGTTTAGCATGAGCCACTTCGTTAGTTACGGATCGCGTTATCGTGATTTAAGTGAGTTAAATTTAGATTTAATCCGTGGAACATCAATGGAATATCATAAAATTATATGGTCCTTCATCGGTTACCGATTTAAATTTTACATGGCGTTGTCATTCAGTTTATGGCGATGACCCATATGAAACTTACAGCTACAATCCTCTGTAGGTAGGTAGGTATCACTTATTTTACTTGGATGAAATGTGTCTACTAAAAAGCAACTGAGTGGATGTGAAAAACGAAAGAAAGAAAAACAAAAACAAGAAAAACTTCCCAAATTAGTGGTTTTTATACAAAAACAAGAAAATTGACAACCGAAAGTATGTACTAAACTATTAAACATTATAAATTAATATGAAAGAGGCATAGGTACAATGATTACTTTTAGATTCGAAGCGTAGCAAGGGATCTATTGGTTTAACTAAGATCTGTATTTTTTTTTTTATGCGTGTGCAAATATTTTTTATCAGAAAACGTGCTTCAATTTAAAACAGCAAACAAATGTAATTATATAAACGTATAAATAATATATTTGATTTTTGTTTTTTTTTAAATTAATTACAAAATTTGCTGTCCTAATCCCAGACCTTACAGGTGTAGGCGTTAATCCGGCTCTGGATAAAATTGCATCTATTCTGTGAAGGTACCGTGAGAAAATTCTGTTTTCCTCCCATAGGGAATTTTTATAGTAACTACAAATTATGAAAAAGGAATATTTAATAGTGATGGGAACAACCGAGAGAAATTACTCGAAATGCTCGATTGTTAGGTTTACTCGATTAATTCGATTGTTTTGAAAATTCTCGAGTAGTCTAGTGATTCTCTTAGTATCGAAATCAACTGAAGTTGAGTGATCAATTAATCGGCGAGTGATTCTCACGAATTTAAATTGACTGATGTCTTAATCTAAAATATTTGAAAACAATTGAATGAAAATTACTAATGTTAGTTGTTGTACACGTTATTATATTTATTTTCTAAAATGTTTAATAGGTAATAATAATTAATTGAAGAATTAATAAAATTGTCAAGCCTCTAGCGAATATTGAATAATTTGAGTTGTACAGAGTATCGAGAAACTGAATGTAATGAAATACTAAATTTACCGAGAGATTTTTTCAAGTGAATCTTTTGGTTGTTATACTCACTCCTCGATTGTTCACATCACTAATTTTAAATAATACATAGTTTTTCTTCCAAGAACATCTGGAATAAAAAGTGCGAATGTTTACATCACCGTAGTTTACTTACCAAGCCACGCCCCTGAGGTCATTGATTATTTTTCCATTTTGATTTTATAATAGGAATATATTATTTTATTTTATTCCAAATTATTAGTGTAGTCTTGTGCGTTATTATTGTTATGACAATTTTCTAAACGACTAATTTTTTCATAAGATTAATATAATCAACTTTTCTCATTATTTTTAGTTAGATTTACGTTTGTGTGGTGATCAAATTCTATTGTTGACGGAAATTTGACTTTTCTTTTTGTAAAAATAATTTTGTAAGGTAAAGTATTGATTAATTTGTATAGTATTACCTAAATATTAATATATTGTACATATTGCTTTAACACCGCGTAGCTGCTTAAATTGCGATATTTTGCGTTAAAGTAGACATTTTAACTATCTACTGACTGCTATTGCCGATCTTCATAACAATTTTTTTTTTTTCGAAATTGATTTTGATAATTTCATTCGTTGCGCTCTACCTGACAACAATTTCCCATTAATATTATCGTTAATTGCATCGATAAATAAAATGTTTCGCGGCGCATATACAATTAATTTTATCGATAATTCTGCAATGATTTACTGAAGTTAGGTAGGTAATCATTGGTATAAATGGTGTGTACTTAAAAGTGTGCGAGTTTTAGGAGTATAATATATATTTTTTTTACGTTGATAATGTTTGAAAACCCCTTGTAGTTATGTTATTGATAAATTCGAAATTAAAATATTGACTAAAATGTCAATAGGTATTCCAATTGCATTGTTTTATTAATCATAAAAACGGTTTCATAATATAAAATACCTATATAATATAAACTTTGTATTTTAATCTTAATTAAATCTACTTATTTCATAAATGTAAAGTATATTTTGTTGTTAGTACAATATTAGTTTTTGAAATAATTAAAATTCATGCCTAATTAAATAATAGTCTAAAATCGCAGGGATGAAGGGGAAAAAGGAACAGGATTCAGAAACAACAGACAATGTGTGTCGTGATTTCATGCGCAATGTATGCAATAGAGGCAAATCTTGCAAATTTTTTCACCCTCCAGTAGAAGAGGATAAGCGCAAATATGTATTTTGCCATGATTTTCAAAATGGCAAGTGTAGTAGACATGACTGCCGATTTATTCATTGTTCTCGTGAGGATGAGGAATATTATAATCGGACTGGACACATGGCACCCGAGGTGTTAAGAACTATAGAAATAAGCGGCGCGCCTACATCCGATGACATACCCATTTGTAAAGATTATTTAAAAGGCAATTGCCATCGGAGCCAAGCTCATTGTAAATTCCGTCATGTAGATCAACCACTCGATGTGCCTGTTAGAGGCCCTAACGGTCCTTTTAACACACCCCAGCCTGCGATGCCACCTAACTTCGGTAATGAGTTGTTCCGCAGGCGCTATGATTTCGACGAAGAACCCGACTCTAAGCGTAGGCGCTACGAATTTGACAACAGAATGCAGCCGCTAGGGCGCCCGTTCCCCAATCGCGACATGGAATTTTCTGCGCCGCCCGGGCCTGCGCACCAACAGCCATATTGGCTGTTGCAAGACGAGGTGGAAATGTTGCGCAAGCGTGTAGCCGAGTTGAAAAAGCGCAATGAGGAACTGCAAGCGACTAATGAATTCTTGTTGGAGCAAAACGCACAGCTGCGCATAAATGAACAAGCGCCCCTGCGCAGCACCCAGCAAATGGTGAGCGCTATACGTACCGTGACCACAGTCCCAGTCAGCTTGGCGGCGGTGGCTGCGGCCGGTACTCCCGTGTCCATAGCTACCGTCTCCATGGCTCCGATTCAGATACCACCTGTTGTATCTGGATCCGGCCCGCCGCCCCTGCCGCAGCCAACTAACTCGCAGCCTTTGGTTTCTTATCCTATTGGCAGATCGACATCGGCCCAACACTATATCCAACCGTAGGTATGTTCCTTCCATTAAGTTTTTTTTTTCATTCTCATAAATCTCGATTTGTTTTTTTATGTTACATATATATGACAACATTAGTATGTTGAAACTTTCATCATTATTTTTATGTCTTACTACTTTAGTTATGTGTCTTCTAGTCTGAATTGAAAAGTTTTTATCATTTTTATGCAATACTGAAAGGATTTTATTTGCGCCATTAATTTTGGGATATCTGTTTCATCTTGGCAGGGGCGTGGGCGTGGGCAGTCAATAACTGCCTAGATGAAATCAGACTAACTTTGCTCATAATATTACACTTTAATATTTTACTTAAAAATTAATATTATTATGTTTGTTTCAGTTTATGAACAATGAAAATGGAAACATTTCTAATAGAGATTTGTCATTAACAAAACAAGGAATTTACAATATATACTACAATAATAGAATATAGAAAACCAATTTTTTTCTTTTAATTGATTTGAATACCACAATATTTGACAATGAAAATCTGATCTTTGTGTACTATGTAAATGTAATAAAAAATAAGTTCATTATTCATACCAGTTTATAATGCAGTTCAATATTGCACAATTTTTAACTGGTTTTTTTTTTTTGGTTATGTTTTCATGGACTTAATTGTTTGATATAAAATATGTTAAATCATTTGCCATTTGTGTTTACAAATTAGTTCATATGTAATTTAAGTAATGCTATTGATTTTACTTGGTTTTTGTATATATACATAAATATATATAAATTATATTATATAATATCCATAATATATATTTTCTTTATATCACGGTGAAAGTCCATGAAAATCAATCATACAATTTAAGAAATTTGACTTGTGTAAATGAAATATTCAAAAGAATTTAATCAAGTCAAGTGTACATTTTTAACTATCTAACTTTTATGTGTAACTCAAACATAATTATAATAGGTATTATTCTTTGCTAACTAAACTAAATAAATTAAACTATTAAATTATATAACTTATTTATTAATTTATTTTAATACTAAATAATATATAATAGTATAATAAGGAACCTTCTACAGATTAACTAAGTAAATTAGGTCTTTCAGAATTTGAAAAATGTCTTACTGTATAAATAAATAAATACCCTATTATTTGATTATTGCGATACATTTAGTAATGAGTGTTTTCTAGGATTTCTCAGCATAAGTTTATAACACCTTTTATCCCCGTGGTGTCCATCCTTATAGTTGACTTAGTTGAGGAGTTATATATTATTTGCAAAATTCATATTATTATTTACAAATTTTTAAATAATCCAAGTAACAAATTAAAATTATAATTTTAGACTCTGAGTGGAGCGAGTAATGTATTGGTTTTACAATGGTGTTTATTTTTTTTTCCTATAAACAACTTCTATCATCAATTTTGCTCCTATTTACAATGATACTACTTTCTAAAATGTGAAATATGACTAGGGAGGTACTTTAGGGAGATCATTTTTTGATTTTTCCAGGAGTTTACCCAATAAATGGGAAAATGGGTACAATTTTTAACAAATATTTTTGAAGAAAATATGCATACAGATATACATTAAATTTCCCCTCTACTACCTTCCTAACTTCTCACCTATAACAGTAGTTGCATCCATCCCCACTAACCTAGATCATCTTTTTCTTAATAAATCAACCAATACTTTAGTTCTTTTTCCGTATAATAATGTATTCATATAACAATGTTGGCTTTCTGAAAGTTTTACAAAACAATCTGTTTAGCTAAATTATATTATTTGGTACTGTTTTCTTATTACATGAGTAATCAATTATTAAATACCTAGTCATACAATTAACCATTTTATCACTTATGTAAAATTAAAATGACTAATAAAATAAAATACATTTTTGAAAGTTAAAACAATTACAATTGCTGTTTTAATATTTTCATCTGGGTGCTAGTACTATTTCTCAATTGATGAATTCAGGATTACAAATTGAAATACTTAAATATTTTATCATCTCAATCACTGGTACCTAGGTATACAATACTACAATTGAAGTAAACTTTATTTAAATTTGTAAATAAAAATATTGTATATTATATAAGTGTTTTTAGTTCAAATTTTATTTAAATAAAATAACATTGAAAACTATATAATTTGGTTTGACATTATAATAGTTATCAACTTAAGTATTGACTCATTGGTTATTAAATAAAATAAGAAACAATTTTGTATACATAAAATATAAAAGTAGATACAGTAAAACCTGTTTAATGTTTTTAAATACTATTAACTAAATGTTAAATTCATATTGAATATCTTGTTACCAACGAATAAATGTAAAACTATTAACATTATTATTACTATCAGTAATTTAATCTGGGGAATTCTATACTATAAACATTAAACATATATACAAACATACAAACAAAATATAGCTATATAATTTTTTTTCCTGTATCATCTCTACTATTAAAATTATTAATAATATACAGTTAAAAATAAATAACATTAGCAAAATTATTTAAAACAATCATATAATATACATAGGCAATTGCAAATTCTATTTAAACAGTTGAAATTTCTAACAAACAAAATACACGAATATAAAATGAGTCAAAATGTTTATAAGAGACAAATCTAATTTAAGAATTATGGTAAACAATAACATTATTTTTCTTTGTTTAATGCTTGTATAAAGTCCTCTAATCTCTCTTGGATTTGCTTAACTTTATCTAAAAAACAAACATACAATTTCAAAATCCTTATTTCATAACATTTTTCAATACTTACTGAGTTCTTCAACTAAAGTTACGCGACGGCCAGTCAATAATTTGCATTTCATATCGTGACTTTGACTATAATCATCCAAAACGTCTTTTATTTCTCGGTGCAAACGTTTCACTAAGGTATAATATATACACACATATATATATATATATATATATATAAAAAATTTTTATTTATCTATCTTTATTAAATAATACCTTCTCTATTGGTAATTTGTTGTCTTAGTACATTGGCAGTCTGTTTAATCATGTGTGTAATTCTCCAAAACATTTCAATTTCATAATATTCACTCTAAACAGTCATAATAATATATTATATTGTTATATACATAAATCTATACGGGCAAATGCCATTTTAATAACTGCTATAATATTTTGATAGTAAGTCTAAAATACAAATATAAATACTATTATATCAAAATTAATATTAATGTAATAATTGTATTAACTCTAAAGCCTTAAATCTAAATATATTGTAGCAAAGTACAAAAAAAACCTAATTTAGTGAAAATCTTATTAGATAAAACAAAAGCTCTTGAAAAAAAAATGTATTATTTCCACTTTTGGTATTATAATTAGGAACTACGAATAAATTTAAGTCCCTAGTGTCCCGAGGTGAGTAAAACCAATTTAGAAAATTTCTTCCAAATTCAAAAGTTTTAAGTTTATAGCATAATGTATTTACTTTGTCAAAAGCTTTTTGAAAATCAGTATAAATGGTATCTACACCTTAATATCCCTTATCTAAGGATTTTGTTAGGAAATTTTAGAATAATAATACATTTGTTTGTTTAGTGTTTTAAAAGAAAACAGTGTTTGTGGATAGTTATATTTTTAAACAGTAAATTAGATAGCTTTTTAGTGATTATCGCTTTTAACACTTTTGGTATAATTGATAATTTAGAGATAGATCTATAGTTCCTAACGTTATGTTTATCAACAGATTTAATGGTAGATGTAAAAACAATTTTTCCAAAAATTTGGGAATACTCTGGTCGAGGGATAGATTGAATAAGTAAAGAAGAGGATTGATAAGTACAGAGACATGATTATAAAAATACAGGAAATAAACTGTCTGGTCCAACTCCTGTTTCATCTCTTAGAGAGCCAAATTTTTATAGCATTTCTATTTCAGAAATATTACATGATATTAAGATAAGATTAGGATAATATTTTGCATACGGTATTTCGTGTTGACCAGTAATAACTTTATTGTCAGAATATACAAAGGAAAAATAATTTGCAAACAATTTAGAAGTATTCTCAATATTATCAGCAACAATACCATCCAATATAACTAAAGATGGAATACTCGATTTATTGAACTTAAAGAGTTTTTACATATTTCTAAAGATTTATTATTAAGGTTAATATTATTTTAAATTTTCAAAGTATGATTTGTCTGTATGTGAGGCAAATCATTATAAGATAAATAGTTTTTAAACATTTTTTTCGTAAATCTGAAATTTTTTAAAAAATCTGAATAAATATTAGATATTTACTATTTTGTAATTAGTATGAGCCTCCTTTTTTTAATCTAGGTAGGTCTCTGAACTCTTTATTATATTAAATGGTTACATGTGGTTTATTATGAATAATTTTTAGTTTTGGGGCAAATTAAAAGTGTGGTTTAAAAATTTGTAAAATTTTGAGAGCGCTGCACCTAAATTTAAATAATTTAAATTGGAGATTATATCGAGTTTATAAAAATACTTAGCAGTAAATACTTGAATTATTTTTATTCAATAATAATGTAAATAAATATTTTAAAGTTATCCATTTAAGTGAGTATATTCATTAACTCAGAAAATATTAATTTTTTTAAACAATTTGAGTAACAAGCAGCTTTAAAATGTGCATTTCCATTATTTTTGGGGGTGAAATGATTACCTACTTTTGAATTTCAAATTGTTACATATACTATACATTTCATAAAGAGATTAATTAAAAAGTATTAATTGAAATAAATTATGGTTATGAAATTTTCAACAATCACTAATAACTGCGGTTATTAATTTAATATTTTTAACATCTAAAAAGTTTATACAGAATCTAATATAATTCATATATCTTCAAACTATATTCCCGAAAACCCTCTTAAGAAGTTAAAAAGAAAATTGTGTAGAGATCGCCTTTAAAAATTAGATTAAATTACAAATATTCAAATTATTCAGCTCTACTAAGTGCCTTCTTACATCATACCATTTTCATGTTTTTCAATCTATTTTTTCTCTATTATCATTTTTACTTGTGCATATTAGTATAGTTGCACATTTTCTTCTTAAATTATAATAATAAAAAAAAAATAAACCTTAAAAATAACAATTAAGATGACTTTGTTGTCATTTGAAATTCAAAAGTAGATAGTTGTTTCACTCTTAAAAATAATAATGGTAATGTACATTTTAGAACTGCTTGTTACTTAAATTATTTTAAAAAAATGTATACTTTTCAAGATAATGAGTGTATTCACTTAAATAGATTATCTTGTATACCTGTAAGCCATTTGCTTCTTGATAGTGGTAAAATTGTTTTTTAATCATTTGTGCATTATCCAGAGCCGTTTTGAAATAGTGACGTCTATATACTAAATACCATGTTTGCCATATATCGTCAAGTTCACACGGTGTACCATTTTTCTGTTTTAAGTTGTTACTAATAGTAATCTGTTCATCTTTACTAAGTAGATTACTATGATTCTAAACAAAATAACTCTGTATTAATATTAATATTTAAATTATAAATAATTAAAATATTCAATTACAGGATTAGAGTGCAGTAGATTTTCCAATTCATATTTGATATTGTATCTTTTGGCTTGTTCAGATGTTGAACTCTGCCAATACATCCATTTTTCGTAATTAGAAGGACCAACCATTTCTCTCAGAGATTCTTCAGCTGCCTGAATAATTAAAACAAATATCCCAAATTATGTTTACAGTTTTAAATACAATAAAAAAATTACTTACTTTAAAATTTTGTTCCAAGCTACTTATTAGAAATTGTGCTGCTTCGTCCCAATGATGTTTTTCTTTTATACATCTATCTTCCAGAGTATTCAATTGAATCATTCGTAACATTTCTAATGCCTAATCAATTTATATAAATCAACAATGATATTAAACAAAAATCAATAAAAATAATTTACCTTATCTTCCCAAGCATGCTTTTCTAAAGCTTCATCAATAACAGCCATTTTTAACGTTTCCAAAATTTCGTCAGATGCTTTGAGTTTTTGGTTTTCTTTAAACATTGTTCTGAACATATTTTTTAATACACTCCAGCCAATATTAATTGATTTTCTAGGCAACTGCTCCTCAGCCCACTGCTTCAATTTAATATCAACCATTGTATTGAAACTTGCTAAACAATAATATTAAAATCAACTACCTATACAAATCTGATTTAAGTTCAAAACTAAATAATTATGATTTGTGTATTGTTTTACTACAATCCCATTTTTATTACCAGTACTATTAGTTTGATTCACTGAATAACCTGCAGGCAAATAAATGTTTTCAAATATATAGTGGGAAATTCCTTTCCACAATTCAGTACTTAGTTTATCTTCCCAATCTTTGACAGACACTAAACTAAGATTAACTACTTCATTTAAAATTTCTCCACGAGCTTTTTCAAACAGTTCATCTCTATCCAGTTCCAAATACCTTGAAATCAATTAATAATTTTAGTTTCTCTGCATAATTTAAAAAGGCTAAGTCTTGTATAAAAATAAAAAACCTGGGGAAATTATTCTTCCACTCAGTTTCCAAATTATATCTGGTTGCTTTAAAAGAATCTGCTTGTTGTTCTACAGTTTCACGTACCATCTTCCAAAAGCAGTCTGCAACAGCCATACTCAAGTTACGTGTTGTCAATTGTGACGAAATGCCAATGGACTCTCTACAGAATATTGATAAACATTGTGATGAACAAAAAATAATCAATAAGAATATTATGCTATACCTAAAAAGTTTTGAATTCCTGAAGAATTTGTCTTCATATTCTTTGATACTTTCTATGCTATCATCTTGGTTGCCTTTGCCTGTTACAACAGCAAAATATCCCAATGCTTTCATAGGAAATAGACTACCACTGAGGATTTTGTTTATCTAAAAAAAGATAAAATACAAAACTATTCCACTTTTTAGGAAATTAAATTAAATTTTAATGAGTATCTTTTACATACTCTATCAGAATTGGCCATATTTTTTTCAGCTAAATCAACTTTTGTTAACACCAATATGGTACGACGACCTAGTTGATCAATTTGAGACACCAAATCTGTGACATTACTTCTCTCTGCATCAACAGATCCGTCTTGAATACAAAGGATGATTGCATTTGGATTAGACATATATAACGTAGACATTTGACGAATACATTCCTTTGTGTCAGGTGCCATGCCTTGGGTTGCAATCTAATAAATAAAATTCACAATATATGAATTACCTACCGATTAGTTGTAATATTACCAAATAATAGTTTCAATTTACACTTATGATACCAGGTAGATCAACAAGCACCATTCGTGGAAGTCCAGGACCACGGACTGTCATAGATATCACTTCATTACTTACAGTGTTTCCACGGCTTACACTGTTTTTCATTCGAATTTCTATCTATTCATTCAGTTTAAGATAAATTAAGACAATATTAAAGTAATTATATCAAATAAATAATTAAAAGTTGTTATTACTTCTTTTCTGAGTTCAGCCAATTCCGATTCTTTTGTCAAGTCAAATTCTCTAGCACTGTCTTTAAATTGTGCTATATGATATGGGCCTTCACTCAGGGTAACTTTAACAGGTGCTCTAGTCATCATTTCTCCAGCTCCTCTGAAAATATATTTAAGTGTACTAACACGTCGAACTATAGGCATTTTATACTACCTTGGAAATATTCTTGCTTGGGCTATCATTTCTAATACTGATGTCTTTCCAGAACTTTGATCCCCAATTACAACTACTCTAGGTAAATGATCTTGAGTTTGGTAGCTTGAATCGTAATCATTTAATTCATCCAGCAGTTCAGAGTACATATCTATCAGTGATTTCTATTCAAATAAATACATTACTGGTACCATGTATAAAATATTAACCAATGTAGTTTTTAATTACTTTGACTTTCCTCATATTCATTTTTTGATTATTTTTTAACATAAGTGTTTTTCGTAATTCTTTAATCTCTTTTTCTAGTTTTTCCAATTCTTTTTGATACTTTAATTGTATTTCCATGTTTTCTTTTTGCAGTATTTCTATTATAATATAATCACTTTAAAAGTTACTTAACAAACTGCTAATTCAAAATATATATATATATAAGTTTATTAAAAATATCCTGACCTAATTTCTGTTTTAAATCGTTAGATGTTGGTACAGCAGCTGTTACATTATTGGGAGTGATACATTCGACTAATTCAGCTATGAAAAAAAAAAAATATATATTTATACATTACTAATTACAAAGGGAAAAGTAATTATTGTGAGTTTGTTATTTATATTAAATACTATTATTTTTTTTTTTTTTTAATTCATTCATTTAGATTTTATTTTGAAAACTCTTAATGTTATACTTAAAAATTTAAAAACATAAAAGTTGCAAATAGAATATATTTCCATAAAAATAATAATTATTATTTAATATTTAAACACAGGAATTATATATAATATATTTGGTGAAATATATTATGATTATTCCTGATATTAATTTCCCGACNATTTGACCAACCATACAAACAATTTTTTATAATATAATACAATTATAAATAATTAAAATAATTAGCAAAACATAAAAAATATGTCTATTTTTAATACTGACTAATTATTAAACATATTTGAAAATTAAGATATAAAATTGTTTTTCTCTCACAAATAAAAAAAAACTCACATGAGGCTTCAGAATCACTTATTTCAGCATCTTTATACGCCTCATCAATATGATACTCTAGCCATCCCTTAAATTTTTCCAATTTTTCAATAGTTTGTGAAGAGTCTATAACATACAAGACGAACTGTTTTTACAGTCTAAGTACTAGATACTAACTCTTAAACACATTTAAGTTCTTCCACTGTAAAAACAACACATTTTAGGATCTTACCAAAATTAATATCCTTCAAATTATCAAAAACTGTTTTCAATTGGTTTTGAATGTTATTAATTTGGTCATTGTTCGGTAAAATATCTTCTAACCAACTTAAATCTGGTAATGAATCTTTCCATTCTTGAAATTTCTATAACATTACATTTTATTTATATGTAAGAAGTAAGAAAAAAAAAGTGGTTATTGTAAATTAAATAATTACATTTTGATGAACATATTACATACTTTTGAGAAAGTTATAGCACCACCAACTGCACTACCACCAACTAAATATCGTAGTTTTAAAACGGAACTTAATACACGCACAACTGAAAAATTCCTAGACATTTGCAAATTGTGTATTCTAAATAAAGGGTTATTGTTCATTCTTCGTTGTGTTATATGACTCATATTTCTTTGTTGGTGATAACTGTGAGAATTACATTTTGTTATTAGCTTGCGATTCTTTAATAAGCACACCAAAAGAGGTCTTTTATAAGCCAATAATATTTTCATTTTAAATTAACCTGAAAACATAAAATTTTTGATTGATTGTATAATAATTTTACTTTTCTAATGATCACATAACAATACTGAAATTATAAAATTCATTTTTCTAAATATACCCAATTTTTTTTAATTTGTAGATATTTTTTTTAATTTGTAGATATTTTTTTTATGAGTGGACAATAATAAAAACAATACATCCATTTTGGATACAAAAATTATTCTGATGTTTGGGACTAATTGTGACTTCACAAAAGTTGCAATAGATTCCTAAATGTTATGAAAAACCATGTCTAGTAAGTCACAAGGAAATGTAAAACTACAAAACACAGTAATCCCATTAATATTTGTTCACAGTAATAAAGTAATATGCATTAAAACTTGAATGACCTATACATTTAGAATAAAATATTATGAAAAAAGTAAAAATAATTTTTGACTATTCTAAACTAATGAATTTTTGGAAACATTCAAAAGTTTGATCTATCCTTCATTAGAATACATAGTTGAATGCAAAATTATCTAGTTTCCAGTTGGTTTTAATATTATTCATTACTTATCACATATTAATTTCAAATTTGCAAGTACATACACATTGAATATTGTTAATGATTTATAAATCGATAACTATTTTATTATGAATCAAAAACTACCGGTAATCAGATATTTCATATATATTTTAAAAAAACTGTAAAAAATATTAATAAATAAAAAATAAAAAAAGAGCTGATACAGTTGTAGGTGAAAAGTTGGGTAGGTAGGATACATAAGGTTATTTTATTTATATCTGTAAGCAATAATAAACCATTGCTTGACGAAAGACGATTCTGAGTGCAGTTTGGCAATACATAATTTTTTTTGCGATTTTCATTTAAATTTGATTTCATAACATTTATTAATTAAATAAAGTCGTCCGATAAGTGATTTATATAAAAAATGACGTCGAAAATCAAAAAAAACCTCTCCAAAGTACCATCATTGTTACACGTAAAAATCGGAGCAAGTTTACTAGTAAAAAACGTGTCTAAAGACTCTAGAACAAAGAACAAAGAAAAAAAATAAGTATCTTAGTAAAACCAATAGGTCTCCCGCTATGCCCGGAATCTAAAACGGCTTGTAGCTCTCAACTAGATGTATATCAATTTTCCTGACTGCTGTTTATAACATGTAGCAATATCTAATTTAATTTGTACAGTATTAATATTAAACTACTGTGTTTATTTATATTTTTATAAAAAAAAGATACAAAATAATTTATTAAATATATAAAAATATGAATAATTACCTACTTGTTTTCAAGCAAACATAAAAAAATAATATTTTCTAACAAAATTTTAGAAATTGGAAGAATTATCACGGATTAATTGAAATCAGAATGTACGACAATTGTACGTTCGGCTAGCAATATTTGATAAGAAGGCCCAGTGCTTCCCAAATTTGTATACAATGTTGCCTATTCAACTCCTGTAATTGTATTGCTACTAGTTCAATAAGTTGCCTACCCAACACCAAAAGATGTATTTAAAATTCTATTGCTGTCGTTCAATTATGTACCTGATCAGAAAAAATTTATTTATAATTAAGAATTGATTGCATGCATTGGAGGCAGTAAGACGCACGCACTTTAGCGAACCTAGCGGATTGTTATTGAAATTGCAACATTAAGCGAATCACTGATCGAGCAGTAGCCAATCCTTAACAGTATATATGTTAACGATCCAAGGTTTTACGGTTAATGATGTAAATTGGTAATATTAATTTGAAAAAGTATTATATAGTAAGTAATTTATCAGTAAAGTAATATATATATAAATTACTTTACCACTTTACGAGTATTTAATTTTTTAAATTGTATTAATTATGTTTCATATATTCTGAATTTTGATATTTATATAATCATATACCATGTTACATATTTAACATTTATTATTTATTAGTGTTTGGACTCTTTGGGGTTGGTCGTACTGATTAGAACTGATAAAGAAAACTATAATCATTTAAATTATAATTTATTAAGTTATTATTGGTTATAGGTTATAAACTTTAAAACTCTTCAAATCGTCTGAGTAGAACTCTACTGTTAAATGGGTCGTGATTATTCGAAAATATGGGAAGAATTTGTAAAATGCACTGTCAACGGATATTATTAATATTAATATTTTATTCAATTGGGTATTAAAAAGTAAATTTCCCATTATTACCATAAAAAAGGGTACTTGTTATCGCCCCGCTATATAGGTGTATTAGTATGCCGTTATTGTTCCTACAATTATCGTGTTTAACTCGTGATAAATGATCTACTTTAGGAAATAACTACATATCATAAATAGGATAAGTAATAATAATATTTTATCATTAGTACGTTGCTAGCTTTCATTATCAAATTACCTACATTGTTCAAACCAATAAAATTAAATCAAAAATAACATATTAACCCTATCTTAATTTACACCAGAAAATGTATTAGGTTTTATTGTTATGTTTGGGGATATTAACTTTCTAGATTCTAATAATTCTAATAATTTGAATATAGATTTTGTTATTCGAGATGATGGGTTTTTCATTGTTTTATTGACAAAAACGGGATATTCGCCTTCAAAATGTCCTAAAACATCCCAACTTAACTAATTTTCCTTTTTTTGTTAAAACTGTTTATAAACTTGCAATTTTTGCGTTAATTTAGTACATATTTCCTATAGTAACTTGTGAGTCCGATGAATGATCTTACATCCTTTACTTTTATTGGTATAGGGAATTCTTTAATTGCCTTTACGTTTTTGTCTAATGGGACTATTCCACTGCTGGAAACTTTATGTCCTAATACTTTGGAACTAAAAAACGTACATTTGTTTTTAATTTTTAGTGTTGCCTCATCTAGTCTAGTAAAAATCTCTCCTAGACTTTTTAATGATGATTTGAAATCTTTCCCGAAGCAACAAATGTCGTCTAGATATGCGACCATAATTCTATGTAGGTAATCACTAAATAATATTATGTTATTCATATTATCATGAATGTTAAGTTCATGTTTCCAGCGATAATCATGATCGAATAAACTATCACTGTATAAACATTGTATCTTAGTACGTTTATGTTTTCGTAGATTTGTTATTTTGTAAATAATTATGTTGAATGATTTCGAATATGTAACCACAAACAAATATTTGAGTAGCGACCGTTATTAATATTAAGTTTTAAATGAATTATAATATTATTTGATTTTGCAATTTTATAAAAGAGGTAACAACATAAATAAATGAAAGAAATTAAGGAATCAGAAATATGTCATAAGCGTATATGTCTTCAATAAGTAAAAACAAAATTATCAAAATGGTTAATACTCGTAAATAAATACGGTAAAAAAATATATAAATAATAAATAAATGAATACTCCAGGAAACGCATTTAAAAATTTATTATTTTTATGTATGCATTTTTTTACTATTTTTATTTGTTGTCATGTTTTATCACTTAAAACATATTCGGTGCAATAACCAACTACGTTTTATACGTATTCTGTTGCGCCTAAAAAAACAAAACAAAATGTATGCATTAGGGTAATATTATTGTGTTTATTTTATTAAATAATTAATAAGATTTTTTTGAAACTAACTAAAATATTATTAGGATGTAGGTACCTAGGTACTTTTTAAAATAAATTTCCCAACACTGAGCTAAATGCTCTTATTTTAACTTACTTCAGCAACTATAAGAACTCTTCAATCACGGTTCACACTTGGGGTTGCCACTTCTCCGGGTTTCACTCAGATACTCCGATTTTACATATAAATCTACGGACTACGGGTTCAGTGAATTATTTTCCGGGTCGTAAAATTAGTACTATTCATATAATTGTGTATAGTTTATCGATAAGTAACGAGAACAATATTTTCATTTGCCAAAATATGACATAAAATACGATTTATTGACTATTGTTATACATTAAATTTATAGATAGGCGTTTGCTGTATAGGCACAGGTACGGTATCTTTTGTCGCTTATCAGTCTGTCTCCAAGTCAACCATTTTTCAAAGGTGGCAACCCTATTCACACTGCACTTATGGTTAGATATCCAATCACCAATAAAGAAGTTATATTCAAAGCAAATAAACTATTGCATCTTTCAAATTCGTCTTTAAGCACTGTTAATCAAAACGAGTTAATTGAAAATACCAAGGTACCTAAGTTACTGGAAGAACTTTGTTTAAATTTTTTCCGCAGTAACCTATACAATTATATTTCAGCAATTAGTATGCATCTTGCAAAATTATTAATATGAATGGTTACGACCATTGAAATATAAGACAAGTTATCTTATAGTTCAGTGTACATGACAAGGTAGATTAATCTACCTCGGTATATGATCTAAGGTATCTAAACGAGGTGACGTAAATTAATTCGGAGTTATTACCATATGTTGAAGTTTATCAAGTTAATCAAATTTTAAATTTAATTTCAGTTATATTATTAATTTTCAAAAACTTCTTTAACTGTACAGCAAAAAATTAAAATATTTTTAGGATCAGCGTTAAAAATACTGGTATTTTCAAAAAATTTTTTTTTGAAATTTGTGAGGTAAAATTGTTAAATACACTTTTGCCCAAAACTATTAAAAATACTAAAAATAACTGTTAACTTGAAAATTTAAAAATTTTTTTATATTTGTCATTTGATAAAAACTGATACGGGTCTTTCGTTTACCATTTTCTGATTGGTTTTTAATAATTTTATTGGGTCCATAATTAATATGTTACACATTTTGAGACAGAAAAAATGATAAAAATTTATTCGATAGTTATATTTATAACTATAAATGTTTAATTTTAGTTTAAAAAACGTTCTAACTGCATTCCTGAAAATTGGTTTTCTTTCATTCTTTGGTAATTTTGTACAACGCTGTAAACTGAATTATCTACCCATCTAATCATATCTTCTTAACTTTACACCGGTAATGCTGTAAAAGTTCCCTGGTATTATTTCCACGGTACAAAGTATGTTAGTTTTTTTTTGTTTTTAATATGCTTTTTTGAAATTAAAACTGTAAATGTTACTCTATTTTGACCTTATTTTAGAACTTGATTTGAAATGTTTCAGGCATCTGGATTATTAGATTTCAATTTATGTCAAAAACTGTTTAACATATTGTAACAGAAATATTAAAATATGGATCTATTATAATTTAAAAAATATGTTTTTTCATAATAATAATAATTTTTTAAAAACATATTATTTTAAACATAATGATGACCATATTTTCTGAATATTTCAGTAAATTGTATAAATAAGGAAACTAACAATATAATTAAAAAGTAGATAAATTAAAAAAATATAGATAAATTATATTAGCTGACAGGTATAATATTGGTACAACAATTTACACATCTAAATTATACAAATATTATTATGTACTTTAATGTATTTTATTTTACATCATTTTAATAGGGCAAAAAAATCAATCTAATAGATTGAAAAGTTAATATCATATAAATAAAGCACAATCAAATATTTAGGTATTAGGTTATTATATATTAACACATAGTAATACCTATTATAATTCACAATCAACACAAAAATTGTATCATAATTATTTTCAAAATCAAAAGGAAAAATAATTAACTTATTATAATGCAGAGATGCCTTGTATTTATCACATATATATTCTTTAGATGTGAAAATCATTATGTAAATCTGTGAAGTTTGTTTGTTTTTTTAATATTTTAAATATTTATTTTTCAATGGAATATTGTAAGTATTTAATATTTATTACAGATACATAGCTTATAAATTACTTATGAAGATATATAAGCAATTTGCAATCAATTTGTTTTAATGAATTATTTTCTTAACTTGTAATTAACTTGTATGATATCAAGTGTACAATATTTTTAATATACTGGGAAAACACGGAAGTGATTAAAAGAATAATAAAAAATAGATACATATTTACTATATATCTTGCACAATTATCAATGCTATTGTTAATATTTGTGAGAAGTAAAAACAGTTTTTTAAGTTTTTAACAGCACAAGGCGCCAAAATAGAATTAAATAAATCAGTAATATTTTTAATAGATGAAATGATAAAAAAAAAATGCCAATTTAACTCATTACTTTTTTTTAAGTTAACTGTTTACAGATAAGTGTACTTTTTTAATCTCAAATCTTTATTATCACAGTAATGAGTAGGTACCCTGAAATATATTTTTAATTTTAATATAAGGATAAAAGGAAAATTGAACGTGCAATTCTAACTTACTAACGGGATCTATTATTGTTATACCCCGTAGAAGTATACACAATCAGATATTGTAACATATACTGTTTTCTTTAATTATATTCAAATTGTTTAAAACAATGAGCAAGTTTTAAAATTGTAAATCAGTTATCAATCTATTCCAGATAAACTTATGTTTAGACATAAATACAAACATTTTCTATTCATCAAACATACTGATGAGATGAGAAAACCTTAAAACCAAACCTTAAACAATTATAAAAAAAAAAATCTAATAATAAAAGATACATACAGAAACAGAGCGAGGACATTCTACTTATAAAATATAAATTTATTTATTACTAGTAAATATATAGTAAATAAAGCTACAGTTGTTCAGTATTTTTTTTTTTTTAATTCTGACTTATAATTATTAGTACATAATTTATATAATGTATAATTTACTGTAGTTAAAATTTTTTTTTTAAGCATGTTTCAGGTTTGTGTAAAAGTGTTTCAATTTGTATGTATACTTATTTTTATATCACAGATATATGTGACTAGTTCACAATCTTTCTGTGTAATCCCACCAGTCCTTCTCATAACCTTCGTGAACATGCTCTAATAACACTTTCCGCCGACTTTCACAGTAACTGAAAAACCATAAAATATATAATAAAATAATAAAGTAAATATAAAATTATTAAAATGGTTAATACTAGTAAATAAATATATAAATAAAAAATTTATATATAAAAATAAAAAATAAATTAACTAATAAATGTGTAACCTGGAGTATTATAAGACAGGTTATAAGTCACATTTTATAGTTTGACTGTGATAAACCTGATGATGAATTTTTAATTTGAAACTGGTCGTATCATACACTAATCATAATACTTCAGGCAACACATTTATTCATTTATTATTTTTTTTATTTTTACATATACATTTTTTATTTAAATATTTATTTACTATATTCATAAAATATAGTTTAAATAAAATAATAAAAATAAAAATAATATACTATTTATAAAAACTAAATAATACCGATATTTATCTTGAACTTTCTGCTTGATGTCAGCTAAATTTTCTGAAGTAATATCTCTTTCTAAATACTCTGATAGAGTTTCTGTAGCACTTTCTAAATCTCGTTGGTTATCCTAAATGATTAAAAAGTCAGTAATTAATATATAAGTAGATTGCATTTAACACAATTAATATTTGATTATTAACCTCAAATAGAACAGACTGATTATTTTTCTTCAAATAGTATGCAAATACGTAAGTGTACATAAGTGTTTGTCTACATTGACATAATATATCAACTGCTTTTTTTAAAAATTGTACCTGAAACACAATTAAAAATTATAATTTTTAAACCATAAAATAATAATTTGCCAATATAATATTATAATTGTAACAGTATTAACTATTGAAAAACTAGTTTTAATTTTGTACACCTTAAGATATATTTTATAGTCATAATTTTTATTGCTATCTATCTTCTTTCTTTCTTTATTTATTTATATATAAAATCTAATACCAATATAATTGTATACAATATTGTATCACTTAATGACCAAATTAACAAGTTTCTTTAATTAAGTTGGTTGTTACTAAAATTAAATTAAATTATTCTAAATATTTTAATTTACATAATGACACCTTGATACCAATCATGGACAATAATGTAGAGCTATCAATCAAATTATTGAGTATTTTATACACACAATTTAGGTCAGTTTTCTCTCTTTTAATTTCTAATGTATCTAAATGTTAATATAAGTATTTATAGGTGTAGGGAATGTGACACATCCATTGCCCAGCACAAGCTGCTGCAATAGCCAACCCCTGGCCTTAGTTGGCTGGGAGGTCTAGTCCTCTAGGTTGGGGGTTTAGCGTAAGGCTAATAATTCTGCCTAGTAAAAACCTTGAGTTATGATATCACAAATATCGAAGTCTCAGACAAAAGATCAGAGATTAAAGATTGGAAAATAGAAACAGAACACTGAATTAAAGGTAGCAACCTAGAATGTAACAAGCCTTTTTAGAATTGGCACACGCCAAAATTTAACTTAGATACTGCAGTAATACAGGAGATATGCTGGCATAGAATACACATCATTTTGGAAGTTGTTTCGCAGTGCATAGGAAGTTAGTGCCACACATCATAGAATTTAGGCCGATATCAAATAGATTGTCACTACTTATGCTAGAAATGAAGCCAAAAAACACATGTATAGTAAACGCACATACTCCAATGGAAGTTAGCGATCAAAATGTGGTAGAGAATCACAATTTATCCCCACAATTGGGAGAGAAAGCCTATACGAACACTACAACGATAACTGAAACTAGTATTGTTTGCAGTATCTACTGATATGACGATAAGCAGTAATCATTTCCCCATATAGCAACATGGAAATCACCAGATGATAGAACAGAAAACCAAATTGACCATGTATTAATCTAACACAGATATAGGAGTAGTATAGTAGATATCAGAAGTTATAGGAGTGCTGACTGCGACAAAAACCACTTACTGGTTTTTGCAAAATTTAAAATAAAGTTTAAAAGCCCGGAAAAATGAAAGCCGAAAAGAAACCTAGGATAAATATTGAAATGCTAAAAGATCTAAAAGTGAAAAAACAATATCAAATAGCTATCGACAAAGTCATCAAAGAAATATATGAAAACAATGTAGATCTAGACTGGGAAACAATCTGGAAAACGACCATAAAAATAGCAGAAAAGAATATTGGTGTAATGAAGAGGTCAAAAAATTCTTAGTATAACAGTCAATGACAAAAAGCTATTATACAATGTTGAAAAGCAAGAGAGAATCATCTTAGATAGGGAACAAATGATAGCTAGAAACTTTTCATATCAGAACGTAATGTATGCAAGAAAGTATTATAAGAAAAAAGAAAATGTTTCAACAATATACTCCGAACTGCAGAAGACTGAAGTCAGGATAGAATAAGACATTCTTTTTATTCAATAAAACAGTATAAACAATTAGCCCTATATGTAAAGCTATAAAGAGCTACAATAGAAAATAATAATGGATGCAAGCAACAGAGCATCAAGGTGGAAAAAATACTTTGAAAATCTACTGAATACTGCAATCCCAGATAGTTTGATACCTTTTACCACCTTTCAGGGCGCAGAACCATTCATCAAGAACATTAACCAAGAGGAAGAAGTAAATGTGGCAGCAGTGGGTTTAAAAAATTGGAACGTTCCAGGATCTGACAATAAACCGGAGGTGCTATTGAAATAAGGAGGAAATAAACTTTAGAAATAGTTATTTAGATTGTGTGATAATTGAAAATAATAAAAACCATTATGGCATAAATTTTTTTTGTTCCCAAATTTTTCAAATTATTAAAAAAAAAAAAAAACTATAAGGACAGTCAAAAATGACCATACAATGCAACAAAGAGACAATATTTTCTTGTAAAAACAATGCTACACTTAATGATTAAAGAAATATTTCAAGAAGAAAAGGATTGGACAAAAAAAAAAATCAGCGAAGAATATATTGAATTTACTGATTCACATTCCTCCCTATGCTCAGAATCCAAAGATTATATGACAGCAAAAAATAATTTAAGCATTTTATATTGTTTAATGAAATGAATTCATTATGAATAATAATAGGGACGCAAGAAGATAGTGCTAATGATTTTTTTTTTATTGAATAATAGTTAGTTAATTAGTTAATAAAAAAAAAACACAAAAAATTCCATAGTAAAAAAATTATTTTAACTTCAATCGATAATATTACAGTTTGATTATGATAAATGTATATAACCGTTTTATTTATAACTGGGGTTTATAGTGTTTATACTAAGAATAAATGCAGAATAGTATGCAAACTAAATTTTATTTTTTCTTTAATATTATATTTTCAAATAAAATCCTAATTTTTACTGTATATTTTACTATATACCTATTTTGTTGATTTTACACATATGTATACATGTCAGAATAATAAAGCATTTTAAGTTCCGGGATATGCTTATAATTATTTTCAGTATTTCTCAAATTATAAAAATTTTTTTTTTTGAATATACTAAGAAATTTAAAAAAAAAAAACTTCTGAAAAGTCCTTCTACCCTCTTCTCATAAGATGCATTTTTATAAAAAAATATAAACTTAATTTACTTTACTAAAAAATTAAATTTTTTTTGAACATTAAAGTTTATTTATGGTCTGTTATTGTATTTGTTTTGCACTAGTCTATAAATACAAATATTTTATTATTCCATTTAAAAAAAAAAAATAAAATATACATATATTATATAACAATTATATTGGGATTATATTATATAAAGTAATAGTTTAACTTAGTGATATAATGAACATTTCTTTGTCTATTCCACGTGTCCTCATATTATTTTTCTTTTACCTACCTATTCCCCAGCTTTAATCTACATTCTACACTCAAGTCACCTATCTTCTTGACTACATATCTCATTTTTTATCTTTCTTTTAACAAGATCATACCATCTTAATATATTCCCTGCAATGTTTCTGGCTATACTCAGGACCGGTGCTAGGATTATTGACACCCTAGGCGAAACCATGTTTTGGTGCCCTTCACCCCATCACAGAGTGACTACTCTATGTGTACAATTATGTCTAATGCTACAATGAGTAACATTCTATCGTCCACCGCCCAGTAAAGAATTTATTTATAAATGGGTAAACCAATCACAAATTGTATACGCACAAAAGAGTTGGTATGCCTATATACATTGATTTTAAACTAAAACCATCATCTATCTTCAATTAAAACTACATAGGATAATATATATTTCAAATTGTTTAAATTATTTATAATTTTATTCGTTTATGCACATCAAAAGATAAATAAAATTGAAATAATTTTCAGTTTGGTGCCCTTTACGTACTGGCACTTGGGCAGTCGCTCATATCTTTTAACAACCCTGACTATACTAACACTCTTATATACAAGGTGATCCATTTATCACAAACCAGTGATTTTTTTGGAAGAGTCTAAGTTAATTTAAATTTGGTTTTTTTCAATCATTATAGAATCCTATAACCTTAAATGAGTATACATTTTAATTTTCAAATAGCAACCCCATATTTTAAATACAGATTTAAATAGAGTAAATTTGTCTGAACATTTTGACACGCAATAACACTAGTATCTGATTAACTGTTAATGAATTCTGACAGATTAAAGTTATCTTAAGGTTATCAATTTATCAACTAAAATAGATTTAAAGTTAATTATTCTTTTTTAATCATCTAGTCTAAATTTAAAACTGTTGTTGAAAATCTGTGTTGAAAATCTGTGTTTAAAATCGTGAGTTGAAAATAATGTAAAAATAAAACTTTAATAATTTCATGATTGAAACAAAATCAGAAATTTAATTCACTGATTACCGGTTTATGACATTTGTATCATAATGTATTCATCCATAATCTTATTCTAATTTGTTCATACTAACATGCTTACTATTATTTATTAGTGCTATTTGAGAAAAAAATTGAGGAAAAGGTTTGACAAAAAAAAATTTGATCTTTTATAAAAAAATATTGAAAACATATTTAACTTACTTCAATCCAGGACATGTTATGTTGTTGCATTTCTTCCATTTTTTCTTTAACACTAGCATAAAGCTTATGTTCAAATTTAAGTGATTGCATATGATTCATATATCGATTACAGTAGAAGAGATACCTCTGTAAAGCTGCTCTTGATCTTTCTTGAGCATCTCTAGCAGCTTTTGCTTCTTCCTCATCATATCGATTACAATTATACCTGCATAATTTTACAATTAAAATAAGAATACAAACGGACAATATAAATTATATTTATTTTACCAAGAAGATCCATGTGGTTCCCATGGGCCAAGACAGACCCAACAAAAATCAGTTTTGCAATTTTGGTTTTTACAAACCATATGGTTGCATCCACCATCTTTTTCTATAGTTACATTACATTTAGGACATTCCTAAAAATAATATTAATAAATACAATTAATATTTTCAAAGAAACTAAATTTTAATAACATTATTTTTTAAATTATTATATCAGATAATTTATTCAATATGATACACTCATTATTTCAAAGTGTGGGTTAGTTAAAAAAAAAAATTGTTTGAAAAATTACATAACAAGTATCTCTAAAATCTTACATTGTCATTAATTTTTGTTACCCTTATTTTTGTTGGTGGAATGTATACTTAATTTTGATTTCAAATGAGCACTTATACATAAAATTCTAAAAATAGATGGAAAAATAGTTTTAATACATTCAGGTGTTGACATTTTTGGTTTTCGTCAACTCACTGACAAGATACTGCACTTTTAAGTTTAGGTAGCTGAAGAGCAATGGAACATTATTCAAACTTTATGTGCAGTGCTGCTATACAAATGATACTTAGCTACTTTCCCCCTACTTAAACTTAAAAGTGAAATATCTCGTCAATGAGTTTAAAGAATTTAAAAAATGACTAGATTAAAATTTATTTGAATTAATACTCTATTGGTGGAACTTGTAATATAAGTTATAGTTTGAAAATCAAAAGTAGGTATTCGTTTCATCCTTAAAAATAAAAATGACATTTCAGAGCTACTTGTTTCTTAAATAATTGTCAATATAAATTTTTTGAAAAAAATTAATTATCTTGTATGTATTAAAAACTGTAAAAATGAGTACAATTAAAAGTCTTTATACAATTACTTTAGTATTAGCTGCAATCCAATTTGAAGTTTCTGAATCATCATCGCACTTTTTGATCCACTTCCTTAATAAATTACATTTAACCGGATCGTGCCAATTTTCTCCACATACAAAACAAAATACATGCAAACATCGACAGATCACTGGTTTGGAATCAATATATTGGGCTTTAATAACATTGTTGCAGTCAGGCGACGGACACCATCGTAATAGTCGGTTACACTGTTTCAGAATAATAAATACAAATTTATTTATTGGCAGTTTAAAAGAAAATGATTTATAACTAAGATTGTATAACCTACTTCAACGAAACTATTTGTAATTAGATGTTGGTATTTCATTCTAACTTTTGGGTCTCTGACTAATCGCATGACTGTGGCATCATCTACCAATATGTCACAACCACTAGCTGCACATGCAATTGTTTGACCAACACCTTCTTCTATAATTTTTGTTGTTAAATATTCTGTCCAACATTGTGTACAGAAACGATGATTACATTCTAATCCAGTCATCATCTATAAATACACAGAAATTAATATTAAATATTACAATTAAATACATTTTTTTTTAATAAAACACTTAATTTTCAGAAATAATAAGGGTATTAAAAAAAAAAAAACAAATGTTAAAATAAAATTTGACATACAGTTGTTTATAGGGAACATACATTCTTCTGTTATACATTCTATTTGTCAATAGTATTAAATTTGATTGTATATATTTTTAACTAATTTAATGTCTTTGCATTTTTATAATCAAATCGGAATAAAATAATAACCAGCTATACAAAAATATGCTCCAATATACCTTTACAGAATGGAAACCGTTTTTATCAGCTTCAAATACTGTGGCAGGATCTAAAGTGTATGGTAAAATTGAATAAATAATAGATCATTATATTATTCTGATTTGATTATATTTAAGTGTGTTATATTTATATTCAGTGGTTGGAAGTAGCACATTATTTATACTGACATGACTATTCCGTGCTACCTTTTTATTGTAGACATACTGGTGGCTTACAGTTTTATTTTGGTAAGTTGCGTACAGCGCCATAACACTAAATTTTTATAGGAAAACATTGCAAAATTTACTTCATTTTACTAAAATAAAATTGTGGATTTAATGAAATATTACGTGATTTGTAGTAATATTATTCTTATTGTAGTCTATAGTAAAATAAAATATGTAACAATAGTTTATTTTTTTACAATAAAAAATGTTAAATGTAAGTAAATTATTGTTATATTGTAAGAACTTATATTTAGGGTAGTACATTTTATAAAATTGACAAAAATAAAAAAGTTCCCCTCTATCAGTCGAAAAAAGTAGAGATAATTGTAGGGAATTCTTTTTTTTAGAAATATAGCGATAGTGGTAGCACATTATAATGAAAATAGTGATTTCCAACCACTGGTTCTATTACTCTATTTAAAAATAATGAAATTTGACTTACATTAGTTGGAAGTCTCGCAAAACAAATAGCACAATCTTCCATTCCAGAAGTTCCTCTACGTGTAGACGAAGGCTAAAATAAAATAAAATATTTGTTTAATGATTTTATTGTAGAAATTTAAATTTCACACAAAAATAATCAAAAAGATGTCTATTTTGTACAAAAGTTTATTAATTTTATTAACCTATTAAAATAAGTGCTAATTCGGTATGCGCTCTATACTGGGTATACACATTTATGATTATGATATAATTTCATTATTATTATTTATATATGATTTATTTGATATTTTATTTGCCTTTATTATCTTATCTTAAATTATATTACTGTAGGTTTCATTTTTATAGTTGCATTTTCGAACCTTTTTTCAGTATCCTTACACTCACAGTACTTTGAGATTTTGACGTTACTGTGATATTTTACATTTTATTATGTTGTTTATTATTATTGTATATATTATTTATTAATAATTATGCTGTGATGCAAAAACAGGAGCTCACACTTAAAGCATTGAGAAATCATGGCTGGATGCGAAAATTAAATTATTGAAGAAAATGTTCCTCTTAATAATTTGTAGTCCCATCTTGATCATTATTGTTGGCATCTTAACTAAAAACTTGTCTGTATTGTGTATATTGAATTAGCACATTAAAATATTGATATAGTAGTTATACAATAATATCATTTTAATTAAATTGACAAATAAAATCACTGCCTGTTTCCATTTTTTTTTTTTTTTTAATAGAAATTAATTAACAACCTGTAATTAGAATATAACAATAAGCAAATGTGATAAAAACAGTCGAGGAAGAAAAGCAAGATTGAGGACGTCTATCGGCGGCACTTCTAAAGCTATGTATACTTGATAATAATAGTAATGATTACACTCTATATTATATGTTTAAGTAATGTACTTATAAGAAGTACAATTTAATTGATGACTACAGAAACGTTAGAAGTCAGTTGTTTATAACTTTTAGATAACAAACAAAAACTGTAAGACATAAATAATTTTGAAAAAAAATTAAATTCATATCGTTTGACTATAATTTTATAGATACAAAATAGTATAACTTAAGTTGTATTTACATACAACACATAGAAGCACATGACTAATATGGGTTTTTACTAATATTGTTACTAATTCCTTTCTGGAATCATTAATTTTACTATAAATTGGAAATTGGCTAATTTGAATAACAAATAATTAAAAACTAGGTACCCAATCAAAATTTGATATTGATTAAATATTAATATCTGCATTTTATAAAAGTAAAAAAAAAAAATTAACAAATGATACATTACCCTCTGTATAATTGGTTGAGTTCTTTTGAATGGGTTTATAACTCTAGCTTCAGAAAATAATTTTTCTTGGTCACCATCATAAAATCGTTCCATTAATTTTTCTTTGTCCCATTTAAAATGATTTAATAAAATACGTGTAGTTGTAGCAGGCATCTGAAATAACAAAATGTTTTATAATGTAATTGTGATTTTTAGTTTATTGACTTATAGTAATTATACACTTTTTAAACATATATATCAAATGTATTTAATATTATAGTATCTTATACGTTACATAATAACATAGGCAGATAATTCTGTAATTTAACAAGGTCATGTGTAATACATATTAACGGTAATAGAAATTAACAGTCTTTGTGCTTACTTGAAGCACAGTATTGACTTCCTTGATGCAGTCAATCATGTGTTGAACAATATTGTCAGTAGACAAAACTTCAAAAGGAAAATCATCAATATCTTGATTCTTTTCACGCTCGTGTCGTACATCAACCTCCATTGCAAAGTCCACATCGTCTCCACTAGATTCATTACCAGAGTCTATATCGTTCAATGCATCCTCATCTGAATCCATCGCATCAGCTACCTTCAATAGATTAACAGCGAACAATTTTTGATAAAATTATATTTTCTACTACCTACTAAAATTTATATTTTTCTCTAAATCGCACACGGTAGTCTTGATGTATGGGAGCCTTAATTGTTATTGTTTTTTTGGTGGGATGTTCCAGTGACCATATTTTGAAAAATTAAATATATGTATCAGAAATTTATTTTCGTTTTAATTTTAAACACAATTTTTTATTTTATTTTGCCTAGCAAGTTAGTAGCAATCAGTTGTTTTCTGACCCCGGTGACGTCACCCACTTTGTGATCTTTTACCTCTATAACCTCTTTGGTTTTCAGTAATACTTAACAAGGTACACACTGTTTCGTATCTAATCGATCCCTTATCAGTTTAATCTCAACAATTCCTTGGAAATAAGCTTGGATCATATACAATGGATGTACATATTAGCGACGAGTCGCCAGGTGAATAGCCCTTAGTACGCATGTGTGCCAGCGACTAGTCCCACATTTATCCCATTGCCTTAATATGATGTGATAAATATTAAATAACTGATAAGATAAGTAATAATATTTATATTCATCATAGATCTATAAAATACCTAGATAGCAAACTCGTATCTACTATTGAAGTCTGATGTCATTTACAGGTTGGGCAAAAACGATTGTGAATTATTGATATTTAACGGTTGTTATTCTCATTATTACATTATGAAATAATAAACATCAAATCGATATAAAAATCGACAATACTTATATCGATGTCGATTATATCCTATTTCGCAATCGTTTTTGTCCCTCCTGTAAATGATTGACGACTTCAATTTGTTGTCAAGTCAGTATACAAAGATTGCTATCTATTTTATATAACTAACGAGTACATTTTGTAACGCACGATTATTGTCATATTATCTGATAATAATCTTTATCAAATACAATTGAATTCAAACAAATACAAATGTACATTTTACATACAAATATGATAAATTAAATATGTGTGACATCAAAAATTCTATATTCATAGTGTTACCGCAAATTTCTTCCTCCCGACTTCCCTCCATCTACATTTGTGACGTAGCTTTTCGGCTCATCCTATTGGTTGTAATATTTACATTCGAATTATCGTGTAATATCTATGATAAAAGGGGTGCCTTATAAGTTCTTTACGTCTTGCCTATAAGAGACAAATTAATGTTGAATTTGAATTTCCGATTTATTAACTGTATTGTTTTATTATTTATTTATTGTTATTTAATGATACTGTTAAACACTAAAAATTAAAAATTAAACTAAAAAAATGTCCATCTCAAAGTATCAAAGCTTTTTATCTGTCTACCTATTCATTACGAATCATGACAAATAAATATAGGTAATTAGTTAATTAACAAAAAATATAATTACCTGCATTTGTTTATTTATACAATATATATATATATATATATATATATATATATATATATATATATATGTATACATATACACACACTTTTGAGCTTTTAAGGAATTTTAATTTTGTTTTGCTGTAATACACGTAGAGACTTGAAACTTGGTAATAATATTTATATTGGACTTACCCAGACGTGGTAAAATTTCCAAAATCATCGGACGACTTTTTTTTTTTTTTTTTTTTTTTTTTAATAAGCGTTTTGAAATCAAATTTAAACGAAAATCGCAAAAAAAATTACAGTACTTCAATTTATGTATTACCGAACTGCACTCGGAATCGTCTTTCGTCAAGCAATAGTTTATCGATGCTTACAGATATAAATGAAATAACCATATGTATCCTACCTTCCCAACTACAAAAGTGACCGCTCCCATCCCCAATATCAGCTCTTTTTTGATTTGTCAATTTGTCAATAGGTAAAATATAGCATAGTATATCATATTATATGATTGTATATTTCGGGTAAAACCAAAGGACCTATTTTCCGAGCTATTATTATGTGTAAAAAAAATATAATATACTGATTCAGGGAGGAAATGTGTCAGTCCGTGTGTAAAACATCCAGTACTGTTAAAAATCGTGGCGGTGGGGGGAATGTCCAAACACCATTTTAACTATATAGAAACTGGTAACCTCAGTTTTATTGTTATAAATATAGTAAATTTGTCTTCGGTAGATATACTATAATAGAACACCTATACTCCGTTCCGAATAAGAACGCACTGGGATGCGGACGATAATCGGTCGAAACTCGCGAATAGACTCAGCCAAGGGCTAGACGTCGCTCCGTGATACGTTTGGATGCGCCGAGCGATGTATTTTTATATGGAATGGAGTATATATAAATTAAAATACCTATATAGGTATTGTTTGTTAAAATGTATTATCTTATTACCATAGATTAAATATACTAATATATATTTTTAATCTATACTTAACCCACTATATACTTTTGTTATTTAATTAATATATACAAGATTGGAAACGAGCAGTGAGCACAATGACGGACTAGAAGTATATCAACCTAGGTAGAGATGAAAAATACCGGCCCAAAAGTTCTATAATAAAAATAAAAGCTTTATTGTCATATTAGGTGTTAATATGAAGGGGATTTAAGAAACGTTGGCTCCCTCAGTCTTCCCCCCACCCCCCGAAGCATGGGACATCCCTGAATTTTTGCTGACTTAAAAATTGTAGTCCAACCTAAATAGGTTTAGTAATACATTTTAGCCTCCTTGATTGTTAGCCATATTTATATCTATGTTTATTGTATGCAATATAAAATAAACGATAAAGACTTGTACTATATGGGCAAATAGTACTGCAGTAAATTAATTATTACTTTAATATGAGGAAAATAAATCAATGTGGGCGAAAAAAAATGTATTATTAATGATCAACTATCAATTTGATAAAATATAATATTGGTTTTGGATAATACATTAAACTCGAGCTATTTTTAAGATATTCTACAGCTTCAGATACTTCAATGTCTTCTAATAGTTGTCTTTCCACTGACAAAGTTATCAATGTTTCTAAGTTTTCTTGACATAAACTAAAACGAAGACTGGCCAATTTCACACACGTGATTGGATTTTAGAATTTTAATTTCATTAAATATGTTTTCTTGCTGTTTTTTTAATTTCAGAAATATTCATATGCAGGACAAAAATGACTATAATATACAGAAAAATGCATGTTTAGAGAATATAATAATTATTAATAAACTACCCATTACACAAATTAAACAGTTCTGCTTACAGTGGACTTCAAAAAATTCATATAATTTACATTTATATGTACTTCTTGAAATCAATAAACAAATTAAATGTAAACAAGTTTAATTATGTTTGTAAAAAGTACCAACTTACCGAGTAAAAAGTAAGGCTGAGATTGTTATTGAAAATATAATGTGTTTGTTTTTTAACAGCTTGGTTATTAATAAATAATTGTATTCTATGGAAATATTTTGCAGCTTTGTTCAATCTATACTTTCTTGCTTTCTCGTTCTTTAGCATCCCCTCCTATTCTTTTTTTACATGTTGGTTGTTTCCGTTCGCAAGGATATTATTCAATGCTATTAAATTATTATGAGTACAAATTAAAACAAAATTACGTTTTGATATTGTATTTATATACGTATAAGGTTCATAAGAAACATAAGTATTTTAACAATTGAATACCTACTAAACAACCTTCTGAGCTAGTGAGTGAGTAGTAATAACATTCTATAGTTAATTAGTTTAAACACAATTTGTGTGACGCCTACGAGTGTTTGTGTATTATACGTATTTTGTCCTACAGCGTATTGAGTATTAACTATTGAGTATTGGCTGTTAGGTGGTGACTATTGGGTCATAAACTCATAATCATTATCATTATATATAATATATTAGGTATATATCACATTATCACGTATATATAGTTATTAATGTTATTGTGATACAAATATACAGTAACAATATATATATACTAAGAGCTAATAATAACGTGCAAGTTTGTAATATTATAACAAAATAATAACCGCAGCGCGTTAAAGATATTCAGACAATGAACGTTATAATCGAATTAATTAAACATACCGGTTTAAATAAGTATCTAGTTGACTTTATAGTAGATCTACGTTTTATATTATAATCAATGGTTCTATCGACCTTTATTACTAAACTCGATTCCTGAGGTACTTAATATAGCGATCCTATACGATGTATACATTTAGTATGCGTATCGATGCATTATAGAAATATTATGGTAACCCACTTCCTTAAATTGTATTCAAATTACAAATGATCCGTTAACACTTGGTATAGTAAACCACAGTGCATTGCGGAAAATACGAATGAATTGTTCATAACAATAATAATAATAATAATAATAATACGCGCGTGCTGTTTATTGTCTTATAAATATTTTTGAATTTATTACTTTTATATTTTTGATTAAAATTTGATATTATCATTATGTCCATACATTGTTATTCCCCTACAACGGTGTCCAAACACAAATTATCTAACGATGCTTGGATCAGTATCCACGGGAACGTATACAATATTACCAATTTCATTACAGTAGTAAGTACCATTAATGTCAATGCAACCTTATATAGGTACCTACACTATAAGACGTTTTTTTGATAAAAATGTATTCCATTCATTGCTTCTGGCAAGTTGTTAATATTCACAATCGTACATTGTATTTGCACACTGTTTCTGGACTGGATTTGCTTCATGAAACTATGAATGCTAAATCGTTAGCACAGCTAGCCAAAAACTAAGCAACTAAGCTTAATTTTTCATATGTTAGCTTTTTATAAATTTGTTTTTTAAACGCTAAGTATTCGCATAGGCCCACTAGTTAAAAATAAGTATATTTTTTTATTTTTTTGAAATCAATATCGATTTTGATTTGGTATAAATACACACAGTGGCATATTTTGTGTTTTTTTTAGGGAATGAGGATAAGGCCTGATTTAAATAAATGATAGTCCTGCGTACTACTTTTTTGAGGCTTATTTCAAATAAAAAAAAAATTGCTAAAAATAAAAATAAAAACGGATTGTCAGTAATGATAATTAATTTAGTTTTCTTGTGTTAAAGAAGAATAAAATATTAAATTGTGTATTTTTCAAATACATCTTAAAAGAGTATAATTTTTATTTTTTGGAAAGCGAGTGATAAGAATTTGGGAGCTTTATGCTCGTGTATCGCACCTAGATGGAGAGATTTTATAAAGATTTATTCTGTGACTTAATTATTTTTATTATAATATGCTTTCATCTAGTAAGCATATCTTAACGTATATGAATTGTTTACCTTATGGTACTTTATTAGAACATTTTTTCTAAATTACCAATAATTTTTCCAACAAAAAATTAAAAAATTAATAACAATGCATGACGATACTTTGATTTTATTTTTTTTGATTTGTCGGTTATCTTTGGCTATAATGAATAATAACTAATACTTTTATTCATAATCTTACTGGTATTCTATTCTACGGAATATTTTGAGGAAAAAATATTTTTAAAAAATACTTATTAGTAGGGCAGAGGACTTATAGCACTAAAAAAGCACTGAATATACAAGTACTTATGAACTTAAAAATCCTATAATATGCACTAAAAATATGGCTCATATGTTTTTTTTGAAAGTGATTTATTTAAAAATATATACATCATTTTTTACAAAATTGTTAATGAAATTTAATTTCTTAAAAATTCTTCTTCTGGTCCTAAAAAATTGTCCGTGTTAACTCTTTATAAATAAAATTGATCTAATCGCTAACCCTCGAGACGCGTTTCAAAGAAGAACCATATTATTTAATTATAAAAAAACCATAATACCTATACAATAAAAATGTAATTAATTTTAATTTCAACAATACTTTAGTTGTATGTAAAATGAAATTAAAACGTCGACGGAAATATATTGATTAAAGAATAAATTATTTAAAATATGCTTCTAAAAATATAAAATGGAAGAAATACGACCTAAGAAAAAAAAAAACTCGAAATATGCATTTAAATGCTAAATAAATTTCAAAACTAGCTTTGTAAAAACATGAAACATATTTGTTTCGTATTCTGCTATTTTTGTTAATATGCAAATGTTACAAGTCCTCTGCCCTAATTATTAGTTACTTAATTTCTTAATGACGACCTTTTTAGAGAACCAACTGACGAAGTAATAAAACTAATTAATTATTGTCTCTAAAAAGAAATTCCCTATAGCTGATTGACACGAAGAAGTAGACTTAATTACTGAAAGTATAGTTAGGTATATCACTGCAATGAAATCGATTCCTTTTCTTTTACATACCAAATGTTAATTTTATTTCAGAATTATAATTACAATAGCAGGTAGTCACTTCAGTGATATTATATTACGATAATGTTACCTGTAAATAAAACATGTTTAAACGTAAAAAGCCTATTGAATTATATAATTAATTTGTACGATATATACTTATTTCAGCATCCGGGAGGTGAAGAAGTTCTCATTAAATCAGCTGGAACAGATGCAACAGAGTGTTTTGATAGTATAGGGCATTCAGATGAGGCATACAAGTTAATGAATGATTTGAAAATAGGAAAATTATCAGAGAAAGACGAGGTAATATTTATTTAAATTAATTAAATTAAATATATGTACAATTTACTTACAAAATATTCGTATTGATATAGTTATATATTTATTACCATCTTAATCTATTTGAAATTAGCGAATAGAACTGCTAATTACTTTTAAAACTGCTTGTTTCATACATTTTCTAAAAAACAAATACCGATAAAAGTTAATATTTTCCGAGATAAAAAGTGTTTCACGTTATGTTGATCATCATATAAATTGTAAAGATAGTTTTTATAATATTCACCTAGAATTGACTATAGATAAATATAGTGTTATATTTTTAATGTGAACTTTATAGACACCATAGGCAAAAATAGGAAAAGGCTTGGAATGGCTAATCTTCGCCCTCAAATCAAATCCTTATTCAGTAAATATTAAGCATGCATAATCAATATTATGAGTTTTTTAGTCCTCCTAAAAAATTTGAGCTATTTGTAAAATGCACGATAATTAAAATACAAATTTTTGGCATTAAATTAAACAATATTATTATAAAGTACAAATTTGTGTTAAATTATTTTTTGTAAGTTAAACCAAGTTATGTTTGACACATAAAGTAAATAAAATCATTAATATCACTTTAAAAAGATGGAAGCATACTTCGCTTGAGCAGGCCACTGTTATAGGTGAGTAGTTAAGATGGTAGGGGGAAATTTAATGTATATCTGTACGCAATGATAAACCATTACTATCGAAAAAACGATTCTGAGTAGAGTTCAGTCGATATTGATGCTTTATAAATAATATATGTCATATTATGGTCAAATAATTACATAGGTATGCATTAAAATATAATTATTATAATTTCTTTAATAATATTTGTTTAATGTACCGATTTTTCCGTTTTTCACATTTGGTGAGAAAATTCCTGAGAAAATTGAAAAATGACATCCTTTAAGTATCTCCCCACACCGATTTCCTTTCAGAAAAGATGCTATACTTAAAATATTCTATACTATACTTAATACTATACTATTCTATTCTTAAAAATTGGAACAAGATTTCTGGTATTATATTGGTATAAAGATAAAAAAAAAAAATTAAAATAAACATCTTTGTAAAATTGTAATTCGCATTACTCAGAATCTAAAATTATAAGTATTGACAGAAAAAAAATAGAATTTTAGACTGATTTCTATAGCTTTTGGGTCTCGGTAAAGCGGATGAAAAATAGGAAAATCACTAATTTAACGACGAATTTCTTTTTTTGAGACACAAGTTTTTCACAACGTTTTTTTGATATTTTTTCTCTAGATTTAAAAATGAAAGAACAATAACCGGATTTTAATTTTGAATGACAATAATATTATTAACAGTTGTGTTATACAAATAAAGGCAATTGTTTCCAATTAATAAGTATTCTCAAAGTTTATTTATTGGTTAATTAAATGAAGGTGTACGTTCTCCGTAATACACTTAAATGTATGAAATTAATTATTTAAATTCCAAGTCATTGTTGGAATTATATACTTGTGTAGGAGTAAATATACATATTAACAAACCAAAATCCTTGGGATGAAAATGTAATTATTTCAATTAAGTATGCATAATTAATTGTTACAATCGAATAAATTATTATTACCTCAGTTATAACTAATTAGTACCTTCCTGCAATTAATTTACTTATATTAAACGAGTAGTTCAAATACTTATTAAAGTTTCATTTTATATTCTAAACGGAACTAGTAGATAGTACTACAGTTAGTATAATAATAATATTACATATATGTATTATTTTTTCCGCTACGTTCCAGGTCTAATAGCTTTACTATGCAATGGATATATTTTTAAAATTTTTTTTTTGCATCTAATAACTTTTCTACCAGAAATCTTGCTCCGATTTAGAGTGTAAAATTTTTCATAATAGGAAATTTTCTCTAGTTGGTGCATTAAGGAGATTATTTTTTGATAATCCAAGGAGTTTTCAAAATAATTGAGAAAAACCGGAAAGAAAATTATAGGTAAAATGTCAAATATTTATGGCGCACCGCGGCGTTAGGTACCGATTTCATTGTTTTTAATTTTTACAATCTATGTTTTCTACTAGAAATATTGCTTCAATCGAAAAATGACAAGACATCAATTTTGTTCCATCTAGTAGTTTACTTATTATTTTCGATAATTTATAAGTATTTGATATTTTCGTGTTTTATATGTATTTTTGTTTGGGAGTTTTCTGTTATTAAAATTATATGACTTGAGAGAAATATTTGCCTATACACTGTACCTGTGGTGACCAACCTTTTTATTACAGAGGCCTTAAAAAACTAATAATTATTCTTGGTGGACCAAGAATTTAAATTTTATTTTTAAGTTAATATAGAATATTATATTTCACTGTAGGTACATTGTAATATGAGTACAGTGATACATTTAATTATTTATTATTTATTGATTGTTATAAATGGAAAAAAATTATTAACATATCTTTTAACTTTTTTTAATGTGAGCATTAATTTTTGAAATTTGAAATTATTTTTTTCAATTTTGATTTAATATTTTGGAGCACCGATTAATATAAATGATCGCGGGCCGGATTTGTCTCGCGGACCGTAGTTTGTCACCACTGTACTATACAATGAAATACGTCGTTTTTCACCGTCACGATAAAACACGCAGGTCAGAACGGTAAAGTATGAGCAAAAACCGACGGTAAAGCACGACAGTTTTTATATCTGTCGAATCTTGATTTTAAACACAATGGTTTCATTGTGACGATGAAAACCGTTGTATTTTATTGTAGTATATTGGGAGCCTAATAGTCTGGTGAACCCAGTTCCCCTGCAATAAAATTTTGGTTGCCGCCAGTGGTTGATCTAAAATTGAATTTTTGTTTTAGGAGGGGTCTTCTAAAAAAAAATTATCTGCAGTAAAAAATAAAGTAAAATATGTATGATAACAGTTGAACTGCACTCACCATAATACAGGCGTGATGAATGTATTATAACCGCCACGATCGCAATTATCATATTAGTATTAATGCAATACGCCAATAAAGGAATGCATTTTAAACACGTAAACGATATTATTTGGTGACAAATTATGAAAATAATATATATATATATGTCATCACAGTAAGATTTATTTTTAATATCACATCAGTGTTAAAAAATGCATAAACATCAAAATAGTGTTATTCATAAATAATTAAGATACTATTTTAGATTCTGAGCTGAGCGAGGAAAGTATTGGTTTTACAATGCTGTTTATTTCTTCTATTTCTTATTCTTTGTTCTTTGTTTTAGTCTGTGGACATGTTTTTTTCTAGTAAACTTGCTCCGATTATTAAGTGTAGCAACTATTCTGAAAGCTCAAATTGTCCAGATCATACTTTAAAAAAATCATTTTTTGATTTTCGATACTATAAGTTGATTTTATATGTTTTACCCTAGATTTCCAACTTGCCACCTATAGTAGCTCATACCCATAGTACGAATACACGAAGTATTTCTAGTTTTTTAATAATCATATTTATGTTACTAAAATTTAGAATTTCCTTCTCATGTATACAAAAACGCAGTGGCATAATCAAGATTTTGAAATATCTTGGTATATCTTGTAAATATACCTACTTAACATTTATTCAATTTATGAAAGATTATTTAACTTCAAGTGTTATTTATCTTTTATTTGAATTGAGCATAGGAGTAATGTATTTAAAATTAAAAATCAATACGTTTTTTTATGTCTCGTACAATGTACTTCTTAAGCAAAACTAGTTGTATTACACAGTCACAGTGTATCGAACTAGTGTTGTACTACGCAAAATTATAACCCCTGCTTCACGTATATAATAATATAGTACAATGAATATTCATATAAATATACAAATATCGAATACGCATAAATATAATATACAGAGTGTCTCCCGAAGATTCGACAAATGCAATAACTTTTGTTTTGTTCAATAATTAAAATTTTAATATTTTTTTTGAATTTATAATACCTATTCTATATTATTTTAAATTGTTTTCATTACCACTATTAAATAATATCAATCAACTCACCAATATTTGTCTATGAAAAGTTATTTTGTTAATGATTTTTGTAAACTTCAATCAATTGTAGAAACTTAATAATTCATCATTATTCACTAGTAAAGTGTAAAAACCGATATTTTATTTCAAAATATATTTATAAAATGGCTATCTTGGATTTTGAAAAAAAATTTTTTAATTTTATTTTAAAAAATATATAAAATAAAGAAATATTTGTGAGACACTCTGTATATGTGGGTAACCTAACCCAACCTAATTAACACAATTACAGCAAAAAAAAAAATCAAAAATAAAATGAATACGATTCAACATTCGTTTTTTAATAAAATCTCAAACATTTTGAATACGTATGCAGTTAAAAATTATATATATTATTAGTATTAATACTGCGTTATTTAAAGGAAAAAAAACACGAATGCATATAATTTTAATGCGTCATAGTTATATTTTACTATAATAACAATATATTATCAACTATTATGTAATATCAAATACTGTAAATGTCGATGCAATATTGAATCGGTTCATTTGGCTCCCGAACGCAGACAGTGGCTTATTTGATGGGAAGGGGGGAAGGGGCGATCCACCCTTCGTTCGTCTCAGCTTATTTAATTATATTTTACTAGGTATACTGGAACAATAATCTTTATTTTATCGTTATGTATGTGTAATAAGAAAAATAAAATATGCTACCTAGTGTGAAAAATTTAAATTTACGGACGTTATAGTTTTGCCCAAATGAGGTTGGTTATTACTAGGTATATCCGGACGAAAGTCGAATTATGACTTTTTATAATATTTTGCCCAAGTACCGTGGACACTTCAAGTTTTGACCGGATATTTCTGAGATTTCTGGGAAAGCCATTTTGGCTTTTGCTCGTAACATACCTATGTATTATGTCATATTAATTATATATATATATATATTTTTTTTTTCTTTTGTATATAATATTTATAGTTTATACTTATAAACTATTTTTCTAATTAGCAAGGAAGAATTACAAAAAAAATTATAATTGTTGTTTTTTATATTTTTTTTTGAGACGAGGAAACCGCTTGCGATGTTTTGTGATGAATTACAATTTTTAAACTATCCCCTTGATTGAGCCCCAGATACGCCACTGAACCCAGGTATTCGACATTTTAACTTATTGCATTGACTCGCAATGTTTATCTTTATTGAATCGGCTCTCTAATGATATCTTTCGTAAATTCATTGATTACCAAAATTGTTCAAAATGATCATAATATTTTTATTATATGCATCGAAATATTGAATTTTATGTAGCCATATTAATAATAAGTAGGTACGAAATTAAACTTAGTGCATGCCATATAATATTATGTACTTATTAAAGTTAGTTCAAAATCATATTTTGTATACTATGATATTTCTATAGTCAAATTAGAATAATTTCCGGCACTAGGCGCGTAGCCAAGAGTTTTTTTTTCGGAGGGGGGCTTCAAACAAAACATGAATCTTCAGCTAGCAATAGTTGTACCAATAATTTGATTTTTTGGTGAGAAGCTTAAATTTCGGGAAGGTGGTGTAGCTTGGGCCTCATTGACCTCCCCTAACCCCCGGCTGCGCATCCGTCCGGCTCTTTTTGTCCTAACCTACTTTATAAACTTTCATTTGTATTGTATTTGGAGAATTACCTGTCGAAAACGCTCTTGGAATGCCGATCCAATAATTCATAACCATAGGACCCAGAGGACAACAATTCACTAGTCGGGATGATATTATAATACCATTACGAGCGCGTCCAAATAGACAGACACGCCGACTAGACGAACAAAAGTCACCGTCATTCGTTTATTTATTAGTCGGGCGTGTGTGGCAATCTCACTGCGCCGCGAGAGCCTACCGGCAGCTCTTGACGCGACGCACGTGTATAGGTGTGGGCGGGGTAGGCCGGTTAGGGAATACATCATTCGCCGAAATTTGACAACAACGCGTCTTAATAAACTGGTTTTATAATTCAAAATGTCCAATTGGTTTTTACTCATGAACCTGCGCCGAATTTTTTTTTTTTTCCGCTTACGCAACACGATTATCGTTTAAAACCACCATGGGTATGGTATTCGACGGGTGTTCACGTGTTTATGTAACAAAATCGTATTGTGCCACGACGAATCAACGGCGATTGAAACGTCTACGGTCATAATTATTTGCAGGCCGGTTTAATACTGTAATATTATTATTACGACCGTCGACGCCGTAATTTGTCCGCGTCAAGGACAAACCGGGCAGAGTACCGCGGTATAATTGTAATTATTGTTGTTGTACGTCGATAATAATCGTAGATTAGGCCGTAAATAAACATCGAACGGATGTAATTGCATTGCTCACACGGCCAATGTAATATTTTTGTCAAGTTTATTCAATTGTACGTATCGCGAAATCTGTACACGACGATGACTTTGCGTTTTTATTTTCCACCGTACCTACGCGATTTTCCGCGCGTTCGCCGTGCAGTGCTGATGCCACCGGTCCGTTCAACCGTCACAGTCCCGGTAATCGGTCCCGGTATCCGGGATACACGAATAATAAAATAATAACATAAACACCGAAAACTGTTTTGACGAATATCTTGCCGTTCGCCGAGATTTCCGTTATCATTTGAGTTTTCGAAATGTTGTCATATTTTTTCAAATTTTAATTTACAACACTACGGGCTACAGTGTAGCGTGTTATCGACTACCCGCGGAAATATATAGTCTTGCCAATATAATTTTTTTTGTTTTTATCATTTAATTCTTTTCGTTTGTGATAACCTCGCGATCGCGTAAACATTAAGCTACTTCAATGTAATAAATTATAGCCGAGTCGTTCTCATAGTATTTACACTGTACTTATATCGTGGCGGTGGTTCAGTATCAGTGGCCGACGTTTTTACGGCAGTGACGACGACTGCGACAATAGGTTTTTCTCCCCCACTCTTCGCCAAATTACCGGTACTGGTCTCGTTTATCGTTATCCTTTTCTATTTCTGTTGATTGCAACTTCTCGACTGGTCGGCTTTCGTTTAATTTTAGCTAACCGTAACTCGTTAGCAGTCTGTTTGCGTGTCATCCACGTCTTGTACGGTACACCGTTACGTCTACTCTGCTGTTCCAATTTCGCATTTATTTTTACTTTTCCCGTAATAAAATCTTAATTTTTGTTGACACCGATTAATTGCGGATCACGATGAGCGAACAAGAAGTGAAAAAATACTCCATGGCGGAAGTTAGGGAAAAAGCGGACGCGAAAGAACCGTGGATCGTGATCAACGACAGCGTTTACAATGTTAAAGAATTTCTAAACGACGTACGTTCGCCGTGAACCCCATTGATTTCGATTTCGTTTCGTTCCGCCACAGGGTGGTTTAATTTATTTGTTTAACATTACAGCACCCCGGTGGTGAAGAGGTTCTGTTGGAACAAGCCGGTAAGGATTCGACTGAAGAGTTTGAAGATGTTGGACACTCCAGCGATGCTCGTGAAATTATGGCAAAATATAAGATCGGAGAACTGATAGACGTAAGTCTCCCTCAAATACAAATATCAATAAATCGTAATGTTGGAATAATAATAAAAAACATTTATTTAAGTTTATTTGACGATATATATATTAAGTATATTATACCTACTCCATGTTTTTTTCGTAGTCCTTATGTTTGTACATTTAGGTATGAGAACCATGTGGTGTTTAAAAAAAAAACCAAGCATTATACTGCATAAACCGTGTATAAATAGTGTATGTGGGCTCTCTTCTAGTTTATTCCAGTTAATAAGTTTAACAACATTTGAAATAGTGTTGCAGGTAACAAATTTATTATGCGACATTATAGCATCCAACATTGTTGCTTCTTTATGAATCCAGTTTAAGGTTTGATATTTTTTAAGGCTACATTGTTTAATTTTACTTAGGTATCTGATAATAGACATTTTTAATTTAAAACATGTTTACAAGGTAAATAATTATCAATCAATGAATATAAAGAATGACTGGTAGGTAAACAAATAATAAATATTAATCCTAATCACTTGATAATATGAAAATGACTAGGTAATCTAAAATTGATCAAATAAGGTTAAGAAAATAAGCTAATAAAATGCCTGTTTTTGGGTTTTTCTATTATTATTATTATTAAAAAAAAAAATCAAAAAAATATTTAGACATACTTCACACAATGTATGGGCTACTGTTGTAGGTGAGAAGTTGGGAAGGTAGGATATAGATTATCGAGGGAAATTTAATGTATATCTTTACGCAACATATAATATTTGCTTACAAAACTGATATTGAGCAATGCCCGGAGTTCTGTTTTACACATTTTAAAAGATCGTAATAATATTTATGATTTTAAAATTATACATTTCGTAGATTTTTTCTCAGTTTTTCCCATTTATTATGAAAACCCCTGGGAAAATCAAAAAATGACCTGCTTATAGTATTACCATATTTAGATTTCCTTTCAAAAAAAATGTTCCACTTGAAAATCTGAACAAAATTTCTGGTAGAAAAGTTGTTCATAGAAAAAAAAAAAAAATGTAAAATATTCCTCGCTCCACTCAAAATCTAAACTTATATAATAAACATATATACAAATATATAAAATAAACACTTGATATTAATGATAATATACTTAATCCCTAATATACCTAATTAAAATCCACAATTGTATTATTTTAATTTATATGTTAGAGAATAATTGTTAATAAGCATTTTAAACAAAATTTTATTGATTTAGACTAAAAGTAATATTATTTATTCCTTTATTATTATAAATTATGAGTTATTTTGTTTCATTTAAATTTAGCTTATTCTAATGTTATTTAACCTTAACCTTAATCATTAACCAAACATCTAAATAACTGACTAATTAAGAAGATTATCATTGTTGTTTGAAGTTTATTACAATTTAGTAATAACCTTTTTTTATAGTTTTAAAAATTAAAATCTTTTAATTTGGTATATAGCATATTATAATTTATAGTAAAAATGGCAATAAAATTATTTCTTAATCATTAAAAAAATGCATGCAGTTTATAGATATTAAGCATAAACAAATAAATACTAATTACTGTAGTCTAAGGTTTGGATTTTTATGTCATACTTTTACAAATATTTTGAATATGATTTGCCTTACAGTAAAAAATTAATCTGTTTAATTGCAGGAGGACAAAAAACATAATAAAAAACCGTCAAGCCATCCAAAATCTGCATCTTCAGATGAATCTCCTGATAATTTTAGGTTAGTAAGATATCTGAATAAATTAAATTTATTTATAAGTCTTTCCTTATTAATATTTTTGAGTATATTATATTGTGTTTTTAAAAAAAACCTATGAGGACATATTAAAAAAAAATAAACATGCAAATTTATTTATTCATATGACCAACATGCCAATTAATACTTAATATATAATTTAAAACTGTAGATAAGTGTTTAATAAACCCGTTTTGAATCTGATTGAACCAAGGATAGCCATTATTAGTTGTCTTGTTCCATTTGCATTTTCTTTTTTAACAATATTTTAACTATTTTTATAAATATATTATTAAAAAAATATTAATTTGTTACTTTATTGCATCTAATTTTTTGCTTAGTTAAAATTGATTGTTTTATGGTTAATAATTTAAAATTAGATTGTATGCCATTAAAATGTAAAACAAATAAATAATTCATTTATAAATACTAAGTATGCTTTGAAAATATGTTCAAAAATGTATACAAATGTCTTGTAGTTCCATGTTAAGTTTTTAATGACATTTTTGAATTAATTATAAAATTTTAAATAATTACTGGTAATAATTTGCATTAGAAAATATATAAACAATTTCTCAACATAATTTTTGAATACCTTAGAATTTAATCTTTTTAATTCTAAATTATCTTTCGTTTTCCATATTAAATCATATATAAATCGGTCAAATTACTTAAGTCAACTTATTTGGGTTATTAGCTACTCAGCTTGCATGTTAACAAAATGATTGATAAGGTAGCCAAATTTACTTCTACTACAATTTTACCTACTTTTGCTCAATTACCTTGGATCAATTTAGCCCGAATCTTACATTGTCACATAACTGACCTTTGGTTCATCTATTGTAATAATCTGCAGCCAACTTTGCGGCCAAATACAATTGTTTCCAATATCTCTAATAAAAAAAAAACTTGGTTCGACAACTTATATTTACCAAGATCTATTATTCGTTTCAATAGATTCTACTTGGATCATTCACTTCTACCTGATCATGCATATAAACTTTGTTCAAATAACTTAACTACACCTCTCTTATTTACTCTTAGATTGTCCTTTACATATCAAAACTTTAACATTGTATTATTAGATAGATAAACAATTTTTTTTATATTTAAGATTGTAACTTTATTTTTAGTATGTTTTATATTGCTTAAACTGGTATATACACTAATGTCTACCCTATATCATATATAATTTGATTTTAATTTTAATTTTATTAATGAATTTATTTATTTACACATTTTGTATAACTAATAATTTGCATTTAAATCTAATAAAAAGACATTTTAAATAAATTAATAAATTTCATATTAAGTTATTTTTTTTGTAACTACATGTTTCAAAATCATCAAAGCTTTGTATAAAAATTCAAAAAATCTTATAAAACATGCATCATAGTTATCACTTATTATAAAAGTAAAAATCATTTTTTTAACATTTTTTTTTTTTGGTAAAAATGGTTAAATTATTAAAATACAACTTATATTATTTTTCATATGAAAGTAATAATAAGGTACATATTTATTTATATTTTTTATACTACAAGTTATTTTATCATAAATGTTTGTTTTGTATGTTTTAAACTAAATTTTTATTGTTGTATTAATTTAGTTAAATATGTTATTTTAAAGTACAATTCAAATTATTTAATACAAATATATTTTATTAAATATATAATTCAATACAAAATAAAAGTGATTATTTATAATAATGTCAATTTATTTATACATTTATTACTGTTTTAGCATTTGGAAATCTTGGTTGCTGCCTTTGACATTGGGAGTACTTGCCATCTTCGTTTACCGATACTTTATTGCTTCATAAAGGGTTAAAATAATTTATGTTTAACATAAAACAATTATTATTGTCAACCAAAGTTTCGGTTTAATTCACATATTGTTTTTAAATCTCCCTTGTGTATATCAGTGGTCAATTGTTCAACTACATTCCATTCTGTGTTTACACAATGTTCTCTTTTAAACAATCACATAACAAGAATCAATATTTATGTTATTTAGAAAATACTAAACCTAAGTATTTATTAATAAAATAACAATCTAAGAATATATATATATAAATATTTAATGGTTAGACATGGTAGAAATTAGTAATTCTTGTAATTTAGTATTATTATTGTTTGAAATTAAAAATATATACATATATATATATATATATACAATAAACATATTATAGTGTTTTTAATTATCATTATTCTATAATAAATAATTTAAAAAGTAATTTCCTTTGTCATTTGTTGAATTTTAATTTACAGTTTTAATGTGCATAATTTTTATTTATTATCAAAAAGAAATGTTAAATTATTTTGTTTATTTTATAATATTGTTTATGAAACAGTAAAAAATATATTAATATAAATTGTAAGTAAACATATAAAACCAAATAATATGTTTAAAACAAATTTATAATTCATTTAATTTTGCTGTTTTTTTGTTATTTAAATGTTAGTTTTTATTATTTTAATAACTGAAGTTTAATAATAGAGTAAGGAAAGAAAGAAATAAGTTTCTTAGATTTCTGTTGTAGTCTTGTGAGCCTTTTGTAGCTTGTATATTTTTTTTTTTTTTTTGTTAATGATGTGAAAGTTAATAAGAAAAAGTTATTATTACAAAAATCCACAATTTAATCTGTAAATTTAATATGACTGTTTTAGTATGTTTTATTAATATATTCAATAATCTATTAGATGTAGATGTGTTACTGCACCCCAAGGTAATATATAGGAAACATATATTTTAAAAAAAAAAAGTGGTACGGTCAAACCTATAACATGCAGCTAAAATGACATTGCCAATTTTGTTATATAAATAATCCCTTCCTTATTGCTTTTACTGATAAAAAAATTAGAGTTTAATTATGCTTATACGATTAAAAAAAAATATCAGAACATTAAAAAAGATTGTGTAATGTGACCTCTTTGAACTTATTTTAGGTCTATCACACAATGAAATTTTATAAAATTAAATTATTGATAATATTAAAATAATATTGAGAGAATTATTAGGATCTGTACAAAAAAATAATTTTAGTGAATCATATTTATATTACATGTTAAACGAGGTGTGGTTTTGTAGTAAATTTATAACATAAATTGAAAATATTAAATTTTGAAAGCATAAAGCTGAATTATGAATTGTTAACATTCAATAAAAATTAAATATTGTGTAATGTAAGGTACAATTTAGTAATATTATTTTGCAGATGACATATTTTATGTATAACTCTGAATAGGCACACTAAAGTTGTATCATCTAAATTGCTGCTTTTAGCAATAGACATACTATACAACATTTACAATTATAGATATATGTCTTTAAATATCCAATAGAAAACAAGTAGTTCAACTTGTATCTTAATACAATTTTGTACAATATTATCTAGAAAAATAGAAATTACGCCACGATAAAGTGGCATCAAAATTGTCCAACCCTGTCAAAAGTAACTACTGGCCTAAGATGTGCTGCCGCAAAATCTTTCTAATTTAATACTAGAGAAAATATTCATAAATGCGAACATCAATGTAGGGGTAGTATTAGGAAATGAAGTATATATATCCTTGCCTATGCAGATAATACAGTAATCGACTGGAAACGATTATGTGGGAAAATCCTGATGATAGGTAAAGTAAAAGGTTTCGTGGGAACGATTAGACGAGATAAGCCATGAAGGATAATTGCAGAAGTTAGAGATGGATGGAGAAAAATCTGTTTAGCGGTATAGTCTCAAGATAGAGAGCCGAGAAAAGAAGATAAATGACGGGCTGCATACAACTATACAGAATTGAAATAAAAATTAGTAAGATTGGAAATATTTAGAAAAAAGTAAAATTGTAAGTTTCGTAAAATAATTGATCACTGTCATCAAAAACCGATTTAGGTTCAATAAAATTTGCATATATTCTGTACTATTTAGTGTGATTGTTACCTTGATATTGAATTATCGCGTTATAATTTGATATGGATAAAATATACTGATAATTGAGCAAGTAGTTATAATCATAGATAATAAAAACAAATAATGATTACTGAAATATTTTTATCTACGCAATCTATACTCTACTATAGTATAATTACTACTATAATTTTATTGATATATTGTGGGACCAACAGTTTTTTTCATGAATTAAGATATTAGTTAATTCGTGGTTTTTACGCAACTCAGATAAGAGTATAATATTATTTGGCGTTTGCTTTTCCATATTGTGTTGGGCACAAATATTTTTTTTTCTCATTGAAGTACATTTGGGTCATACCATAGATCTTATACTAATACCGGAGAAGGTCTATGATACCAACAAACTCCGTTAATTTTAAAAGGTTGAGTCTGTGAATTCAGGAATTGATGAATAATATTACATTTAAAAAAATTGGTAATTTTAGACTCCGAGTGTAGTGAAAAATGTATTGGTTTTACAAAGATACAAAGATGTACTGTGTACAAAAATTCTATCAGAAATCTTGTTCCGAAGCATCAAGTAGTTATAGCATCTTTTCTGAAAGAAAATTTGTTGGTACTTTAGCGAGGTAAATTTTTGATTTTCCCAGTCAAAGGAAAAATATGGTAATAGACGGGATAATAGATACAATTTTAAACAAATATTATTCAAGAAAATATACAATGCATATACAATTATTTAACCATAACCTGACATACAATAATATATGCAATATATTATATTGATGACATATCAATACTATTAACCGAACTCCGCTCGGCATCGTTTTTCGTAGTTAATCTTTGCGTACAGATATGCATTAAATTTCCCCTCTATTTTCCAACTTCTCACTTACAACAGTGGCCCATCCACGTGCAAAGTATGTCCGTCTTTTGAAGACAGTACATTCATCAATTACTAAAAATATGTCCGAACTCTAAAAACACGTATCTATAAACCGACAGATATTATGTCAGTTTAATTATCGGTAATAATATGACGTGTAACCTTGATCTAGACCTTGATTACATTGTATAAATCTTTCCTGTAGCGCTGTACCAGCAATCTCGCAAGATTTAAATGAAACGAAAGTTAGTCATATAATAATATGTTCAATACATAGGTAATTTATATTTATAATTCCATTTATTTCGTTGCCACAACCATTAAAATAATGAAGACTAACGAAGAATAATACACTAATACCTACACGATATTATGCATACCCGTGTAGGTTGTAAGTGTCTATCGAGCACGTGAAAAAATTATATTAGGTAGGTTAAGTATAAATGTATAATATACTCAATTAAATATCTAATAATTATTAATTTGGAATAAAGACTGTAGAATGGCTAGTAAAGAGGGAAATTGTCTTGACTGTTGAAGCCATGAACCACAAGGTAAAATTTAATAATAAATAATTTTTAGTTTAAATATTAATATTGGCTACGCACTGTCAGTTCATGTTGAACAGATATTATAATTTGTTGTTTACGGATGAACTATATAAATAAAGTACATTTAGCTATACCACGAACAATGAATTTAAAAAAAAAATTAAACGCCTGTCTAAAATAATACGTCTTGGATCATTATCATAGACTATGAAACTGTAAACAAATTATGATCTAAATTCTGAGGTTAAAATATTACAGTGCTTTGATATATTATTTTATGATTGGACACACCCCGGTGGTGGTTACGGGTACATTTAATCGCTGGTCCATGGCTGCACTGTTCCCCGGCGTAAACAACAACACGGCAAGTTAACCATACATTTTCCTGGCCGCCTTTTCGTCGATATTTTTTCGGAGCCAAAACTCAATTTTTATCAGTTTTCTATGAGAACGTTGTTTTCGCGCTATAAACAAACAGCCGTATACATTTTCTGTCCAATCTAGTTGGCGGCAAAGCTTTCGTTTTCAAATATAAGTTGACTTTGTTTTAACACTACATACATACACATTTGCTCATTATACTCAAGTGTTTATACTGTACACACGCACACGCCGACTACTGAAATGGCAGCGAACTACGACACTCAAGGGACCAGCACCATCGTCAGCAATTTCACACCTGCAGATGGCAAATCCCAATCAAGTGCGCGTTCATGTTTTCAATCGTTTTGCGGCAATGTATTTGTTTTGTAATTAATTTTGTGGTGTTTTTAGAGAGCCCAATGAAGGACGAATCGTTCAGGAAGTTGCGAGAGACGTTTGTCATTCAAGGCAAAATCGGTTCTGGCACGTTTAGCAAGGTATATCTGGCCTACGCCAGAAGCGACCCCCAAAAACAGTGCTACGCCATCAAGCACATCAAGCAGACGACCCATCCAGAGAAGTTAAGGCGTGAAATCTTTTGCCTACTAAAAATCGGGTTAGTAAACTAAAATTATTGTATTCAAATGTATATTATTTAGAGCGAATTGTGATATTTGTTTTATTATTATAATATATTAATGCCATACTCTAGTATCAGTTTTGAGGTACCTACATTAATATCCATGTTAATTGTATTCATAATATGACCTGATTATAAATTTAATTAAAATATTAAAAAGTTTTCGTTTTTGAAAAATATTTATATACATTGTTCAAAATCTATTGTTTATCTATTCATTTAAATATATAAAATAATTTCAAAATTCAAATTATACTACTGAAATATTTATAAAGAAATATTTTTTTTATTTTTCAGTGGACAAGATAATGTAATGGGATTAGTAACCTCTTTGCGAATCAGAAGTTCTGTTTGCTTAGTAATGCCTTACATTAAACATGACCATCCATTGGTAATTATTGTCCTTATATAATCTAGATAAAATATAAAACTAAATCATTATAGTTTAATAAAGTGTAAATATTTGCTGTTTTTCAGACTTATCTTTGTTCAATGGATGCTAATGAATTACGTTTGTATATTAAAAATTTATTAATTGCTTTGCAAAGAATACACTCCTTTAATATCGTTCATAGAGATGTTAAACCTAGTAATTTTTTGTACAATCGTTCTACTTCAACGTATGTAATTTAGTTTGTTTTATGACAAAGTAATTAAATAACTAATATGATATATGTTTTAGTTTTATGCTTACTGATTTTGGACTTGCTCATCCTAACATCAACCCTACAAACAGGCATAGGCAAATCAAAAGCCTATCTGATAATAAAACTGACCAGTCTTCTTATAAACAAAACAATTCAAAGTGCGACTTTAATGACCTCAACGTGAGATATTTCAAAATTATATACAAAATTAAAAATAATGTGTTTAAATATAATTTTAGATTAACCGTAAGCGATCAAGTTCAGCAGGAGCCCCGTGTATGAATTCATGTAAAAAACGTATTTTGCAAAACATAGTGGATGGACCTAATTCTACACCTTACGGATGCACCTTAAGAAAAAGAACCAAATTAATGATGCCCAAGGAACCATTATTAAAGGAAAATTCTCCTATTAAAAAAGAATTTGTTGTCCCTAAGAATAATAGTCCTAGTTGCTCAAGTGCCATGAATAATAATTTATTTAATGTTAGTATAATGTTTGTTTTTATAACTTATAAGTTTATAATATTAATTGTTTGATTTATTTTATTTATTCTAATACAAATAGGAGAAATCTAGTTTTGCCATTCCAAAAGTGCCACGTTTAACATGTGACTGTGTAGGGAAATTGAAAGTATGCAATGTTTGTATAAAAAGACCTGAAATGAAAGCTCCTCGAGCTGGAACACCTGGATTTCGAGCTCCAGAAGTTCTTTTAAAATACAAATACCAAAACACTGGTAAGTGGTAATTATATCCAATTAAACAATTATACATTGATTATAGTAGTTATTATGTAAATAAAAAAATAATTTTTTCCGTTTTTAAACTTGAAACTGATTATAAATATGATTTAAATAAGATCTAAATATTATTTTTATACTAAAATTTAAGACAGTAAATCAAATAGTGGTTATTTTACATATTTCATCTACATCATTTAATGTAATTATCATCTTATCAATGGTCGTATTATATTTTTGATCATATTTTTATTTAAACAAAATTTTTAGTATAAAATCACACTTGAAATACTATTTTGATCCTCTTAAATTTAAATTTCTTTGAAGTTTTGGAAAGTATATAATTTAATTATAATTTATTAATTACATTATTACCTTAGTGGATTAATAAAAAACTGCATTTTTAAATACATAATATAAAATGTTAAAAACATTTCAAATGTAGGTTGATTTTTTTAAATCTTTATTTGTATTTTCTGTATCTTACTAAATTTTGTTTCACAATATTAACCCCGTTTTGAATTTTCTAGCTCTTGATATTTGGTCTGTTGGAGTAATTATGCTGGAAGCCATGAGCCGTTGCTATCCATTTTTTAGTGCTGAAAATGATTCTACGTGTTTGGCTGAAATGATAACTGTTTTCGGGGATCGTGCTATTAAAAATGTAGCTAAAATGTTAGGTAAGTGTTAAAATACTACAAAGTATAAATACATTTTATCTAATTATTTATAATTTTTATTTTGTATTAGGTCGTAATGTTATTTGTGAAGTTCAAAAACCTCCATTAGATCTCCGAGCAATATGTCGTCTTTTATGCCATCGATCTAGTGTACCGAATTTAAACTCAGCTGGTGTTTCTTCAAGCAATGGGTTGGATACATGCAATAATTGTTTGAAACCTATTCAATTATCTGGCTGTGAAGTATTTTCAGATAGTTGTAGTTGTTACTTAAATGTTACTGATGATTTTCCATATCCTGCCTATGATCTCTTAAAAAAACTATTATGTTTGAATCCAGTAGAGCGAATAACTGCAGATGTTGCATTAAAACATCCATTTTTTAAAATGGATGAAAAGAAAAGTTAATTTTTTTTAAATTCATTTAAATTGTTGTTATTTATTAATCACAATTTCTATTTATTTGTATTGTGTTATAAATTTAATTTAATGGAATATTTAAATCCTTTTCCGTGTTAAATTGTTTATGCACTCTTCAAATTTACTATTGAATTCCATTTTTATTCTTAATACTTTAATTATTAAACTAATTTGATACAAAATGTATAGAAACATAATTCTAAAACTTTTTAAAATTTATATTGCAGTCAATATTGACATTTTGTTTGTTTATTTATTCTTAATTTTTATTTATAATCCTGGTATTATTATTATAATTGTAATGTTTAATTGTTATTTGTATTATTATCAGTTTTTTTTTTTGTGATGAATTTAAATACTTTTTTTATAAATATTTTCAAATTATAAACTTTCTAGTCAGACTATTAATCTATGTATTATTAATTTACAAAATACTTAATCTATAATATTTAAATTAGTATGAAATACATTGAGTACTTCTGTAAAAACATAAGTTCTTTGAACAATTTTTAAGTATAAATTTTAAAGTTGAAATGTTCTAATTGAACACTTAACTGAAGTATTATTTATAAAAAAACTTGTTATAAGAAAATTTGTAGCAAAGAATTGTGTTTTTTACTTAATATATTTTTTTACATAGAAATATTGTTAGTTTTTTACTTTTTGTAAAATGAATTTGTAATTCAACTAAATTTGAATTTTTGATATATTCTGTAAATCAAAATAAAACTTAGGCAGCCAATATTTGGTTAATTTTTTACATCTAAGTGTATTAACTGTATTTTTCTCTGGTGAGAATATATTTTTAATTTTATATTTTTTCTGTTCTAAGTTTTTTAACAGTTTTATAATTTTAGTCATGTTTTTTTTTAATATTATGAATAATTATATTTCAATCAAAATTATAATTATACTCTTAAAAGCTCACTAATATTAATAACTAATTTATAAATGTGAATAATTTTTGATTCGATTGTATGTATGACTTCCTGAAACATTTGTTATTTGTGTTATATTATGTTAATGTATGCCTAATTATCATATGTGTGGGAGAGAAGTTGATTAGACAATTGAGATAGCAATTTTTGGTATTATTTTTCATGTTATGTAGATGTATTAATTACTGTATATTATTAAATTAAATTAGATAATGCGGTGTTTCTAGTCCATTTAAATATGAAAACTATTTTTAAAATTCAGGGATGTTAAAAATTAACTCTTTTATGTGTTCAATAGGTACGGTTTTAAAATACTGTTTTAAGTATTAAGTCTTTATTTATACACTTTGAAATTATGGGACTGGTTTTTAATAGATTATTTCAATATAGGAAACCCTATATATAATAATATAACAACCCTGAATTTATATCGAATGAACTGATTTTTTAAAACTTTTTTACTGCCTTTGTAATAATGTAATAAAAATGTTTTGTTTCTTTTTTGTATGTAGCAAACATTCTGTATTTTATGACAATTATATGGGATTTGTGTTTAAGATAAGGGTTATTTTTAAAATTAAAAGACTGTTAAATTTAAATGTAATAATTTCTTATTGTTTTGAGGTGTGGTTATTTTTGTTTCGTTGTCATAATAACAATGTTAAACAATGTAGTTCCGTTGTTATAGAAAGTTCAATGATGTATCGCACATTTTATACTTATTATATAATACATTAATGTACCTACCTATAGTTAATTTTTAGTTAATTTTTTTTTATGATTAAATAATATTTGAACTCAATCCAAGAAACTAACATTACTTTGAAATGTATTAAACTTGTTTTATAAGTTATAATAAGTACCTAGTATACTTAATTTATTTGTTATTGTAATAATAATATGTACTGTACTTAAATTATTGTGTCAAAAACATAATATTTGTCCATTATTTTGTTCAATAGACAATGGTTACCATCCATGAATGAATATTACTTTCAAGCTTTTAAATTATTCAACAACCTAAATGAATTGTAGTTATCAACATACCTACCTACCTAACATGTCTTCACTTATTTTTCTATTCATTATATTAATCGTGTGTCATATATCACAGTACAAAAATATAAAAGTATCCCTTTGGTTTTCAACATCAAAATGGAATTACAGTTGAGTAATTAAAATGTTGATTAGTAATTTTTCCATACTATATACCTAATATAATTTACATATTTTAATCTTCGCAATGGCGAGCAGATATGTTTCTGCACGGAGACTTATTATGGCCAAGTCGAACCACTACCACAATTAATTACAACCTTTTGTTGTTACCTACAGTATTACACGTGTTTAATTGCAGATATGTATTTCTTTTCTTCAATTGGTTTGGCGCGTTTCCCGTCGTATACGATCAAGAGACAAAAATATTTGCCATTTGCCGACGAGGTTTGTTGGTTACTTTTGTACAAGTCGTGTTCGTCGGACTAGAAATACACAAGCATCTGATCATGTTATTTTTCGGCGCCATCAAAAAGACTACCGCTGTGTCTGCCATAGTGTTGGCCACCAACGGGTTCGGACTGTTGATCGTTTTATTGCGAAGGATTGCGTTTGTGAGAGATACGGTCGCATGCTACAACAGCCTGCAGTCCGAATGGCCGGCTAATATTTCCGTACGAAAATCGTCAAAGTTGATTTTATATGCCAGTGCCGCGATGGTGTTTATCGATTTCGTCGGAGATAACATTGAAAGGTAGGTACCTACGTTTGGCAAGTGTAATAGTACAATACGCGTGTAATGGTAGGCAGGTACCGATGCCACGTATTTTTCAGGGGTGAGACGATAACTGAAATCGGGTTTCGAAACACGTGTCTTAAGACTGATACATGGATATATTATTATAAGAACACAAAACCTGTGTACGAAGTTATATTACAGGTATTACGGGAGAATGAATCAATACTTAATCCGCACAAGTTGTGCGTGCGTTACATACGCGTTAATAAAATCAATTTTTTTGGGGTTTTAATATTTTTCGAGGGGGTTGATTGACGAGAGGGGAGAAGAGGGATTCCTCCCTGGACGTGGAATTTAACTTCGCTGCTGTTGCAAAAAAAAAAAAAAGGCCATTGTGCTAATATTTTTTCAATGGTTATTTTTAAATGATCTATTGCATATTTGCATGTATTTTATAATCCTATACCTACGTGCTATTTTACTTCGGAGTGTGACCTTAGTAAATAGTACGGTGATGTTCCTCGTAAATTATATAAACCCACCGGGTCCAGATTTTTCTACCACAGCCCTGGATATGTATCTCCCTCTTGCCCCTCTTGCCCCTCTTGATCCTCTTGGTAGGTATAATGAGTATTAAGTTGGTACCTAAATAAAACATCAGTGTTGTATTTTTTTTTTTTCAAATAATCGTGTTTCCGTAAAACAAAATATTAGATCTCTCTGAAGTAACCATTATACCCTTCTCTTATGTTTGTGAAATGAAATTCAATCAGTGTACCTTTAAGAACGGGTATTACCTATAAACCAGGACAAGCAAAACAATTTCAAAATCAGTGGACAGACATTAATGTTTCTAATGTGATGATGCGAATTTTAAAGATTTACGATGTTTGGCAAAACTTACAAGCAGGCGCGAATCCATTTTTTAGGGGCCCATGAATTTAACCCCGACAATTATATAAAAGGTAACACAGTACCTATAATTTAAATGGAATAATTTGGAATAGTCATATGGAACAATTGAATCTTTTCGACTTACTTACCACGTAAAAATTCATTTAGGAATTTCGTTACCTTTACCGTATAAAGGCAGGTATTAACTATGTATTCACATTTTTTTCGTTCGATTGATAACTGAGTGAAGACAAGGTTAATCAGATAAGCGTTTTCCGGTCGTGGTTTATCTGTTTTGTGTTTACGTTTTCCGCATCGTCGTTAAACTCCTTTGAGCTTTATATTTATGTATATTTTAACAGACGATCTCCTTTTGGAGCTCATAATATTATTAACATTGATGCATTATTGAAACACGTTGATTTTTAGGTACATCATATATGCATTGCAACAATATTATTATCAGTACTATGGTCAATCTATCGAGACGTCCGGTAACCCAAGCAGATAGCGGACACGCCGATAAGGTACGTTTTCCCTTGCGCGATCGCGAACTGCTTCCCGAGCAAGTCAAATCGCGTTCGCGCCGCGATCGACTAGTCGTTTTGAAAATAATGAGTAATACGCAATTGTAAACTGAAAATTAAATTAAAATCTAGTCATCCGTAATTATTTTGTTTTATGACTGAGCAGCGGGTCAAGTCCACATTGACATAAGCCGCGTTGCGTCAAATAGTACGCAATGATATGACAGGTACGTACTCATTTACGATCGATATCGCCACTCTTTGACATCGGTCGTTCAAAGGTAAATTTGAGTTCTGCATTGAGTACTGCAATGGCTCAAGTTAAATATAAGGTCGGCGACGAGTTTAAATCGTCTCTTATTAGATTCAAAAAATAAAATCGCTGTTTGTTCTGAAAAATTCCCCGAACTTGATTTCATTATTTTTCAGATGGCCGTTGATAAGTATTTAATGATAACCGTCGGTACTTCTCTTTGTTAATTAATGGACCATGTTCTTTTTTCTTCTTCTGACAGATACCAGAGTAAAACGTTATCATCATTATCTTCATCTTCTAGTAAAGGAATTTTCAAGATTTATGTACTTAATACATCCGTACTAATAGTTATTTTTTTTCTTAAACGAGCAGTACGCGTGGATTCCTGGACTCTTCGGCACTTCGAAGTATTGAGTACGACCGAATGTTGAATTATTTATATTATAATACGTTTACATTTCACTATGAAATGTAAATTATATAAATCTCCGTCAGTGGCTTAGCGAGGGGAGGGGGGGGGGTGTTTTGGTGTTTAAACACCCCCCCCCTCTTTGATTGTAATTATGCCTGAAATCATAATTTATACTTTATATGCAGTTATGCATTCGATTTACAAAATATGTCGCGTTACGCTTACTTACAGCTATAATTACTAAGTATAATATATGTGCAATATAATATGCGTTACACGCGCACAATAAAGTTACAAATAAGTTGCATCCAAACACAGAATATAAACACACCCCTTTAAAAACAATCCCGGCTACGCCACTGATCTCTGGGTCGCCACGCACAATCGTCCAGAATAAACCGAGACACCGCGACCGCGGTCTCGGTTCGTCGATCGCGCAACGGAAATCGTACACGTGTATGGGGCGGGTGTATTCTCTGTTTTGCGTTCCCGATCGCGTGATCTGCGTATTTAGGTATAACACACCCGCATCGCGGCTATACACAGAACAATACGGTAATACGCTGTAATCGCTATCGTCGGTTAAATGAGTATTTACCCATTTATAACGTTGGGCGTAGCCGCACGGTTAGGTTGAACATTTAAAATCGACTCGGGTAAACCCGTACCCGCCTGCGGGTACAATATATTAACTGTTACTGTCCGATTGTTGAACAATCGACATCGGCTTATTATATTGTTTGAACACGTGCGACCGTTCGTACTCTGTAAAGTCGTACCTGTACTGTTCTATATTGTCATGTCGGGTGTTTCATGTAGCTGTAGGTGCAGCTACGTAAAACACCTAACGGCGTTCGGTTGTATTACACGAAGAAAACCGAGATCATTTTTATCGCGAACTTAGATTGTATACGGTTTAACATTCACGTGTGTATAAAAAAAAAAAAAAAATCGTTATAATTTATCATATTGGAATGGTAATGCTCGCTGTTTGCTGCAGATCGTCCGTTGTTTGGACTTGGTGTCCCCAACTGCGTCGTTACGATTGACCGCATGGTAATTATTTTCCCGCAATGAGCCCGACACTACTTGTTTTCAACGCTTGAGGCCGAAAGAGTGTCGAACTATTTATTTGATAAACTCTCTACACAAAGTTTTGGGTTATTATTATTATTATTTTTTTTTTTCCGCGTTAACAGCTCAGGGGCTGGTTGGCAGCGTTTCTCCATTCTTCACGCTTCTCCGCTTTACGTTTCGATTCATAATACGAGTGTGTTACACACCCTAGATCTCCAAGTACTTGGTTTACGTACGCGAGTGGTGGATTTCCTCGAATATTCTTCCTTCCTACGGATCCTTCTGTTATACCACCTAGTAGATTGTTACGGCGCACTGTGTGTCCAACATACGTTGGGTTTTATTAAACGCATACGATTTTTTAACCACTTTAGGGTTGAATTCATTAATGAAAACGTTTCTTAGAGGGTTTTCTACGTTTCATTATAACGCAACTTTGTGCAAAATGTCAAGTTTCTAAACGGCAGCGGTTCGGGCCAGAGGATATTTTAAGGAAATTTTAAATAGGCCACATTGCGAAATAAAATAGAGGGCTCTGCCACATTACCCCCTCCCCGCCGGTTTTAAACAAAATTTTAATTTAGCAACCATTTTAAATACATTTCATTACAACCTGTACAGTGTAGTGTGTACCTTAATTTTTGTTACCCGTAGACGAACGGAAGATAAGCCGATGAGTTTGGGCGAGCTGACTGCACTCGCGTCTTTAGGTTTCGAAATGCAACTGATACATACGTTCCACACAATCGGTCAGCTGTACGGTGATTTGAACGAATATGTCGAGTCGAACCTGTCCGACGATCTGGAACGGATACACAAAGCTCGACAGAAAAATCTCGTGTTGTATACCTTTTGCAAAAAGTTCAACTCGCACTACAATGTGGATTTGATCATACACTTTTCTTGCTATCAGCTAAACGTGTTATTGGAACTGTTTGAATTCGTGAAGATGCTGTCGACGAGTATTGGAACGAACACGTAAATACCTAACTATGCCTTTTTTTTTAAAAAAACATTCTAATCGATAGTGTCATAATATCACGTTTCGCAAGTTATTATTTATATCCGTAGGTATAGCTAGGTAGGTATTTAATTGTTTACATTGGCGAAACAAGGATCGGGGTGTTAACTTGTAAAGCGTCCTCGAAAAGTGAGTTTTATTTTATGAACCCTACGTAGGCACTTGATTGTATTATTTGCATTGCATTTTCAGACATTTTCTCGTAACACAGTAAAACCTCCTTCAGCAGACAACTCCGGAATAGTGGACCTTTCGGTGACCGAGACAGTGCGCTATTCAGAAGTTTTACTGCGTTGCAGTACTTACCTATAATACGTGTATGCGACGACGTGCCTATATAGTCTGTACACCCGATCGTTTTATAATGCGCAATTTATTATCCCAATCGGCTATTCTGATTTTAGATTCGGAGCATAGCGAGGAAATATATTGGTTTTACATTGACGTTTATTTGTTTTTCTGTAAGCAACTTTTCTACTAGTTATCTTGTCCCTATTTTCAAGCGTAGCACCTTTTCCGAAAAGAAATTTTATCTTTAGCGAAAGGTCGATTTTCGATTTTCTAAGCGGTTTTTATAATAATTGGAAAAAACAGGGGAAGAACTTGGAAAAATGGGAAAATGTAAAAGAAACTTCGCTTCGAATCGTTTTTCATTTGCAACGGTTTATCGTTGAATACAGATATAAATATAATTTCTCAGATATATATTCTACCTTCCCAATTTTTCGCCCACAACAGTAGCCCACCCATCGTGCGTCCGTCTTTTTTTTTTTGATATTAAAACAACTTTTTGTTTATCTGGAAATTCCAGTAATATTACCCCACGGTATACCAATATTTCTAGTTTTCAAAAATCTAAAAAAAAAAATCGTATAAAACAAAGTTTTATAAGTATTCTTTAGTTGAATAGATTTGCGCGAATTAAAAATTGTGTTAGCAGATAATATAACTGACGCAAAAAGCACTTATTTGTAAAATGATCAAATTTGACAAAGCAAAAAATTAGTCTTCGTTTTAGTGAATACCACACATTTATAAAAAAAAGTATGTTCTTATATAGCGAATATTATGATACAATTTTCTGTTTTAGTTTTTTTTACAGTTTTATGGATTTAAAAACTATTATCAAATTGATACGCATGACAAGAATATTTTTAGTTTTTATTTACTTAATCGAGTCAAGTACATATTTACACCACAAGGTATAGTACACAATATTGTATAGGCACTGGGTACCTAGTTATTAATACTATTATATTTTGAGTGTTTCTTTTTTTAATTTTCATCTACCTACATGAGTTATAAATAACACTTTTTGTGTGATAATGTAAACTAATGTTTGTTTATTTTATATTTTTAGAGTGTTTTTACGTTCTATTGCATTTTACGCAGTAGAGTGAATTATTTAAAGTATCAAACGAAAGAACAGGTAAATTTATGTATATAGTTATCGAATGACTATTGATATTATAGTGTATAAAAGATCTTAAAACCCAAATTAACTTTTAAATCTATACATTTTGTAAATTCTGTAATAATAATTAAATAGCTGTAACGAGGGTTTTTCGAAGTCCATACTCAACATCGGCCCTGTTTCATTTATCGGCCGTTTTTACTTTTTATCAAACGTCAATCGTTATATATTGTAACGTTTTATACAACAGATTAGTGGTAATATTAATTTTCATATTAATATAATATGGTACGCATATGATTTTTGTGTTCTGTCAAATAGTATTTACTCAGTGTACGCTTCTAAGCAATATTGTCCTTATGTAGCAACGAAGCACTTGACATTTTTTAAATACTGTCAATAATCTATTAGGTAACTATATAATATATGTACCTGTACATATATACCTTATATATAACCTATCTATCTGTATTATACAGTTATGCGGTACCTACCAACGTCAAACAAATTAAATTTCACCTTCGTATTTTTATTTTTATTTTTAATAGGTGTATCAATAGATAAAAATATTAGGCAAGTTTTTTTTTAATAACCAACAGACATTAAAGTATTATGGAATATCACAATATTAAATATTGTAGAATTTTAATAAATAAAACAATATTGATAAAATATTAAATTGAACGGTTGTATTATTATTGTATTGCAGCTTTATTTATTTTTGGACGAACTCAATGCCACTGAAGTTACAATAACTGCGAATTATTGCTACGATGTTGATAAGAAGTTTTTATGTTCCGTAAGTTAAATGTAAATACGTTTGTTATAAATAAAGTTACCGATATCAAAATATTTAGGTAGAAACTTATATCATGGCCACACATTTATTTTATGGGCAATTTAATTTCACTATATTGGTTTGTAATTTTTTATATACTTGCCTATCTACTCAATAGGTTCACAGTTCATTAATAAAACACTAAAAATGATAAAACTAAAATAATATCTGGGTATATAATATTATTGTTCATATTCGTAGGTATACTTAAACCTAACTTATTAACTACCTATATTAATATTTATTTTTTGATTAAATGTTTTTGTTTTTTTATGTTTATGAACGGTATCTATTTGAATATTACGCAGTTATCTATTAGACAGTGACGGTCATGTCTTATTTTGAGGGAGGGCGAATCGAGAATCTACCGGGGTCGTGATTCCCGGGGTTTAACTTCACCTGCCATTATCCTTGTTGGAAGTTTATCGTTTTATTTACCAAAACGAAAAGTATGCAAATTTTGATTGAAAAAACTGTTCATTGAACATTTTTAAGCGTAGTCCCTGTTCTAATATTGTATCCGTTTCTACATAGTTATTTCATATTTTAAATATTTATTTAAAGGTACCTACCAAAATATACCAATGTGACTGTAACAATAAATTTAGGGTACTAATATTAAGCGTCGAAAATTCCAAACATGGTACGGTACGATCCATCAATCGCCTCCCCCTAGATATCCGTCACTGCTATTAGAAAGTATATATTGAGATACAATATAATATAATATGTATTTAATGTTTGACTTTTATATTATAAGTAGGTGCCTTATGTACTATCAAATTTATATTTAATTGAAAAACGTTTTGAATAATTATTAAACTCGTTGTTGTGTTTACAGGTTTCGGGTTCAATAATAGCGTATCTTGTACTCGTGGTTTCTTTTTTGTATAATCGTGTTTAAACAATATTGTTAAATATTGTAATAATATTATACGGTATGTTCCTACGCAGGGCCGGATCAGGCCGTCGTTCGATTGCGCTTGAACACAAAAGACCGTTCGTTTGTAATTATTAAATTGAGCCCGATACTGGCAATAATAATAATAATATCGTTCTATGTCAGATTGTGTTATAAAAATAAAAAGTGAAAACAGTAGAAAATATTGTATTTTATTATTGTTTATTGGCCATCAGATTCTTGAGTCTTATGTTGCAACCGACATACCTTACCGACTGATCTTTTTTAGATTCCGTGTTTTTCTTATAAATACGATTTTCTTCTCGTTAAGAGACCGTAATGTGCGCAATTACTGTTTAAAGTTGTATCGTGCAATTTCCATAAGGGGCACATCGGAAGATAACATTGCTCGACATGAATCGAGGGAAAATTCCGAGTACATATCTTCGAGTTAGTCTTTTATAAATATTTGTTTTATTTTTCTTATTCTCGTTGAATTATTGAGGTGTTTTGCTGTACTCAAGTGTTGAGTTACTGCTTGCTTGAAAGTGCTTATTTCATGAAACTGCTTGGTCACAAATACGTTATTGTAAAATACAATTTTTCTATTAGTTATAAAAACTATACTAGAAAACTCTTCGATATTGGCATTTTATATTTCATGTAACGAAACGAATACAATTCACAAAAAGCACGGCAACGTGCATCAAACACGATATACGACGATGACTGTCAAACACTTATTTTTACTAATTTTTAGACATGAACTTTTATAAAACCTTCGATACGGTGAGATACGATACGATAAATTAAATTGCATTTTGGGTAATTTTATGTAGCGATAAAATCCCATGTAACAATTTATACTAGAAAACATGAATTTTTCGCGTTTAATTGAAATATGCAATAATATTCATTATATTCAAAATATTATTTAAAAATATGCAAAAAAAAAAAACCATCACCATTTAGCTTAACATGAGCTAATTCGAGGACATAACTGATAAAAACAGTAATTAAAAGTCGCAAAAAAAAAAAAAAAACAAACTAATGCATATAAATCTTAGCCCTTATAATTATTAATTTTTTTAGTAGAAAATGCGAACATTGTTATGAAATTTATATAATTACTAACGGCCCTATTGTATAAACATTTTATTTTTTCGTTATAAACCCGTAATACATGTTGTAAAAACACTGTTTGCAGGTATTTTAACGACAACGTTAGTATTAGTATTATTTGATAAAAAATCGAATATTTTGTTCACGGTCAAAAAATTGACATAATATGTAATATATTACGCATAGTTGTATTTTGTAACTAATTATTATCTACATATACGTCAATAATTATTATTTTTCGTGCGTAGTATTTTTTATTATCGTATTATAACTGAAATTAATAATATTTTGTTTGTGGCGTTTGTGCATCATGATTTATGATTCATGGTGTTTTCAAAGGTCAATCATTTCGAAAGACGTTTATTAGGTTTCAACGCGGACTTTCAAGTAGCGAAACTAAATATACAATAATTATTCCTCGATAAGGATTCGCGATCAATAATATCATATGCTATGACGTCTCTGAAGTGTCATATTAAGATATATAATTTTTTGTTAAAAATTATTATTAGAATATTATACAATATCTTCATACGATGGATTAATAAACGCATAAGAGAGAAAAAAAACAATTTTTAGTGGCATGTTGGCTTGAGGCAAGAACTAGCCAAGCGATGGCACTTCGGTATAGTTTATAATTAAATACCAAATTATAATATACAGTGTGTTTCAATCAAGCGATAACATGAATCATATAGAATAGATTTAAATTGAAATGAGGGGGTTTATTTTTCAAAAAGATTAGGAGTACCTACCAATTAAAGTTCAGATTTTGAGTCAATTTTTTTTTTAAAAATTTAAAATTGACACCAAAAATTATAAGTACTATAGTATGTGTGGACGCTGGATTCTATGGAAAAATATTAGGTCTGGACCAACAGGTAGGTCTGGGTTTCCTTCTTATTGGCACTAAAAAAGTGTCAAAAGTACGTTTTCACGGTTTTTTTTTTCTGAGTAGGTGTTGTTTGAAGATAAAATTTCCCTATTGTGCCTAAATTACCTCAACATGAAACTTATTTTTACGCGAAAAATCATTTATACAATCACTGTATATTATATTATTGTTACGAATAATAAAATTCATAGCGTACATAATAATATAATACAAGTGTTTACGTTCACTGTTAAAAGGCTGCATGGCGTAAGCGACAAAAACCGAATTGTTCAGTAGAGCCCAAAAACAGCGTGTGTATAGTTTGAATTGTTCTATATTTATTTATCATAATTTCTTTTGGTTACCTATGGATGTCTAATGTTTAATATTATACCTAGCTGTCATTTCTGAAAATTGATTTTTTTTTTTTTAAAGTTTTATCTTAACTTTTGTTGTCACTTACGAAAACGACCCAAAAAAAAAAAAGAAAAAAAAAAGGGGGCGCTTACGCCAAACTCGTAAGGTGAATGTTTTGGTCACTCGCGGCTTTAAAGCAACGAAACCCGATATATTATATACAGTATGGTAACGACATTATTAACAAAATTCTGTCGAAATGACTATAATAGCATTGTCAGGTGAAAAAAAAAAAAAACGCGCGGAAAATATGCAAAATGGTCGTTAAAGTAACCGCATTAGGAGTGTGTCGACCGAGGAAAAATGTCGATTAATTAAACGAACGGCCCGAACATTCGCGAAACAATTTTTGATGCTTACCCAAACCGTTTAGATGTACGATATCGATAAAGTAAATTCCATACAAGTGAAATATTGTGGACGTGAAAAAAAAAAAAACAAAACCACGATCTGCGGTCGGAAAACACGTGGCACGCGGTACCAGAGCCGTACGGGTCCCCCGGGCGGATACTATAGATTACGAGTACGCAGCATTATAGAGTAAAAATAATGTACTGAGAGATACCGACGAGGAGAACTGAATCCGCAATTTCATTTTTATTTTTTTTTTTTCTCTCTCTCTCATCGTACCACTGAATTCGCGGCGGAAGTGGCGTGACGGCGAAAAGTAGTGGGTTTCATTATAACGGCCGTAAAACGCGTGCCGGCCGGCGGAGCTGTGCGTGCGTGTGTGACGGCGCACTCGTGTAACCTACGCCGCCGTCCCGCGCATTTCACCGCCGCATTCGGACGCGCCCGGTCGTTCACCGAGACGTTTTTCACCCGCACGCGATCGTGTCACGGGTTAACCGCGCGAACACCACTTTTCGGTGGCGGCGTTATCCCCCGATTATTCGCGTACCCGACAGAGTATATAATCGTCATATACGTACGAGGTTTTCCCCCCCCCCCCATTCCGTTTCAAATTCTAATTCCGGGCGTCCTTACGACGAGGCCGGTTATTGTGCCGCCACGGCCGAAATCAACCGCGGACGCGACGACAACGACGCCTGTGTAGAGGGGTGAGTGTTTCAGTATTTACGCGCAAGCCCCGCGATGTGTTCGACGGTACGGGCACGTCTTAATGGGGGGCGGGCCGAGCCCCAAACCTCCCCTGCCGGAATCGCTCTCTGTTAATGATCGCGTAGATTATTATTACCGCGCAACGGCGTTTCCAACCCGACCGTAAACAGCGCGCGTATGCAAATTAAATTATTAACATTTAAAAATCGATCGCAGGAGAAAAATTAACATTGTACGTAATATTGTTGTGCGTATTAACGCGCGGTACAATACTATTGTTTGTTATGCGCCGCGGGTCGGCGGCGGACGCATGTGCGCGTTTACTGACCGGCGCTGCCGCCGTCGTATTGATCGCCGGGACACGCGCCGGTATCGTTCGAAAATAAATATCGCGCGCGGTCGTCTGCGCTCGCGGAACTACTACCCGAGCAATTCCGTCTCCGTCTATTCGTCTACGAGAGTACCTCTTCTGTCGTAAACGTCTCGTGGTTTCCGACGAGTCGCGACCGAGTGCTATATTATCGTATCTGTTGAAGTCATTGTACATCACGTTCGAACTATTCGATGGGCTATTATAACGACGTCGGTGGCGGTATTTCAACATTTTTCTGAAAAATCATTTTGTATTACAAAGGCGGAAGCTATTAACGGAAGCCTTTTTTTTTTTTTTTCAGTCGAAATTTTATTGAAAATATATCAACATCTGGAGGGGAGGTCTAGACTCACTGGACCCCCAGCCCCTCTTGTAAATCCGCTACTGGACAACATTAAGTTTGACCGTTTGATTACGGATAAAACTAATTCGAACACGTAGTCTTTTGAAACATTCGATAGTTCGTTTAAACTATCAATTCGTAGCATAAACATTCGGAAGTGACCGTCACTAGTATTAATTTAAACACTCGGAACGGATGGATATTATAATTATATGTTATTCATATGTGCGTAAATAGCCTAAATTTTTATAATTTTTTTTCAGGGGTGGGCTAAATCAACAATAACATTGATAAATAAAAAAAAAAATTTCCTCGTACGTATATAGTAATTATTCGTCGAGGACTTGATGAGGTGGGCTGAACCCCCGTCACAAAATTGCGCCATCGTCAATATCATAATGCTGTTCATATTTCATTGAATTTGAAAAAAATAAAAAAAAAAATTCAATTCGGACGGGTCGTATAATAATAATAATCGTATTTATGTTTACAGCGTTTTTCACGCACGTGGGCGTACCATACAGTACCTATTATATCGTCTATCACCTACTACTAGTTTGACAATTTCAATTAAAATATTACGTACTGATAAATATAATTAATATCCGAACAGCTCGTACCTGTATAACACGCGCGCGAATTATAATAATATCAACTCGAGACTCTACAAGCATACCTGTAGGTGTTGTGTATTATAATTGCACGTAAACATCTGCAGTTAAACTGGATCTATAAATACCATTTTTAACGATTTTTTTTTCCCGTGAAATAATTGTTGCTATGGTACTTATGCACTTTTGGCCGCTTACAATAATCACGCGTCGATCCATGGTCCACTATGAAAACAACATCGTAAAACAGTTGCAATAACATTAATACTTTTAAACGAGAATGACCGAAATAGATTACAGTGTCACTTTCGAATCTAGGACAAAATCCCGTCCGGTCGAAATTCCGCTCGGAAAAAATCCCGCTCGCACAAATCCCATCAGAAGAAAAAAAAACAACCAAATAAAATTGACATTTTCATACATTTTTTCTTATTTTTACTATTTTATATATTATCACGAGTCTATAATATGGCCCTTGTCATTTTCTTAATACAATAAAATATAATATTTAATTTATGACGGAATCATTCCCGGACAAAAATACCGAAGAAAAAAAAAAAGCAAACCAACATACAAATATGTCATTTGTTATTATTAGTTTTCCATTTAAATTCTAAACACTAAATTGCAAACTATGCGCTATCCCACGTAGGTAGTTGAGAGTTGGCGTCTCTTGGAATCTAGAACAATTAGACTCTAAGACTCTATTCTCGAATTTAAGAATCGATAACGTTTTTTCTGAAAACTATTTTTCTCCCCCTGAACGAAACCTTCTACATTCACTCTTTTCAGATTTTCGTCTTGTTTGAATGCATTAATTACTTTTCAAATAAAAGAATGTGCAGCATAATGTGCCATCCTTCAATGCCATTGTTTCTTCGAAGGAGGTTTGCTGACACATTATTAAAACAATCCCACATAGAAGAGTAAACAGTGGACTGTGCCGCCGCCTACACCTATCTTGACGTCCCAATTAAGTATCCTTGAAGTAATTGAGTAGAGGAGCAAGTTCTGGATAATTTTTTTCATAGAATTCACTCTCAGTCAAAGTTTGGACTGCCTTCTTCACACTATCTTCCGGAATAAATTCAAGAGCGGTTATTTGACGAATTTCTAGTGCAAATTCTGCATCGTTTATGTATCGCTGTTGCTTTAATATTTTGCGCGAGACCCACGCTAATCCATCATTTATCGATGAAAGACTCCAAAATAAAATTCGCCGTGTCGATTATTTAACTATCTAACTTTTTAACGTCTTTCGAAAAAAAAAACATTTAAGTCTACTCATTCCACGTTTTATATAGAACTTATCATTAGGGCAGAGGAAATGCAGGTTGTTGCTCTTAAAAATCACTAAATACGCAAGCACTAATCTCTGAATTTTGCTTTAAAAACTGTTTACATTATTTCAATTAAATGCTATATCATGACCAAATTAATAAAAACAATTTTAATATTTATTGATTTAATTAAGTGAATAATAATAAGTATATTATACAATTCTTGATATTTAATGATTTTATTTATAGTTGCCGTTTCGATAAATGTTATTATCAGGTTACTCAAAAAAAAAAAAATAAATAAATAAAAAAATATAATAAAAAACTCATAAAAAAAAAAAAACTAAATATTTATCAACAAGCAAGATCTAAATATCGCAACATAAAATTACATATTCGACTTTGTCGTAACACGAAACAAATTTGGTCCTGGCATGTCTTTTCCTTTTTTTTTTTTTTTACGGCTGCACCAATCAAATATTCAAATGTTAGAAGTCTTCTGGCCCGTTTACAGCGCCGCTTCCGCCTTATAATACATTGTGATAAAGTAATCATAATATGTTCTCCACTATAATTTAATAGTCGACATCCTGCAGTAGGGATCATAATAAATACAATGCTCGATAATGTGTATACATATCTTTTAAGTAGGTACAGTGTAAGCATATTATGAATGTGTATTGTAATATTATAATTCGGCTCAAAGAAACTTCAGTCGTATATTGTAACAACGCAGGTACGCAATATTATTGGACTTAGGTAGTATTATAGTACTCGTTCTAATAAAATGGTTGTTGAGTACCTAAACTTTGACGATTTTATCTACACTGTAGAGTAATTTTTTTACAACAGTTACCTACGTAATTTTATAGTCGTCTAATGTACATGCGGATCTAATGCAGTAATTTTATAACACGTAATTGTTTGCTATTTTTTTTTAATAGTGCAACTTCACATTTGAAATGAGTTATTTTATTTGGGTAGCTAAAAGCTATACATTGCAAAACCTATCGGTGGTACCTACACACCGCGCTGGTTACAAATATTTTATTAATTTTTTCCATAATTAATAGCGCCTAGTATTATATTATAACAAATATAATTGTTAAATGATAAATTCGGTAGGTATAGTAAAACAAAAGTTATTCAACTACGGGTTATAGGTACCAAGTACAGATGATAAATCCATTAAGACCCCGTCACACGCATGGGTACGTGGCCGTATTTTTACCTGGACATGTAGAATACGTATTCGGGCACCGCACAAAAATAATATATAAAATACTAGATAGCCGACTTGCAAATGTATAATTTATGATGTTATTAACTTGATAAACATGTTGCAAAATATTTATTCCCAATCGGTTCAAGATTTATTGGTAAATATCCTAAATAATCGTATCAAAATGAAAGTAAATAATATGTGAAATAAAAACATAATTTATCAAAATAAATGATAATTTTATGATAATAGCATAACTAATCAAAAAAAATCGAAAAATGACCTCCTTAAAGTACCTTCCCAGTCAGATATCTTTTCAGAAAAAGTGTTATTATTGTAAATCGGACCGAAATTGCTGGGAAAAAAGTTGTTCATAGGAAAAAAAAGGCCGAAATATTTTTCAATTAATACTTACATTTCGTACATTTTCCCGTTTTTTCTCGGTTTTTTACATTTGTCGAAAAAACTCCTGAGAAAATTGAGAAATGGCCTTGTTAAAGTACCACCCCAAGAAAATTTCCTTTCAGAAAAGAGTCTACATCATATTATACGTATCGGAGTAAGTTTTCTAGTAGAAAAAGTGTTCACATAAAAAAAAAAAAATAAAAAATAAACATCTTTGTAAAACCCCCTATACATTCTTTGTTACACTCAGAATCTAAAATATTGTGCCAATTATATAATGTTAAAGTATTAACGTGTTATTTTTCTATAGAGATATGGTGCACCCAAACGGCGTATTCATTTATATACCTAAACGTGCTGCGTCCATAAATACGATTTTATAATTTAACAGCACGTTGATTAAGTTAATTACAATCGTGCGTTTTTTACATTTTTTTTTTTCATATAATTTATCGTGCACATTAAATTACTCATTAATACGTAACATATACATAGTTGAATCATTTTAGGTTCGGATTTCTTTTTAATGCTTTCGTCACAGTACATCGGAAATATATATAACTATAGATATAAACTATATTAGCAATTAACGTAATTGTCAATTATTATTATACATACAATCCGTACGAATAAATCTATGTATGAAAAAAAGGTACAGAGACCGGTTTTTGTATAGGTTACTTGTGTGTTGGCTGATGTTTCGGCGATTCATGGATAATTACCCACAACTATCTATATTAACACGTTTGCCAAGCAGAATTCCTAAACAGAATTGAATGATAGTTATTTCTCATATAGTTGTTTGGTTATGGATGGATTTAACTTTTTAAACAAATATATATATTTTTAAAACAATTATAAATAGTATTATTATTATTGGGCGTAAATAAAATCTGTTTTTTTTTTTCCCCAGAGCGTGATTATCTATTGCGTAAAATTAGCATTTTCCATAAAAGAAAAATATAACATAATATATTGTAGGTATATAATAGGTATTCACTATAATAATATAATCTATAACTTTGGTCAGAATCTAAGTTATATAGAGGTAATATATTTGTATATTTCAATAACATAAAGTATTTTGTTCATATGGTTAGGTTTTTTTTTTTTTTTTTCAAAAACTCATGAAACCCTTGGTGCAATATGCTTGTGCATCGTTTAACAAAAAAATGTGTAGATTAATATGCAATTGTTGAGTAGGTAGTATGGTAGGCATGTATACGATAGTACACGCATGGCCAAAATGATAAGGCCCTTCAATTTTTCAATAAGACATTTATCTAACGTTTGTTCGTCGTAGTTTAAGCAACCGGTATCGCGAAATTCATTATAAGTACAGCTGTATATTAATATTTATCATGTTGTACCCGTTAATATTAAATATATTGTATTTTTATTAATGCGAATATTGTCTTACCATTTTAGTATTCCAGAAAAGAAACCGAGGAAACAGAAAAGAATCATTTCTGCAGACGTTGAGTTAATCATAGTAATTTATAATTTATATTAAAAGATGACTTACGACGATCTCTTGCACAAAATCGGCGATTTTGGAACTTATCAGAGGAGGATTTACTTTTTTTTGTGTTTACCCGGTATATCGTGCGCTTTGCACAAGCTTGCCGGAGTATTTATTCTGGCCAAAGCCAATCACAGGTACGTGATAAAGATAATATTTAATAATAATAACAATGATATGTAATGTGTTTTTTTTTTTTTTTTGGTTGAACTTTCCCCGAAAATAGAGACTATTGCATTACCTATATTGAGTATTTTTTCCGCTACTTTTGGAGCTCCAACTTGAATTAGAATTAGAAATAGAATTGTTTTATGGGAGAATTGATGTGACAAAGTACGTGTTGAATTTCAATATAAATTTCACCATGTCATTGCGGGAGGTGGGTGTTTTTAGCTCTGTATAAAATATGTTTACTCCTACAGACCCCCGAATGAAGCTAAAGGGAAGGGGATGCAATTTCGTATATACACAAGTTAGTATCAAGGTCGTCTCTTTTGGGGGTTCAACTTTCAACGCTCACCCCTACAATTTTTATGATCAAATTTCATAATTTTTAAATTTTATTTTTTGGAACTTGTATAATATAGTGTTGTATTAAAAAATAAGCCGGCGAAAATTTGACTCTGGTAACTGTTGCGTCTTATGATAAAGTAGGTAATTATTGTTATAATATTTTCACGGCAGATGTCAATTACCAGGCGAGTTGGCAAACGCGTCTTACGTTTTACCGCCCAACATCATGAACATGTCTTATCCATTTGATGATAAAACGGAAAGTTGGTCTTCGTGTAGAATGTACGATACGAATTTCACGGACGCGTATTATTCACACAAAATACCGGCGAACCACAGCAGGACATGCGACCGGTGGATATTCGACAAGTCGGATTTCCAAAACACCGCAGTAATGGAGGTAATACCTATTAACGTCATATTGGATTATAAATATGATTTACCATCAGCGATGGTTTTCAGTGGCGTAGCAAGAATTTTGAATTCGTGGGGGTGGCTTAACACGTTTTGGCTTGAATCATGTGCGTAAATATAGTGGTTTCGAAATCAACCCCAAAAAAAAAAAAAAAATAGAAAATTGTTTTTATCAATTTACATTTCAATGCATTATTTAAAACAAAAATGTAATTATAGTCTATATTATAGACTATAAGTATCTATAGATTCTATAGGTAATTATTACACTTCTATGAGAACTGCATCATCCTTGGATAATATTCTTGAGCAAAGACAATAGTTATATAATTTTCATTATAATACTTACTTTTTTATTTGTATTGGCCGTGGCGATCCCATTGAATCTGTTCTCTTACACAGAGCACCTTTTCAAGTACGTTTTTTTACGGTTCTGCAGTTTTTCGTCCTTTCTTTCGGGAGTAATAACTGGAAACGTATAGTTAACAATCAAAATGAAATCGTAAAATCGTAAAATAGCGTACGTGCGTAAACACGATATGCCCATCGAGGTGCGCTATATAGACCCCTTATTCCCCCCTTCCCTCCATAACTACGCTATTGATGACGATTTTTCAACTGATGTTAAATAATCACGTCTTTATTAAGTCTAATATTTTTCTATTTGTATAGTTCAATTTGGTTTGTGACAAAGCTTGGTACAAAGGTACGTCCGACTCTATGTTGATGGTCGGCGTAATGTTGGGCGCAATAATATTTGGATATTTGTCGGACAGGTCGGTAGTACATTTATTAAAATATATTTTGTAATAATATTATTGTAATTATGTGTTGTTGTACATCGTATACTCACGTTACATATAGGTATAATAGCTGTCAATGGCCGGATTTTGTTTATGACATTCTAGCGTATAGGGTGGTTCTTATTTGGGTGACGGTGGCATTTTTTTTTTGAACGCCCCCTAACTTTATTTTTTTTAAAAAAAAAAAAAAAAAATGTTGAGCTTTATTTGAGCTTTTTAGGAAAATTCTTTCGTCCTCCTGTAACGAGGTAAAGTTTCCCATTTAAAATACATTGATTTTTCGTGTATTCTGAATTTTGTTTATACAAGGCATACAAAATTAATATAATATTTTTTTCTTGAGTGGAAGTTACTGAGAAGAAGATATTTTATATACGGGTAAAAAACAAAAAAGTTGTTCAATAATTATATGCCACTTTCTTTCTGTTAATTATACATATAGTGGTATATAAGTCTTGATAAACTTTTTCTATTTATCGATAGGAGTCATAAGGGTACAACATTTTTTTTTTCATTAGCGATTACACGTTTGGAAACATTTATTATTTATAGTTCAAATACTGTTATTATTTTGCTCAAAAAAAAAAAAAAAACGGAATATCAATGTTTATTTAAGGCTATTTTAAAACATAGACCTATAATAATTTAATAAATCAGTATTTGAGATATCAAATGAATATTAAAACAATACTACAATACTATGCGGGTACGTATCAAAATAATAAATTATTTTTTATGTAAATGCGATCATCATATAAATTTTACCTGTGAATTATAATTTTACAATCGTATTATACCTATTGTTGTCAGGATCGGAAGAAAAAATATTTTTACCATATCTGTTTGGCTGCAGGGAATAGCTGGTTGTGGTTTGGCGTTTACACAAGAATATTGGAGCTTTACTTTTCTGAGGGTGATAGTCGGAGCGTCTACTTCTGGACTATATCTGGCAGCTTACGTCATTGGTAAATAATAATTTATCTATTTCGATAATATTATATTAATATATAGATATAACCAATGTAAAAAAGGGCATTTTTTTAGTGAACAAAATTTAAAGTGTTTATTTTCAAAATGTAAAGTATTACATTATATTCAGAAAGACATTAATATCATAGTTTATGATGCTAGCTTAAACAATATTGAATCAAAATAACATTTATTTGATATCGCAAAATATGACATTATTCTATTATTATCGTCAGTCCCGTTTCAGTTTAATAACTAAGCTAACAGCTGCATCTGAGTTCCGTTCCAATAATCTTTTTTTATACCAATTCCGTCCTAGGTGAAAAAAAAAATGTATATACTAATTCCGTTCCTAATAAAAAGAAAGTTTACTAAAATATTAAAATATTACTATATATTAGTACAAAAAAAAAAAATAAATTTTGACACGAAGTCGAAAAAAAAAGGAATGGCAAGTTTAAAAGTTAAACAGTATTATCTTAATTTCTAAATAATACAGTGTTATTAAATTCGATTGTGTTGTACGAAAACTGAAAGAAATATTATCTTTATTTCTAAATAATATAAAATTGTTATAGTAATGTAAAAAAAGCAAAAAGGGACTGAACTCGTATAAATAAATAAATTAAATGGGACGGAATTGGAGTATATCTATTTTAAACACCCGGGACTGAACTAGTATATCCTTAAATTCAAATTTTACATTCGGGACGGAACTCGGATGCAGCCAAGTTAACGGCCCTTCGTGCCAAATACGATTGTACATTGGTCGCGGGTTTAATCCGGTCCAGGTACAGAGTAGAATTAGTCGTGTTTTTCTCATTATATAGCCAAGAAAATCCACCGCTCTACTGTGTGTGTAATGAACATTATTTTGTTTTCATTTTGGACGTAGAAAAGCTTCACAAAGAATGCCCTGACAAATGCCCATACAAAATGCAGTAATTGCGTGAACGTAATTTAAAAAACGAACACCGTATTTTCGGTAAAATAATAATTATTTATGTGACGTAATGAAATATTTACGATAGTGAATTATTTTAGGCGATTATTTAGGACCTGTGCATTAGTATTTTGTATCTTATTACACAAAAATATACGGATTAAAATTATTCGTGCTACGTTTTAAATTTTCGACTTGATAATATATTATACATATATTATCTTATTGCTAAAAGTGTAATAATAATAAGTATGATGATAAATTAAATATTTACGTTCATCGATAGGGTTATAAGGTTATATAGTAGATAACATTTCTAACACTAATTTAATTTAATTTAATTTTAATTTAATACGATTATTTTCGTTCAAAATTATACTAAATTTCCCCTCTTTTTATACTTATTTAATGATAATTATTATAAATAAATAGTTAATTATTATAAGGTCTGTAAAAAAAAAAAAAAACCTGATATTAGATAATACTGATTCAAATTCATTCATTAGATAAATGCCGAGTGTTTCCATAATGAAAATAGTATTTTCTTTAATCAAACTATATTGATATTTGCGGGCTGTAGTAAATTCTAATATTCATGCCTCGTATAATCATTGATAACGTGTGTATAGGTACAACGCAATAAAAATATGCTAAAGCATACAAATCCGGGCTTAATTTTGAATCACAATATTTTTTTTTCAATATTCGAAAACACTTTTATTTAAACATAAAATGTTAAACGTTTGTTACATAATAAGGGTTGTATTACGATTCCGTACGCATTTTTTTCACTATTTCGATTGCGAGCGGTTTACATACATAATTTATCGCAACGTTGCCGTTGTCATCTATTTACGGATGTAGATTATTATGATTTCTTATGCTCTTTTTTTATTAGCGGTTGGCATTTCCGAATATTTTATATTATCGATAGTTCGGAAGAACTATCGAACGTTTCATTCGAATATTTTGTTCAAGTACCGATTAGTTTTTAATTTATCGAATAGTTCGATACCCAGTTCTTTATTATTGCGATTTCCAATGGTAAATGCACAGATTATTTTTAATTCAATTGATTACGGTGCCTATCATGGCTGTAGTCGGTAGTTTACTGGTTTATCTATAACCTTTTAAGGGGCTCCAAGTTACACAATACTACTATACACTAGTATATGAACACTACGCGTAAGTATTTATATAGTATATTGATACGAATACTAAGAAGTAATTAAATTATCTACTAGAAAAACTACGATGAGAAATAGGTTTAATACGATTTTTCAAAGTATCCTTTAGCGTACTAGAAATAAACAGATTGATACTAATTAAATAAAAAAAAAAATAGAATTAATAAAAACTAAAAGCGTGCACGTTTTTCCTGTGAAACACTTGATAGAAGCCTCAAAATTTGTCTTATTATGTTAACACAACATATAAAAAGACGTCCTAGGATAACGGGGATGGGTGCAACCATTGTTATAGGTAATTTAATGTATTCCTGTAGGCAGCGATACAAACCATTGCTTACGAAAAAACGATTCTGAGCGGAGTTCAGTCGATAGTGATGCTTTGTCAACAATATATAGGCAATATTCTAGAAAAATAATTAATTAGGCTCTATGTATTTTCTTCAATAATATTTGTTCAATGTTCTACTGATTTTCCCGGTTTTCCCAGTTGTAAAAAAATATCTTTGTAAAACCATAAGCTTCTACGCTCCACTCAGAATCTAAAAGTTGTGAAACCCGGTTTTGTACGCGTTAGTAACGTCGCACTTATGTTACGGAATCGAACTAGTTTAAGGTGTGAAACGTACCGGAACCGTACGACTGCCTGCAAAAGGGGCAAATGTCTGGAATCGTAAATATTAATATTAATATAATTCATACACTAATATACCGTAATATTAGCCATACCGGTTTGGTTTTTATAGGTTTGGAGTTCGTTAGTCCCAGTTATCGGATGGTGGTCGGTGTTGTCATACAAATGTTCTTTTCCGTCGGTTTCCTTTTGACATCTGCCTTTGCGTACGCGTTCAACAATTGGCGATATTTTCAGCTAGCCATTACAGTACCGACCTTGTGTTATACGACGTATCAATGGTCAGTAACATACACGCACACGCGTTTTTACCACTAAAGCTCACCGATAATATTTAGAGTAATAATAATATCGACAGTGGTAATTTTTAAGGTTCATACCGGAATCGGTGCGATGGTTACTGACCAACGGTAAACAAGAAAAGGCCGTCGAAATCCTCCAGAAAGTGTGCCGAGTGAACGACGTGGAAATGTCAAAAAAAGACATTATAGACGTGTTGGAGCGTAATTCGGTGGATCAACCTGTGGCTCAGAATTACAACTTACCAAAAGCTTCGTTTTTCGATCTATTCAAACACCCGGTGATTTTGAAGAGATCCATTGTCATAATGCTTTTATGGTGATTATTAATATATATATATACTGAATTAATTAAACTACTGAATAGTAATAAAATCGATATCTTATACATACCATACACATATATTTAATCTGCTTACACTTCACAATCTGCAGTTATTTTTATTTCGAATTCTTAATTCATACAGTTCATGTGTTACAACGTTAGCATTTTTGTTACACATACACGTTCTTTTACAAATCATTACTGAGCATAATATGCCATTTTACGAGAATAAAAAATGTAAACGATCTATTCAACAGTCAACTCTGAGTTCACGAGAAAGGGATTAAGCGTTTTAAAAAAACAATTTTTTAAATATTTTGTAATTTTTTTTTTTTACTTATTATATTTATCAATAATGTGTTTAATTGATTCAGTGTTCAAATATTTTTATCTTTCGATTTCAATAATTATTCTTGTATGAATAATTTGGCTGCAAATTATTTGTTTGTTAAACACGGTAGGTATACGGCACTCGTCAATTTGAATTTTTTTTTATTGCACCAGAGTTTGTGATACCGAATACAAAAAATTACAAACATAATATCATAGTACCCGTAAGACTTTGAATGTGTTTTAAAATATAATTTGGATGAATAGATTTTAAATATAAATTATTTTATATTTGGTTTTGTTATAGTTTTTAACCCTGAGTCCCACGTGTAATGTAGCTTTTGAATTTTTGTTTTGCAGGTTTGTAAACAGCACTGCATACTACGGATTGTCGTGGAGTACTACCAGTCTTGGTGGTAATCAATTTTTGGTGTTCAATTTAGCAGGATTAGTCGAGTTCCCGGCGTATACGTTTTTATTGTTGACTCTCAACCGATGGGGCAGAAAGATAAATATATCCGGATTTCTAATATTAGCCGGATTAGCACTTTTAGCAACACTGGTCATACCCAAAAGTAAATCTTATTGTATTAATTATATTATTAAATTAGATAGGTACCTAAACAAACTAAATTCTCCACGTGTGGCATTATTTATAATTGCGATATAATTATTGCTTAAATCCGTATGATATTTGAAAGTTTAATGTCGGACGTAGTAATAATTTATAGCGACTATTGAATTGGCTCCCTAATAAATGAATCGTAGCTGTCAAAATAGATTTCAAATAAAAGTTGAAAAAAAATCGCGTAGTGTTAATATTTTACCCGACACAGTGCCGGATCACTGCCCAAAATCTTGTGCCTGATCGTTAATTATTACTATTGAATATCAGTGACGGCCGATAATGCACTTAATTGTTAACAACCGACGACTTAGGTTTTCATGTGTTATGATTTATTTAATTTGAGGTTTCGGTTTTCGAAATTGATTAAAAACATTGTTTCATACGTTTAGCCGATTTGTGAAATTCGATCTAGTATACCTTATTTTATATAAGGTACACTCGAATTCCAAGTGGTACACAAATAAACTAGACTCATACAGTTTTGACGACACGAAAAATTCGCTTGAAAATATGAACAAATCCGAGTTACCTAACCTTAGAATAGGGTATTTATTAAATTTTTAATAAAAAGTAATTCAGTTTTAAACGTGTTTTGAAATTGTTTATAATTTAGAAAAATTGGTAATTTGAAATAAGAGTTGATTGGCGGCCAAACATGTTTCTAAAAACCTTTCTGTACGTTTTTTCTGCAAGTCGTCACCGCCGACATCAGTTTGACGTTTAGGCCGTTTCGAAAAATAAAGTCTTTAACATTTCAGCCCCCACGCACAAATACTCCAAAGTATGATATGATATTATAGGGTGGTTTTTTTTTTTTTGTTTAGCTTGTACGTGGCTGACGATATTTTGCGCGATGATCGCTAAATTGGCCATAACCGCGTCGTACGGTGCCGTGTACGTGTATACCGCAGAACAATTCCCGACCGTGGTACGGAACATGGGCTTGGGCGTAGGATCGTTTTTCGCCAAAATCGGCGGTATCGCAGCGCCTCACATCAACAATATGGTAGGTACATGTTATATGTAAACGGCAAAGGTGATTTGCGTTGTTTATGTACCGTTATATTATTATATCAGATACAAAAAGTAGTCGATTGTCGATTGGTTTTTCAGAGTGAAATTTCTACCAGCATGCCGTTAATCGTGTACGGCAGTCTGGCGTTGTTGGTCGGAGTCTGGTCACTAGTATTGCCGGAGACGCTGAATAAAAAATTACCTGATACCATCGAGGATCTCATAGCTATGTCTGAAAAGTGAGTGTTAAGTTTCATAAAAAAAAAAACTTTTTTTTAAATATTACAATAATAATAATAATTGTGAACTTATATTTCAAGGCACCGAGTAGAACTTATGTTGAACCTCGTGCTTAAATTTTGTATGGGCCAAAACAATTGTATACATTTTATATTATGGACATAGACTTATACATCTAGACAGAACATCCACCCCGAGGGCTGGTAGGAGATATAGGCTGATATAAAGCCTAATGTTAGTAAGAGCAAATGTTCACTCCGTGGACAACTACTTAAAACCCACCGATTTTAATCTCACGTGTTTCTGTCTACGAAATGAAACTTCATACACCGGAACGCGTTTTCATGCCGAATGTTCCGTCTAGATGTAAAGGTCTAGATGTATGGTTATGAAGCACATAGTACTATTATATAGGTTCATATAAAGCAAATATAATAAAATAAAATAAATATGGTAATTTTTTTATTTTCAGGAATTACCAGACGGTGCTTTTAAAAGAACCGATATTAAACAACAAAGCGAATAAAATTGACAACGAAAAGTATTAATAACCCGTATTATCACTGTTTAAAATATTATAATTTTCCGATTTATGAATAAGTTTCGTATTTTTTTAATAACATTATTGTTCCAAGACTACTATGTATTTATATGATATATTATGTATCTATATTTTTTTTTAACTGTTTAATATATTCAATCGAACGGTATCTACGTTAGGTATTTATACCGATTTTGTACTGGTGTGTGGTGTTAAAACCAAGAAACACTGAGTGGATAATACAATCTATAATATAAATGTGTGCATTTTTTTTTTTTTAATTCCGTTTATATGTGTCGGGTCCAGTGACTATATATAAAATTTAGGGACGAGAAAAATTGTTCTTATTTCGAATGATTCAAATCGATTCACTAAGATAATTTGTTAATTTTGATTGGTTCACTGATTCATTTGATTCACTGTCTTAATCGAATTGAATTCGAATCGGCGTTATCAATGTTACCATGAATTTCATTTAAATCTATAACAATGTTTGGTTTCTTTTTTTTTTAAACACACTATTCACACCATCAAATGTGTAGGTGTTTAATCTGCAGAATAGTGTAAAATACTTGTGTTAATTACACAATTTTTGAAAGTTTTAAATTATTTATTTTTTCATGTTAAATATTTTGATGTTTTTTTAACATTATTACATTTTTAGATTTCGATTATTTTTTTTTAAATTTAAATAACAGTATATTTACAATCTGTAATGTAATTTTTTTTACAATAAGTAAATTTGGAATAACATATGTAAAAAATTACAAAATGACACTATGTTAGGAGGGTAGCCCACCAGTGTGGAAACCCTCTGAGATTTCTATTTCTATACATTAAAACTGATACCCGGGCTCTGATACCCAGTAAACACAGTATGCAAACTTAAATTAAACTAAAATTAATATCAGCTGAATGGAAACGAACCGCGTACTTCGGAACTTAATCTTGGTAAATATCTAATACACATTTGGTTACTCAGATGTTTCGAAGTGATTCAAATGAAGTAAGAACGAATCTATCGAATGAATCATACGCGAACAACCCAAACATAATTTAGATATAGGACTATATTATTATTATTTTCTATTATGTATTCCGGTAAATATTAAAGTACGTGGTTTTCGAGGAAATTGAATTCGAATAATATCTTAATGAATATTTGCACCATTCAGTGGCGTATTTACTATTTCCTTCTGAGAGGTGATAACAAAAAAAAAAAAAAAAAAAAAAAAATTAAAACTAAGAAAAGTGGGCCAGGGAAATACCACTCCCCTTTTTTTGTTTTCTTGCTTTTACGTTTATGTTTGGTCTTCCAAATATCGTCTACTGAGTAGAAGTTTGCTTAAAATATTACGATAAACGATACAATTTGCGCATGGATTTTTTTATACCGTAAAGTTTATTGTTGTAGTAGAATTGGATGCGTATTTAATAATCGCGTTTTGTTGCACGTTTCGCAAAGAGGGTATTCACACAAACTCATTAATCCTCTTGAATTATTTCAATCTAATAATGGTAATATCGTAGGAGGACGCCAGATGATACTTGTAAGAACCTAGTAATCGGTCTATAATATGTGCAATGAAAAAAAGAACTATGATTTCAAAAACACCGGGGTTTGTATATACGTATGTATCACGACCTGTATATACGTCACTAGTATAGCATCATATTATAAATATAAAGGTAATAGGCATACAACATGTGTAAGTTTATGATATTTGCTCATGCTCAATTTTATATATATATATATACATATTTTTATTATTGTTATTATTATAATATAGTGTAACACGCTTAAGACGCGTGATGAGATATTTTGTACGTTCGATATTTAAATTAAAATATTAAATCTATAAAGATTTGTACGTTATATATGAAGCTTTTATGGCCATGTTTATATTATAAAACACTATTTGTCACATATTGATAAGTAAATTTAAGTATATATTACGTTACGCAGTGCTTAAATCGACTTTAAAGTGAAAATAATTATTTGACGAAAACAACACTTTATTATACGTATTAATGATATTATTGTTTTAGTAATTCGTACATTTTTAAGGTTTACCGGACATATCGAATAATACGACTTTAAACGGATTTTACAAGAGTATACTTTAATTGTACATTAACGCATTTATTTTTAAAAGACATACTGTATATTGTTTTGAACAATAAAATTGTTCACGCTTACGAAAGTATTCATTTTTAATACCTACACAATGCTCTTAATATTTGTTTGTAAAACATTTTCATCCTATTATTCCTTATTTTGTGTAGTAATAAATATTGATAAAGTTGATAAAATAGCATTACAACTTTTAAATTGCTAATTTATTTTTGTCGTATTGTTAAATGTAATATTATAATCTCTGTAGAAAATAAACAATTTTTGTCGATGTTTTTTTTCTCAACTGATGAAATTGAAAAAATAATTAAACTGTCGTCTGGTAAAATGTTTTTATGACTATGACGGATGTTTATTTTTGCCAATAGATAAAAATTCGATTATAACTTACAAAACGTGTAAACGAGTAATACAATTATTGTAGTTTTATTGGTGATAAGTTTTGTGATTTATACTTCTGATCATTAATCTTTCGATTGGTTGATTGCAGCTCTCCGTGTAATTCTCTGTCAAAACTAAAACAATTCAATTCTTCCACTCTATAGAAGGGGATGTTTTAAAGCATGCAGATAGCATGATAGAGAGTATATACTTCTTAATAAAAGAAGTGTGGGAAAAGGAAACTTTACCGGTAGACTAGAGAATAGCATATATATGTCCAATACATAAAAATAGTGACAGGTCTGTAGTAACTATAGAGGGATAGCGCTGCTAGGTACAACTTATAAGGTATTATCTTATTGTATCCTGGATAGAATCAAACCACTGGCCGAAGAAGTGGTTTGGGATTATCAATTCGGATTCAGGCAAAATGGCGGACCGCATCTCTCTAATAGTGACCGAGACCGTAATAGTGGATCAGTACGAGTTCAAAAAAGTGGAACAATTCAAATACTTGGGCACTATTGTAACACAGAAGAAAAATAAAAATCCAACAAAGAATTAAAATGGGAAACAAATGCTTCTATGCATTAGGTAAGCTACTGAGCTCTAGAGTCCTTTCAAAAGAGGTTAAAATTCGATTATATTTGACAATCATACGACCAATAATGGTGGACATTGCGAAGAACAGATTACATTTTTTCGAGAGGAGGGTATTGCGCAAAATATATGGATCTGTGTATGATCAGGATATTCAAAGATGGAGGAAAAGATACAACCAAAAACTGATGGAGGTATTTTGTCCGTATTGTGAACGGGATCAAACGGAGTAAGTTGGAATGGCCAGACATGTAGAAAGCAAGATTCAAAGGTACAAAGAGTGCTCCAAGAAAACTCAAGGAGCAAAAGACTGCTGGGTAGACCAAGGCTATGTTGGAAGGATGGAATCATAAAATATTTCCTAAATGCTATAGGAGCGAATTATGGAGATATGGATTTGAAGGAAGTAGTGGTGAACAAAGAGGAATAAAAGAGGATTTGTTTTATAGCAAGATGGTCTCAGAGGCTTTGAAAAAAAAAAAAAAATTAACTTTAAAGAAAGTTGTAGTGATTTAAAAGAAATATAAAATACCACGTTTTGTACCTTTTTTTAACTAGTTGTATCATTATAGAATTGTAAAATGCTGATGACGCTGTCTTTAAAATGTCATTTAAAAATATCATAACCACCTAACCTTTACAGGCACAACTGATTTTAAAGACTTTTAATGTTTTGGTTTACGTAAACAGTGAACACATTTTTGCTTCCTTATCCGTTAAAAAGATAAAAACGACAAATGATACTGTTACTGGCCTCTTGAGTATTCACAGTAAGTACCTATCTAATACAGTAGGTCCCTATTTATTTCATCCTTGGCCTTCCTCTCTCAATTTTATTTTACATATACCTAACCTTCAATAGACAACTTCAAAAATTATGATTACATATTATCCCTTCTATTTATTATAAGTAGTCGAAGTTCTATTTTTCCTTAATTTTTCTTAAAACTACTTCATTTGTTACTTTGTCATAACAAAAACGAAAGCATAACTCGGCCATCTTACGTTAACATCTGAACTTTTGATAAATTTAAAAATTTATTATTCTACGTTTTATCGCAAATTAAGTGAGGATTTTATAATAATTACCACAAAGTGGCCTATTTTCGGTATATTGTATTTATTAATCTCTTTATTTATGAGCTACTACATATGTACCAATATCATTCTCATTTAAAATCGCTGCTGCATCCCGTCGGCGTTTGCGGCCGCGCGCGGGGTCCTCCGCTGGTTGACGTTCATGTAAATGATGCCGGGATCGCCCGCGCCGTGTCCGTGCACCGTAATCCGCACACGCATGACGTCCGCCGTCGGCGCGCTCGTCCCGTTCCACGTGCCGTCGCCCGAATCTCCGAAATTCGCGTGGACAAACACGTCCTGATTGTGCCGGTCCATGGCCATATCCCGCGTGAAACAGTCGACGCTGTTCGATTTCGAGTTTCGCTTCGGTTATGCGATCGTGAAATATAATATTTTCGCTATAATATATTTGTATTTACAACGTCACACGTCACACTGTAGTACTGTTTACACACATATTATTGTAACAACGCAGTCATTTCAGGCGTACCGTTTCCGTGGATACACTGGCAGTATAATGCGAATGCAATACCGTGCCCGGCGAAATCGGCATCCGAATACGTTTAAATACTTTGCACGAAGGGAATGTTTTCGGTTTGTTCGAGATGATATTCACGACTGGTTCTTTTGCCTAATTGACGAGTTATATTTTAAGGCGGTATGGCAACCGCTCCAAAGATATTATATCGTATTGGATTAGCGATTGAGCCGTCGCAAAATATGTTGTTCTAATAAAATTATTATTTAATATTTTTTTTTTTTTTTTAGTAATTTCGGTGTTTTGGGGTGTAATTTTTATGTCATTGGAAAAA